GCAGATCAAGTACAACCTTGGAAATCTTTCTTGATTTCTTACTTCTAGAATCTTTTTTCGGTACTTGTCGGTTATAAATCCACAAAGACTCATCTCGGTTATGCAGCCCCATCCCCGAGTCTTCTCTGTTATCGATTTTCGTTCAACTGATCGACTGATCACTTCAGACGAGCACTCTACTTCACTGAACATAGTCACCCCTTACAAGTTGTCAGTTCCTTGCAACCGAGTTGAGTCTCTGTGGATGTATAACCGACAAGTACCCAAAATAAAACTTGAACTTCTGGCTTTTTATTGGTAAAGGTTTCAGAGCATTTGGAGCTACAATCACAAAGATATGTTCGTTTTAACGCGAGCATTTCAAAAAATCGATCCTACAACATTTTGGTGTCGATAGCCAAGTCTAATTCGGTTATACATCCACAAAGACTCATCTCGGTGAAGCAGCCCCATCCCCGAATCTTCTCTGTTATCGATTTTCGTTCGACTGATCGACTGATCACTTCAGACGAGCACTCTACTTCAATGAACATAATCATCCCTCACAAGTTGTCAGCTCCTTGCAACCGAGTTGAGTCTCTGTGGATGTATAACCGACAACTACCCTCTATTTTATCAGGATTATTTCAAAGCCAGTTTGGCAAGGTTTAAAGCCTAGCCTCTGGCCTTGCATAGCTTGTAAGCTGTACTGAAGGCTGTAAACCTCTAGCCAATAAATAGACGCTGTAATGAAGAAAAATTTGCATAATAAATTGATTAATTGATACAAAACTAGTTTAAGAGCATCTTTTTAATGCATTTATCTACCGTACCGCTCCATTCGATGTACAAGCAGCGAGTTTCTCTCCCGTTCGATTAAAGGCTACTTTAAAAACACGACCCCTCTTCTTTATTTCCTATAACCGACAAGTATCCTTTTTTTTCTTTAGTATTTGATTATCTAATGAATTTCCGGGTTTTAAGTCTTCAATTTTAAAATCAAAATCGAAATTAGAATGATTTTTCGAAAGCCGACACTTTATCCCTATGATTCAGACTATAAGTAAAGGAAAATCTTTGAAACTACACTATAAAATCATTTCCATTATTCGTAATAGATTAGAAAACATTATACAATCAGATAAACAATCAGATAAACATTATACATTAACAGAAAAACATTACATAAACATTAAACATTATTCACATTATCTTTATTTTTTTTGAAAAGCTTTGAAGATGAACTTTCTTAAGACTAAAGTATTTGATAGGTTGTAAAATTGTTATGTCTGAAACACTCAAAGAAAAGCGCTTTTTACAATGAACAGAATATAGAAAAAAGTTTGAATAGAACAAACAAAGAAATTGATTTCTTTTATTTCAAAGAATAATCAGAACAAATGATTTGATTCGTTCTTTATCCCCAAAAATAATGCAGCAAATAATGGTTAATCAAATAATGCAGCAAAAAGATAAACTTGAAAATTTTCAACTTTTCATTCATAATGTATAACCGAATTAGACTTGGCCATCGACACCAAAATGTTGTAGGATCGATTTTTTCAAAAAGCTAGCGTTAAAACGAACATATCTTTGTGATTGTAGCTCCAAATGCTCTGAAACCTTTACCAATAGAAAGCCAGAAGTTCAAGCTTTATTTTGGGTACTTGTCGGCTATAAATCCACAGAGACTCAACTCGGTTGCAAGGAGCTGACAACTTGTGAGGGATTATGTTCATTTGAAGTGATCAGTCGATCAGTTGAACGAAAATCGATAACAGAGAGGACTCGGACGAGGATGCTTAACGAAGATGAGTCTTTGTGGATGTAGAAGCGACAAGTACCGAAAAAAGATTCTAGAAGTAAGGGATGGGGCTGCTTAACCGAGATGAGTCTTTGTGGATGTAGAAGCGACAAGTACCGAAAAGACACTCAAAGAAAAGTGACTTTTACAATGAACAAAATATAGACAAAAGTTTGAATAGAACAAACAAAGCTCCATTGATTTCTTTTATTTCAAATACTAATCAGAACAAATGATTTGATTCGTTCTTTATCCCCAAAAAAGATTTGTAAGAAATGGTTAATCAAATAATGCAACAAAAAGATTAAAACTTGAAATTTTTCAACTTTTCATTCATAAAGAAATTATTCATAGGATTAAGAAAATGGAGAAATCCTTAAGATTTCAAAAATCTTTTGATTTTTCTAGGAAATAAAGAAACAGGAAACTTTTTAATATTTGATCGAAATGAAAAAGATCTAGCTACAATTTTTCTTCTTTTATGGATATTCTCGATGAATTAAACGACTAGATGTTGTCAGGTACAAAATTTTGAAGAGAAGTTTAAAGATATTAAAGAAAAGCATAAGGAAATTGCAGTGAATATAGTAAATCAAAGTTTGAAAGACTTTCTAGAATGCTGAATGTTTTTTTATTGAACAGGGTTAGCAACATTTGGTCCTTTAATTCATCGAGAATATCCATAAAAGAAGAAAAATTGTAGCTACCGTAAATACTGTAATAGTACCCCGTCCCCCATAATGACGGTGCGGAGCGTTGCGTAGTCTAGCTTTGAACGAGTTTTTCTCGACACTGGTTTAAGCTACCATGCGCGCTTAGGTATCAAAAAATAGCTGAAATTGAGGGCTATTTTTTGATACCAAAGACCCAGGGTTAGCAACATTTGGTCCTTTAATTCATCGAGAATATCCATAAAAGAAGAAAACTTGTAGCTAGATCTTTTTCATTTCGATCAAATATTAAAAAGTTTCCTGTTTCTTCATAGGTTAGGTTAGCAAAATATTCAAGTTGTCAAATGAATTGCTTTTAACTTCGTTTGTTCTGGAATTAAAGGGAAATTGAGTGAAACGAATTGATTTGGGTTGGGTTGATCTGAAAATTTTGAACCCAGCTACTCGTAACTTGGATTATAACCCTTGGGTTTGGTTGAAAGTACAAAAATATGATAATAATATAGCAATAAAATTAAAGATGATTATTGTAAGAAGAATAGAATTGTAAGAAAGAAGGATGGACTTTGATGTAGCTCTAGCTGGTGTAGTTCATCGAATGCTCAATGTCTTCTTAAAGTAAAAATTTACAAGTCAAGCTAAACGAATTGCTTTTAATTTGGCTTAAAGCCTTGATTTGGTCTGGAATTAAAAGGAAATTGAGTAAAACGAATTGGCTTGGGTTGGGTTGGTCTGAAAATTTTGAACCCAGCTACTAGTAACTTGGATAACTAGCTACTAGTAACATGGATAACTAACTTGGATAACTAGAACCCAGCTACTAGTAACTACTAGTAACTAGTAACCCTTGGGTTCGGTTGAAAGTACAAAAAGATGATAATAATATAACAATAAATTTAAAGATGATTATTGTAAGAAGAATAGACTTCGATGTAGCTGTCTTAATAGTATTTTACCGGTTCTAGTATTGTTAAGCTCGATCAAAGTGATCAAAGGCTTAGACTTCGGCTTATCCGGGATTGATAAAAAGAGAACAGTTGAAGACCATGACATCAGGTTTACTTTAAATGATAATAGAAAAGTTGTGAAGTCGATTTGTCGAAGGCGAAGTGCTAGCGATTTTCTGAAGTGAAGAAGTGAAGCTGCTTGCGATTTTCCTATCTATTCAACTTCAATTTTGAAATAACAAAATGCAAAAGCGAGAAATTCTTCGAACTAATCCATGTGATGATTAAGGATTTCTCATTGTTAATCTTTCTTTTCTCACTTTGGTTAACATTTTGAAAGGATTTCATTCTCGGGATTTCTCTCTCGATAATCCCATCAATATTTCTCAAATCTCTTCAAAATATTGGCTTCATGTTATTCCTTATTTTTCAGAGATTATCTCGTTTCCTTGTCTCTTGGTACACATTTATGAATATCAAGAAGAAGTCGAGAATTCCCATGAATTATTCTGATCACATTGTACAAATAAGTTTTGGCTAGACTGTAGAAATCTCTTTGAGAAGTTGGGAAAGTTCTTGCAAAGCAGAGGGACAAATTCAAATTGAAGCTATTCATTCGATCTGACTTTACTTTTCAAATAGACTTTACACTAAAATTCTCGATCCTTTTCCGTTATACATCCGCAAAAATAAACCCCGGAGCATTTCCGTTATACATCCGCCAAATTTGCATCCTTCTGGTCGAGGTGGTCAACCGCTCGGCCAAGAGGCATCTATTGGAAGCGATGATTGAACACATCGAGCCGGGAACCCAAATTTACTCCGATTGCTGGCGAGGATACAACAAGAATAGAATTGTAAGAAAGATGGAGGAAGCCGGCTAAGAAACAGATGGAAGAAGCCGGCTTTACCTACGCTCAAGTCAACCACAAGTACAACTTCCTGAATCCGGATGACTCTGTTATTCACATGCAGACGATCGAGGGTCGATGGGGATCTGCCAAATGTAGAAAAAAGAAGCATCGCGGCACGGCGCGCCATTTCCTATCGAGCTACCTCGCTGAATTCATGGTCAAGAAGTGGTAAAGGACGATTTCTACGAATGGGTTTTGCAACAAATTGCTACGGCATCAATTTCTCATTCATCTTATTTTGATGTTTATTTTTGATTTTGATTAAATTGATCGATTTTTGATTATTAAATAATCAAGGGTTATTTTTGCGGATGTATAACAAAAAAGTAGCAAATTATCAAACTCTTGAAGCCCCTTCACTTGAAAGCAATAAAGCAGATCTTTAAGCATATCTTTGGGCAATTACTTCTTCAAAAAAATTGCCTAATCAGTCACTAAAGTGGCGCACAATTATGATGGGTTTTTCGGCTCTAACTCGACGCCCGATCATTCAATTCTCCTAATTACATATTTATATGTAATTTCAAGTCAATTTCTGTGGTAAATTTCGATTTTTAGTTTAGAAACACAGTGTTACACTTTTTATAGTACTCTGAAGTTCAGTGGTGCCAACTTCTCAACAGATTGTTGTTTGACAGGATTGTTAAACTCTCGAATTGCCGACTTCTCCGCCACCATGTACGAAATGTTGCTATGCCACCATGTACGAAATGTTGCTTTCTATGTTGTTTTTTAAACTTTAAACTTTAAAATATTTTTCAGGATGAAGTTTTCGTGCATGATGGGAAACTGTTTCTATCGAAAAGATCGTAAAGGGGATTTTCGAAAACACTGCATGTGAAAGCATTCAACCATTGAGTTCAGCAATTTTATTTTACCTTTTAGCCCAAATTTGACGTGTCAGCGAGGTCTGATTTGTCGAAATTCGGAATCTACGCATACGATTCCCTTCTATGAAAACATTTTTGAAGCTCTACGGCCTTTCCTAAGGCCTAATTTTATTTTACCACGCTCAATGCCCCATTTTTTTAGCAAAGAACTATTATGGTATAAGGAAAATAATGATTAATTCGAAAAATTCAAATTTATTTTCAAATTTTCATTAAAAACATTAAATTTTCACCTTTTGTTGTTGTTTCTTCATATGTTCATTGATAAAATTGATTTCAGACATTAAAAGTCTTTCATCTACCATCTAAAATCACAAAACAAAGCAATCAATTCAATAAATTAAATAAAGCAACTTAAATTTGGTTAAAAAAAATCGCAGCATCGCTAGAAGACAAAGTTCTCAGCAGAAACAACTAAAGAATAGAATAGAATAAAAATAGCTAAAGTTGCAAAAATGCGGATTACGGTACTCAGTTCATTTTAGTGCGCGGCCCCAAAATGTTTTCCCGGAAAATGCTTCCCAAGTCCTCTCCTCTCTCCATCTCCTCTCTCCATCCTCTCCTCTCTCTCCGATCGATTGGGAAAACCGAAGGGAAACCCTTGTATCTGTCCTTCTCTTGCCCCTACTCCCCTACTCCTTTCTTTCCCCCTCTCTTTCCTCCACTCCCCTTTCTTTCCCCTTTTCTCTTCCAATCCAGTTCTATCTTGTCTTTCCCTCCTTTCTTTACCCCATTCCCTCCACTCTCTTAGAATAATCCTAACAATAAGTTTTTTAGATCTTTTTTAGTTTTTATTGCAAAATGATATTCCAGGCTCATCACCACGAAAATTTCACCATTCTGTAGTACCGTGAAGAAACATCGCACGTGTAAGGAAATTAAATTGATTGGAATGGAAATTGATTAGGAAATAATATTTTCATATATTTATATTTACTATAGAGTCTTTAGAGAACATTTTCAAAAATTTTCTCAGCTAATCTAAAAAAATTTGTCCATCTGGCCGTACTCCCCTTTTTCACGCTTCTTTTGATAAATCGATAATGGGAAAAAAAAGTCGGAAAGTAGTAATTTTTTTTAGGTTTTATAGCATTTTGTTATCTTGTTAAAAAGATTGTTAAAACTTTTGTGTAAAGCAAAGTAGCAATATTTCTCTTAATAGTAGATATATTAACGGATTTATAGAATGAATTAGATAGATAAGATACATCTGCTATTAGTTATTAGTTATATAATTTTTTTCAGGGTGATGATGAACCATCGTCAGGGTGGCGCACCATCATCGAGTGGGCAAAGCGCTGGTCGGATGAGGATTCGATCGATTCCGGTAGAAGGAATTTCATTCAAACATATAGATTCCTTAAAAGTTGAATACTGAAAATTGTAGTCGTATTATGCACTTGATCGATCAGCTTTATCAGCAAAAAAACTATATTTCATTAGCTTTATTCATTCAAAAGTATTCTTTTCTAGACGGCAATGGACGAAAAATACGTGACAAGCATTTGGGAATTGCTGAAAAAAGCGATTCAAGAGATTCAGCGAAAGAATAATTCTGGATTGAGTTTTGAGGAATTGTACAGAAATGCGTACACTATGGTGAGTGTTTCGAAAAGCCATATCAAGCAAATCTATATCAGTGTTTCGAAGAAGCATATAAAGCAAAGATAGCATCATTTTTCTGTAAATAGAGCTTTAAACTTACTGCATAAACTTCAGGTGCTGCATAAACACGGCGATCGGTTGTATATTGGATTGAGAGGAGTCATCGAGGAACATATGAGAGCAAATGTAAGTGGGGAAATTAAATCGTTTAAAGTTATCTTTACTGTGTTTTAACTTAAAGCTTTTGCAAATACAGAAACACTTGAAGAGTTAATGAAGCTGAAAGCTTGAAAGCTTGAAAGCAAAATTTGGTAAAGCTGTTTTAAAACAGTTTTGGTCAGGCTTAGACTGAAAAATCAGCTTTTACTCAAACCCATTTCAGATTCGTCCATGCATTGAGGAGGCAATCGAGGTAAAAATGGAGGTACATCTATTGGAAACATTGATCTCTGTTTGGAATGATCACACAACGGCGATGGTCATGATACGGTAAATGATCGGAAAGTTGATTTCAAATTCTTGTCATTCTAGAGACATTTTGATGTACATGGATCGAGTTTATGTGAGTCAACAAAAGGTTGAACCTGTCTACAACTTGGGGCTTTCTATTTTCAAGTGAGTGTGGCTTTTTCTTAGTTGTAAAATCAAAATTCAGAGATGAGATCATTCGATGGGATTTGGTGAATGAGAGATTGAGGAGAGAAATGCTCGACATGGTCACCAGAGAGAGACAGGTGTGTTCGGGAAAGCGATTCTCTTGGCTATTTCAACTTGAAAACTATTGTCACCTTGTCTTATTTAACTGTCCAACTTTACACCAGATCTTTATTAACTTTATATTGATCAGCTTTTACAGACCTTAACCTTAAGAAAGTAAAGTAAAGAATGGTAAAGAAAGAGATTAAACGGAGATTCCGGAGAGGAAATCGAACCCTCTTTTTGCTTTCCGAGTAGATTCTCTAACCATTGACCCATCCAATATCTTCTTGCTAGAGAAGAAAGGAAATAAAAGGGGGAAGAGAAGGAAATACTCAGCTTTTCACAACCGTGAGCTTGAAGATCAGAACACACATTAGTAATAAAGTAAAGTAAAGAATGGTAAAGAAAGAGATTAAACGGAGATTCCGGAGAGGAAATCGAACCCTCTTTTTGCTTTCCGAGTAGATTCTCTAACCACTGACCCATCCAATATCTTCTTGCTAGAGAAGAAAGGATGGGGGAGGGAAATACTCGGCTTTTCACAACCGTGAGCTTGAAGATTACACATTAGTAATAAAGTAAAGTAAAGAGTGGTAAAGAAAGCTATCGATTTTCAGGGAGAGCAAATCGATTGGATCTTGTTAAAGCATGGTAGCACAATGTTGTCAGCTCTTGGAATTTACGAAGCTGAATTCGAGCAGCATTTTCTCAGTGAATCCGCTCAATATTATAAAAGAATGGGACTCGAGTTTTTAGCGGAAAACTCAGCAGCCGAATATGTGAAACGGGTTAGTGTTTGAGAAGATTGATGAATGCAATAGTTGGCTGGCTAAGCTAAGTGTGATCTTTCCTATACCGTATTCTCTCTAATAGTATTGCGGTGCAGGAGGGGGTTGAAAAAAATAGTAGTGCGCACTACTATTAGAGAGAATACGGTATATAAGATCGTTTCTATTTCCTAACAATTGCTTGTTACCAAAAATCTCTATAAAATTGAAGATCACCATATAACCAGTTCTTCTTTTTTTTCAGGTGGAAACTTGCATACGAGAAGAAAACGATCGAGCTCAACGATATCTTGATTCAAGCACAAGAGCAAAGGTTTGGTTCAATTCAATTTCAAAGCCGCTTCATAAACAAGTTTCTTTCTAGATCCTAGCTGTCGTCGACAGTGAACTGATTGAAGTTCATATGAAATCAGTCGTCGAAATGGATGGTAGTGGAGTCAGCCATATGTTGAATGTGAATTTGGTAAGGAAATTTTAAAAAAAATTTGGAATCTTTAAATATTTAGTTAGCCGACTTGCAAAGAATGTACACTGTTTTCCATCGAGTCACAAATGGAACACAGGTGAAGAACACTGATTTCAATTTAGATTTATTTCATTCAAAGTTACTGTCAAGTTCTTAGCATTATCTTTTAATTACAATAAGAAAGTATTCAGCTAAGAAGAATTGAATGATTTTTCTTTTAAAAAAAAGCTAATTAAAGCTTGACTTTCTGCGGTAATTAGACATAATAATAACTGACATAATAACTGAAACTTTAACAGTTTATTAACTTTTTCTTACTTAAAAGATAGATTTTAGAAATAGTTAAAGAATCTTATGCAATTTCATGTTTTCTAGGTGATCTGTCAAGCAGTATCCTCATGGGTTCGTCAACGAGGTGAAGAGATCACTCATCCAGAAAATCAACAAGAAGAACTTAAAAAGGACCCTGTTCTCTATATAACGGTATGTTTTTATTTGATTTTTTTAAAAGAAATGATTTCAGAGGCTAATGGAGTTAGAGGAACGCTCAGAAACCCTTTTGAGAGACGCTTTTCAAGAGGACAAAATGTTCAAGAAAAGAATCTACGACGATTTCACGCATTTCATCAATCTCAACAATCATTCAGCTGAATATTTAACGATTTTTCTTGACGAAAAGCTTCGAAAAGGGAACAGAGTGGTTTGTGAGTTGAAAAATCCACAGAAATTGGTTTTTTGCAGCTTCGCGAGGCTGAAATTGATGAGGCGGTGAATCGTTGTATGACATTGTTCCGATTTTTGGGGGAGAAAGATATTTTTGAGCAGTGAGTTGTAAAGAAATACATTAAAAGTAAAGGAAACTAGTGGTCAGCTTATTCTTATCAAAAAAACTATCTAGATACTATAAGCGAGCGCTTGCCAAGCGGCTACTCACCGACCGTTCGGCTTCAGATGACAGTGAAAAGGCGATGGTAAGGAAAACTAGCTGAACTTTTACTTGTTTATCTAGAAATTAAAAAATTTCAATTTAGGTGAGTCGATTGAAGACTGAGTGCGGCTATCAGTACACGTCGAAGTTAGAGAATATGTTCAAGGATAGAGAACTTTGGAACACAATTCAAGCTGGCTTCCGAGATTACTTGAATGTGTACGATAATGTGAGTTGATGAGGCTTTTAAAGTCGATGGAAGACAGTGTTTGAGTAGGATATTTGGCTTATCTAGAAATGTTGAACAAAATTTGCATATTGTTTTTAAGAGAATGGAGCGAGATCCTTGTGAGATCGTTGTCCGAGTACTGACGTCAGGAGTTTGGCCAACACAAAACATCACTCTCACCTGCTCGCTTCCAATTCACGCTGAGCAATCGTGGAAATCATTTCAAGACTTCTATCAAAAGTAAAAAAAGAGAAAAAAGAAAAAGAAAAAGAAAAGAAAAGAAAAGAAAAGAAAAAGAAAAGAAAAAGAAAAAGAAAAGAAAAAGAAAAAGAAAAAGAAAAGAAAATAGGAAATAAGAAATAAACAAAACTTTAGAAAGCACAGTGGCCGCAAGTTGACACTTAACACATTTCTTGGGAATGCCGATGTGAAAGCCGTTTTCTTCAATCCGCTTCGATCGGCGAATGATGATTCGAGTCAAGTGGGTGGATAAGGGAGAATAGATATTTAAGAATTTCAAAATTTAGGAATTTATAATTTCTTAAACATATTGTACTTAATTTCTAAAAGTTTATAGTCTAAAAAGCTTCCCATTTTCGGTTTTTAACTAGGCTAAACCTTTAGAATCACTTGATATTCAAAGGTTTATGCATTAAAACTCCTAAACTAAGATTAAAATAAACTCTAATCTTTAAGTCTTTACTCAGTTGATGTTTATTTTGAAAAAGTTATCGTTTTAAAAAGGTTTGAAAAGGGTATTTTGATACGCGCCTCCTTTTGCCATTGGTAATCTAACTTTAAGCTCAAATTTCTTGGTGTTGAGGTTTTTCAATTTAAAGATTCTTGGTATCATTAGATGCATCAAGTCTTTCTCTATCGAACAATACAGTTTTGATTAGAGGACATTTGATTAGCCCCCTTCCCCCATTGGCAATCCGACTTTGAACTCAAATATCTTGGTTTTGGGTCATCCAATTTAACTGTTCTTGGTATCATTAGATGCACCAAGTCTTTCTCTATCGATTGGTACAAAAACTATTTAAATTGAATAGCCCAACACCAAGAAATTTGAGCCTAAAGTTTGATTGTCAGTGGTAAAGAGGATTGCGTATAAAAGGTCCGTCGCCCCGCCCCTTTTCCCATTGACAATCCAACTTTGAGCTTAAATATATTGGTGTTGTGTTACCCAATTTAACTATTCTTGGTATCATTAGATGCACCAAGTCTTTCTCTATCGATTGGTACAAAAACTATTTAAATTGAACAGCTCAACCACCAAGAAATTTGAGCTCAAAGTTGGGTTGTCAATGGGAAAGAGGGAGAGTGTATTAAATGTCCCACAATCTTTTAAAAACATTCAAATTTTCAGCAAGAAGAGCCAACACCGAGCCAGGGTCCTTATCGACCTCAACACTTCACCGAGAATCACAAAATCCTCAACGTTAGCACTCATCAGATGACCGTTTTGCTATGCTTTAATACAAAGGTGAAACAAGAAAGTCAAAGCAAAATCATACTTTTAGTTTACTCCGGAATACTGTGAAGCTATTTAGCAAACATTAAAACAATAAAATGTAAAACTCAGAATGTTTTCAAATATTCTGAGCTCGGCGACGCGACGAACATCACCGAGAGAGAGCTGCAAAAAACGATGCAATCACTCTCAATGGGGAAAGCCTCGCAAAGAATTTTGGTTCGAAAAGGGACAACGGCTAAAGAAATTGGTAAATGATTGTTTTTCAAACAAGATTTAAGAATTTTTAGCTCAAAACGATGAATTCTATGTGAATGACTCGTTCACCTCAAAACTAGTGAGGATTAAAGTGTCAACAATTGCCGATGCAAAGGTTTGCTCACAATAAGACTAAAGACACGACTTAAAGTTTATCATTTACAATTCTAACTTCTAATCCTTTCAGTCATCAACACCAAAAGAAGCAGCAGTTTTGAAAGAAAGGGTGGAGGATGACCGAAAACATGAGATCGAGTGCGCCATTGTGAGGGTGATGAAATCGAGGAAAAGATTAGAGCACAACAATTTGCTCACAGAGGTGAGGAATGAGTAAAACATGCAAAAGAATAGCTTACACTGTTTAAATGCAGTTAGGTATTATTGAACACGGGATGCGGTTAAAAAAAATCCCATTCCAGGTTCTCTACCAAACCTCGACCCGCTTCAAGCCAACCCCAACCGCCATCAAGCAACGAGTCGAGGCTTTAATTGAAAGAGATTACTTAGCCAGAGACAAAAAAGACCCCAAAATTTACGAGTACGTTTCATAAACCTATCTATGAAAAACCTATGAATCGACACATTCTTGAAATTTACAAAAATTCCAAATCTTTATTTCTTACTTTTTCTGATTGAAATAGGACATACTCATTTTTCCCTTTTCTCAACTATGAGGCAATGTGATTTCAAATTCACGTGTGGTCAATGCAAATATTTTTCTTGTGTCAAAACGAAATCCAGAAAACCCTTTTTGAAAATTTGATCATTCAAAAGACGAGGTTATAGTAGAAACTTTTCTTGTTCCCCGTTTTTGATCGTAAACACAGGTACTAAAAATTCGTTCTTTGTTTTGCAGAATGTTGGTTGATATTTTGTAGTTTCTAATAAATCCCCATTTGGAGGTTTTCTAGATTTTTAAAAGTTTACCCACATTTTAAACTCGAAGATATAAAACGAACAAAAAAATGTATCACACATAAACATTGAAGACGCTTAGAATCATTACACAAAACCATTGGAAGTTCAATTAAAATAGAACCTGTATTTATCGTTAATTCATTATTCAGTTTCCATGTGATCATTGCTGTTAGCTCCATCAGTGCGGCTTTCTAAAGCCAAAATTATGGGTTCATGACACAACTCTAACCTTGTTTGATTTCTCGATCAGCATATCCCAATTCAGCTGCGGTGAGAGCATTGGCAAGCTCAAGGGCATCTAAAATGAAAAATTAGTAAGCTTTAAACACACTTTAAAATAAATAATAATGTACAGCCAAAGCCTACCTCCAGAATTTGAAGCATTCACAACGTTTTCAGGAAGACCAAATTGCTGCAGCACGGATCCAATTTGCCCGGAGTTGATAGCGTAAGTGATGGAACGAACGGCATTCTGGAATTCCGGACGGCGAGTCGTAGTCTCTACTTCTTCCGTAAGCAAGACTTTTTGGTCGGACCCTTCTTGATACTCGATAGTCTTGTCCATGAAACGATCTGAACCATTTAGCGTCAAACTATCAAATCACAGCGTTACCTTTATTTTTCTTGATTGCTTCGAGCACTTTCGGATCCTTAAACACTTCGTTGAAATCGCAAACATCATGACCGCTTGTCGAAGTTTCAGCTAAATATTCCAATGAAATTACTAGTCAATCTTAATAGCCATACAATTTTCCGATTTGAGTGGATTTTGAGCGCGGTTTTGTGCTGAACCGTTAGACAAGTCTTCACTCAAGCCAAGAAGATTTTCGAATGGATTGTGACGAGACTAAAAATAAAACAATACAAAATCCATAAAGATGATGACCGTTATTTGTGCAAGCATTTGGCGAAGATCCTCAGCGTTGTACCGGTCCAACCCTAAGACGCGACGACTTCGATCTGTTGGGTTTTGCGGCGTCCAAAGAGAGTCCAAGGCAACCGGCGTGCGTGGTGGTGATCCGCTGGCACCGGCACGCTGTGAACGTTGAATTGAGGAGAACAAGTCGCTGGTGTCATTGCTGATCAAAGCATTCACCTAAACAAAAACTGTATTGTCGCTTTTAAAATTTTAGCGTATAAAAATTTAACGCCCAAGTAACTCAACATTGCATTGATTCTAGTCAGTTTTTCAAAAAGTCGACCTTTTTAACCAAATCCTTATCACTGTTTGGGGTTCCATCTTGAATCCAGAATACACGTCGCTCTTGAGTCGAGCGGAACTTCACCATGTAAACTTTGCCGTCGGTGCACTCAGTCACGTTCATGAAAATGGCATCACCGGTGAGCAGAATCAAGTCCTAAAGAGACTTAGAATACACAAAGTTTTAAATTCGTACATCCTCAATGACGTTACTAGACAGATTCTTCCATTGCAAATGCGCGTAACCATCGTCCGTCTTCCGAACCTTCAAGAGACCTCGTACTACCTCAGGCTCAACCTGAATAAAAACTTTATTAAAGAATAACTAAAGTTCATAGAATTAACTCAAAGCATATTGACAGACACCTTTGACCACTTATCTCTCCCTGAGGCTTCAAAATTTCAAGACTAATCTAGACAAGACCAGTTTAGGTTCAAATTAAACTACCCTATTTCGGTGCAAGAATCACTTGAAAACAATTCAAAATACAGAAAAGGCACATCCCAAAGCCGCTCCATAGATAAACGAATCACCCCAGTAGGTTTAATCAATGCTTCCGTTACATTTGAAAATCGCGCTGCCAGCTTATTTTCCAAGTTTCAAGAAAAATAAAGCAAAACCTTACTTTCCAGAAGCCTTCTTTTGGTCCCGGTGTCAACTTTGCGCGTCCGGCCTTGATTTGTACTTCATTTCTTCCATTCGCGTGAGCCTTTGGAGCGGTAGAGAACATCATGGTGCTAAAACAGAAAAATTATCAATGATTTAACAAGCAAACAAAGAAAGAGAACAATTTTAAACTTTTAGTGAGAGAAAGTAGAAAAAAAATGAATGAAGCGAAAAGATTTCTCTCCAAATTTTCTACAGTAGACTTGAATGATGGTTTTTAGAAAATACGACGAAATTGCTTTCATTGTTATTTTTTGCTGTTGTTTAAAACCGGAAAGCAGACTAATTAGGTAATAAAACTTTCTACTTTTTTTCCACGGAACCCTTTTATCTCCTTTATGCAAATTTGTTTCTGTATAGCCGCGCGTGTGGCATAAGAAAAGGCGGCGATATTCGGCCAGAAAAAAGAGCTCCGCCCATGTTTTTGCACACGATCATCACCCAGATGTGAGATCGGGATTGTATGCTGATTTTTATGGAGTTAAATATTTAATTTTTGTATCCCAAACTCTTTCATTTCTTCAACAAGCAAGAGCTGGCTTTTTGAAAGCCCTGAAAGCTCTTGGCTATAATAACTTTGATATTCAGTTAATGGTGTTCTTCAAATTTCCAATTCTCTTTCTAATAGCTTTAGAATTTAAAAGAGTAACCTGCAAGTATTTCACTTTTCCTTTGTTACAGTAGGATTCTATTTTTTGCTCATTGTTTTTTATGCCGAATTCGATCCCTTGAAAGGGGTCGAAGAACGCATCTTCAAAGCATTTCGGATCACTTTAAGCGACAGCGACACATTTTAAGCGTGTTTGCTGTAATTTCTCCTCTCAATTCTCCTTGGGGTCATCTCTATCTGTGACCATTTCCCCTTCCCTATGGAATTCGATCTCCGATTTCACGGTTCGCGATGGGAGATCGAGTAACACAACGACTGTTCATCTTCCCGCGACTCAACACACATAGTTAAGCGATAGGGGATAAGCTCGGACAATTGCATTTTAGCTCTTATTCAAAAGAAACTCAGTGTGCAATAATTTCGATAAGTCTGAATTTGATTTGCTTTCATGTGTGATTGAATTTTATCCGTGAAATCAACTAGGCAGTATGATTTAGCTACAATTTTTGTCAAACTCCTTCTGTGTGCTGATTACTTCTATTAAACTTTTTGATAAGGTATTTCTTATGTTAAGCTTTTTGATCAGGTGTTAAGCCAAGCCTCAAAATCTAAAGCTTATTTAGTTTGACTTGGCTAGCCATCGCTTTTACTTTTAGAATATTCCATTTTGACCATTCAATCTTGACCAAAAATCTATTTACCGTATTTCTTCCAATAGAAGAGCCCCCTTTACACGAAATTTTTCATCTTTTCGGATCTGTCAACTCTCGAATAGTAAAATACTCAACTTTTTGAAGAATTCCAAAGTCTTTAAATAATAGTTATAGACTAAAAAAGCTTAATGACGTCGAAAACCGGATGAAAATCCAACAAAAACAGCCATTTTGAAAATTTGGGTATACTAGCTAGGGCACGAAAAAGAATTTTAGAGGGACATTTAAAAATAGAAGAGCCGGTTCCTATTAGAATGTTTACGGTATTTGAATACACCAGACAAAAAACGATGCACAAATTGCACATTCTTTTCAGCGACATTTACGCTTTTTTTCATTTTGATTTCTCACTCCCTTTCTTTAAAAAGGATTAGGGGTGAAAGTTTATCATGAAAAATGGGTCTTTTCAAAGGATCACCTGTTTATCCGAGGGTTGGCCTCCTTCCCCACCCCAATTTCCAAATTCTTCCAAGCTTCGTTACTCAACCCCTTGTGTTATCTGATTGTATAGCAATGACCAAACACATACTGAAAAGCACTCGTACTCTGTTAAAAAAGAGACCAGGCCAACTGGTGGTGTGTGAAACAAATGCCGACCCACATCTGATCGGATCGATTCGCTTTTTGTTCTTCTTTTCCTGGGTCTCCCAAATGCTTTTTGGAAAGGAGAGGACCTGGCGAAAATCGGAGTGCAAAATTAATGACCCTCACATGCGTGAAAGATCTCTTTGGGCCACAATAGTTGGAGGAGAGGAAAAAGAGAAGACAATCACACAACCTACAGACAAGTGTCCTCTTCACTCCGACATATAGAGAAGTTCTCACATTCAGCTTGGATATTATAGGCTAAATAGCGTTAGCTTAAGGAACTTGTATTTTCAAATATCAAATCAATTCTAAAATGAATGCTTCTCTTCCCAGTTTCTTCAGAGTCCTTTGCTTTCTTTGTTTAGCTTTAATATTTTACCAAAATTCACAAAATCTTTATTTTCTAAAAGAATTGTTTTAATCTTTTCAGCAAGATATCCAATAAAGGTGATCATCGGCTTGCCGAATCGAACACAATCAAAGATGGGGCCGAGCACGGTGGTGCTCTCTGTGCTCCTCATCGCCCTCACACCACATCTCGGTGATGCGTTACCCAATCCAACTATGGTAAGGAATTAACTATAGTAGCTATAAACCCTCTTTTATTAACAGTATAAAACGATACTCATGCAATTCACTGCGAGTATTTTCCAGAGACTTTCTGATCTGCTAATTGATTTGAACTTAAACTCAGCATTCTTTGACTATAGAACTCTAGTTTAAAACTAGCTTATAATCTTTAAAAAAATTCCCAATCTTCTAGGTTCCACCCGGTACCTCATCTCTTACTTTCGTCTTCGACATCACCGGTTCAATGTTCGACGATTTGGAGCAAGTGCGTGCTGGGGCAAAGAAAATCTACGAAACAGTGCTCACTCAACGTCAACGATTGATCTACAATTATGTGCTCGTACCTTTTCATGATCCGGGTATAAAAATTTGTCATATCCATTGCAACAACTGACTAAGGCTATCATTGAATAAGCGTCTATTCAAAAGATTTCTCCTTTCCGAGAGTGATTCATTTACTCGGTTCTATAGTCGCACAGTGTTGTGTCAAAATAGAAAAACTTAAGAAAATAAAGAAATTTAGATCTTGGGGAGATTATCGATACCACTGATGCTTTGTACTTTCAACGACAACTTGGAAAAGTGCATGTTTATGGTGGAGGAGATTGTCCGGAGATGACATTGACAGGTTGGGGATTGGAGTTGAACAATTAAAAGTTAATAGGGTACAAATTTTGATTTGATATTAAATTCATTATTTTTTCTGAGCTAGTGCCAGTTCAGAACCATGATCTGTATACTTTTTGCTTTAGTTCTTCCTTTAAATAGTTGTCTTTCCGCTGAGCTGTACTTTGTGCTTAAAAGCTTGCAAACACATCCCGTTTTTGTCGCGGATTTTTCGTTTTAATGAGAATTGTGTGCACTAGAAAGAGTGCGTTTTCAAATTGAACACAAAGTACAGGCTTACTTGACATCCGCTTCTCTAAATAATCAAAATTAGAAGTGCATCAGGAAAGATGTGTTTGAAAACTCAAAGTACAAGTTTGACTTGTATGATCTAATACTTGTAGAATCTCTTATTCACTTTCTTATTCCATTGCACTTTCGGTTTACCCACCCTTTCCCCCCTGACTCGCCCCATTTCCTTTAAGGTTTACCCACCCTGTCTGAACCGGTGTCACCAGAAAATGTTGCGAATTTTTCGGAAAAGATAAAAACTTTCTAGAAATAGCAGAAAGTTCTTTGCATACACTTTGTTTTCAGTGAGATTTTCAGAAGGAACACCAACTTCTTTCCAAAGACATGTGTTCCCATTGACACCAATCAAAATAATGATCCCTCTTTGTTTTCTCATTCTTCTTTTTCCCCTTCCCGGGTGGCCACCACATGTGATTCCATTCCGACATTAAACAGAAAAAAAGGAAATGATGAGTCAACAATTTTCTTTTGATAAGTATGAACTGATGTTTCAGCTTTCAAAAGATCTCAACTTCTCAACTTCTTGGAATTTTTGTATTTAAAAGTGTATATTTTGGAAGGTGAAATATCAGTTCAGCATTTCAAACTAATCAAAAGGAAATCATTGACTAGTTTTCATTATAATGTAATGTATGACTAAAAGATAAAATATAATATTTGCAGTAAACTTTTTGAATGATCAGGCCACAAGTAATCAAAAGTGTACTATTAGTTAATCTTCTCTTAATAAAACTTATTGCAATTTTATCCTATAGTAATTAAATATGAATTTTGATTATCTAATAATAAAACTAGCTAAACTGCCTTCTGGAAATGGGAGAAGAAAAAGAGAAATCCCTTTTGGCGCCCCTTTGGTCATTTACAACCCATAAAACTGACAAAAAGCCATTGTCGCCTATCAAAACATTTGCTTTTTCACACATTTTTCACCAAAATATCAGAAATATCTTTGAGAAGCAAAAGGGAAAAGAGAGAAAAATCGAGCTAAACATAAAATCACCAGTGTTCCGTAATAGTTCTATAATAATAGTAATTGGCAACGGAGAAAGACTCAAAAAAGATAACAGAAAACAGTTAAAGTAAAGACAAAATCTTTTAGGAATCAAAAAAGCACTGGAGATCTCATTGCCTTCATCGTTTATCTATGTGTTCACCGATGCTCGCTCAAAAGATTACCACCTCGAAGATCAAGTGATCAATTTGATTCAAGAGAAGCAGAGCTCGGTAAGTGATCAGAAAATGAGCTATGTTAAAACTCATTCATAGGTGGTATTTGTAATGACCGGTGATTGCGGGAATCGGACACATCCCGGCTTCCGAACTTATGAGAAAATCGCTGCCGCCTCGTTTGGACAAGTGAGTGTCACTTTAAAATTAAAGCTTTCATTTCCAAAATCTTGTGAACAAATTTGAAAACAGTAAGTTGGTTTAATTGCCAAAGTCAAACTATTCACTTTAGGTCTTCCACTTGCAAAAAAGTGATGTGAGCGCCGTTTTGGAGTACGTTCGACATGCCGTTCAACAGAAAAAGGTTTGATTCTTGGCTTAAGGAAATTCTTTGCACTTATGAAACAATTGTGAGATTAATAACCTTGTTTAGGTCCATCTCTCCTACGAAGTTCGAGATCGAGGCGGTTCAACGGTTCGACAAATCCCCGTCGATAAGCATATGACCGAGGTTAGAACCCTGAAATAGAAAAGATAAAAAGAAAGAAAACGACTCGATCTTGTCGGAGTTTTGAAATTTGGAACAATCGAAAAGAAAAGAAACACAAAAACGCCTCGTTAAAAACCCTTTAGAAATTGAAAAGAGTTTCTAGTGACATTTAAGTACTATTTATACTACATAAAACTTAAAAGCTCAACAATTCTCCGAGCAAAGCCGTTATTTCATCCGTTAAGTGTTAGTTCTTAGAGCTTCCTTTATATAATAAATATTATACTTCAAAATATTTCCATTTATATCGTATAATATTTTAGTTGACTCTTTCTCTATCGGGAGACAAAGATGATGAAGATTTCCTTGACATCAGCATCAAAGATCCAAAAGGTTTTAAAAAATTATTTGTTAAATATTTTTGTTTAGGCAACGTGATCGATCGAAATGCTTACTCGAAAGAGGGTGGAACGATTGATTTGAAGAATGTGAAGTTGATTCGACTGAAGGATCCAATGCCCGGAAATTGGCAGGTAGAAGATAGAGTGATAAGAGTGGGGCTTAATTCAATAATCTCTTACTTAGGTGACTACAAATTCCCGATTGAAGCACACACTCCGAGTCTTTGGTCACGGCACTATCGATTTCAAGTACGGCTTTGGGGCGAAACCGTTGGAAACCATTGAATTGGTGAGATCTTATCTAGAAATCTTGTAATTTGATTATCTTTCTATAAAGATTTGTACTATAGTATAACGGAATGAAAATCTGAAGTTAAGAAGGCCTTTGGTTCAACTGAAACGTTGAAAAACATCAACTCCACCACTTGAACACTCCGGCATGCTGTAGCATTTCAAATAAACTCTAGCCGATATACTATACCAATATAGAATAATCTACAGTATATATATTTCAAATTACAACCAATTTTTAGACAAGACCCCGTCCAGTTGATGGCCAGACGACATATCTCATGGCGAACATGACCGGCTTGATTCCACCAGGGACACCAGTTGAGATCTCGCTTATCGATTACTATGGTATAATATTATGTTAGCTTATTATCAATCTTATGAAATTATTCTTTATTTTACTCATTAAAATCAATTACAGGCCATCCTCTATACACTCATCCGGCCAGTCCCTCAAAAACAAACCCTTACCTCTACTTTGTTGGCCCATTTGTCCCACCAAAAGGTCTCTTCTTCGTTCAAGTGAAAGGAGTCGATGATCAGGTATAAGAATTGAATTTGATTTCGCTAAATTTCTGAGTTTAAATCAAGTATTTTTCAGGACTACGAGTTTCAACGAATCGCCCCAACGGCTATTGGATCGGTTTCAGTGGGAGGGCCAAGAGCTTACATGGCACAGATTACAACAGCATTTATTAACAAGGTATGTAAATTGGATATTAAAAAATTTCACATTTAAATTCCAGCCAGTCAACTTATCCTGTGTGGTTGAGAGCACAGCACCCTACTCGCTTCGGTGGAAACACGGCGATCAGTATTTGGGCCCACCGCTTTTCTATTCGTTCGTTTAAATCAAAATTTAAATTTAACGATTAATTATTAGAATTATAAAATATTAGAATGCAATATTCTTATCATTTTAAAGTATCAATCTTTTCTGTTACTTATTTCCATAAACCTTTTTTTCTTCTTGGATGAATTCTTTATGAGTCAACGCTTTGCAAGTGTGGGAAATATGTAAAAAAAAGGAAATGGTTCTGGAAAGCTGAAAAAGAGGATGAAAACAAAGATTGATACTTTAAAATGATAAGAATCTTTTGCTTTTAGAGAATCGGACACCTCTACTTGGACAATCAACGAAGTGACCCAAAAAGAGAGGGGAGATTATTCTTGTGAGGTCTCTTCAGCTCATGGAAATCACACAGCAAGGACATATTTGGAAACGAGAGGTGAAATTTGAAAGCTAATTGTTACTATACCTATTTGCTCAAGACTTGTCAAAGATAAACCTTTGAATACTTTAAGATACATCCAAGTTTTGCCTGATTTATTGATAAGTGGTCAAGATCAGTAAAATTTGGAACCTTTAATTTAAGGTATTTAAATGAAAGGTATTTCTCTTAATTTAAATAAATTTAATCTAAAGGTATTTCTTTTAGAACCACCGCCACATATTTTCAACATGCGTAATGCCTCGGTGACCGTCGGCCAACCAGCCTATTTCCATTGCCAAACCCAATCCGCTTCTAAAGCCGAGATTCGCTGGTTGAGACACGGGCAACAGATTGGAAGAACACCAAATACGGTAGATTTTTTGTAAATATAGGATAACTAGATAGTCTTATAATGGTTTTTTTTTGTTATAGATGGTTTTTCAAAACGGGACTCTTGTGATTTGGCGCGCGAGCAGAGCTGATATCGGCGGATATGAGTGTCAAGCGAGGAATGGGGGTGGTCTTTCGACGCAGAATGTCTTTCTCAGTGTAAGTGTTTTCGAATGCTTTGGTTAACTCATTCAGGACTCAGGCTAATGTATGAAAATGATCGAATACGTTTTATTTTGTTCCCAAAAGTAATGCAAATCGAAAAGCCTAGCGGAAAACCTACGCAAAATAGACCGGCTTCTACCGTGTCTTTGCCGACATAGCATACCTTGAGCTGTTCTAACATTCCTACAATATTCCACTAATTCCTATTCAGGTCTACGAACGGCCAACAATTTTCGTGAACCCCTCGTCACTCGATTTTGTGGCCGGAAAACGTTTCAATCTTTCTTGTCGGGCAAGCGGTGACCCACATCCTGAAGTCTTTTGGATGCGCAAGAATTAACGACTTCGGCACGATCATCAGCATTATATTGCTCCAAACAGTGAGTTCGAGGAAAACATAAAGATACACAATTTTTTAGATGATTTGATCATCAACAATCCCACTTCACAATCGGCTGGCGTTTACGAGTGCCGAGCGCAGAACACGGCCGGCTCAGCGTCCGGTTATTCTGATGTTCGGGAAGCAAGTGAGTATTAAACTTATAAAAAAATATCATTTTTGAGTATAGATACAAAATGATAAACATGCATATCTATTTTAAATTTCAGGACCACCAAAGATTCAGCTGAAAAACTCAAAAGAGATGGTATCAAGAGGAGAATATGTTGAGCTTCAGTGTTTAGTGAGTTTTATATTCTATCAAATTTTACTATGCTATAAATTTAATGTGTTTCTTTTTCAGGTCCTTGAAGGATCTCCACAGCCAAAAATCAAGTGGTTCAAGCACAATCGCGAGCTTCTCTACCCGCTTCACGAGAATATGGTGCTCAGCGATTCATACTTGAGAATTCGGGTAAAAAAAACCAATTTTTTAAAATCTAAGCGTTTTTAGAATGTACAAGACACTGATACTGGTCAATATTCTTGTGTGGCTGAGAATATGGCCGGTCGAGAGGTGGCACAGACGAGGATACAAGTTGGAAGTGGGTTTTTGAGTTTGATCGTAGTTTTAGATTAATTCACATTGCTTTAAAGCTTAACTAGGACCATTTCGGTATAGAAAAGCTATTGCAAAACTTATTTTGTAGTTGTTATAAAGCTTAAGATCATTATAAAACATAATTTCAGGTCAACCAAGCATCGTCCCAGCGCCAGACACCGTTCGAGTCAACATCGAGCGACAAGTAATAATTTGAAGCATTTTATCTTATTTTTATCTTATTGTAAAACCAATATTCAATATTTCATTTTTAGGTGACTCTTCCATGTCGAGCTGTCGGTCAGCCAGCTCCTGTAATAGTCTGGTCAAAGAACGGAGTCTTACTTCATGAACTCGACAATCCGAGATATAAACAATTAGATGATGGAAGTCTTCTCATCACTGGTAACATTATCATTTATTATGAATTAAAGAAATCATAGCTAACTTGCAATAGTAATTTTCCAGGAGCTGATCTGGAAGACCAAGACACGTTCACTTGTACAGCGAAAAACGAATACGGAGAGAGCCAAAAGTCAATAAATGTCATCATTACTGGATTAGGTGATTTGAAAGAATTAGGTTTGATAGTGATTCTTTAGTTGCTCCTGTCCTCGGTCACGTTCCACCGGAAGAGCAACTGATTGAAGGGCATGATTTGCGTCTTTCTTGTGTCGTCGTCTTAGGTACTCCAAGGCCGATTCTTCAATGGTACAAGAACGGGTTGCCTGTAGTGCCGACGAGGAGTATTATCGTTAGTTTTTCTATCAAAAAAATATTTAAATTTAAATGATACTTGAAGTAAGCCAACATTATCAAATCTAAATGCAAATTCTGCCCAAATCTGAGCCTGTCAACAAGACTAAAGCTCGAGCTTTTCTATAAGGATTGGGTTTTAAATTTAGTCAGAAAATTGTGCAGATAAACAAAAAAGATCGATTATCGATTTTTAAAAGGACTTGAATAGTCTAAATGACATTTTTCTAGATCGAAGGAGCCGGCAGCGGTCTCCTCCTCCGAAACGGGAATCCAAAAGACGAGGGTCAATACAAATGTGTTGCCAGTTCTCCTGCAGGCAATGCCACTCTCAACATCAATGTCTCAATGATAAGTGAGTTAGCATGAGCATGATTCCAGAAAAACGCATGCATTGCACCGGGAGAGCTGAGGTCACTAAAGATTTTTGAAAAAGCCCCTATAGTTCTTTCAAGGGTAATCTTTTGGATCTAGAACGACCGACGGTGAAACATCCAAATGCGACAGAGGAAGAATATGGAGATGAGCATGTGGAAACAGAACCGATAAAGGCCACAGAAGGAGAAACGATCGATTTACCGTGTAGGATTGATGGGAGACCGAAACCAACGATCACGTGGATGCTTGATGGGAGAGGGATTACGGCTGATAACAAAGATTACACGATTTTGGTGAGTGTTACCAGAGCCTGTATCCACTCTTTGCTTTTATTTCAGGAGGACAACACTCTCCGAATTCACAAAACCGATCGCACGACGACTGGTCGCTTCGTCTGTACAGCTGTGAATGCAGCCGGTGAAGCGGAACAGGTTTCGTTTATTAAGATCAACTCATGCTTAGCATTACCTAGATAGCATTGGCAATGCGTTTAGTCAACCATTTTGATTCAAATCATGTCAGAGCTCTACCTGCTTTCACAGAAGATCATTTCAGGTGACTCAACTCAGCGTCGTTGCTCCTCCACTAATCACTCCTGGCAACACCAACTATAATCTCATCGAAGGACATCCAATTGTGATCCCATGCGATGTGCATGGTGAGCCACAACCCGAAATCCAATGGTTCCTCAATGATGAGCTTGTCACCGATGGATGGGTGGATGAGGATGGATCTCTGCATATTGAGACGGCAAATGTCTTCAAGGGGAATCTCAAGGTTCGAAGATTTTCTAACAATATTTACAGCCTTGTTAATTTCAAATTTCAGTCTGAAAATAGCCAGATTGTTTTAGTGTGTTGCTGTCAACGAAGCGGGTCGCGACGAGATGACCGTTTCAGTCACCGTTCACACAATTCCGAAAATCTTTGGATCTGAACAAGTAAAGACAATGACAATATGATATAAAGTAAATCTAAGCGATCTTAAATCCAAGAAGGATTCAACTGCGTCCTAAAGCCTACAAGCCAGTCTAGGCCAGAATCTGCGAACCAGAACAACAGCAAAGCGGATCAGAATCTTTGGACCTGGCTTCGGCCAGGCTTTTCTTGACCTAGCCTAAGAAGATAGCTTTCAAACAATCTTGGCTTAATCAGAAAAGTAAACTATTTCAGCAACAAGTCGTCGAAGCCTCGGTAAACACAACATTATTGATGCCTTGCCCAGCCGAGGGTCACCCCGTGCCGAAACGAGTGTGGAGCTATGACAATTTGCCGATTTTGGACGGAGATGAGTTTTATGGAACGGTGAGTATTAAATCTTGATTTAAACAAGGTTTGAGATCAATTCTTAAATTTCCAGTAAATCTTAATGTTATAGACGGCTCATATCCTCGAAGATGGCTCTCTTTCACTGGACAACGTTGATTTCGATCATTTGGGCCGTTTCGAGTGCAAAGTGAGCAATGTGGCTGGTGAAGACACGTTGGTCTACAATTTGAAGGTAAAACGGATAGAAGATTTTGTTTCTGGATTTTTTTTGGCTTTTATTTTATTGTGTAAATTTTGTTTTAGGTCAATCAGCCACCAAAGATTGTATCTGATACACCGGGTACGATCGACGTGATTCAAGGGTTGACGCTGGAGATCGCTTGTAAGGCTGTTGGAAGGCCAAATCCGACGATTACTTGGGAAAAGGATGGATTTCAGGTTGAAACAAAACTACTATAATTTATAGATGTAATCTAATCTAAACGAACTACAATAGAATCAAGACTGTAAGAGAGTCTTGGTATCGATCACTGGATCGATCAACAAAACTTTCAGGTGATTCCAAGCTCAGTTGTCACTGTGGATCACTCGGGCACTCTTCGAATCCATAATGCGAGAGTCGACAATGCAGGTCTCTACCGTTGTACAGCCTCGAATCCAGCTGGATCGGATACTCGGGACACAAAAGTCATCATTCAAGGTATTAAAAAATAGAAATCAAATAGATTTTTGACTTTAGAACCGCCAACCATCACGGGTGACACTCCAGACAACTACACTGCTGTCGCTGGTGACAAAGTGGAAATGAGGTGAAATATTTGAATTGATATTTGCATTAAAACTATGAATTGAACTAACCCAAATCTTTTCAGATGCCAAGTCACCGGAAATCCACAACCGAAAATCGAATGGCACAAGAAAGGAGTACCGGTTATTGACGATGATCACATCAGAGTGACAGAAGGTTTGGAAAGAAAAGAAATTCTATGGGAAAAATGGGATAATCTTTTAGACGGAACTTTGGTTATTGAGGAAGCACAAGCGGGTGACGAATCTTTCTACACTTGTAAAGTCTCAAATGCGGCCGGTATGACTGAGAAATTGGTGCGATTGAAAGTGACTAGTGAGTTGCTTGGGTACTTTTATTTCTTGTAAATTATAACCATTAAAAATCAAAGTCATCAACGAAACATAAATGTTCGAGATTTTGAGTAATTTCAGCGATCCCGGAAATCCCTGACTCACACATCGTGCAAACGGAAGTCGTCCGTCTCAACAATCCATTCTCCCTTTATTGCCCTGTTTTTTCCACTCCCTTACCGACAATCACTTGGGAGTTATCGGATGGTCCACTCGCTGAAATGGATCCAAATATTCAGCTCTCTGATGATAGAAGAAGGCTTCATGTTGAAAAGGTAGACTCAAAGTAGGCAAACTGATATATTTAGAGCTCGAACGTTGATTGTTTTCAAGTTTTTAAGCTTAAAACTCAAAATCTCAGGCTCGAATAACGGATGCTGGTGTCTACAAGTGTATCGCTCGAAATGATGCCGGTTCAAGCAGCAAATCTTTTGATGTTGAAGTTGTTGGTAAGTTAAAAAGCTCAATTCACTAAAAAAACATTTTCAGTTCCTATCAACATCGACGAGTCGAAATGGAAGCGAAAGATGTCTGTGCTGGAGGGAGGAAGAGTCGAGATTGGATGCCCTGTTTCGGGTAGGGTTTTATCTTAGATTTCAAAGAATCAAAAAAAATATCTTTAAATCTAATAACTTTAAACGTAATTCAGGATTACCAGCTCCGGAAATCAACTGGATTGTGGAGGGTCGAATTATGAGTCGAGAATCATCGGAGTTTCAAGGTGTTCGGTTGAGTGAGGACGGGCAAACGGTTAATGTTTTTTGAAATATACTTTATCGATGATTTCTTACAAACAAGATATTCAAAATGTTTATAACAAATTGTAGCTGTAATTTTAGCTAATTGTAGGCTTATTTTCCATATTCTAAAGTCAGAACATTGTATCATTGTCTAAATTGCTCACACAAGTGATCGGAAAGTGATCGGAAAAATGCTAAAACATTTGTTTTTAGCATTTAAAAGCAAAGAGCTATTGTTCAAAGATCTATTTGTACAGAAAACTGTTTGTTTATCGAACATCAAGAAGTATTTTGATCTCTAAACATTGTCAAACAATTTTCAGCTGATCATCGACAGTGCCACCGCCGATCACACGGGTCAATATCATTGTGTCGCTCAAAACAAAGCCGGTTCCCTTGATGTCGATGTGGATTTAAATGTTTTGAGTGAGTTTTTTGAGCCATTTTTCTTTGTCATTCAATTCTAAATCTATTTTTTACTGCACAAAATAACAATCCCGTTTATTTTTAGTGCTACTGAATCGATATTTTAGTTATTTTAGTTATAAAGGGCAAGAATTCGTCACCGGGTAGAGGATAAGTTAATCACAAAAGACAAAAAAAAAGAGAGAATGTCTAAAAATCTTGTAAATATTAACTACTTTCAAAGCTTTAAATCAAGAAACGAAAAAGAAGAGCCAAAAAATTTTGAATTATCTTTTTTATACAATCGAACGAATTGTGATTTGTGGTTGAGGAGTGTAGCGAGTTTCCTGAAAATAGAATTTATTAAGGATTACTTGCAAATAAATCGCTTTAAGAGCTAATATTTGTATTAGAAAAGAGCTTTAAGAGCTTAAAATCTATGTACCAATTCTTCAGGTCAACAAAGTTCGCTAAATAACCTATCAGCTCTAAAAGTACCGCTGAATTCTAGTCTTTTAACTCACTGCTCCATTTTGAATCTGATCTTTTGATTATCTTTTGCTTTGTTGTCAACTTTGAATCACTTACTGTAACCATGCGATCAAAGTGATCCATCATACGGCCGAATCCACGGCAACAGGTTAACAGACCAAAGACACCGGTGAAAACGGTACCCATTAGAGCTGCCACCTCACCCAACATCATCACCAGAATCAGATTCGACACGGGTCCATCTAATGAAAAATTTAGCTAGCTATTAAATTTATTGAAAAATATTGGAACCATTTAATACTTTCTGATTGAAAACTTTAAACCTGCTGTTCTTAGTGAATTAACTTAACTTTAAACCTAATTCTTCTCTAAACTTCTCTAAACTTACAATAGGATCCTTTTGTGAGAAGATGATAGTCAATGACATAGAGTGAATAGAAAAGCCAACAAAGAGATGACATGTAGACAACTGTTTGGAAACAAACCATTCCCGTGTAGGCAACCAAATGGGCGTAGTTGCGATGACGAGCACTAAAGTTGAATAGATTTTGATATAAAGATTAGATCATTAACAAGGTTTTGTTTAAAACGAACGCTTTAAGGCCGGTATAGGCTGTGCATAGGATGTAGGTGGCCCAAGCTGATGAGGTGAAGCGAAGAAAGCTGAAGCCGGTGTAAGTGAGTGAGACCAAGAGACAGCAAGAGCAGATCTAAAGGTTTATAGCGTTCTGATGATTTAGTTTTAGATACAATTTATAGAATAATAGTTTATCTTCATAAGTTACCATTGATAAAGCAAATTGTGCATGAGCGACTCTCCCAATCGCGTTCCAATCCATAAAATTCGAGTCCTCCGGGCCCATTGGAAGCTCGACAGGTGGTTTCCCGCGCAGGAAATCAAACTAAAAACGGATTTTTAAATTTTCATCAACATAAAAACATTTACATTGAGCTTTAAAGAATATTAATTGATGTAAATTCTTTATGATCTTTCTTTTCACTTACATTTCCCTCCTTTTGTTCTTCTTCTTTTCTCGGAGAGTTCACAGTCTCTTCTTGTTTTCCTTTTTCTTCTTCTTGTTTTCCTTTTCTTCTTCTTCTTCTTCTTGTTCTGTTTTCTTGGCTCCCATGTTGAAATCGAATTTCATTTTCTGAAAGTTTAAAATGGAAGGTTTAAATCAATATTTCATAAGGTTTCTAAATCTTAATCAATATTTTTAAAACTTTCAATTAGAAAGAAAAGAGGAAAAAGAGAGAAAACACTATAATCCAGAGACGATAAACAAATGTGAAGCTAGAAAAAGGAAAAAGAGAAATTCTTAGATAATATTTGCTTAAGAATATTTTAGCAATACACATAAAAGTGTTCTGTGTCAATGTATCGATCTGTTAGAGCTGGAAAAGGTTGTGAAAAGGTGAAAATATGCTTGTAAACGATAATAAACAAAGCTTATTAAGGATTAAGACTAATTAAGCCAACAAAAAGATTTAAAGGTTGACCGAGGAAATCTTTTAAACTTTTGTGTTTACTGTAAACTGAGCTGGTTACCCCAATAAGTTTGTAAGTTCAAAAGAAAACTCATCCAAGTCATTTGAGATTTAAATATCTAAAGGCCTAAGGGTCTCCTTATAGACTTATAAGCTGTGATTAAATGAAGATTTTGGATTGGAACAAGATTGGGATAAAGTGTGTGGGATGGAAATGGAAGTGAACAGCCGAGGGGTGAGCCCCGTCTTGTCCCCTTCATTTCTTTCAGTCACTAGGCAACCCATTCTCACGATTTCCCAGAAGAAAATTGAAAATGGCATCGAAAAACAAAAATCTTTATCGAGATTTTTGAGCTTTACTTTGGATCTTGTTCAGGGAGAATTAAATGGAATTGTTTTACTCGAGTAAAACCGTATAGAAATGGAAAGCAGAATTGGCTTGCTTAAATAGAAGAATGGAATAGAAAATAAAAAGATTATAAGGAGAAAAAATCGACTTTAGATTTGCCTTTTACAAGTGTGAACAAAAGTGAGCTTTTTTGCAATCAGCTTTAGGTTTAGAATTCAAATCCGAATCGTCTAATATGAGAATTTGAAACGTCTGTGATATACTTTGTTTTAGTCAAATCTATTGATAAGAATTTATTCAGGAACAGATTTTGGAGTCGAGATTTTCAGTTTTTCCTGCGAATTTGGCTCTAGCTTCATAATCCTGATTTTCCAGAGACAATTTTGTGGGCCAGATCCAGGTCAGATCCAGGGTTTTACTGCTAGCCTGGTCTGCCAGAAGCCAAGCCTGAATTAGTTTGGCTCCGAAACCCTAGGACCTGGTTAGAATAGAAATGAGAAACAAGAAAAAGAAAAGCCAAAATTGGGACGTAAATTTATTTTTTTAAATGATTGAATCAAAGGTAATTGACTCTGAATTCTCATACTGAGCTTATTTTTAGAATATACCGTAAATACTGTAATAGTACCCCCACCCCCTCGTACAGTCGCGTAGTCGCAAAAGTTTTTTAGTATTTCATTTTTTTCAAAGTACCCGTACTTTCAAAAAATGCGTATTTGGTATCAAAAAATAGCCCTGAATTTCAGCTATTTTTTGATACCTAAGCGCCCATTGTAGCATAAATAAGTGTCGAGAAAAACGCGTCCAAAGCTAGACTACGCATCGCTCCGCACCGTCATTTTGGGGGTGGGGTACTATTACAGTATTTACGGTATGTATTTTTAGAAGCGATTAAGGACATAAGTTTCAAAAATTCAATATGGTTATGGCACAAAGCCAACTTCTTATTATCGGCTTATGGCACGAGATGTTTGTGATTGGGGGAAATGGGGATGAGACTATGTCGAATACTTTTCCTCCTCAACAAATACTCCTTTCAATGCCCCTTTTTGTTCGGTGACACACAGCCATTCATACATTAGTTGTGCAATGACCCTTTCTCTCAATTCTCACTCATTGAAACAATGATCATTTATTCAGAGAGTTTATTAGATGAAATTTAAAAGTATCGACAATAGGTAAAGCTAGATTTAAGAGTTTAAAAGACGTTTATTCTAGTGATTAACTAAAAAGAGTTAACTTGATTGAAAGAATTGAAAAAGTTACACAATTGTTGCAAAACATAGTATTGGATTCTAAAAGAATTGGGATTTGGTGTAGGTTTGGCGAAGAATATAGTTGTTTCAAAGACAGTACAAGCAATGTAAACCGAATCTTAGGTCAGTCGAGACTAAGCCGAGAGCCGAAGTCAGGTTTGCGGAAGGACCTGGCTTTTGGGTTAACTTGTGCCAATCTCAATTTAGTCAAGTTTAGATTAAACATTCGATCGATAATTTAACACAAAAGCCTGACTATTTCTTCACTACATAGGCCTAATTAAGAATTTAGGAAAACATCAAAGCCAATCTTAACACAAATTCTTTTTCTTGAAAAATCCGAAGCCTCAATTTCCTTGCTAATCTCTTTGATTGCTTTCAAAGAAGAAAAGAATGATTCCTTTTTCTGTTAACGTCATTACTAACATTGTGAGTCTTCAAGAATTCAACACCTGCATCAAATTCAAAGGAATTTTTGAAGAAAATCACTCAGAACACAGCTGATTATCCGTTTTGTAACTATGACTACGAATTCTATTGAAAAAGCTCATTTCTGAGGTCGTGAATCGAATAAACGGAGATTTGGGGGCGAGAAAATATTTTCAAGAAATAGATTTTAGAATATTGAGGATTAGTCAAACAGGTTGCCCAAATAGGACGTACATGGTTGCCATGTAGGACGACCCAAATAGGACGTACATGGTTGCCATGTAAGACGACCCAAATAGGACGTACATGGTTCAAACATGGTTGCCCAAATTCAATACAATATAGGAAATATTCACTTTGAACAAAATGAATAGTAGAATGGAATTTAAAACTTAAATTTAGCTCCACCGAAACTCGGCGAGAATGAGGTGATCGAGATTGTAAAGGGAAAATCGGCAACACTTTCTTGCGAGGATTCTGGAGCGCCGAATACTGATCTCAAGTCGACAATTTCATGGAGTATGGTAAGGAATGAGAAAGATGACAAAAATTGACTTGTCTTTAAATAGACTTATCAGATTTAGATTAGATTGATTTGGAAATGTTGTTGCAAGGCATTTAGTGAACTAGAGCGCTCGTTTTACATAAAAGTACATGCAAAATCGGATTGGATTACATCGGATCGGATCGGATGCCTAGTTAAGCACTAGAGAAATGCAAAACCAAACTAGTTAGAAGATTCTGTTAAGCCTTTAAAAGCCCAACAAAATCCGATTGTGAAATCACAGCGCTCATTGGAAAATATGAATTTTCAGCTTGGATCTCCCCTCCCATCAAACGTTCAAATGCCAGCCGAATCTCGAAAAGCTTTTGTGATGGAGGTGAATGAGCAAAATGGGGGCACATATATGTGCACTGTGGTCAACAATGCGGGCACATCACAGAAAAGCTTTCAGCTCATCGTTTTGGGTGAGTTTTTTTTTGAAAAGGACATGAATAGCTTTTAGAATTAGGCAAAAATTTAGAAGTCAAACATAAACACAGTTATTTTTAGAACCACCACAGTTCGTCGAGAAGCAATTCGACCAGAATGTGCAAGTCGTTCGGGACACTCAAATGAGGTAATGGATTGTAATTTATACTCAAAGCTTGACCCTAGAATGACTAGAATATCTAGAATATCTAGAATATCTAGAGTATCTAGTTTATCTAGATCTAGAATCACAGTTTGAGCTTGTCAAGTAGACCTGCTTAACGAGTCCTTAAATTTTCAGACAGTCTGCTTCGCTCTTCGATTTTTTACTGCCCAAAGCTCCTTCGAGTAGGAAACTCAGTTCTCCCGCAAGCCCTTATTTTAGGCTTTATTTTGATACTAAAAATGGATAGGTTCTCTTTTGCCATTCTTTAAATTTCGATCATTTTAGATAAAAATCTTTTCTGGACTTGTTAAGCCTATCGAGTCCGGCGAAAGATTGATCGAAATCTAAAGAATGGCAAAACAGAACCTAGCCATGTTTAGTATCAAAATGAAGCCTAGAATAAGGGCTTGCGAGGGAACTGGGTTTCATGCTCGAAAGAGCTTTGGGCAAGAAAAATCGAAGAGCGAAGACTGTCTGAAAATTTTGCCCCGGACTCGTTAAGCATTGTCTATTGTGAAACAATTTGGGCGTTAATTTCAGTCTGAAATGTCTTGTAACTGGCCAACCACACCCCACCATCACATGGAGAAGAGACGGAGAGCCGATCGCTCTCGACAGTGGAGTCATCTTTTCGTAAGTAGTATTATTTGTACTATAAATACTATGCAAATTGCTGCACGTAGGGTAAATCTCGAAAATTACTACTTCAGCAATGACAAAAAGCTATTGTATTCTATAAATATTCATCTAAGTTTATAAAACATTTGATTTTTGAGTAATCAATTTCGAACTATTGTAAATTTTTGTTGTTTAGAGACTCTTTCCAACGAATTCTTCTTGATTATGAAAAGATTCACAAAGGAGATAAAGGACAAAGTCGTTACACTTGTCATGCATCGAATCAAGCGGGAATTGTGACCAGAGATTTCTTCGTTACGGTAAATTCTTTAAAAATCTTTAAATCATGTTAACTCTTAAGACGTTTTGGTTTTCTAGACAGTCGCCCCACCAGAGATCAAAGATACTGACACGAAGACGATTGTCGAGGTTCAAGAAGGGCACACAGCTACTCTTAATTGCAATGTTTCTGGAGATGATGTGGATATTCAATGGAGGAAACAAGGAAGAAATATTCTGGTAGGGGATAAAGAATGGATTTGTAATGTTTTCGATTAGGATAATGAGGCCACTTTGTCGGAGGATCGATCTCGTTTGATCATCATTGATGCACAAAAGGAGCACGAGGATGTGTACACTTGTACAGCAAAGAATCAAGCTGGACAAGTGTCACGGGATTTCGAGCTTGTCGTTTTATGTCAGTTTTTAGAGCATTAGACATTAGAAAAAATATTTACTCATTTGTTGTTTGTGAATCTAGCTTAATTCCAGCTCCACCGCGAGTCCGTGGTCCATTGGTTGAAACGCTTGAAGTGGTTGAGGGTGATGATCTCACGTTGCAATGTCAATTTGATGGAAATCCCCCGCCAACAGTTTCTTGGACAAAAGACGGGAAAACTGTTCCATCAGCTGCACAGGTATTTCTTTTTTCAATCAAAAACCAATAGGAAAAGTTGGTTGCACATTTTAAATGGTGTTTAAATGGTTGCACATCCATTTTAAAAATCAACTTAACCCAATCCATTGTAGTATAAAAGCCTACAGATCTTTACATTAATTTATCTACTAATTTTTGCAGTTATTAAATGAAAACGCAACTCTTGCCATCAACAAAGCTGAAGCCGGTCATGCTGGAGAGTTCAAATGCGCAATTAGGAACAAAGCCGGAGCTGCTGAGAAAACTTTTAAAGTTCATGTGATTGGGAAACCGGAAGTCGATGGTTTAATGGATAAAGTTGAAGAAGTCGAGGTAAAGATTATTTTTGAATTAATAAAAGAACAAATTCAAAGGTGATCATTGGTCGTCCATTCACATTCGCTTGTCCGGTGAGAGGCGGTGATGTGGGAGTGGAGAGAAGTTGGACAAGACATGCATTGCCGGTTGTGAATGGGGAGAATAATCTGCAAGTGAGTTGATTTAAAGGATTATCAGCTCGATCACTGCTCAAGTAAGTCAAGAAATGTTTCAGGTGATGGCTGATGGTGCTCATCTTCATTTATCAGCTGCTATGAAAGAAGATGAGGGTACTTTCACATGTATTGCGAGGAATAAAGCCGGAGAATCACAGAAGAGCTACAAGTTGAAAGTTTTGGGTGAGTTTAACTTGAACACAATTGTTAAGCAGCGGTTAAGCAGCGGTTAAGCAGTTTGTTAAGCAGTTTGTTAAGCAGCGGTTAAGCAGCTTGTTAAGCAGCTTGTTAAGCAGCAGATTAGCAGCAGATTAGCAAAGTGATCAAAGAAATTTCAAATATTTCAGTCCCACCAACGATCACGAATAAAGGAGGAGAGTACAGTGTGATCGAGAACAATTCTTTGGTTCTCCCTTGTGAAGTCGAAGGAGAACCAAATCCGAAAATCGAATGGAGAAAAGATGGGCATCCAATCAATACACTTGGCAATACTTTCGGAATTCTTAACGATGGCCAACAATTCAAGATCAATCGAGCTACTCCAAAACATAAAGGTAAGGACTATTCTATTTATTAATTGAGAACTATTCATTGAGCATATTGCTATGATATGATTTGTTAAATTTCCTTAATTTTAGGCTCTTATGCTTGCCACGCATCGAACAAAGTCGGTTCAGCGGAGATCAACTTTGATGTAGATGTAATCAGTGAGTTCAAGAAATTCTGAATATCTACATCAGAAATAGAATTATTATATTATCTGTATTTACTTTAAATTGCTTTCAGCCAAACCCACAGTCGCATCCGGATTCAAAGATCAAGTGGAGGTGGTCGAGGGAGAGACGGCACTCTTCAGATGTCCCATTGAAGCGAATAACAAAGGGCAGATCACATGGTGAGTTCATAGAAAAGGAATCTAAGAACATTTGAAAGGTCAATCTGATAATCAAACCTTTCCAATGATTCCAGGCTCAAAGACTATCAACCAATCAAAATCGATGGCACCAAGTATACGACTTCACAAGACAATCGACGGCTTCATTTGCACAAGTTCGTTTTTCGATATAGAAATTTAGAATAGATTTAGAAGTATAGATAAAATAAAATTACTACATTAAATGCAAAATTTGGTGATTAAACTCCGTTAAACTTGCTAAAGTCATATATTCAAAGCTTACTAAAGTTCTAAGTACAGTGTAAAGATCATAATTGGTGTCATAGCGTTAAAATCTTCAGCTCAACAGTGAAAGATGAGTCTGGCTACTCATGTCGAATCAAGAATGATGCCGGTGAGACGAGAGCCGATTATAAACTTGTCGTTTTTGTGCCTCCAAAGATCGTAATGCTTGACAAGGATAAAAACAGGTAGTAAAAAGATTAAGAAATTAACTTCTAAATGATTCAATTTTAGAACAGTGATTGAAAACAAAACGGTAACACTCTCTTGTCCGGCTACAGGGAAACCCGAGCCATCGATTACTTGGTTTAAAGATGGAGAGAGGCTTGACGTCAAGAACATTAGTACAATTGTTGCTACAGCGCAGCTAATCAAGAATGAGATCAAGATCACGAGAGTTAATGTGAGTTTGAATTGATATCGAAGGTATGAATTGAAATTATACTTGTGAACATTGAACTGATGACATAAAGAGGCTCAAATTTGCATTTAAGCTGAGATTTGAGTGTAATGAGTATGCTATCGTACTTGTACTTTGTCAATATAAAGCTCGCATCAAATTTCAGGCAAAAGACTCTGGTCGATTCACTTGCGAGGCGAAAAACGTGGCTGGAGTCGACGAGCAAGACGTGGTTTTGTCAGTGATGAGTGAGTTGAATTCATTATGCTGATTTTTAGCTAAATTGTTATCTCATTGAATTTTAGCTCCACCGAAAATTGAACGAGAAGGAATCCCGTCAGATATTGAAGAAGTAGCTGATCGAACAGTGACCATCTCTTGCCCAGTTTATGGAAAACCCACTCCAACCGTCACTTGGCTCAAGGTTTTTGTCTTAGTTTTGTTTTATTTGAAAACTGATTTATGTTATTTAAGTACTTCTAGTCATTGGAAAACTTTAATTTCGGGGAATTTAAAACCCAATTTTAGAATGGTCGTCCACTCAGCGATCAACAGAAGATCAAAACTTCAGCAAATGGGCAAAAGCTTTATTTCTTGAAATTGGCGAAAGATGAAGCTGATAGGTAAATCAAATCAAATAATTATTTATAAAAGCTTGCTCTTTTAATTTTCACAACAATTCAGATACACTTGTATTGCCAAGAATCCAGCTGGGGAGGACAAGCGGGACTTTAATGTGAAACTTCTGGGTAAGTTGACTTTTAAAAGCATAGATGTAAATTTGATCCCACTTTCAACCCAGTAATTTGTGTACTTTACAATGTCAGCTTTGATTGTCAGCTTTGTCACATTCCATAATTCCCTTTTTCAGAGGCTCCTTCATTTGATGGCCCAAATCTCGTGCGACGAGTTCAAACAAACGAAGGTCGACCGAGCATTTTAACCTGTCCATCTAGTGGATCTCCACCACCAACTATCACCTGGTAAACTTTTAACTGTTTTTAACTTTTATCCATTCTGTATTGTTTTTTATTCTCTTTAAAAAGTGAGATTTTATTTCCATGAGATTCAAGTGAGCATCAATGAAAACTGTACAAAACAACCCGTTGTTCGTGATCGGCTTAGGCGGCACCGGAAGCACGGTTCTTCTTGTGGTGGGTGAGGGCAGCACGAGCACGAGCAATCTTGCGATGACGGTATCCGCCGGATGGAGCAGGAGCCGGGGCAGCAGGCTCAGGGGCAACGGGCTCATCTCCGTACGAGTTCTGGGCAGGAGCTGGCGCGGGTTGGGCTTCGACCTCTTGTTGAGGAGCGGGTGCCTGGGGCTCGATGGGGGCTGGAGCGGGTGCTGGTGGGGCAGCCTCAAAAGGAGCGGGAGCAGGTGGTTGTTGGCTGTAGACAGGCGTCAATTGAGGAGCGGGTGCTGGTGGAGGAGCAAACTGCTGTGGTGGAGGAGCAAACTGCTGTGGTGGTGGAGCTGGAGCGGGCGCTGGTGGAGGGGCGAACTGCTGTGGTGGTGGGGCAGGTGGGGCGAACGATGGAGCGGCTTGGGGAGCTGGCTGAGGTGCGAATTGGGGCATTGGAGCTGGAGCGGGTGGTGGAGGGGCGAAGGCTGGTGGTGGAGCCTGTTGGGCGTATCCTCCAGATGGGGCACCTCCGAACGATTGTTGTGGGGCTTCTCCGAACGATTGTTGTGGGGCACCTCCGAACGATGGTTGTGGGGCTCCTCCAAATCCTCCCGAAGTCGCATATCCGCCTCCTTGTGGGGGTGGTGGAGGAGCGAATTGCTGAGGAGCAGGCTGAGGAGCGAACTGCTGAGGAGCAGGCTGAGGAGCGAATTGTGGGGCCTGTGGGGCGTACGATTGAACGGGAGCCGGTGGTGGGGGTGCGAAGGCGGGTGCTTGTTGGGCATATCCACCGCCGCCTCCTCCAAACGATTGTTGTGGAGCTCCACCGAACGATTGTTGAGGAGCAGCTCCATAGCCTTGTGGGGCTCCACCGAACGATTGTTGAGGAGCAGCTCCATAGCCTTGTGGGGCTCCGCCGAACGATTGTTGAGGTGCGCCGCCGAAGCCGCCAGCGCCAGCGTACTGGCTGAAAAGGGAAATATTAGTTATGGCTGATATCTATAGGATCTTTAAGAGTAAGTAGTTTAAAATCTTTAAGGTCGGATATGTTTAAGAGTAATTACTAGCTGTGAAATCCTTTAGTTCTCACTAGGCAATGAACTAGCTGTAAGAAAGGGTTCTTAAAGTAGAGATCTTAAAGTTAAAGTCTTAAAGTTAAAGTTAAAGTTAAAGTCTTCTTCTTAAAGTGGCTTATAGTCAGGTTTGTTAGTCAAAACTGTAAGTTTCAAAAAATTAAAATTGAAAAACCAACCAGTTAGCTCCAACGAGGAGTGCAGCTAGAACTGTTGCCCGGATCATTGTGCTCAAGTGCTGTTTCAGCTCCACCATCCGCTTAAATACCCAAACCACTCATCAAGTGTCGACTTGAAACGAAAAAGTGAAAAGAGAGATGATATTGAAAGAGAAAGGGGAAAACTTTCTTTTTCTCACACCCTTTTTTCTCGATCTTTCTTTCTTGAGTGAAAATGAGATGCTCAAAGTAGTACTCTCTGGTTTCCGACGAGTAAAACCTATTAGTTTTAAGAAGAGACAAAGACTTTGAAATGTCTCGAATGTTTCGAATCATCTGCAGAGATCTCATCCATTTCAATTGCGCTCTTTCATCAGCAAATCTCTCTCAAATGTTTGCAAATGGGAACTCACTCGTAGAACAAAAGGCTATCAAAGGGTTTCCTTGAGATAGCCAAAGCCAGAGCCATTTTTTCAGGATGACTACAATTTGTGATCAACAGTAAAAAGTGTATGAAAATTTGGATTATGGTATGATCCATTGCTCAAAGCAATGGTAAAATAGTAAAGCGTAAGGTTAATTTTCTTTTTTTTCCATAAGTTTGGTAGATTCATTTTTGAAAAAAATATTAATATCTTTGCTTTTCTTGAGAGTATTCTGCTTATCACAAACAATGAAACAAACAAATTTTATTTCAGGCTCAAAGATGGTGTCACATTGGCAGCCGGTCCTCGTCACGTTTTTCTGGATAATGGACGACAATTGCAGATCAGGTACAGTGCATTTGATTCTAGAGATTGCTTGAGTGCTAAAGATCTGCAGTAAAAACAGTTAGCGTAATGCTTTCTGGAGATTCTTTTGCCATATCTCATATTTTACGATTGTTTTATGAACTTAGAAAAAGGTTAGGAACAGCACTTGATAGTAACTATACAACTATATCACTTTAAAGTCAGATATTCATGCTTACAAGTAGTACAAGTGACATTCTTGCCTTTACTAACTCAACTTTAGCAACACGCAAGTGGAGGACCGTGCTCGATATACGTGCATTGCGACGAATAGTGTTGGATCGGATGACCTTGAGACGAGTCTCGATGTAGTTAGTGAGTTCCCCTTTTGACTGGTCAGCTCAAGAAAAAGAAAGAAGCATCTCCCATTCCCTTAATAGAGATTTCTTTGACTGTTTTCTCTCTTTCCTCCGCAATTTCTTTGTTGCGAAAACGGAGAAAAACACTTAGTTTGTACTTGTGTTAAAAAAGGATTGGAAAAAGATTATTCTTGAAGTAATTCTGGTAAATGGACTTGAGATTTTAAGAGCTTTGGGTTTATTCTGGCTATCTCTTGAAAGTTTTCAAGAGAATGGTTATTGAGAAGATTTTTGGGGGAAAGGATTTGCTGTATACCTTCTTTCTTTTACTTTATATATATATATATATATATATATAGATACTTTATTCAGGACCTGAGATAAAGTGCGCTAGATTTAAGATTAAAACACATGAATTCGTACAAATAACACGAAAAGGGCCGATAAAAAGCAACACGATATGTAGGTAACACAGATAACGTCAAGAATCCACTAGAGCTTCAAGATCAAGATCATCTAAAGATAATTTAAAGTATATGTAATATATGGATAGCACAGATAATTTGCTTTTTTGAAAAAACATAAAGCAAATGTAATTTTGGAAATAGCTTATAACACAAATTTTTAAAGTTTACAATAATTTAAGGCCACACTATAAGAACTTACAATTAGTATTTACCCCAGTACTATCAGTAGTACTTTTCTAGTGTTACTAAATAAGTACTTAAGCCTATAGTACTGAGTCTAGAGAAAATTCTAAAAGAATAACTTGAGTTGATCGGAAATAATCCAGTTTACAAAATGAACTCTTTTGATCGGCTGCAAATTAGTTTTTTGCTAGGCCATTTAGTTGTTTGTCTAGCTAAAAAAGTCATATACACTACTGGACAACGAAATATGATATTTGAAAAACGATCGTCACTTTCGCACGTCTGTAACTCCCTTGTCTTTACCCTATTTCTAAATATTAATATTACCATTGTGTAGCCCTTGAAAAGAGCTTTCAGAAAATGTATAACACTAATTGTTTAAACTCAAAGACAAGGGAGTTACAGACGCGCGGAAAGTGACGATCGTTTTTCAAATATCATATTTCATTGTCCAGTACTGTAGGTAAGCTATTTCTTAAACTCTTTCAAGAAAAAGCTCAAAACACACACTCTTTCTTATAGTTTCTTTCAAATTTGAAAATCTTCTCTCTCTTTCATTTCCGAGAAACTCAATAACTCAACAAAAAGCTTTTTTTTTATGATCGACAGATTTTAGGCATACCAAAGATCTCCGGTGAAGCGCATCAAATATTGGAAGTGGTGGAAAATGATCGACAAGATCTTCATTGTGATGTGGGTTTAAGAAGGAATTGAGAAATCAAAGTGTTTTAGGTAAATGAAACCGATTCGGGTGTAGAGATCGAATGGCAGAAGGCCGGGCAAACGATTGGGCCAGAGCAATTGCGAGAGAATACCTTCTTACAGGTTTTTGATCAGTTTTAGAGCCAGAAGAACAATTTTTAAAACTTTTTATTTAAATGCACAAGGGTTTTTTTCTATAGGAATAGTTTTTCAAAAGGTTTATCATCGAAATATTTGTCAAAATCGAATGTATTAACTTTTTGACAGTAGTTTTATATAGTTACTTTTAAGTAACTATATAAAACTAGATTTCTAACAGTTTTATTATACTACAAGCTCACAATTCGTTTATTGGATCAACTTAAAGCAGTAGCTGGATTTGTTGCAAGTGAAATAAAGTTGAACTCGTTGTTTTGAAGCTTTTGAAATGGAAATTTTGTAGGGATATATAAGGATTGATGCATGAGGCATAACATGAATTATACCAGGAAATCAACAAGTGTTTATTTCCACTTTCTAGCTTCCCTCCTCGGGCCGCCGTCTTCACATTTTATCCGCTCGAGTCACCGATGCAGGTCGATACACTTGTGTGGTCAGAAATCCGGCTGGTGAAGCTCGAAAGACATTTGAGCTCAAAGTATACGGTAAAATTTGTCTATTTTATGTAAATTAATTCTGTAATTCAGTACCCGCTTCGATCAACGAGGCGAATTCTTCTCCTGACATGCAAACGATTGTTCCTGGTAAACCGATTACTATCGAATGCGATGTTGAGGGAAATCCACCACCACAGGTTTGCGATTGGCAAGAGTTTGAGCTGTTGCAAGGAATTAGATTAGTTCTAACTTGTGTAGAGCTTTTTAAATAAGACTTGATGCTTGAGATCTTTTTCAAAAATTAATTTTTTCGATAAAGCTGTTCATCTATTCAGCCATTAATGTTAAAAACCTTTAAATCTTTAATTTGTCAATAGTTTTAAACAAAATAATGACTATTAAATTAAACTTTAATCAAAAAAAAACATATACAAATATTTTTGAGCGTCACAAAAGTTAAGTTTCAAAAATAAAAAAACAGGATTGAATGAGGCAAGAGAAATGGCAGAAACATTGTTCGATTGTAAAAGCTTTAGCCTTAAACATACAAACCGGTTGAATACCCTTAAAATGAGATCAAAAAATATATAGTAAAATTTAGGTTGAATGGTATCACAATGAGAAAAAACTGAAGTCCGCCGCGGGGGTCAGACTGAGCAATAACAATGAGACGTTGACAATACAAGAGGCGACACTCAGTAAGGAAATTGATTGTATTTAGAAAATACTGTAGCAATAAAGGAATGAAATATTCGCTTCTTTTAAAGTTTACGAGTCTTTTTGAAGTCTTTCGGGATATTTCTTAAAGTTCAAGCTAAAATAATGAGAATTTAGATCAACAGAAATATCAGAATCCACAAAAAGCTTATGATTTATGATGATTTGAGCTTCAAAACTGCCTTAAAACTTCAAAACTGGCTTTTAAAACTGGTCTTTTGATGTGAAAAAGACTGAAAAAAAGCTTTTAGAATCACTTCCCTTATCACTTGATCATAAAATTTAAAAGAAAAATCTCAACTTTAGATATAAAAATAAGCTTAAACTCAGTGAAATATCTCGAAAGACTTCAAAAAGACTCGTAAACTTTATAAGAACCAAATATTGATTGTAAAACTGAATACCTTTCAGTTGATAGAACTTGAAAGATGTTCAGTGTTGACTAGAACTTTTGCAATACCGATAAAGTAAGAAAAAAAAAGCTTTAATTTTACTTTAGTTTTGCAAAGGTTTAATAAATTTACATATAAAACTTGAAATGATAGCTTTGAAATGAAATTGAGTTCAGCATCGGGTGGTCGTTACACTTGCCGAGCCTCGAATCGAGCTGGCAATGCGAGCAAGGACTTTGTGATCAAAATGACTGGTGAGTTGTAGAATTTTTTTTGCTGAGTTTGGTCAATTTGAAAGTGATACAGATTGTAAATAGAAATCTGTAATCAAGCGCTAGATTGTCTTTAAAATCCAAACCTTAAGTTCAACCTTAGTTCATTGGTTAAACTAAGCACTCAATATCTTTAGGTCCCCCAGTTTTCGATCAAGGAATTGAAAGACTTGATGTCGCTGCTGAGGATTCAATTGCTTTAACTTGTATTGTTTCATCTGGTGGCGGAAATCTCACTGTGAAATGGATTGTCAATGGGAAACCCGTAGAAAATGGAGAGCTCAGTAGCACTGTTCAGGTGCAAATACTTTCATCTAAAAATATCTACAATCAGTGTTACAGATCGACGATCGAACAGTCAAGATCACAAAGGCTCGTTTGAGTGATGTGGGGCAGTATGTGTGTGTGGCCACAAATGAGGGTGGAGAGGCCAGAAAGACTTTCGAATTGTCTGTCCTGGGTAAGAAAATATCACAAAAAAGATATCAAGTGAAGTGTTGGAGTTATATAAAAAGAAAATTACTAGTCATTTGTTTTTTTTTTCTATTCAGAAGCGCCTCGCTTTCTCGATATGACGAATCGACACCCGGCAATTGTTGTGGGAAGACCGTTGACGTTGGATTGTTCAACCACTGGCACACCTAAGCCAACGATTTTATGGCTAAAAGTGGGTTTATTTACTGATCGATCAGTTCATCAAGTGGTTTAGCAGTTTTGTCTAGCGTTTTAAAGATCAATGGTTTGAATTGGGTAACGAGAAATGAGACTTTGCATTACGTTTAGACCTTCCTATTCCTCAATTTCATGATCATCTAACCTCTTTGCCTTCAAGGACTCACCATTCAATTTCTATTCCATATCCTTAGCATAATCAATCCAATTAAAATCGTCGACAATTTGAGTGAACATGATGCACAGACGCCAAAACGATTACACGTTTTCCCACCCGCACAATCAATTCCAACACGGAAGATCGGTCTCTGCTTTTTATCCATTATTCGATATTTTCGATACGCGTTCTGGCAGCGACGATTCGCTGGTTTCTAAAAGAAACTATTGAATTGTTCAATTGAATTGTTCAAATGAATTGTTCAATTGAAGTTCAATTGAATTGTTAATGAAAATGAAGAGCTCAGTAGCACTGTTCAAGCTCAAAACAAAACTTGTAACAAACCAAATTAAAATCGTAGCAACAAAGTTGACAACGATCCTCGGAAGCAAAACCAGTGTCTTGGTCGATTGATGAGCAATCGCAGACCATCAAATGCGGTGCAAAACGGGCACACGGATTCTCGCATTGCTCTTCCACACAAATCTTTTCCATTCTAAATAGCAAATCAAATTGATTGAAGTTTTTGAACTTGTTGTATGATTGTTAGTACTATTTTATTCCAAGATATAGTAGTTGATAAGTAATTCTCACGTTCTCATCACTGTAGCTTTTTATTATGTTGTTGTTTCCCTATTCCTCAATTCCTCAACTCTAATGCTAGATCAAAAGGGGACAGTTGGTATCCCCTTGTCACCTTTTTGAAGACGCATCGACCCCCATTTCCCCTCAATATTATCCTCTCTTTTCACATTGAGGTGAGAGTTGTTGGCTCGAATTTCCCATCAACTTCTTTCACACAGTTGAATCAATGAATCAAAATTGTTAGATAAATGGATGGGGTTTAGGAGATAATTCGAATCAATTAGCAAACAATTATGAAAGCAATGCTTTTTCTAAATTTGAGCTTTTTTTAAACTCCAGCTATTCGCTACAGTTCTATCGTTTAATTTAAGGTACAAATATCTAGTAAGTAATGATTTAAAGTAACATTTACGACGAATCAATCCTTCATTCACCCAGTAAACACTTGATGAGGAGGAAATTGGATTCATATGCAACGATTCATCGGCTTACAAGAGGGTTGTAGCTGTCTCATCACCGCCCCATTTTCTAATCCCTAATTGCTTTTTGCTGAAGCGAGATGAGGCTTTTGGACATGAGCAAAAAGAGAGATGTCATTAGCACATTCTGATGGAAAATTGTGAAGAAAGATGAAAGAAAAGAGAAATCGAGACACACCTCATCAGCATTTCTAATGTGTATTTCTTGGACAGGTTATTTCAAGATTCGAAGCAATAGGAATTGAGTAGATTCACTTGATTGAAGCTAATCAATATAGAAAAAAACTCTAATAATAATCAAGTTACCACTATCGAAACGAAATTTGTCCAATATCAGCTTCCTGGCAGTCTAAGAAGTAGCAGTTTTTCAAAGACAAAGTTTCCAAAATGGTTGCTATTGTGATTGTAGATTAGATAAAGCTTTAGAAAGCTGAAGTTAATTGCTATTCTTTTTTCAAACCCAAATTGCTTCAGTTTTTCCAAGACTTCTATCATATTCTGCTAAACTAGCTAAGCTGTTTTCATCATAGCTGATGTCAGAACACTTGTCAACCCAGCCTCTTTATAATCTTGATGCTATTTTCGTCAAAAGCAGCATTACTAGTAATTTCTTGAAACCCTGGAGAGCTGTGGGAAAGAGGGGAAAGGGGTGAAGGTTGTCGTTGTCGTTTTGCGATGCATGGACGTTTCGAATTCCCAAGAGAGGGCTCAAAGTTGGGAGGAAAACGAGGAGGGAAAGGGGGAGAACTCGCTAACTGCCTTCTTTTCTCATCTGATACATCCAATGCCACTTATGGAAAAGGAGAAGAAGAGCTGAGAACATCTAACAAGTGAAGAATATAACAAGCAACCAAGAAAGGAGAAGGAAAAGATATAGTACTAAGAATTGGTTATGAGGAGTCACATTTGGAGTTGAGTTTTGAGAGCTTCAGTGATTGTATTTACTTCAGTGATTGTTTTTAAAGCTTCAGTCATTGTATTTACAGCTACAGCAGAGCAAAAGTGAAAGCAAAGGCTTAGAAAATTTTATAAAAACACTGGAGTCAACTGTTTTTTTTATTAGAGTTTTACTAGAGCCTAATGACAGAACTTTTGATCTAGAAAATATTGAATTTTAAATTGAATTAAACCAACTTTCGATCGCAGAAAGCCCCGGGAAGCTTGTTGACACAAACAGAATTTGAGCATTTTCCTGCTAAACACAGTCGAGCCGGATCGTTGTCATCGCAAGGAAGTCCTAAATTTGAATTCAACAAATTCTAAGCAATTCAAGCAAATTCAAGGCTTAGAATAGAATAAATAGCAGTTAATTTGAATTAAACTTTTAAGAAATTAAGTATTGGTGAAAATGTTACAGTTATGAATCGAATGAAAATTCGAGTTAAGAGATTATAGTTAGCAGCTACGACTAGGATTGAGATTCTTTTGTGATATCTTTCTTTAAATCAATAATATCTCTTTCTTTGATGAGTTCGGTATTAACTATGGCTATTAGTTAACTATAGCTCAAAAAAGAACCTTCCAATTCAGCTCCATTCGTTCTACACCTTGCACACGCTTCTCTTTCCCATCGCTCTCCGTTTGCCCTAGAAATTTGGGTTTTCAAGCTTTTCAAGCTCTCTCTAAAACCTTATCCAATCTTTGAACGATACATATTTTAGTGATTTTCCTTGAGTAGGGGTTTTTTTTCCCATGAAATGCAATGGTTAGGAGAGCTTTCCTCCATTTCCCTTAAATGGGCCTCGTCTTGGCACACATAAATCAGCTGTTGGCTCGAGGAGAACCCCTTCTTTATTGGGGAAGACCTTTTAGACTCTCAGCTAGCTCCCAAAAACCTCTCTTTTGAGAAAAAGAGAGATTTATCTTGGTGTCACGGAGTCTGGGAAAGCTATATACTTTGGCTTAATCTTGTAGTATTGAAAAGGGTTTAGAAAATTAGAAGAGTAATAGTGAGTAAGTAAAGTGACTAGTGGAGAGCTCATTCAGTGACTAGTGGAGAGCTCATATTCATCTTGCTTCAGCTCCAAGCAAGCTAAAGTGAACCAAGATTTAGCTGATGCAAAGCTACCATTCCAACGTTGTATCAAACTGAATCCTTCTACTTTTAACCATTACTCACTAAAATTTGAAGTAAATTTCAATTATTGTCAAGAGTTTTCTTAACTCTGTCTGTAAACCCATTTGATTCACCTCAAAATATTGTGCTCATGAGCGGGCAAGCATTGTGAGTGCTCATTCCCACAGCAAAGATAACAATAATTATCCTCTTCAGTATCACATTGACATTCGAGCATTCCTTTCATCGTACACACGGACGTACATCTGAAATTTTCTTTTAGAATAGATTTTCTAGATTTTTCAGTTCTTTTTTGCTTTTGGTTTACGTTTAAACATATGGTCAGAGCTTTTGTGATGTCTAGCAAAAGAATCTTTTAAGAAAAGAGAAAGCTGATCTTAGAAAACGAGCGAGAAAATAATGAAGATGTTAGAAGGATACTTGAATAAGCCTGGTTAAATTCTAGTTGGCTTGAACAGCTGTTTAGTACAGATACCAATGATACAAGCTTATTTTCTTGACAATTGGTTCTTTAAAGTCAGCAATATTTGATCTGTAAGTTCAGGCTAGATCAAAAGCTAGATCAAGTCGAGTCCTGGCTTCTGGAAATCTAGAGACTTTTTGAAAACCAGCTCTTAACTCACTGGTTTGGAAAATTGCTTTCAAAGCAATCTTGCTCAAATTTATTAGAAATTATGAAAGAATTTTGTTTTGTAATTATTTTCTAGTTCGTTGTAGTGACTAAAATTCGGAAACCCTTATTTTTGTTACTTTTCAAAAAGGGTAGCTGAATGGGGCTTTGTGGGGTGGACAGGGGTACCCTTGAAAAGCCTCAAGGGTACCCCTATTTGAAAGAGAGGCTCAAAGAGAGGCTCTCCTCTTCATTGAAGGGTCACCTCTCAATCCCTTTTGCCTACAATGGTTCCAGAATTTGTCTGTGGGTATTCAATGGGGGGCTGCATGGGCTTTTTGGAATTGGGAAACGGGTGCTTTGTGTGTGAAAATGTTGCCACTTCAATGCTTTTTTCATGGGTTTTCGCCCGTTTTTTCACAATTGGAAATAGGGGAAAAGGGAAAATTGAGAAGCCATCATTGTATTCGAGAACAATTATTGAGAATGAAATTTTGGATTTTGAATAGGTTAGACAGAACAACCTTTCAAAAGTCATTAGAAAGAAAAACCAAAGTGCAAGAGCATCTTTGATAGGCTTTTGGTAACAAAGGTAGGATGAGCGCTCACGTCTACCCGTGGCTCAGTCGGGAGCTAGCTCGTCTACAACCCATACAGCTCGACTCCACATAGCACCGAAGAACTTTCACGTTTTAAATTTTTGATTTCAATTACATAACTATATTGTACACAATTACATAACTATAAGCTTTTATAGTTTTATTTTAATTGCTAGACTCCATCTAAAGCCGAAGCGTTCAATGATTGGGCATTGTTAACGACTCAGGCATGATTTAGAAGTGATTCAAGCTCGAATAGTGCAAGCAATGTCAAGAGAGTAGTTGGATTTCTTGATTTGAGATGTAGGAAGAACGAAAATTGAAGCATCAATCTACCTCTGACTGTCACAAATTTCGAGCATCAAACTTTCTCTTAAACTTTCCAAATTCCTTGTTACAGTTTTAAACACTTTCCTTTCCCTTTGCTTGTCTTTCTTTCATTTATCTCGAAATTCTCTGTCACAATCATTCTTCTATACAAAGTGATTCACAAAAGAGTTTCATTTTCCCCTTCAAAAAGAAGAAAATCTCAAATAATTCTTTTCTTTTTTGCATTTCTTGTTTCTCCGTGAAAACGAATGATTCAATGGCCCTTTTTTGGATGAAAAGAAGAAAGAGAAAGCCTTTCATTTTCACACATTTGTCGATATTTTTCCTTGCGCTCCAAAATTTTCTTTATTTAAAGGGCTTTTATGGGTTTTTTTTTTGAATTTCAAGGTATTCAGCTGGTGATTGGGGATATTGTGAAGACAAAAAATACTAGTCATTGTACAGAAAACAACGAAGGTGTATCAATTTGGCAACCATTGTTTATTAACCAAAAATCCTTTGCTATCGAAAATGAGTAAAGATGAGCTTAATGCAGAAATAAAGATGTTAAAATACTCCATTTTACCATTAATATCAGTAATTACTCTTCCTTTTTTCTCAACTATAATAATGTTATTCAGTTATTTTAAAGTAGATTTCTTAAAAAAAGACTAGTTTTTAATCCTTTTCAGCTTGTTAAACGGATGTTCGGCAAGAAAAAAAGTCGATCAAATTAAGCCTACAAAATTCACTCAGAAATTTATAGCCCCTCGTTCGGTTTTCACTTTAAAAGAGAACGGGCTTTCAATAAAGTGATTTGATTTAGATTGAAAAGTCGAAAAGTTTTAGTTGTGTATAAATTTGACTGACTAGTTTTTAATCCTTTTCAGCTTGTAAACGGATATTCGGCAAGCAAAAAAACGTGAATCAAATTAAGCCTCCAAAAAACAAGCCAAATTTCCTGACTCGATTTTGTTCAATTTGTAATTTTTCATATTACTTTTCTTTGACACAAGTTTGGGGAGAATCTATCCGGATAAATTTCCATTTTTAGACGTTGGCGCATGTCGCAAAGCGACTACAGGCTGTGGTGTCAAAGACAATAGAGACTTAGCCTTTCGTAAGAATGTCGTAAGAATCGTTTTGGCAATGTCGCAAAGCGACTACAGGCTGTGGTCAGCCGGGAACGTTAGTTCGGGTGGGAAGCCATATTTTACATTCATTTGGGCAACGGAGTTGGGGCAAGTGAAAAAAAAATTCAAGTGTAACTTGATCCTCGTGGCCAAATATGAATCTAGATCTAGACTTTTTCGCGAAATTTTTCTAGAAATGCAAGTTCTCACGGAGATTCGCTTACATTTGAGAGAAATTTCGTAATTCTATTGATTCCTTTTATTGTATAGGTTTTTCACAATTAGGCACAATGTGGTTTTATCTTTAAATCTTTGAAAAAAAAACCAATTTGTACTTGTAGACTTGTCACTGATTGATCAGCTATTAAAAAGGCTACTCTGAATTGGGGGAAATATGCAAAAATTACTCAGGAAAAAGTTCTTTAAGTTAAAAACATAAACATTAAAATTCGATAGCTTTTAGTTTTTGAATATTTTTCAAATTTGACAAGTTTAACAAGCTCGATAACCGTAAAGATCCCGGTTTGTTCATATGAAATTTGTTCATTGTTCATATGAAACTTTTGAAGCTAATCACAAAGCTAAAACCTTTTCACATTTCAAAAACCTACTTTATCGATATAAACTCGGAAACTTCAAATTTTTTCGAGTAAAACTCAGCTTAATCGACTTCATTTTGTTAGCTTTGTGCTGTTTGATTTTTAAAACGAAAAATTGGGTCGTTGGTTTCGTTAAACATTGGTGAGAATCAATAGATCCCAGGGGGATTTGCGGAGATCTTCACTCCAAATTTTCTTCACTAAATAACGCTTTTCTTGTCTCAAGAAGATTCTCTCCAAGAAAGAAAGATTATCAATATAAAATATTCATATTTTAAAGCCTTAAAAGCTTCACTTTAATCAAAAGAATATAATATATTTTGAGTTAAATTCAAAAATTCTGATAGCTAAAGCTTTTATCAGAAGCTTCTATCAGAAGGTTTTCAAAAAAAGAAATTCCAAATTTTCTTGCGAAACGCTAAGTCTCTATTGTCTTTATGTTGACAATAGTTGTTTTCTTTTTAAGTATATTGACAATGGTTGTTTTCTTCTTTCCATTTTCGAATGAATAGAAGAACGAGCCAATCCTTTGAACAAATAAACAAGAACTTTTCAAATTGTCAAAAAGACTTATGAAAACTTGGTTAGCTCATAAAGGATTTCAAAGGATTCACTCAGAAATTTATAGCCCGTCGTTCGGTTTTTACCTTAAAAGAGAACGGGTTTTCAATAAAGTGATTTGATTTTTCTTTTGCTTTGTTGATGACCTTAGATAAAGATATTAAGCTGGGGGTTTTCGGGGTCGGAGAATCGATTTGAGCTATTCATTTTACACTCTTATAACAATAATATTCAAATTTTAGAGCCACCAAAGATCACTGATAAGCAGCAGCATTTAGATTCAAAAGTGGAAAAGTTGTAGTTGTAGAAAAAATTCTTTTAATATTTAATTAGATGCTTTTTTTAAACACTTGCATTGATTAATAGCAAGATTACGATTGGATAGATTATCAATAGATTCATCTACAATTTTCCAAGCAATTCGGAATTTAAAAACCCAATTTTGAAACTAAATGCAAATCAGTTTTGAGTTCGTTGACTAATGAAAAGTTTTAACGGTTTTGTAGGAAGTAAATAGATAAAGTTTATAATTAGATAGATGTAATTCGATGCAATTAGATATAAAGTAAGTTTTTGAAATGTGAAAAGGTTTTAGATTAGCTTAAAAAGTTAAAAGTTTCATATGAACAAACCGGGATCTTTATGGTTATCGAGAGTTTTTGACCAACTTGTAACCCGATTCTAGATAAGTTTTTGTTAATAACTTTTGATGAAACAAATAGTTTCTGAAAGTTAACGTTTTAAGCTATTTAAATCTTATTAAAACTTCTTGATTTGACAAGTTTAAGACACTTTAAAATGAGCTGCAAGTTAGCAAAAAAAAACCAAATCCCCAAAGATCCGTAAACTGGTTTCAGGTAAATGATTTCATTTCTGCAAATGAGCGCTTTGATCTGATTCGAATTGAAGCTCTTTAGCTTTTGTGAGCATCGCTTTACTGCACATATCAATCATTTTGGCCCTTTTCATTTCATTGAAAAGAGAAAGAGAAAAGAGGACCAATTCTCGTGAGCTTCCCCTTTCCATCCCTAATCAAATTGAGGTCCCTTTTTGCTTTTCCTTTGAAATAAATGAAAGTCATTTGCGGAAAAAGTCTCTCCAATCAAAAATGCCTGTCGTTGTGAAGATTTCATCAATCAAAACGATCAAAATCAAAAATTTTGAGGGAAAATTGATAGAAGACAGTAAACGTTAAACCAGTTTTTTCTTCTTTAATTTGTTTACAAGCTGAGTTTTTCGCTAAGAGCTAAGTGGGACTCAAGAAAGGAAAAGAAATTTGGCAAAAAAGAATCGTTAGCCATGAGCTTGGTTGGTGGGTTTTCCTTTTCCTTTCCCAAAAGGGATTTCCTTTTCATTGCACCGACACGCGAAACCACTTTTTCGGTGTTTCTTTTTGGTTTTCTTTGTTTAAATTGTTTGGGTAAAGAGTTTCTAATTTAAAATTTTTGAAATTTAGCCTAAGAAATCAGCACAGAACATTAAAATGAAATAGATTTATCTAGAAATAGCTCGAAAACTTTGTTGTATCATCGGATTTTTATCATAATATAACTTCTATATTCTTTAAAATTTCTCAATCATTAGTAAAATCTTTAGTGCGTAATGTTGTAAAGATTTCAGGGAAATTTGGCTTCAAAAATGGGGTCTAATGAATAGAAATGGATCTAATTTAAAGCAAGATTTCTAAGAAATCTTTAAAAAACAAAGGAAACAAAACAAGATGAAAGCTTCCTCAACTCACGTATTATTCTTGCAAATAGTGGCCGAGCTCTCCGAGCAAACCTCGCCTTCAGTACAAGCAAAAGTCCTGATAGGTGCAGAAATTAGCAGAAGCCATAGGAAAGAATAGTTGGCGTTTATCCATAATATTCTCTCGAGTCGTGGCTTCATCTTCGCGGCATCCGGACACTCAAATGGGGTGTATGTGTGATCTATAAACGAGGGGGAAAAGGCAGACGGAGAGGAGAAGGGACTAACAGATGAAAGTCCCGCCCATCTCCCATCAGTCAGCTGGAATCGAAAAAAGAAAAAGAGGGCTCACCCCATGTTTTTAGGCAGAAAAGGTGAAAATTTGTGCTGAAGAATTGCTGTTGCTGAGACAACTAATGCCTTCATTTTCTACTGGTGAACATAAAATGAGCCTTAGAAGAGTTTGCATCAGATTAGAGATCGAAATTTCAAGATAAAGCTGAGAATTCGTAGCTAAGATTCAAGATTTTAGTCTAAATATGATTTCAAAAGTTCAGAATGGGATTTGACAATGAATAGTATAGTGTTTGAACAAGAAAATAAAGACAAAAGCCTAAACGTTTCTAAAGTTTGTGAATTCAAAACGTAATTAGGAAGAGAATGAGATCAATTCCAACTTGTTGCTTAGGTTCTTATGTCAAGCTTGAGTCTGATCAAGGGTATTTGACGGAATCAATTCAATCAAATCAACTAAACAAAACAACTAAACAAATCAATTAAAATAAGTGATTTGAAGTCAAGTAAAAACCAATGATGAAACCCTTTTTTTTATGTATAATTTCAATCGTTTAAGCTCTAAATAAAAAAACAATGATGCATAATTTCAATGATCTTTTACAGTATGTTGTTTACTACTTCAACATTCCCGCTAAAAAACATTCATTGAATGAATGGATCTTTCATAAAACCCTTTCAAGGTCATTCTTTCTTTTCTGTACCATTTTGTTTTTGTTTTTCATCACCAGCTGGCGATTTTCATATTCTGAAATTTTCGAGCCAAGAGAGCGAAAAGGGATTTTGAATTTTTATTTAAAATTGCATTGAAAATTATCTTGCATTTGGCTAAGATACCATGAGTATTGGATAAACAAAAGCTATCCAAATCGAAACTATGCCCTATAAACTTACTCGAGCTTGCCAGTTAACTCAAACTTCTCAACAACGTAGCCACTTCATTCACTCGACTAGTTCCAATGTCACTTCACTAACTGGATAATCTTTTTTTACAACTTTCGATTCATTCTTGTCCACCTACTCATTTTGTATGTTCACATAAATCCATTTTCTCGCATATGGCCCTTTAAACCATTGAAATGTGTCTATGGGGGTGAACAACACATGTGCCTCATTCACATTCACATTCAAAACAAACTTATGTAGTGAATGAGTTAATGAAACTAGTTTAAACACTCTTATTAATACGATAATTCAAATAAAAATGGATATGGATTGTAGAAAAGGATATGGAGAGCTGAAAAGCTGAAAAAATAAGCTGAAAAATTATTTCGGAAATTTCAGGATGGTGAACGAATGAATTTCACAAATCTGGATGAGCGTTTCTCGTTGATGAATGATAGACAACAGCTTCATATTGAAGAAGCGACACCACAAGATGCTGGAAGGTATATTTTGACAAACTTTGACTCATTGCATAGAACTAGATCAAGTAAATCTAGTAGCTTTTATGAGTCTAAATCAATAAGTTCAAGAGTTAAAAGTGCCCGATCTAACTGCCTATCTTTATACGCTATTTTTATAGAAAACAAGAACTCCTATAGAGATCTCCTTTGAGCAAAATTTACAGGACAATTTCCGAATTGTAAATTCTAATCACACTTTCATGGTGACCAAGATCTAGATCTAGAAAATGCAATCTTGTAAGCCTTAAACCATAAAATAAGATTCTTTCGCTGAAGTTGGAGTATGCAAAAACAATATTGTCATATGAAGAAAGGTTAACGAGCTGATTGAAGTTATCTAGCCACTTGACCACAATTTACATAGAGACGAAGATCTCCTCCATCACCCCATTCTCAGCGAATCCATCCCCTTCTGTCCCATCTCATTTCTTCTATTCCTCTTTTTCCTTTCTATCTAAATCCATCCACCATCCGCCCAATTCTAAACCCAATTGTGAACCGGAGACGAAAAATTTGGCATCGAAATTGGGAGATTCTGCTTTCCCTTTTTTCCTTGAGATCCCAAAAATAATTCCCTGGGAACCATGATAGAAAAGAAAATCGCATTTGATTTAGAGGCAATCTTTCTCGATATTCTGCGCTTTTCTTTCAAGATTTAGTTAGATGGAAGGATTAGGATTTGAATTTCGTTTCATTGAAAAGAAAAAAAGTGAAGACTTTGAAAAGTTTTCAGAAGTAAACTCATTTTTTTAGGTATTCTTGTGTTGCCGAGAATCGTCAAGGAAGAGCCGAGAAGGATTTGACTGTCGAAATTTTGAGTAAGCAAACTATTTCTTAGAAAAAAAAACATATCAACTAGCTCGTAAAGAGGCATTTTGAACTTTTTACGATTGATAAACAGAAATGAAAGGGTTTATGGAGTGAATTTGGTTTGGTTTGGTTGACTAAGGCTTTGTTTGTTCTTTCTAGAAAGGAAGAAGACAATCAAAAAGAAGACAAAGAAGAAGACAATCAAAAATAAGTCTAGTCTAAACTAGGCGATAAGAAAAAGGGCTTATAAGGAAAAAAATAACTAATGAGTGAAGCAGAAGATGTGGGTTTCCATTTTCAAAGTACAGATCAAAAACAGTTTTTATTATAGATTCAGCTATTAGTTACGAAAAGCGTAGTTAGGAAACAATGGCAGAATAGCCTTAACAGTCTACTTTAAGCTGACTAATGACCAGGGTTATTCCAAAAACATTTATCCGGGCCAGACTGCAGCTCTACAAGAAGTTCTTTGGCCTCCACAAGCCTGAAGATGGACCTTGCTATTGACTGAACTTTAGCTTCACTTAGTCTACAGTCTGTCGACCCCAAATCTTGGCTTGGATCTGGCTTCAGGCTGAACTTTAATCTGGCTATAAAACCAAAGCCTAATTAGAACAACTCTGCCATCTTTATACATTTATTGCAAGTAAAGTTATCATTTTTTTTTTTTGCAAAAATCACTTTAGATTTCATTTCACAACAGAAAAAATCCTAAAATCTTTTGAAAATTCTGTGTGAAAGTTGCCATAGAATAACTCAAACAATGCCACAATGACTTCAGCTTCAGCTTCAGCATTTCTTTGTGTCCACCTTTCCTTTGAATGAAGTCAGGGACTAGTTTTGGTGAAAATGAGGGTTTTTTTTTGTCCACCACTTCTTTGACAAAAGCGTTTTTTTAGCTTCGAGAGGTAAAAGAACGAATTCATTGTCGACGCGAGAAAACCTAATTGAGGAAAGGAAGGGTTTTGAGAGAAAGAGAGAAAGAGAGAAAGAGAGAAAGAGAGAAAGAGAGAAAGAGAGAAAGAGAGGAAAAGTTTCAGCCCACCTACTCAAAAAAGGAGCTGATTTTTCAGCTAATACTATTAAAGATTGATGCGATTATGTTAAAAAATGGATTAAAGACACAAGAGTTTGTGTGCATCTAAAACAGGGCTCTGGAAGTCCTTGTATAATAGAACGGGCCATTTCAACCGGTATTGGTTGAAAAGAGAAACACTTTATACCCAAGCAGTTTGCCAGATAGTGAGCGATTACGTGGCACTACAAAGAACACTTTGATACCCTTTTGCATAGTGATTTTTCTTTTGCTTTGATGATCTTAGATAAAGACATTAAGCTCGGGGTTTTTGGGGTCGGAGAATCGATTTGAGCTATTCATTTTACACTCCTATAACAATAAGAGTCAAATTTTAGAGCCACCAAAGATGACTGATAAACAGCATCAACGAGAGGTGCTTGAGGGACAATCATTGACTTTGCAATGTCCTATTGAGGTAGGTTTCGAACAATTGCACTAAAATTTCTAAAGAACGAATGCCTTTACAATTTAGTTATTTCCATACGTCAAGTAGTAAGTTCTAGTAATTTCAAACAAAAAACCTTGTTCTCAATTAGGATCAAACCGCTGAGATCACGTGGACGAAACATGGAGTGCCGATCACTACATCACAAAGGCTTCAGGTTTTAATGAATAAAGATTTCTAGTTAATTTATCAATTTTCTTACATTTTAGATGTCGATTGGAAGAGATAAGCTTCATATTATGGGTGCTGAATCTTCTGATATGGCTCAATATTCCTGCACAGCGAAGAATCTCGCCGGCGAGGATTCCTCGAATTTCAATGTCACTGTAGCAAGTGAGTGATTGAGGAAAAATAGAATATCAATACTAATAGAGTATCAATCCGAATGCTGACATCAATACTAATAGGCATCAAACTGTATTTTACATACAATATCGAGAATTATCGGCTTTATACTTTTTAAACACACAATCTACTTTGCAATGCAATGTAATGCAATCTAATCTACAATCTACTTTATAAACTGATATTATTTGATGAATTTCTAGCTCCGCCAAAGATCCTCTCACCAGCCTTTCGCCAATTGGATGTGATTATGAATCAAACGGTGGAAATCGATTGTGAAACAACTGGCACACCATCGCCAACAATTGAATGGACAAGAGACGGGAAAACACTTCAAAATCAACCAAATATCAAAGTAAATCAAGAAAAAAAAGCTTTCAAAGCTTGCTTTTGAGATTGATGAGAATGGAAAAGTGCTTCGAATCGTTGGAGTGAAAGAGAGCGATGCCGGGCGGTACAGTTGCAAGGCGGAGAATAAAGCGGGACAAGCTGAAGCGGATACATTTATTTCTGTGATTTGTGAGTAATCAAAGATCTAAGATACATAACTTATAGATTCTATGAAAAGGCTGTAATACCAAGATGCTAAACTTTGTTAATATTAGCTTTTAGCTCCACCACAAGTTTCAATGGTTGCCGATGAGCAGAAAGTGATTGCCAGTCATGGGATCACCATTCGATGTGAGGTTTTCGGAAATCCCCAACCTGAAGTGGAATGGCAAAAGAATGGCCAACCATTCACTCAAGGAATTCTTCAATCACAAACATTCATTCACATACAAGATGCTAAACCTGAAGATGCTGGAAGGTAAAGTTGAACAGGGTTTAACAGGGTTTAACAGGGTTTAACAGGGTTTAACAGGGTTTTAACAGGGTTTAACAGGGGTTTAACAGGGGTTTAACAGGGTTTTAACAGGGTTTAGCAGGGTTTAACAGGGTTTAGCAGGGTTTAACAGGGTTTAACAGGGTTTAACAGGGTTTAACAGGGTTTTAACAGGGTTTAACAGGGGTTTAACAGGGTTTAACAGGGGTTTAACAGGGTTTAACAGGGGTTTAACAGGGGTTTAACAGGGGTTTAACAGGGGTTTAACAGGGGTTTAACAGGGGTTTAACAGGGGTTTAACAGGGGTTTAACAGGGGTTTAACAGGGTTTAACAGGGGTTTAACAGGGTTTAACAGGGGTTTAACAGGGGTTTAACAGGGGTTTAACAGGGGTTTAACAGGGGTTTAACAGGGTTTAACAGGGGTTTAACAGGGTTTAAAATCAATTTAAAAACTCTTTGGATATCTTTTTTTTCTTGATTTTGGTTTATTTTGACTTAAGATTAACCTTTTTTACATAAAAGAATTTAAAAAATCTGTTAAACGTTGATTAAGTGTTTTAGATACACTTGCATTGGAACGAATCGAGCTGGAGAACAACGCGCGAGCACTCAACTCCATGTGCTCAGTAAGATATGTTTTTTTTCTACAAGATTTTGATTTCTTTAAGCTCCACCTTCAATCGAGAATGAGGAAAGACTCTTGCAAGTGAAAGAGGGATCTGATCTCACAATTGATTGTGCTGCAAGTGGAAATCCAACACCAACAATTTCATGGAAACGAGATGGTGTTCTCATTAAGAGTAATTCACCTCAATTCTCATCAATTCATTAACTATTTAGACCAAAATTCTTCAAAGCTTCTCATTTCCTCAGCAAATGCTACTGATGCGGGCAAATACACGTGTGAAGCGAGGAATGAGGCTGGAGTAGCGAGAGCTGATTTTGCTGTCGATGTCTTGATTAAACCTAGGTTGTAAAAGTTCTGAGAAATATCCAATAATTGCTTTAGATTCAAAGATGCTAAGAAAGTGATTAAAGTGATAAATGGAGAGAATGCAAGGCTTGAGTGCAAGGCTGAAGGACATCCAACTCCAACTATCAAGTAAAGTCTTTAACAAACAAGTTAAAGTTTCAAGTTGACACTAGCATTGACAATTTTGGTCTTTAAATGATCTTTTTGAGTTTAAGACTTATTTTGGAAAGACTTATTTTAGAATTTCAGCTTCAGAATACTCAATTTAGATGGCTGAAAGGTGGTCGACCGTTAGACGTTGAAGAAATGGATAATTTGATTCTTTCGCCAAGAGGAGAAACGTTAATGATTGTAAAAACGAAAAGAGCTGATGCTGGATCGTACAGTTGTGTAGCCAAGAATGCCGCTGGAGAAGCTGAACATCCATTCACGGTAAATTTCTACCTTCATAACTAGATCTCAACAAGAAATAAAGATCTTGACAGCTTAATCAAGATCAAGAATGATAGATCAAGAATGGTAAATCAAGAATGATAGATCAAGAATGATAGATCAAGAATGACAGATGAACAAATAAAAGATGAATTCTTAATTTTCTAGGTTGAAGTGCTGACCCCTCCACACATAGACGAAACAATCGATCAAAACCCTCGTGTTGTTCAAGGAAAAGATCTCGTCTTTATGTGTCCAGTACTTGGAAATCCGGATCCAAAGGTTTTGAAAGAATTTTTGAATAAGAAATATGACTTAGTATGACTTAGAATTTTGTTTTAACAACTTTCCTTAATTAATATTTTAGGTTGAATGGCTTAAAGACGGTCAATCACTAAAAATCGGTGGTCGTTTCAAAGTGAACAGTGGAAAGCATTTGCAAATCGAGAAATCATCGGTGAGTATAGAAAATGATAAAAAAAAAGATAGAAATCTTATTCTTAGATTTGAAACAAGCTAGGAAAAAGTTCTGAGTTGAAATCAATGCCAAAAATTTCTAGAAAGCCGATGAAGCGCGGTACACTTGCCATGCAAAGAACGATGCCGGAGTGCTGGACACTGATTTCAAGCCGGAAGTCATTGGTGAGTTTGAAGATCAAAATCAAAACAAAAACCCCAACTTTAGCACCTCCAAAATTCAATAGAACTGGAGAATCGGTGTATGAAGTGATCGCCGGTGAGACGATTGTGATGGACTGCGCAGTGGCCACTGAACCAAAACCGGAAGTGCTCTGGTTTAGAGGAGACAACGCTCTCGTGCTCACTAATCAAATGCAACTTAGTCCGGATTCAATGGTAAAATTTGAACTTATTTGAAACAAGCGAATTTTTTTCAGCAACTTACCATTCGACAAGCTGCGTTAGCTGATGGGGGAAAGTATGTATGTCGAGCGACGAATGAAGCCGGATCATCGGATATTGATCTTATTTTAAAGGTCTCACATTGCTAGATAATTCTATAAAGTTTCAAAATCTTTATTTATATAATTAAACTATTCAAATAGCAGTGCTTTTAGGTTCTTATTCCACCAAAGATTGACCGCTCAAATATTATTGGAAACCCATTGGCTATCGTCAACAAGGTAAGCTAATAGAGCTAGCTTTAGAAGAAAGAAAATCTTGAGTTGAATATTTGAATGATTTCAGAGCATTGTTCTTGAGTGTCCGGTAAATGGAATCCCTCAACCGAGTGTCATATGGACAATCGACGGGAAACCCATCGATCCAAAGGACACAAGGATTAAACTGCATCAGGTTAGAGCTGAAGTAAAGAACTATTAGAACAGTAATATTTTTAGAAAAATCAGACGATCTCTATTGACCGAGTGAAACCAACAGATCAGGCTCGATTCACTTGTATTGCGACGAACAAAGGAGGACAAACTGATCAAGATTTCCATTTGGAAGTTTTGAGTAAGAAGAGAGATTATCTGATTTAAACCAAAATCTATAGATCCACCACATCTCGACTCAAGTGACTCACAGAAATTGGTCAAGAGAGAAGGAGAAGTGGTGACTATGGTCTGTCCGGTGAGATCTGTTTTGGATGGATCTGAACCCACTGAAGTGTCATGGATCAAAGACGGACGACCGGTTGATCACAGTCAAGAAGGAAATATCAAGGTGAACATCAATTCAATGACAATTACTTCAAAAGTTCTTGAACCAAAGTTATACCATTACAACTTATCGCACAAATATCTTGTTTAAAAGACATAGGATTCTTTAAATAGTACACAGGAGCCAAGTATGATCAAAGAATATTTCTGCAAATCTCGCGACTAAAGCAATCGTTGTAAACTCTTGCTCTCTTGCTTCAGTGTACTATTTAAATCTCTTTGCTCTAGTCTCGTACTCAACTTTTAGCTAACATCCGACAATCGCCGTTTGACCATTCAATCGGCGACATTAAGCGACGCTGGAGCGTACACTTGTGTCGCAATGAATCGAGCTGGAGAATCAACGCTCGATTTCTCGCTTGAGATTCTATGTAGGCTGTTGGCAACGAAAAAGTGCCGGGATCGGGAGATGGCCCATCACAAAACAATGGGCAAACACTATGAGCAAAGGGCGCTCGATTGGAAATCTCTAACTTATCGTACAACTAGATCCCCATTTTCTATGAACGTAAAAGTAGGGCAGAGCACGTATCAAGAGATTTTCCGTGAACGGGTAGATTTAAGACCACCTAGTGCGGTAAAGGATGCGACCAAGTTTGGGTACACATTTGAAACCTATCAGAATCAATGGGATCAATGGGGGAACACTGGTTATGTAATGGTTTCGTCAACAAGCTCACCAAGTACAACGACACCTGATCCCTGGGTTGAGTACTATCGTAAGATGGATGAATGGAGGCTAGCTAAAGAGAGACACGAGAAACGGATACAAGAAAGATCTAGAGCTAGACATAGACATTTCCATCATCGTCCTGTTCAGATTTTAAACCCTAGAGCCTACTTTGAACCTAATCCATTGAGAAGGAAACGGTGTAGAGCCCGAAAAAGATATCATCAAAGAGTTTAAGGAGTTTTGAGAACTGTAGAAATTTGCATGAGAATTGCTGACCATTTCGTAGAATCCACAGCCTCCAATTTACCATTTTCTCTCATCATTTTGATCTCAAAAAAAAAGGCCTCAGCGATCCTAGCAAAATGTACACTGTGTGATTTGCATGTGATAACTCTAACTCTTTGCTGTGCTTGTGTTAATAAATTTTTCTTTGAATATGGAGTGAGGTGAATGCATGTGAGAAACAATTTCTAGAGTATTTTTTCTATTCTTTCAGCACCACCATCCATTGATACGTCGAAGGGAACAGAGACATCGGCACGAGTCATCGTTGGGAATACAGCACAATTACTATGCCCAGTCTCTGGTCATCCATTCCCGACAGTGAAATGGACAAAGGTAGGAATAAACTGTAATCAAAGAAGTTGAGTTTGTAAAACAAAAAAGTGTTCAGTAAAGGAAGGATTTGATAATTTTAAGGACGGAAAAGAGATGATTCCATCAGACAATGTTCGGGTGATTGACAGTGGACAAATCCTCGAGATTCTCAATGCTCGACCCGAGGATGAAGGCCGATGGATTTGTACAGCCGAGAATGACGCTGGTACAAAAGATCTCGAGATTGAGCTGGATGTTTGGGGTAAGAAGTTTTGGAACCTGAATCTAGAAACAAAGCTTTAAACCTTACTGTCCTTTAGTGCCACCAAAGGTCGCAGTTCATTCGGAAAATCCGACAAAAGCACTCGGTCAATCAGTGATTATCAATTGCAATGTGAGCGGAAATCCAACACCGAGAATCTCTTGGACAAAGGGTGGAGCGCCGATTCTCATCGACAATCTGAATACAAGGATCAGTTTGAAAGTAATAGTTTATAAAGATTGAAACTTAAATGAAAATGGAATTTGAAAAAAAAACTGAAATATTTAGGGCACCCGTCTGGACATTCCGAAACTCGAGAGAAACGATGTTGGAATTTACACATGTGTGGCTGAGAATGAGGCTGGGACAGCTGAGGCCAGCATCACTGTTGATGTGCTTGGTGAGTTTTATTGAATGCTAGACTAGAACAAGGACAATGGTAGACTTTGTAAAACGGTATTCTGATTTCTTGATAAGCTGACTCGTACTGTTTGTACTAATCTTGAGCGCTTAGAAGTGTTGATGCTGTTGAAAAGAGCCAATTTTTCATGTTGAGTAAGAAGAATGACTTATGTATGATTTCAGTGCCACCAGTGATCAGCAGAGACAATATCGACATGTCCCCGAGACTTCCAACCGGTCAAACACTGACCCTCAACTGTGATGGTGGAGGAAAACCAACCCCGAAATTACGATGGTAAATTACGATGATAAATTACGATGATTAAAGTTTATCAATTAACTAGCCAAAAAATCCGCTTAACCGTTGGGGGAATAACTGATCGCCGTAGCGCAGCCAGGAGCAGGCTTGTAGGAGCCAGGAGCAGGCTACAGCTACTGTCTACAGCCTGGTTCGACCTCCCGTAGTGCCACTCAGTTTTGATTTTTTAATTTTAAAAGCACAACTAGTTTTTTTCTGGGTGAAAAAGGTTGAGAAAAAGTCTGTATATATTAAAGTTACGTTACAGGTTTGTTAATGACACCGAGTTGACCACTTCCAATGGAGATATTCTCATTGGAACCGACAACAAGTACATTCAAATCAACAACATCACTCTCGAGGATCGGGGATTGTACAAATGTGTGGCAGAGAATGTAGCCGGAAATGATACTTTGCTGTACAATGTTGATGTCGTTCGTGAGTTTTGAAATTTTCATCTATGAAAAACGAGTACCAGATTTTCTCTAATAGTAGTGCACCTTGGTCGTCGTCTAAATTACTCGAAATCTCAAAAATCGCTGATCAGAACCTATCGATGTGGGGGTCGAAAAATGTAGCTCACGATGAGATCTTGTGGGGGATTTGAGTGTTGAGCTTCTGCGAAAACTTAGAAACCATAAAATAGGCATCAACTCAGCTTGGTACGGTGCACTACTATTAGAGAAAATACGGTAAATAACGATTTCTTTTCAGAATCGCCAACCATTCAAAACGGTGGAACTCAGCAAGTGATTGAGGGTGACACGGCGATTATCGAATGTGCGGCTGATGGACATCCAGCACCGATTGTTTCATGGTTGAGAAATGGAGTCCGTTTAGAGACAGGGATCACTGGAGTCAGATATCATGCTGAGGGAAGCACTTTGAAGGTAACAATTGGAAAATTCGATCTTGAATACCGTTTATGTAATAAAAAGTTTAAGATTAAGTTTAGCGATGATTGGGCTTTAGCTGGGCTACAATTTTTAGTTGCTTACTGAAGTTAACCCATAACAAGCCTAAGCAGTAAGCTTTCCTCAACTTTAAGCAACTAAACCATAAGTGTTCTACATGTCCATTACATTGAATTGCTCTAGGTGGTCGATGCAAGAAGCAGTGACTCGGGTATTTACGTCTGTCAGGCGACGAATGAGGCTGGAACTGCTCAACAAGCGTATACCCTGGAAGTGTTAGGTAGAATTGACTAAAAATCTGTTAGATGTAAAGCTTTAGTCTCTCCGAAAATCACAACCACCTCTCCCGAGATGGGATCGGTTCCTTTGGGGCAACCGTTCTCGTTGAAATGTGGCGTGAAAGGATATCCGGATCCACAGATCATTTGGACGCTTGAGGATGAGTTGTTGGTGAATGGATTGGACGGGAACACAATTGGTGAGTAGTTTCATGTTAAAAGTTACATGTATTTGTCAGATTACTGCAGCTAGATGTAATGGATAGGTTTAGATTAGCTTGAAATTCATACCTTTCAACCTTTGAATGTTAATCCTAAGCTTGAGTCCTTTTACAGAGCTTATTTGATTATTTTTGTAAATTTCTAGCCGAAGACGGAACTCTCTTCGTTCAATCCTCGAAAGGGAAAGAAGCTCACTATCGATGTACAGCGAAAAACGATGCTGGCACGGATCACGTCGAGTACACTGTAAAAACAATTAGTGAGTGTTTTGAAGTTTTGAACTTGTAAGTAGTTCAAAATCAAAAACTCGTTTTTAAATGAAAAAGAGAAATTGCCAGGTGCTCCGGTGTTGACGAAAGATGGATCGAGGGTGATGAATGCAACGGAAAGTGAACCGGTTGTGATCACATGTGATGTAGAGGGCGATTCGCCGACAATTCACTGGCAAAAGGTTGAGCAATGAGGCTAGATCTTTGATCAAAGATTGTGACCCAATAAATTGAATAGGTTCAATCAATTCCCCCCCACCGAAAACCAGTACAAATTTACAGCTGAATATCTTTTTTGTAGCATCGCTTGGGTATCAATAAACCAAAGAAAAGTCCCTATAAATGAGATGTTCTTTGTGCGTCTAATCACTCGCGATCTGGCATATTGTTTGGGTATAAAGTGCATCTCTTTTAAATCTTAAGACCGAAACTGACTTCATTTAATCCTTTAAATCAGAAAAATCATGATACATTATAAAGTAATACAGTTATTTTACATATTCATCTTGACAAGCTATTGTTTAGAATGGAGTTACCGTTGCCACTACATCAAACGTTGGTTTTAATGATGATAAGACAACACTCTCGTTCCAAGGCGTCAAACTCAATGATGAGGGTTTGAAATTCTTCATTTTCTCCATTTCAATTCCCGATTTCAGGTGAATATACATGTGTGGCGACGAACTCGGCTGGCAATGTCACTCAGCAAATTCAGCTTTATGTTGGAGGTGACGTTTTTATAGTTTTATAGTTTAAAAGTACTTGAAGCCTTTGTACATAGTACTTTCGAGTAGCAGTTTCCTTTTAAACCTAGACTTGAGTAGAAGCAAAAAAAAAACTTGTAGCAAACAGTTTGCTTAAAAGGAAATCTGGTATGCCAGGTTTTGTTTGCAATGTTTAAGCATAGAGATCATTGAAAAATAAACCTTGAATTGTTTTCAAAAGTCAAAAGCCAAACCAAGCCAAAACAAAGCCCCTTAAAACCCAATTTTTGCTTTGTTTTTAATTTGACTTGGTTTGAAAATGCTTTAGAATGCTTTAGAAACATTTCTAAATCCATATGATGTTTAAAAATTGAACTAAAGTTTATCGTCTCAACCTTTTTCATTTAAATTTCCATCTGTCTTTTCATTTTTCTAGTCTCTCATAACAGGACTGATTGAAAAATCAATCTTAGGTTGTTTTCAAAAGTCAAAAGTCAAACCAAGCCAAAACAAAGCCCATTAAAAGTCAATTTTAGCTTTGTTTTTGATTTGACTTAGCTTGAAAATGCTTTAGAAACATCACTAAACCCATATGATGTTTAGAAATTGAACTAAAGTTTATCGTCTCAACCTTTTGCATTCAAATTTTCATCTGTCTTCATTTCTCTAGTCTCTCATAACAGGACACAACAATTTATTACGCAAATCTCGTCTTTTTTTTTTCTTTGTATTCAGAAAAAAAAAGCTCGGTGACAGAAAAATGAATAGGCAAAAAAACAAAAAGATGGAAAAATTTTATGGGAAATAGACAGGTGGAAAGTACATTACATTAAAAATCAAAAAAATTTAATGGCAAATGTGAAATCGGAAAAAAAATATAATTACAAATGATATCAGAACAAGTGAGAGTGGCTTCACAATTGGGGGAAACTTTTCTTTTTTGCTTCGTCGAACTCTAGAAGTGTGCAAGTACAAGGATTTGGCATAAATGTGGAAACGTTGAGATCTTTAAACGAATTATTGCAAAACAACAAAACTTTGTTGAATTCTCGGTCCTAGGAAATTCGATCAACAAATGGGATTATCGGGTTTTCTTCTCATTTTTGTTTGTTTCCGATTTTGGGACGCCTTTTTGCGGATGATTTTGGGTGGGAAGCCATTCTGAGAGATCGTTAAATCCCTTCAAATCCAATGGATGATTCTCTTCTTTTGAACCAAGGGGAACCTCGGATAAGAGATCATCGAGAGAGTCCAGTGAAGGCAATCGTTCATCGTCTTCGTCAGCGATTGGGGCGAATTTCTCGAAACCCTCCAATACTGAAACGAGAGTTAGTGAGAAATCTGATAGCTAAAGCTTTGATCAACTATTCTCAGCAAAGCTGGCCCTTCAAAAACCAAAAGTCAGACTATGCTAGAGCATGATTTAGCCTAATCTGCTCTTACTATTAGCCTGGTCTGTCTCTAGCTTGACTTGGCCTGTTCATGGCCTGGACTCGGCCTGGAAATTTGCCAGAAAGATTGGGCTAAAACCAGAAAGCCAGATTGTTACATATATTGACAAGGAGATTATGAAATCATCTTCTTCTATTAAGTTTAAACTGTGTTCTGCTCAAAGCAATTAGTTGATTCCGTGGATCCCTAGAATCAAGTTTGATCTCAATGAGATTTGAATTGAACTCAAGGAAGCAACACAGATCATTCTTTATCTTACTTGTGTTCCAAGCTTTGACTCCGGCAATGTCCACTGGATTTGAGTCGATAAAACCGCGAAGACGATAGACATCCTCTGTTATTCGATCTGGATCGAAACGGCCGTAACTGGTGGCTTAAAAAGGCTTGTCTTGGAATTGTCTAGATATTTCTGAGAAGTAAAGTTCATCTAGTTTTTCATGTAAAATCCCTTTGTTTGTTAAATAGATTAAATAGATTTATTAAATAAAATAAAACCCTACACTTGGATTTTTGAGTAGCTCACAGATTGGGGAAGCTAAAGATTGCTGAAGATTTTAAGTAGCTCACAGATTGGGGCAGCTAAACATTGCTGAAGCTGTCAGCTTTGCAGTTTTACCAAAATACTATCAATTTTGCATTAAATCTTATTAAACTAGGCGACATCTTGAACACTATTTTACATTTAACTTTTTGCTTAACTTTAAATCATCTTAAAAACCCACGAAGAGCATTTGTGAAACCAATTCCGCCAAGAAAAACGAGAAGACAAGAGGCTGCTTGTGGCCACATCGTGGGACCCAGTTTGTGTCCTTTATCTGAAAGTCGATAATTAAAATATAAAATCTAAAAAGAAATGTTTTACAAGAATGCCTTTAAACGTAAATCTGATCCCGGGGAATTTCGGTCATTTTGGGTGGCACCCAATCGCAGATTTCACGATTTAAGGCTTCATTTGGAAAAAAAGGAAATGATTTCGTAAATTTGAGTTGAAAAAAGAATAATCTTCTAGAAAATTTGATTCTGAAAGGATTTAGTACAAAGTTAAGATCTTTTAAAAAATGGTAAGAGTTCTGATGAGAATGCAGAGATGATGAGGAGATGAATGGAAGATGAAAAGATTTGAAACGAATTGTGTTATGCGCTTTGTTTTAGTTTGAAGTAAAGGATATGAAAGAGATAAAGATAGGTAACTTTTTGTGACTAAAATTTAGAATCAAGTGTATATACTTTTAGAAAGTAGATATGTACCCTAGTTCTTGTCAGTCTTAGAGTCCAGTGGACTGAATGGACTGGGGAAAATGGGCTGAATCTCAGTCTGACTAGACTGACTGAAAAAGTGAGATAGAAAGAGAGACCTAGTGCATTTGATTATTTTAATAAACGTTTCTGTCAATAAAAACTATGATATTCTTATTTCAGTTCCACCAAAGATCGCTGACAAACCGAGAAGAACTGTGGCAAAGGAGGGTGAAAGTGTGGAATTGTGGTGTGAGGCGTTAGGAGTGCCACCACCAAAAATCATCTGGTTACGGGACAATGTCTCACTAGCACACAGTAAGTTTCAAGAATCTTATAATAATAAATGGATAAGTTATGTATAAACTATAACTGCGTCAGAGATAAAAGTTGTTGAATGAAACAAAAGATTCTCATAAAAAATGGAAATCAATGATTTTTCTCGATTCAAAACACCATTATTTCCTTTCACCTTTCATCAAAACAAAAAAAAATGAGAAGAAAAAGGGTTTGGAGGAGAAAAAGTTGATGACTTTCGTATGAGATAGATTTTATGAGTCTCATTTATGACTTCTACAAAAAAATTCGTGAATTCTAGAAATAGAAAAAACGATTCTCAATTGGTATCATGTATTTTAAAGAAGTTTAGAGAACTTTGAGTCTCCAGAAAATTCTTGGAGATCGTTTTTTTTAGTGTATTTTGTGGTCAAGAAGTGAAAACACATCTTTCTGATGTACTAGGTTACTCTTTCTTTGTTTTTTGACGTCGTTTGCGGGGATTACTGTAAGAAAATGAATTCATTGCTTTGTTTAAGCTTAAGCTAAAAGAATAAAGCTGTATTTTTAAATCTTTTACTACATTTTAAAATCAAAATTATTCATCTAATAAGACTGAATATCTTTTAAATTCCTTTATTCAACAAATAAATTCAGTTTTGTCGACTAAATACTTACAAAGCATTGATTTAAGAAATGTAATTTCTTAAAAGTTAAAGTAACATTAGAAATAGCCATAGACGAAAACACTTAGCTGAGTATTTTAAATGTTTTTTTGAATAAAATTGAAAATTCAAATCTGAATGTAATCATTTTAAACTATTAAATGTAAATTTTCGCTGAAACATTGAAATTTGAGCCTTTTTATATGATGAATTGTGAAATAAAAACAAATCTGTTCAGATGATAAAACTGAAACTGAAATAAAAACAAATCTGTTCAGATGATAAAACCACACTCACAAAACAAATTATAAATCGCCTTTTCGTTAAGAGATCTAGAAAAAAATGTGCAAAAAAATTGAAAATCCTTAAAGAGAATCGTTGTTTTGCCCGGACGCAACATCTCATTTCATCCGATTTTTTGGATAAAGCGGTCAAAACGAATCAAAAATCTACAAGTGTCAAAGTTTCTTTTTCCAGTCCAAGAAAGAACTTTACTTTGCGAAATGGAAATAATGATTTTCAACAAGGATTTTTTCTCAAAAACTCAGTGCACCTGTACGTTGCGAGACAGGTGGCAAACGTGCTTTTTAGATTTTCTTTCTGTAATCAAAGGGCTATTATTATGAATTCAATCATAAAATAGAATCCAATCATTCTTTTGTTTTATCAAAGAATTTACAAGATTTGTAATGGATTGTTGAATGAACGGATTTGGGAATTGAATGAGTGTGGAAATGACGAGATGGGAAATAGAAAAAGAAGTCAAATTTGTACTTGAATCAAAGAGAAAAGTTTGTTGACGTTGAAAATTCAAAAAAAAATCGAATAAAGAGTAGTTTTGAGAAGTTACAAATGGTTTATAAAAAGTAAAACGATAAAAATGGTTAATGGTTACTTTTGATTACCGTATTTATTCGAATATAAGACCGGGTAAAGAGTATGATCGCGTACTCCTGCGTAGCAGCCCTTTTTAAAATTTCTTTTCTGCATAAAAGCTTTCAATGAAGTGCTATAGAGGTGAAAAATGGCTCAAAAATCTGTTAGCTCATGTGGTATTTTTGAGTCATTTTCCAGCTCTATAGCACTTCATTGAAAGCTTTTATGCAGAAAAGAAATTTTAAAAAGGGCTGCTACGCAGGAGTACGCGATCATACCCTTTACCCGGTCTTCTATTCGAAGAAATACGGTAAGCTAAAAGCTTTTGCTTTACTTCTTAATTTGTTAGTTATTTTTGCAATTTACATATATCGATTATTGAAATTTTAGCTGCTATCGCGGATCACGCGGAAAGTCAGAAAGCGATTGCGATTTTCAAGGCAATCACTGCGAACGAGTCAGGCGTTTACACGTGTAAAGCGGAGAATTGGGCGGGCACATCGTTTAAAGATATGGATCTCGTAGTGATCAGTGAGTTTTATTATTTTCATATTGTTATCAATAATCAATAATGTAAGTAAGATTAAGATCAGAACTCGTAAAATGATAAAAATGGTTAATTTACGGTTCTTATTCTCATTCCCGTCTGACATGTCCGTCTATTTTACAACAGCTTTAGATAAAGCACTTCAAAATCACAGTACTCTAAATTTCTAAAGGCTTAAAATGGGTTCATCATCTGATTTTATTTCCTTTTAATAGAAAATATTCTTTCTTATGGATCTAATAGAGCTTTTGAACGCCTGAGTACTGAGTAAACACATCACAGTCATTCATTGAGTTTGAAAACTAGTTAGGTCACAAAAAAGAATCCAGAAGAATTGACTAAAAATAAAAGAAACATTCTAGAACAATTTTCAAAGATTAGCGATACTATTGTAAGAGAATCTTACATTAATCTAAGATCTTTATATCTAAACCTGTTCCTAAACAAAACATCTTTGCAGAAGACCTACACTAAAGCGTTCCCCCCAAATTGAGATAATTGCAAAAGCTAGAAAGACAATTCACCCAAAAACACTTTAACAAATCAAAGAAAAAACAAATTTCTACGGCTTTCTTTGTTCACTTCTCTGATATCATTATTTTCTTCAATATAAAATCAGCGATCACTTAGACAATTTTGCGGGAAATCCTTTAAAATTTGAATCTTTTCGATAAACAAAGGTTTGATCGATTCACCATAATTTTCAACGAATTATCAATTAAATTCTTGATTCTTGATGATATTTTGATGAACAAAATAGACTCAAAAAGAAAATAAGAGCTCGAAATTGATAGGAAACTTTTGATAGGCGTAAAAAATCATTGTTTTGGTGATGATCGAAACGAGAAATTTGCAAACATTAAACTCGTCAGCTATAAGGTAAAGTTTGCAGTAAGATTTGGAAATTTTAAAGTCAGCAAGAAAATTTTTCAAATGTCGACTCCCTAGTGGGGTGAAATCTACGTAAATCAGTAAATTGAGAGAAAACAAAATAGACAAGAATAGAATTTAGTTGAGATTTGTGATATGAGTTAAGAAGAGAAACACACGACAGTCATTCATTGAGTTTGGAAACTTGTTTAACAACACTTGTCTAAAAACACTTGTCTAACAACACTTATCTAACAACTTCTTCAAAGATCAATAAAGCTAACTCCCAAAACTCTAACCACTTAAGAGCAGTGTAGCTAAGGAAAACACCGTATTTAAAACTAAGCCGTCATAGCCGACCGGATAGTCTTGAGAGTCTTGACTCCTAGGAGTCTCCTAGTCTTGTCTCCTACAATTGTTACTCAAACTTAGTCCTGTACTGGCCCAGTACTTGGCCCAATCAGAGCAGAGCCTGATTTCCAGGCTTATTCTAGACTTTCAGGCTATTCCCAGACCTTCAGGCTATCCTTAGGTTCCTAGGCTGTCCTTAGGCTCCTAGGCTATCCTTAGGCTTCTAGACTATCCTTAGGTTCCTAGGCTATCCTTAGGTTCCTAGGCTATCCTTAGGCTTCCTAGACTATCCTTATGCTTCTAGACTATCCTTAGGTTCCTAGGCTATCCTTAGGCTTCTAGACTATCCTTCCTAGGGTTCAATTCCGGTGGCCAGAAAAATTGGTTCTTTTTCCCATCATTATGGCTTTTTTTCTTAACGACATTTGGGTAATAGGGTAATAATAAAGGTAAAAATTTCTTTCCTTCGTTGTGTTGTAATTCATTATTCGTGTCGAATAAATATCCTTTTAAGCTATTCAAATTTTATCCCCCAGACAATTTGCTTTCATTTCGTTTTAATGTACTTTATGGTACAAAAAGAAGTTTGAAAACTTTTTTTTAATTTTTTAACCAAATTTTTAAACCAAAAAATGAGCACACTTCTGAGAAAAATGTTTAATTCTTTAGTCAAGCGATAATTCGATAATAATGAATACAATCGAAATTTTTCAGCTCCACCAGCTGTTCATCCAGAAAAGGCGAATGTGACAGCGAATCCCCGAGAAACAGTTTATTTACATTGTAATGCAACCGGAAATCCCGAGCCAGTCGTCTCATGGGTCAAAGCACCAAACACCGAAATATCCGCTAGTGAAAGTGAGTTCAATTTTGTTAGTAATTTTTTTGAAAAGTCTTTATATTACAATGATAATTGGCTTTTGAAAGCTTTTTGTAAACAAATACGATAATCTTTCTTTAATCTTTCTTTATAGAAATCACGGAAGGATAAAAATGATTGCAAGATCAAAAAATGAGTTCAAATAGTTGACTACTGGGTCGAGGATTTTCAGAATAAAACTTAAAGATCTCGTACAGTACCCAGTAGCTGTCCTTAAGCTTTTGATTTCAACAAAAGGAAATTATTGTTAGCTTTTGAGTTAGTGTGATAGAAGACTAAGAAAAGCAACTTTAACTTGACAGGGAAGTCGTTTTGCTGGATCATAATCTCTTTTCTCTACAGTGTACTTAATATCTTTAAAATAAGCGTAAATTGGCGTACTTTTGATTTACAGCAACTTCCTTTAAACAGTATCCTTTGGATAGAGTACTGTAGCTTTACAGTTAGTTACCGTAGCTCAAAAGTTACTATAAAGCTATAGTATCCTTTGATGGGGTAATGTAGCTTTACAGTGAGTTACCATGGATCGAAACTACAAGAAAGTTTTGTAAAGTTACTGGATTCTTTCTTGGATAGGTTATTGTAGATAGTAATTACCGTATTTTAAGTAGTTTTACTTTGCTAAATTGACAAAACGAAATACAAATTATTTAGCAAAAGAGATTTTCGTGAATTTGAATTGATCGTGATCAAGTACGCAATTTAGTTTATTGAAAAACTAGAAATATCATTAAAATATCATTTCTTTTGATCTTTATTCTATGTAGGAAATGGAAATGCCGTACTTAAACGAAATTTTCAATACTTGTTGCTGAAAAGAAAGATTTTTGTATTATTAACTTGTTTTCTTGTCAAAAAACAAAGGGAAAAACTGTTTTTAATCTAATTCTATAAAAGATACTTTATTCAACATGAATAAGTGGATACAACACAACGGAGGACACAATTTTTACCCCTACAATGTAGTTAAGAAAAAACCCAACTTAATGGGAAAAAGAACACACTTGATTTTTGCCAGTGAGATCGAAACCTCGACCTTCCGATTAGGAAACAAGACTCCTAACCAGTCGGCCAACTGGACTATACGCCAAAGAACATTGGATTTGAAGAATTTGCAGAAAATTCTACAAAATTAGATAAATAAAAAAAGAAAAAGGTTACTTATAGTCGGATTTTGGGGAGAAAATTGTGAAAATTGTGAAAATTGATTGTAAAATGTGATCTCATTACAGTAAAAAACAGGTGTTATTGAATAAGAAAACACGAGGAACTCACTGCGTAAACTGATTTTTAAACAATTATTTCAAAAGAATTCAAAAGAAATGAAACTAAGCCGATTTAACTTTTCATGAGACTTCCGGTTTATTTGAGGGAATTAGGAGCTTTATTGAAATGAAGAAATGAAGAAATGAAATGAAGAAATGAAGAAATGAAAAGAAATCGTGGGAAAAGACCGATTTCAACTTCTCAGTCAAATAAAAGAAAGGAAATCTAATACGAATGAAATTGGCTAATTTTGAAGATAAGATTTGGCAAAATAAAGAAATATGCAAAAGTTTTCGTAAATCTTATTACTTTTTAAAGCTTCTAACAGTTTGTTGGGGATTTGGCTAACTTTTGAAAGTACATTAGTCCATTCTTTCAGTATCTTCAATTAAATTATTTAGTTGATCGACTGTATATCTTTAGTCTCTAATCTCTAGAATTTAAAAGCTATTCATTGACTTGAAAAGGCCACTAGTGAGATAAAAGCTCGAGATTACGGTAAGTACCTTGAAAATTAGAAAAAGATTTATTTAAAAAAGATGAAAGAGTTAATGCAAGACTCAGTGAATTAACTAAATATTTCAGCAGTTAAATTAGGGTAAAATTACGGTATTTAAAGTAGTTAAATAGCTATTAGTACCATTGTTTCTAGACTTAAATTTATCAGAAATCATAAATCTCCATTCATTGACAAATTGAAAACCGTTTTCCTCCCGGTAAACTCGCAAAATCAGGCCACCAATCTTTGAATTTATCGCTTTCCATTGCGTCACTTTCGGAAAAAGATCCTAATTATAACTCCAAAGCGAAAAAAAAAATGAATTTACTTAAATAGTTGTTTTTATTTTCCTTTCTTTTACTTTCGATTTTTTTCAATTACGTGTGAAAATGAGATGTGCGAGTGGAGGCCGACTTTGAAAAGAAAAGAAAATAAAAAAAAGAGAACGAAGAGATTTCGAATTTCAACGAATCAAGCCGAAAATAGACGAAGAAACGTTCTAAAAATAGTAAATTCAATGGAGAAAGTTGATATTTATAGAGAAGTGATGAATGAGTTGTTTGCAGGGGAAAGGAATTCACGTTGAAATCCAATTTTCCAATAGAGAAAATTTAGCTTTGCCTTGGAGAGGCTAAATTTAGAATCAAATATGGAATAAGGTTAGCTGGAGAATTGAATGCAGGAATAACTTGGCTAATTGTAAGTCAAAATAGACTTTTACTTATCTTGTTTAGGCAAAAAGCTACACACTTGGTTGTCAATTATTGTCACCCTGTGGTGACAATAAATAAAGGAGATAAACTTTTTAGCTCATAAAAATGTAATCAAAAAGATAAAACTTTATTTGGAATACCAAATAACATTTAAAAAGTGCTAATTATAAATTATCTTTGATCGTTTTCGAAATGTATACATTTTGCCCGGATGCAGAGCTTGAGACGCTTCGTCAAATTTTTGGCAATGGGCTGCAGCTCTCCGATAGTGATTTTGCCCCCATTCCCGGCTTAACGGACACTTCAAAGAGTTCAAACTTTTGTAAGGTTTAGCACAAACATTGTACTCTAAAATCGACCAAAAACTCTAAGATCCAAGTACTTACAAAAAAGTACACGATAGAGAAAGTTTGTCTCCGTTATTTATTGTCACTTTGTCTATTCTGAAAGTTCTTTAAGAGGCCTAACCATCGTAAAATGAAATTTCTAGAAAGTCATTACAGGAATTTCCCCTGATCGAGCTAAGTCAATCAAAAAAAAAGCAAAACTTGATCTTTTTGCTTATTAGACTGACTCTAACAAGTGAATTTTCGCTAAGTTTCACTATACTACTTGTTCTACAGTCTTTTAACTACTAAATAACCTAATAAACGAAAAATAAGCCAAAAGACTTCACCAAATCTTTCTTTCAGATAATTTTCATGACTGAGAAAAGCTAAGTAGCTCTTGATCTTGATAATCTTTAAATAAAACTAGGTTTTTAACTTCGTTTTTTAACAATCATTAGAATTTAAGTGAAGACAAATTTAATCCATAAAGGGTTAAATAGAAAATCTTGCAAATTGCTCAACTGAAAACTACATGCCATTTTAAGTGATCCACTGATCTAGAAGCAAAATAGACGAAAAAAAAGTTGACCTTTTTACAATCAAAAGCGGACTCAAATTGGTAATTTGGAAAAGGCCACACATTTGGAAAGTGGTGACGCAGATTTGGAAAGGATTCTTTCTCTTTCAAGTGGATAATCCAACCTTCAACTCTATCAGATCTCTCCCTTTCCGACATTTTAAATGAAAAAGTTCACGTTTTGGCTAAAAAAAAGTCATTTGAAAGGCTTCCTTGAAAACTTTTACTATATGAAAAATGAGGGAAAGAGAGAAATTTTGAGACAAATATTGATTTCTGTTAGTTTCCTTTTGTAAAACTATTCAGGAAACTAGTTCAAAACGTAAAGAAGAAAGAAAATTTTAGAATATCAATTGCTGGGCACCACATTAGCAATTCGAAATGTTCTTCCCGAAGATGAGGCTTTCTATCATTGTGTGGCAAAGAGTGAAGCTGGACAGGCACTTGGATCGAGGAGATTATTGGTGTTAAGTAAGTTTAAAAACGATTCAGAATAAGGCTTAATCGACAGATTGATATTAAAGCAAATAGTATCTTTTTGATTAAGAATTTAACGCTAAAGTGGGATTTGAAAAAGATTCAGCCGAGTAGTCGCAAAATCTAATTGAAACTGAAAATCTCCTTGACGTGTTATTTAGAAAAAAACTTTATTAAGATAAAGATATCATTTACCATCTTTAGCTCAAATCATTGAGCATTTCTGAAAGATTTCCGAGCTCTAGTACAAGAGCTGGGAAATCTTTATAATTCTTAATCTAGTACAAGTACGAGTGCTCACTTTTCTAGTGATCAATCTAAGTGTGCAAATATTTACTAGGTGGATTTATAGAAAAATATGGATCTAATTAAGATTATCATTGTTGTTTATGCAAAAAAAAAAGTGATGGATTTATTTTTGGTACAAGTGGTCTAGCTCTCTTCATTATTGGAGAATCAAAAAAAACAATCAAAATCATGACGAACACCGGATTCTGAATTGTTTATACCTTGAAATTTTCCATTTTCTAAACCCAGATGGTAAATACTATCAAAAAAAGGGATAATCTTGGGGAAAAACAGTGCGTGATATAGTGAAGAAACTTTGGTGACTTTAAAAAGACTCCGATTATTCAAAAATAAACCAAAATTGCCTAGGGAATTGTTCAAATATTTGAAGAAAATCCAGAATCTAGAGATTAAGAATATTTAGTCTAAACAAATGGGTCAATCTGAGTTCATTCTTATGAATGTGGGAATGGAAAAATGTTCTGAGAAGACGAAAAATTGATGAGTGAGAATTCTAGGACCAGAAAATAAAGCGAAACCGATTTGGGTGGAATGTGATGAGAGTGGACGACCGGTGAAGACATCGTTTGTGCCGGGAAGGGGAGATTTGCCTGATGATAACACTCAATTGTTGCCTTGGGGTGAAGTGCAGGTAAGGGATTGGGAAGAATTTACGATTGCAAGTCTTTACTACCTTCTTTTCCCACAGTATATCAGAATGTAGGACTAGAATAGATCAAAATTCAGCTAAAATCAGCTAAATTCAGTTTCAGATCTGGATATTAGACCAAATGATGCCTAAATGCCTATACAAAGTAGAGCTATTTGAGGCGCCAAGAGTAGAGTGTGTTCCTTTCGACTAAAGCGTTTTCTAAAGTGCACCTATTCAAGAAAAATACCGTAGTCAAACTGCCAATTTAAATCTGATTAGCTCAATTTTGGGGCTAGGCTAATTTCTGCAATTTTTTGTTGCACAAATGACCTTTGCGCAACTCGCCATAACTTTCTTCTAAGTGAACCAATCTTTATGATTTTGGTTTCATTTTGTTGCACTTATTAAGTTCTACAAAATGAAACCAAAATCATAAAGATTGGTTCACTTAGAAGAAAGTTATGGCAAATTGCGCAAAGGTCATTTGCGCAAAAAAAAATTGCGGAAATTAGCCTACCCCAAATTTTGGTGAGGATTTGTGACTCCTCATTTGATGAGGAGTCACAAGACTCAGTCAATGATCTAAAAATTGCATTGATCTGATGAAAACTAACGGTTTGACTACGGTACTTTTCTCAAATAGATGCATTTTCGAAAACGCTTTAGTCGAGCGGAACACACTTTAGTCAAGACGCTTGTAAAACTTATGACTAACATGTACAATTAGATGACAAGCTTAATACCAAGCAATCTGTAATCTATTACCCTATTCAGGACACTTCCCTTGACGGCACAAATCTCACATGGAAATGTCTGCCCGGCCCTCGAGGTCCTCGTTCAGGTGTTGTCCTTCCATCAACCGCTCCTCATTTCATTCATCAACCAAAGTCCACCGATTTATTACTCGGTCAAACAACTACATTGACATGCAGGTGAAAAATGTAATAAAATAGAAAACAATTCACTTTTCTTTTAGTGCTGAGGGTCCACCAGTTCCTGAAATCGTTTGGGCAAAGGATGGGAAAAGATTGAATGATGTTCCACCAGCTAGTGGCTACTCACAACTTGTGGTTAGTTTTTTCAAATAGACTAAATTCTAAACGAATAAGAATTTCTCACAAGAACATGTCAGAGTATTTGGGTAACATCACTTTAAAAAAAAGAGGAAATGAAAAGGGGAAAAAAGGGGGAGGGTCAAAGTTGGGGATTTTCAAATAGAAAAAGGCATTTTAGTATCTAGAATGTACCAATATTCATTTAATAGTATAATTGTCTTTTAAAATTTGTTTAAATTGTTTTAGGTGAAAATGGACACACCAAAGCATGGTGGCAATTTCACATGCATTGCCACGAATAGCGTTGGAAAAAGTGAGAGTACGGCATTGGTTGAATACGCCGAGCCACCGCCAGATGATGTTGTTTATGAGGATTATGATGGAGGTAAGAAATATCGATATATATTCCTTGAAAACAGAGATTTAAAGATCATTTCAAGTACTTTTCTAGCTCAGATGCGATTATGAGTTTACCGTAAGTTTAGCCTAAAGAAGTAAGTCAAAAGTAGGCCAAAACTGGGCCTATCTAGTCTAGAGCAAGTCTATTCTTAGGCTTAAGTCAAATTTGAACATTATTAACAACCATTTTTGAGTTACTGAACAATGCCAAATTTCAGAGCTCACTACAGTCATGTATCCGAAAAAGAAAGTGGCGTTGATGGAATGTTTGGATAGGTGGGAAAAGAGAAGAAATTCTTTCTTTTTGAGTAGAGATTATCGAAAAACACTTATTGAAAAAAGAAATCAAAAGATTTTAGAGGAAATGCTCAGCAAACGGGAATGACATGGATGCACGGTGATCGGCCGGTTGATCCAAAGACTGAACCGGTGATCTTATTGAATAATGGTTCGATGGTTGTGCTGGATGCGGATAGTATTACGGTAAGCTGTTCACTTAGCTCTTCAAGAAGCTGTTCACTTACAGTACTGGACAATGAAATATCATATTTGAAAAACAATCGTCACATTCGCACCTCTGTAACTTCCTTGTCTTTGAGTTTAAAGTATTAGTGTTATACATTTTCTGAAAGCGCTTTTCAAGGGCTACACGATGGTAGTATTAATATTTAGAAATACCCTATTTTTTAAGGCATTTCAGCGCACGCGAAAGTGACGATTGTTTTTCAAATATGATATTTCATTGTCCAATACTGTAGCTCTTCAAGAAGCTGTTCAGAATGTAGGACTAGGATAGATCAGAAGTCAGGATTTGGAAAAGTGATTGGAGGAATAAATTCGCCTTTAGTACAGAGTTTTAGCTTTGAACTGAATGTAGAATTTGGTTAAAAAGACAGCAAGAATTGATCTCAAAACTTCTTGTAGTATTTGCTGTAAATTTGTACAAAAATCATCACTAAACCAGTTAATAATTTGATCTTAATGTTAGAGAATCGGTTGTTAGATCTTAGGTCTTAATCTTAATCGATTTTTTAAATGTTAGAGCTTAATTTTAAACGATCCTTGTTCAAATCCCTTTCTTTAAATGACAAATGGTACAAATGGTGACAATGAATCACTTTAAATGACAAGCTTTTAATTTAAATGTGAATTAAGAAGCCAAATAGATATTCAACGAAGTTTTCTGAAGTTCTGAAGTTTAAAAAAACCGATTTCTCAATTACTAGCTTGAGACTAGCCAAATAGATATTCAATGAAGTTTTCTGAAGTTTAAAAAGCGAAAGTCTCAAGTACTAACTCCTTATTATTTCAAAAAAACCCATAAAACCCATAAACAATCATCAATTCTTCAAGAAAATGCATTTTTTCATGGGTTCAAGGTAAATAAAATGAATAAAAGACATTTTTTTCTAAGAAAGATTAAATAAATGAAACTTTTGACAGCATTGAGCATAAAATGGCGTTCATTGAAAAGCCATTGTTAGCCAATTCAAAGAGAATTTCGTTTGAAAATTCTTCCGTGATTTCACAAGCACATAAAAGCAGAGGTAAATGGAGTTTCGGGTTAAAGAATTTTAAAAAAAAAAAGTGATTTCATTGAAAAATTTAGGAAATAGAGCAAATCTAAATAGTAAACGTCAGAGTTTTCAAATTCTCTTTTCTCAGGAAATTTTTGAGGGGGAAATGTTGGGTTCATTTTTTGGAAAGCAAACGAAATTTGGATACTTTTGCAGGGGAAAAGGTAAAGATGACGATTTAACTTTATGGCCACAAAAAGTAAGCTTTAGAAAAGTTTGGCAAGTGAATCAAAGTGTTCAAATATCTAACATATTGGTTATAAGTTATAGAATTGAAATTTCTAAAAGTGACAAAGCAACGGAACAAAAATTTGAGTACTTTTGCAAAGTTTTCTAATCAATTTGTGTTAAAAGAAGAAGAAAAAAAGCAAGGTTATTAAGCTTATTGCAAAATATAACTAATAAAAGACTTGCAAGCTTTGATTTAAACTGGGCAAGAGTAAGTCTAATAGTATAAAGCGTGAAACAGCTAGCGTAACCTTTTAGCCAAACCAGAAAGCTTATAGCCACAAAAAGTAAGCTTTAGAAAAGTTTGGCAAGTGAATCAAAGTGTTAGAATCTAAAATATTGGTTATAAGTTATAGAATTGAAATTTCTAAAAGTGACAAAGCAACGGAACAAAAATTTGGGTACTTTTGCAAAGTTTTCTAATAAATTTGTGTCAAAAGAAGAAGAAAAAAAGCAAAGTTATTAAACTTATTGCAAAATATAACTAATAAAAGGCTTTCAAGCTTTAATTTAAACTGGGCAAGAGTAAGTCTTATAGTATAAAGCGTGAAACAGCTAGCGTTTAGGAAAAATTTAGGAAATAAAGCAAATCTAAATAGTAAACGTCAGAGTTTTCAAATTCTCTTTTCTGAGAAAATTTTTGAGAGAAATGTTGGGCTAATTTTTTGGCATTTAAGACTTAAGACTTCCAAAATTGTGCTTTGACTTCCGAATTTTGAAAAATTGCACGAAAATTCCCATCATTACTATGCAAAAGGTGTTGCAGGCGTTAGTCTGATCTCACGCCTACCCCTTTCCCCTATTTTCCCTCCATTCAGCTTCACTACTTATTCAAAATTGAGTATTATTAGCCAAAATAGAAATCATTCTATTAAATATTTGTTATCTTTACGTTCAAATCGGTTGTATAATGCCAGTTTATTTCAATTTTCATCGATAATTTCATTAAATTCATCAAATTCATCAAATTTCAAGTTTTCAACATTTCTTTTGAGGCTAATACTGTATTTTACAAAGTATAAACGTGCATATTTCATTCCGTGATAGAGTAAAGTCAAACTTTGAGATTATAAAATAACTAATACAATCACTCAAGAAGAGATGCACATTGATTAATCAATGATAGCTTAGGAAAACAAAAAGCATTAAAGCCTTTTGCTGTCAATTCTAGACTAACTGGAGGAAGATTTTGACGTAAATTCGTGCATCTTTTCTTTTTCAAATCACCTTTTGTGAACGATTTGTTTGAGAGAATCAAATAATGGATGGAAATGGCTTTTCTTCGAATCTCTTCCTTTTTCTTTACCAATTAAAAGCTTGCATACAGAAATCAACTATTATTTATTTAGACAAAAGATTTTTGAGCTCAAAAGAAAGGGGTTTTTTTTTAAGGTGAAGCGTGTGAGTTGTAGATATCTTTCAATGTACTAGAGTTTCTAGACATTAAACACAAAATACATTATCAATTAGCTTTATTGTGTACGAAGAATAGAAACGCAACTTTTCTAGTGCACTGGATTCACTTTTCTTGCAACATCAATGTTTCTGTGAAGAATTAAGTCTACTTTATGCTTAAATTTGTAAAGAAACTGGTGCTTTTTCATGAGATTAGTACATTGGGTAAACTAGGAAAGATGCGTACTTTGCAAGTACTTTGGAAGCAAGTACTTTGGAAGCAAGTACTTTGGAAGCAAGTACTTTGGAAGCAAGTACTTTGGAAGCAAGTACTTTGGAAGCAAGTACTTTGGAAGCAAGTACTTTGGAAGCAAGTACTTTGGAAGCAAGTACTTTGGAAGCAAGTACTTTGCAAGCACAAAGTACTTGAAGTGTTATGGAAGAAAAGTAGGGGAAATTCGAAACTTTTATATAAGGCAAAGTGCTTTAGGAACTAAATTTAACATTTAAGAAAGATGTTTTCGAGATTCTTCGCAACATTTACTTAAGACTAATAAGATTTCTCGTAATGACTAAGTGTTTGATGTAATTAGAGACTGAAGAAGACTCAGTTTCAATCATGAGATCATGCCCTTTACCGCTAATTTCCAAGTCCAAATGGATCAATTTTCAGGCTGATGAGCTCAAGTTGTACAATTGCCGAATCGGGAAAAGGAAGAAGAAATCTAGGACACATTTGGTGAGTGAAAAGGAAATGAATAACATTCAGAATTCACAACCTAAAACATGAAGCAGTTACCGTAGCCTAGTCAGTTCTCTAGTGAACTTTTGTTTTAAGTACGGTTATGTTAGCTGGATAGCCTTAGAGCTTCAATTTCCGTCAAAATTCGAAAAATTCACATGCACTGCTTTAGATCTAATTGTAAGAAAGAATTTGAAAGTATTTTGATAGATTTATAGTGTTTCCTTTAATTCTTTCATAGTTATATAGAAGATTAAAAAAGTAGAAACACTGGCGTCAATTTAACAATAAAGCTTACCATAGTTTTCAGTGATTGACACGTTTTAGAAAACGGCTTGGAAAATTTTTCAAAGGCTTGAAAGAATAAAAACATTCAGAAGCCAAAAACGAAATCTTTTATAGTCAGCAGAGTCTAAAAGATCCTATAAGGACCAAAAATTTGGTATTTTCTGGAAGATAAATCATTCCAACCAGCAATTTGGTGTATCTAGCAATGTGCTTCTAAAAATAAGACTCCAAGAAATGTCATTGATTTGCAAAAATGATTTCTCTAACAGAAACAACATCGGCTAATGTTCTGTATATAAATTAGTAAGAAAAAGAAAGCGAAAAGAGAGATCTTTCCAAATGAACACCCTCACTTCTTTCAAAGAAATCACAAAAAGGATAAATAGGGGAATACGAAAACAGGGGAAAAGGTAAAGATGACGATTTAACTTTATAGCCACAAAAAGTAAGCTTTAGAAAAGTTTGACAAGTGAATCAAAGTGTTAGAATCTAAAATAGTGGTTATAAGTTATAGAATTGTTAGAATTGAGATGTCTAAAAGTGACAAAGCAACGGAAAACAAATTTGGGTACTTTTGCAAAGTTTTCTAATCAATTTGTGTCAAAAGAAGAAGAAAAAAGCAAAGTTATTAAACTTATTGCAAAATATAACTAATAAAAGGCTTGCTAGCTTTAAATTAGACTGGGTAAGAGTAAGTCTAATAGTACAAAGCGTGAAACAGCTAGCGTAACCTTTTAGCCAAATCAGAAAGCTTAACAGATCCAATTTTGTTTGGCATGTTGACTGATATGAGTCAAAAAAAAAGTGTTGTCTAAGCCTTGTTCTTCTTCTTTCCTTCCACCTTCATTGTCTATGAGTAGTCAGAAAAAAAAAACACTAGAAACTCGTGCCCTTTTATGCTTTTTCTCAAAAAGGCAACTCATAATTTAGTCTCTAGAGACTAAAATTTTCGATGCAACTTTGTGAAAGGTCGCTTTTAGTTTAAAAAAAAATGATTAAATTTCCATCATCGCATCAATTAACAAAGAAAAAATTAGATAAAAATTACTTGAGCAAATGAGAAAGTTAGTATCTAGCTCTAGATCTAGCTCTAGAACTAGATCTAGCACTAGATCTAGATCTAGCTCTAGATCTAGCTCTAGATCTAGCTCTAGATCTAGCTCTAGATCTAGCTCTAGAACTAGCTCTAGATCTAGCTCTAGATCTAGCTCTAGAACTAGATCTAGCACATATTACTCATGTAGAAGTTAAGATATTAATCTTATCAACATAATAATAGCAAATGTTATTCTAAAAAGTAAGTTTTTAAAAGCTTTTCACGTGAAGCTTTTTAAAGATTCCTATCAAAATAAGGGAATTAAAGAATAGTGATGAAAAGAATTGAAAATCGCTGGCTCTTGAGGCTCTTGAGGCTGAATGGATTAGTTTAAGCTGTTATTTCAAAATCGCTGGCTCTTGAGGCTTGGTTCTTTATATTAAGAATAAAGATTGATTCATAAATAGAAAAGATTTAATAGAAAGTGATTAAATATTAATTTCAATGAAAGGATAGACAACAATTCTTTGTTTAGATGGAAATTGACGACACTCCACCAAAAGTTACCACACCCGAACGAGTCCGCGCTCAAGAGGGACAAGAAGCTGTTATTGGTAAAAGATTTCAGAGATTTGAACTGACTATTAAAGAAAATATAGTTACAATTCAAGTATTTTGAAATAACAGCTTAGACTAATCGATTCAGATTGCAAGCTCGACGGTCAACCATTGACCACCGATATCAAATGGATGAAGAACAATCAACCATTGATCCCATCAGATTCTGTTTATATTTTGGTAAAGAATCAAAGAATTGATTGATTCTAAGAAAGCTTTAGCCAAATAACTCTTTGTGGATTGAAGAGGCAAGAGGTGAGGATATTGGAGAGTACAAATGTCGAGCAGCGAACACCCTTGGAACGGCTTTTGATGATACAGTGTTGCATCTACAAGGTTCGATAAGTTTCATTGATTATAAACTTAGTTTGATTAAATTATGTTCTAATGAACGCGATTTGCTAAGAAGTTTATAAGCTAGAGGCTGGTTATCCAGCGCAAACCTGATTTAGCTGGATCTTGGGGATCAGGTTTGCAGCAAGGCCTGACTTAGCTGGATCTTGGGGATCAGGTTTGCAGCAAGGCCTGACTTAGCTGGATCTTGGGGATCAGGTTTGCAGCAAGGCCTGACTTAGCTGGATCTTGGGGATCAGGTTTGCAGCAAGGCCTGACTTAGCTGGATCTTGGGGATCAGGTTTGCAGCAAGACCTGACTTAAGCTAAAATTACCTTTGGAACAACCCTGCAAGTCAAGTTCTTGGGTTGTACCCATTCCAATTCAAGATCATAAGATCAAAAAAAATTGATTACTGAATTTAAAAGCATTAACTTTCAGCCTAGACTTTATAAAGCTTATAGAGCTAAGCAAAATGTGCGTTGATATGCAGCAGTGATAATAGAATGAGTTAAAAATCAATATCAAAAACTAAAAAAAAACCGTTATTTGACTTTAAAGGACAACTCAGTCTCTATTTTAGATGATGCAATCGGTATTCTGGACGAGTATGACGATGGTGAAAGCAGTGGTCGTTTAATGATCCAACCACCAACCCTTGCCCCACTGCAACGAATCGAGTTCACCAAAAAGCAAAGTTGGTTTTGGAAAGAGAATAATGTTAGATCTTCAAAATTGAAAATTTTTCTCATCGTCCATAAAAACAAAAATGTCTTTGACGGCTAATTTTGCGGTGTCAACTGCAGAATCGGCAGAATTTTCTGGAGACACCCCCACAGAAAAGATTTTCATTTTGAGAATGACGTTTCCACTGGGTAAAAAGATGATGTTCTCCGAAAGACTTGTCAAAATCTGCTCTTGTTTTCTTTGATTTGACGTTTCTTTTGCAGAAACTGCACGGGATTTGATCGAGGAGTTGCTGCATAGAAATGTTGTCAAGCAATTGCCGAATGCGACAGAGATTCCCGAAGTTTACGATAAGAAGATCGATTTCAAGTTCAGCACCGGGGATAGATATGAGGTAAAGAAGGGAAATTGGATTTAAACTAGCGGAAATCACAGTCCTTCGCTATTTCTTTTCTTACAGTACATATTGTGCTTTGTGTTTAAACGTAAACACATCATTTTTGGCTTAGTAATTTCAAAATCTTCTTTTAGGCTGAGCAAAAAGTCAACCGAACTGATCAAATTCATCCGATTATTGAGAAATTCTCGGGCAGCTTGCCGTTTGATAACAATACGGTAGGGATAAAATGGAGATCGTTAAAGAAATCTTTAAAAACTTTAAAGAAATCTTTAAAGATTTTAAAGAAATCCTGCAAAATCTTTAAAGAAATCTTTAAAGACTTTAAAGAAATCCTGCAAGACTTTAAAGAAATCTTTACAGACTTTAAAGAAATCTTTAAAAACCAAGAGAAAAGCTACAAAATAGAATGTAAACTAAATAAAATCTAGGGAAATAAAAGAATTTTCCCAAACTTATCGGTGCCAGCGGAACGTGCATATCGCGAAAGATGAATTATTCCGTCAAGTTTCCCCTCTCGAATCCAAATCTCCCAAGTGTCGAAGAGAATTCTCGCCTATTACCCTATTAGCAAAAGTAATTTAAGGAATTTTTGATTTTTTTGATGGTTAGGTCAAAAAAACAACAGCTAATGTCTCAATTTTGACTCAAAATCTAAACGAGCATCTTCGCAAAATTGGATCTTTCAATTCTCCAACACTTGTAATGCCAAAAAATGTTATTGTTATGGTCGAAAGATTCAAAAGAAAACGATGTTGGATTCAGCTTTAAAACGAAATTCCTCAGAGTACAAAGCTAATGTTGAAAATGAATGGAAAACATGAGATTTCCCTCTCAAGACCAAAAATTCCCTTCGCTGGTGGTCCATTGTTGTCTTTGTGTGGAGAAAAGAGTCAATTTGGGGGAAAAAAAAGAAATGTAATTGCAACGTTCTAACGAAGGGTCTCAAATCTGAAAAAAAATGACGGGATAATGGGAAAATTGATGGGAAAATGAATTCTCTTGGAGAACAATGAGTATCAAATTTTAGGAGGAAGCTCGTCTGGAGAATGTGACGACTAGGATTACAGAGATTGCACCCGGAGAGTTTGTGGCTGTCGGAAAAGCGGGATTGGTGGTCGGCGATGAGATCGTTGATATAGCGTTTGTGATTAGTTTTATAGTAGTAGCTATAAGTAGTAGCTGTATCTACAAAAATAGCTACTAGTTTCTAAATTTACATTTCCGAATTGCTCATTAGAAAACTTTAACTTTTAGGACGTATGAGAAGCTGAAGTTCAACATGTCCGATATGACCATTCAACCGGGAAGATCGATCAGGTAGCGCTCAAGAATGCTCAGAAGATTTATCCGATAAAAAAAGCCTTATAGAATTCTAACCAAGTGCTTGTAAGTCCAGAAATCTCAAGTCTGGCGGTTTAGATACCTTTGTGAAACGGCAATGTTAGATTAGAAGCTAGACTAGCTTCTAGTCTAGAGCCTAGAGCCTTCTAGTCTAGAGCCTTCTAGTCTAGAGCCTTCTAGTCTAGAGCCTTCTAGTCTAGAGCCTTCTAGTCTAGAACCTGTTTCCTGACCCAAGCCTTACTCAGTCTGGCCTTTGGATATCCTTGATTGTTTATAAAATTTATTTATTTATTCGCAATTGTTTATATAACTTTTCTAGACTCGAAATGGAGTTTCTTGATGGAAATCGAAACGCCACCGTTCATCCACACGAGGAAGAGGATTGTGGAGAAGGATTTGAAACTGATGAACAAGGATATTGTCAAGGTTTTGTGATCGATATTAAATAAATGAAACAATTTTCAGATATTGATGAATGCTCTAATAATGCCACTCTTTGCGACTCATATTCTCTTTGTGAAAACATTGATGGAACCTATGAGTGTCAACCACTTTGCGAGCCTGGATTTAGGTAAGATACAAATTTTCCTAAAGAGTCCTTTTTCCTACCGTAACCGCTGAAAATCGGTCCAACCACATTAGGCCTTTGCTGGTGTTGAAGATAATAGATTGGGCTGTTTAGACGGTAGTGGGCTGTTTAGATTTACAGAGAAATTCCAAACAAATCTAGACCAAGACTTGACGATGGAACTTGTGTGGACGTTGATGAATGTGAGAAGAATCCATGCAGAGAGACCGAGTACTGTATGAATATTGATGGTGAGTTGTAAAAAAAGGGGGAATCAATGTTTCAGTTCAAAATTCTTTTGTTTCTAGGTTCATACACTTGTTTGGACAAAAACCCGTGTCAACCCGGCTTCGTCTACAACTCTCATACGGATCTTTGTGAAGGTAAGACTTTCAAATGATCCAATTACCTTTCAAATTACTTTGTTTTTGTTTTTTACATATTCTAATCGAATTTTCAATTTAGATATCGATGAATGTCAGCTGGAAAACTCGTGTACTGGAAATTTGCGTTGTGTGAACCAATTGGGCTCGTACATTTGCTTGTGTCCAAATGGGCATGCTCCAAGAAATGGAACTTGTGCAATGAGTGGGTGAAGCTGATTGAAACTCTTCGATTTTAGTACTTAAAGAGCTAGATTCTGAAGTTCTTTATGTTTCTTTTTAGCTGAAATTAGCTGTGAGTAGCTTTCAGTCAAGCTTTCAGTCATTAGCTTTCAGTCAAGCACCGAATCGCTAATCAAACTCACGGAAAATTGCATAAATGTTTACCCGGTTTCCACTGGGATCACAATTTTCACGATTGTGTTGGTGAGTATCAAAAAGGAAGAATCATTTAAAGCCAGATTCTAGATGTTGATGAGTGTGTTCACGATTGGAAATGCGAATGGAAATGCGTAAATAACGTTGGAGGTTATGAGTGTCTTTGCCCGGATGGTTATTATTTGGGTGATGATAACAAGTGTAAAGGTGAGATAGTTTTTAAAAATCCTTATTTACACGGATAATGTGTTACAAATAATATACCAGCATAAGCCCTAAAGGCAGGAAAGAAAAACCCACAGAACTGGAAAAAAAGAACCAAAAAACTAGCTAGCGGGAGTGAACCCTCGCTCTCCCGATTAAGAAACGGGGGACTTAACCACTTGGCCAGGCGACCATCGAAACCCTGCCCCCAAGGTCGCAATATTAAGGTAGTTTTGAGCTAAAATGGAAAAACAACCTTCTTTCATTCATCTCTCGAATCTGCTGAAAGCAAGAACTTCGTGCATTAGAAGAGATGCATTTTCATTCATCAGCACAAAGTACACGAATTCCTTTACAGATATCGATGAGTGCACGAATGACACAATATGCGTGGGAACAGGCGGAGCAGAGCTTTGCTTTAACAACTTTGGTGGTTATCAGTGTCTCGAGCATCCTTGCCCTAAAAACTATCACATTGTTGGGCAAAGGTGAATGAACAAATGAAGCGAATTTTCAAAAACCTTTTAGTGAATGCCATCATGATTGTTATGACTGCCATAAACCGATCATCCGACTACAAATGCTTCCCGTTGTCGCATCTGTTCCAATCAACAGTGCTTTGGCTAAGTTGACTGCATACGATAAGCAGTCAAGGGTTTGAGAAACATTTCAACGAATTTACTTTGTTTTCAGATAGTTAACGATACAATATATACAATATCGGAAAATCAAGATGATGAGAAATCGAGTAAGTGTTGAAAATTGAGTTTGATTGAACAATACAGGTTTGATTTAGAGAACATTTGATTAGCGCCCCTTTTCCCCATTAGCAATCCAAGTTTGAACTCAAATATCTTGGTTTTGTGTCATCGAATTTAAATTTTCTTGGTATCATTAGATTCGTCAAGCCTTTCTCTGTCGATTGCTATAAAAACTATTGAAATTGGACAGCCCAACACCAAGATATTTGAGTTCAAAGATGGATTACCAATGGTAAAGAGGCCGGGGCGCGTATAAAAGGTCCGTCGCCCCACCCCTTTCCCCATTAGCAATCCGACTTTGAGCTCAAATATCTTGGTGTTGGGTTATCCAATTTAACTGTTCTTGGTATCATTTGAATCGCCAAGCCTTTCTCTGATTGGTACAAAAATTATTTCAATTGGACAGCTGAACACCAAGATATTTGAGCTTAAAGCTTGATTGTCAGAGGCAAAGGCAAAGGCGCGTATCAAATGTTCCAATCTACAGGTTTTGGTACTGATTTGGAGTTGTTAAGTTTGTCTGTCAATTGTAATCTTAGATCTTTGATTATCGGAACACAAATCACATTAAGGTGGCAAAACGACAGCTGGAAGCTATGGAATTCGAACCGATCACGGTCAGGCGACAATTCTTTCAGCTGCTTCGCTAGCCATCGATAAGACAACAAAATTGAGAGTAAGTATACGAATTCTGGATACGGACAATTTAGAATCTATGTAGATGAATAGATTTCGTTTATGAAGCTCTTTAATGTAAACATGGAGCTGTAAGTTTACTGTGAGGGTACTGTAAACTGTAAACACTGTAAAATTACTGTAAACATGGAGCTGTAAGTTTACTGTAAAGGGTACTGTCCCGTTCTGCTGTTATTTCGCTACTATATTATTATTCGTGATACTTATAGTAAGATAAGATGATGAATATCAACTTTTTATAAAATATTTATTCTTATACAGATTATAGTACTGTGGAGAAACTTTTTCGATTTTCAGGTATTCGCCGAAAGTGAAACCAACGACAATTCCCACTATTTACTTCACGTTCACGTCTCAAAATACAATTTCTAATATTGAAGAGAACTTTTCTTTTTGATTTTAATTACTTTTTGATTATCATGTTCACTCAAAAACTTTTTCTAGAATCGCGCATCAAAATGCCACAATTTTATTCCCTGGGTATAGTGATATCTTCGTTCATTTCTTTTGACCTTCATTGTAAGTATTCTATTTTCTTGTCTTTTATAAATAATATAAACTTTATGTTCTTTAGATTTAGATTTTAAATGATAAATAAATAATTTGAATACTGGAAATGGAAAAGAAAGGAAGTTTTGGATGGTGTTTCAGATTGTATTTGTACGTATTACTTTCACAGAAAGCTTATTAACATGTATTAACTCTTCCAGTACTCTAATATTAAATCGTTATCTTATAAACAAAATTATTTTTCACACAACTCATGTTCAATACCTTTCTCCTTGATTGAGCAAAAGAGCTGAGTTGCTTTTCCATTCAATAACAATTCAAAAAGATTGTGTTCGATTTAAGTATAGTTGAAATCTTTTAACGACATCATTAATCTAAAAATTTTCATTTTTCTACTAAACAATAGATGTAGTATTGCTTAACCTACTTAATAAGTCAACAATTCGGCAGCTCCTGGAAGGCTCTCTCTCTCGGCTCTCTTTTCCAATGTAATTTGTGAAAAATACATTTGTATTTAAAAGTTTTATGTATTTAGAAGAGCTTTTTCAATGTCAGAGAGCAAAAGTTGCTTAATCGATTTGAAAGTTCGAAATGACTTCCGGAAGTTGATTTGCAAGAAAATATTCATCTCTGGGTGAAAATAAAAGAGAAAAACGGACTCAATGAACGGCTTTCTGAAAATCCAAAATTTTCTGATAGTTTGAAGAAATGTTCTGCTTTGAAGATTTAATTTCTCAGCATTGTCATCTTCGATAAAAGGCGATGAATTATAGTTACACCAAAATTTGGTGACTCTAGGAAAACAGCAAGTTGATTGCATTGTTTTCAGGTACAGTTCTCAGGAAATCGTTTGATGCCATCGAAATATTTTGGTGTTGCATTTGATGGAATCATTTCTGTACTTTTCGCCCAACAGGAATACCGTACTCCTCGCTGAAATCCTCCGCTTTCCTTTCCGACTTTCTGTCTCTCGATTTTTGCGTAAATCTGTCGTAATTCTCTCGATGAAATACAATATTTCATAGATAGAATTGAGCCAAATCATCTTCAAGCTATCCTCATTTTCCAGGTACTTCAACAATTTCTTTACTGTAGTTGGTAAATAAATGTTGAATTGAAATGTTGTTACGAAAGTTTTCCAAGGTCTAATAGCTTGACTCAGATAGCCTCAAGTACTATCTAATTACAAGATGAACAGAAATACTGATAGTTTATGGAAAAAAAAAAATGAGTAACCCATGAAGTAATCCCATTGTCAAAGCACTTATTTTTCGATTTCAAATTCAGTTTAAAAAGAATTGAACTGTAAAGTGGTAAAAGTTTTTAAACTTTATAAATTGCGAAGGAAACTTATGTACAAATGCTGAGAGTTTTATCTATAAAAGCTCAATAAGCTGGCTTTTGGTCTAATAGCTTAACTCAGATAGCCTAAAGTACTATCTAATTACAGTAACACAAAACAAAAAGCTTCATGAATTTGAGACATCAAAAAGAAAAGATTGATTTCATTTTGTTAAACTTGAAATGCTACAAAAAGTCGAATGGAATCTTGACTTAAAGAGATGACTCCAAGAATTTCTTCTCATGGATCTCAAGGCAATTTTTGGCTATTCTATGTCAAGGAGTGAAAAATCGGGAAAGGATAGAGCTCCTCACTAGGCTCTTTTTTGGGTGTGGGACCCTCCCCCTCTTTTCAAAGCCATAGAGCCCTTCACTTCTCTCAAAAAAAAGCAAGAGATCTCAATTGAAGGGATCAAATTCTTTCTTCACTATGTCAGTATTCATTTTATTATTAAGAGAGGATCTGTTTTTGTTTATTTTTATCATTGTTATCATTTTTTAAGCTAGTATCTATTTATGCAATAGTCACAAGTTTAATTTTCTACATTATATTCGATTCAGATTCAGAGCCATCTTATACTTAAAATTATCTACAAAAGCTTTAAACTCTTTCAAAATACTTTACAATAACATATGCTTAATTTTTCGCGATCTTGAAGATTCCAATAACTTACAAATCATTTTTTTAATATCTTCTTTACAAAAATCGATTTCTTTCATGTTTTGAGGCGTTTTTCCTCTAATTTCACACATGTGTTTTGCTTATTTTATGACCTTACCAACAAATTGTTCGCGAAAAACCAAAGAAATGTTAGTTTTAAGGCTTTAATGACGTTTCTAATGACTTATTTTCTAAATAAGTTTTAGTCTCAAATGTCAAAGATTTTCCTTTATGAGAAAATATTGGAAAAGCCATAAATCTCGACGGATTTTTCTCTCTAGTCACTTTTTAAGAAGAATTAAGTCTTTCTACTATTTTCTTTAAGGTTTGAACAACAAAATTAAATAGTTAATAAAACAAAGGTACGATTTGAACATTTTTGAACATAGAACAGGATGAATTAGACAATTATAATCATTGTTTGCAACTTTTTTTCTCTATAACTTAAAGTTAACTTTGTAATTTCTTATCTGAATGACTTATTCTGCTATTTCACGTGTGAAAATTTCTATTTTAAAGTCATGAAACTATTTTTTCTATATAATTTTCACAAAATACTTTAGAGAGAAGATGGAGATGCTTACTCCGACCTTCAATGAGCCATCATCTCGACGGAGTTCTCGAAGAGGAAGTGATTTATTCTCTGAGAAAGGTGGGGCAAATTTCTTTCGCATAAGGTTATAGATTTACTAAACTCAATAGAAATACTAGTTTTTTTATTTTAATCTCTAAATCTTGTAGCTTTTATAAGATAAATGATTAGTTTCCAAGTTGTTCTTGTCCTTGTCCCTGTCCCTGTCCTTGTCCTTGTCCCTGTCCTTGTCCTTGTCCTTGTCCTTGTCCTTGTCCTTGTCCTTGTCCTTGTCCCTGTCCCTGTCCTTGTCCTTGTCCATATTCTTGTCCTTGTCCTTCTCCATATCCTTGTCCCTGTTCTTCTCCTTCTCCTTGTCCTTGTCCTTGTCCCTGTCCCTGTCCTTGTCCAAGCTCCAAGTCACAAAATCTCGAGCTATGCCATTACTTGCCTTTTTCTATGAATTACTACCGTTCAAGTCTGAATTCTGCTCAATTATATGAAAAAGAACTCCTTTGAACTTTGAATTTCTTCAACTTTGACTCTATTTTGAGGAAATGAGAGTGATTCTGTTAATGGAAATCATCTCGTAAGCATTCAGGGAAAAGAATTCCTGATTTCATGTCTATTTCCGGATTCATCCACTCCATTCCATCTCTACAAAATCCAATATTTCAAGTTTATATCAAAAATTTGAGTTCTAACGTTTAAAACTCAAATCCCAACTCAAAAACAACTTGAAAACCCGGGAATTGACACGCTTTTGAGTTTATTTCTCTTCAAATTTTGCTCCAGTTTTGTTTTTGACAACTTTTCTGAGCTACTCAAACAATTCTTATAGTAAAAACATGTTTTTAAACTTATTTTCTTATTTTCTTATACAAAAATTGATATTTTATATATATTTTTCCTCTTTTTGGATCTCTTAGCCACCACTTGAGGCTAAAATTTGACGGTTTTGAATGACACCCTTTTTCGGAAATATTTCACACTGAAATCAACTAGACAAATTGAAACAATTAACTGCAAATTTTACGACTAACAAAAAGGAGTTTTCGTTTTTCTTTGTGACTTGCATTGGTCACAAATTTTTGCTAGGGTGTCCCCGAATGCATTTGCAATTAGCGATGTGGGTTTTCCTTGGGTTTCCCCCATCAAGAAATGATCAGAAAACGAATTTCAGTTCAATTTTATGCATTAAAATTGAAAATATTCTCGGATTTTATTGAATTTGAGAAGAAAATGAGAAAGAAAACTGTAAAATGATTGATTTGATTGATTGATTGATTGATCATTGCATTAAGCATTGATTGATTCTTGATTCAGCTAAGGAAAATCCAGATCCAAATCGCTTTGGTTTAGTTTTGGAATCTCTTATTGAATCAAAGCTTTGCTGATCTATTGAAAACTGGTGAGATTACGGTAGTTTTATAAAATAAATGTCTTTTAAAAGCGCAAGAAATGTTTATAGAAGCTAGTTTGAACAAAAACGAAACCTTATTACCAGATTAAAGCAAAGTTTTTTTGATAGATTGATAAAATTGATAGATCTCTGCAAATTCCAGATAGCTTTGCTCAGCTTTGCTCAGCTTTGCTCAGCTTTGCTCAGCTTTGCTCAGCTTTGCTTAGCTTTGCTTAGCTTTGCTTAGCTTTGCTTAGCTTTGCTTAGCTTTGCCAAAAACCAAAAGTGATTGTGAAATGGTGAGAAAGAAATTTATTGTTTCTGTCAGCTGTTGAGGGGAACACATCCCATTCGATGAACCCGTCAAACAGGAAAAAAAGGAAGAAAATGGGAAAATCTTTGGATTTCTCGAGTTTCATTCCTCACATTTGGATCTAGCACCTCAATAAATAAATGTTATTATTATTAAATAAATGACAACTTTTGTTCTATAACTTTTTACAGTCATTTTCAAGTTTTCCCTCTTCATCGATGTACATTTTGGTTAGAATGAATGTAAACGCATTGTTTCTTGGCACATTATATTCTATTTCATACATCTAGATAGGTCACACTGAGTGCACCAGCTAGAAATCGTTTTCATTTTGAGCACAAAGTACTTCTCAATCCTTTTTCATTGTTTTGCTCTTTTCGAAAATGAGATTTCGTTGGAAAACATTAGTGTACTCGAAATGTGAAGAGAATTATTCAAAAGCTTTTCCCATTTCTTATTTGAAGCTCTACGAAATGAATCTTTTCATTTTATAATCAACAAATTAAAAAAACAAAACAAAAAGTAAGTAAAGATCTTTAAATTCAAAAGGTTTATTTTATTACTGATTTATTACTTTATTACTGGTTTATTACTGGTTTATTACTGGTTTATTACTATTTTATTACTGGTTTATTACTGATTTTTGAGATATTTTTAAAAATTCATATAATCTTTGATCAAATTCTTAAGTTTTCTTGTTTTAATGCTTTTCAGATTTACCCGGATTATTACTGGTTTATTAATTTATTACTGGTTTAAAAGAGAAATTCGCTTTTACTTGCCATATTTTCCTTTGAAAGATGCCCAAGTTCAATTTTCAAATCCTCTGCCATCTTACTTAGGCCACTTCAATGATCGAATTGAAAGTTCAATGAATGAATAGAGACACTCAAGTGGATAATATTCAGTCTTGACGCAAAAAAGAACTGACAAGAGTTGAGAGATTTCAAATTGAATTTGCGGGGGGGGTGAGTCGAGTTTTTTCTTTTCTTTCTGGATCCTTTCTCCCAAAAATTCCCAAGGGAATCCAACAAGGTGTGTGATTTTTCGCTTTTAAAACACCAAATAGAGAAATTGAACACCGGAAATAAGAGAGAAATATGGAATTTATGTTTTTGCATTCACGCTCACTAAAACCTTGTTTTTGTTTATTCGAAATGGAACCAGTTAGAGGTTAGTTCAACTTGAAGTCCGGAAAAGATGTTGAGGAGAAATGAGAGTCCTGTTTTTCAATGAATAAGAAGGGGAAATTTCGTTGAGACTTTATGGCTTAATTGATCTAAACTTAAAGCTCTATTACTAATAATGGAAATCTCAAAAAGCTTCTGTTAACCAAGATCTCTGAATCTTTGAATTGAAGCTTTCAAAATCTCCATTCTGACTTCTCAAAAACAATGAAAATCCATAAATCTTGTAGAAAAGTTGGGAGTAAAAGAAAAAAAAGACAAATCAGACGGTTTCAGATTGAAATCGAATCGGAAACAGATGTTGTTTTTTTTGAATCAGATTTGAAAGGGAAAAAGGGGATGTCTGTCACGCAACTTCTCCTCTTTATCCTAAACAATCACTTCTCCATTTCATTCCAAATTCCACCCTCACAATTTGTTCACTTATTTGAATCGTAGAAGACGCAGTCATGATTCTAGGCAAGTTTTTTTGATTTTTACAAAAAGGTACATCTAGGTCTAGGAATGGAGCTTTGTTAAGACTTAATGACTAAATTATAGTTACCGTAAATACTGTAATAGTACCCCACCCTCATAATGACGGTGCGGAGCGTTGCGTAGTCTAGCTTTGAACGAGTTTTTCTCGACACTGGTTTATGCTACAATGCGCGCTTAGATATCAAAAAATAGCCCTGAATTTCAGCTATTTTTTGATACCTAAGCGCGCATTGTAGCATAAACCAGTGTCGAGAAAAACGCGTTCAAAGCTAGACTACGCAACGCTCCGCACCGTCACTATGGGGGTGGGGTACTATTACAGTATTTACGGTAGTTATTGTAGCCTTGCAAACTTTAACATTTCTAAGCATTATAAGCTAAAGTTAAACTATTATTAAAGCTAATTTATTAGGTTTAAGAGAAAGTACAGTGAAAGTATTCTGAAAGTATGAAAGTATAACAAGACAATTCTTGCATATTAATGCCAAAGAGAGAGATCCCATTTTTTCTCATTTATGAGATAAAATTCTGTACTAGTTCGAAGATTACATTATTTTAAAGTTGATCATTCTTGTGCCAAATCCTTTTTTTTCTCTCGCAACTTCTTGTTGTGACTTTTTCAGACCGCTTGCATTTCAAATTCAGACTCATACTCATAAAAAGAACACAAAAAACTTCTCGTTATTCTGTTTTTGTTTATAAAACCCCTCACGAAATCCCATTACCTTTATCTTTCGATCTTAAAAGAGACCTTTTAAGACTTTTGATTTATTGCTTGACCGAGTCTATTAAAAATATAGCTTTGCAGAAAATCTTAGCATTCTTTTTCGGTTTTGAAATGGTTAAGAAGTTTTAGTGTTAGTGACTAATCTTATAAATTCTGCAAAATTCAATATGTCAACTGACATGTTTTTATGATGTAAGAATGGATAAATAACTAGGTCGACTGCAATTTTAGTGCATTTTCTTATTTCTTTATTTCTTTTGGAAGGGCCCATAACCGGAGAAGGGGAATGGATAGAGAAAGGGATCTAGATCAGGCATTCCACACAAAGGTTCCCTCCGAGGAATTGAAATGCTAAACACTTCTTTTTTTCTTGGTTTTCTCATCCTTTGAGAATCGATTGGTTAAAGCTCTTTAAATCAAATAGATACTCTCAAAAAGTCTTAGATTTCACTAATAGATTCGTAGAGTTTTGTTGTGCTTAATAGTGACTGTTGCAGTTTTTAAAGACTGTTTTTACTAGATACCGTCATTTCTCTAATAGTAGTGCACCCTGATCGTCGTCTAAATTACTCGAAATCTCAAAAACCGCTTATCAGAACCTATCGATGTGGGGAAATGGAAAATGAAAATGTAGCTGACGATGAGATCTAATGGGGATTTGAGTGTTGAGCTTCTGGAAAACTTAGAAACCATAAAATAGGCATCAACTCGGTTCGGTGCGCGGTGCACTACTATTAGAGAAAATACGGTAACCGAAGATGTGTGGAAAATGGGGATTGGCTTGAGAAAGGTTAGCTTAACCGATCATTTCACACGTCTCTGAAAATTGAAATGCTAAACATCCTAAGTTTTTGAGCTTCTTTCTTCTTAATCTTTAAAATCTTTAATTCATTTCTTTATATACTAGTTTTTCTTTAACCTAGTCTAAAGAAGTTGAGGATTGTGCATCTTAGAGGCGGTTATTTTTGAAGTTTATGCAATGTTAAACTGCAATCTTTTACATTTCATACAGCTTTTCATTCATAACTCAACATTTACAATATCAGCTTTAAACTGTTCTTTAACTGTTAGATCTGTTTCTTTTATTTATACTCAACTTTTTTCTCTCAAAGTTTCCTTTCCTTTTCCTTTTCCTTTTATGGCTTTTCCCAACTTGTACCACGATATATCACAATCATAAATCTGTGGTAGTTTCAAGAAAATCGGGAATGATGTAAAGTCTGAATTATTGACTTTTATAAACCTTACTTACCTAGCATATTGTCATGATAAATCTAAAGCTTTTCATAAATCAACATTTCCAATATCGATTCTATGATCAAAGTCTTCATTATCGTTTCGCTTCCAGAGTCAATAAGCGCAAAAAAAAATGCGGGATCTTCTTTCAAAAGTGATCGATCAAAACTAACCAGAAAAAGGACAAAGTGATGATGAATTGAGTCAAGAATCTCTTTCATTTTCAATCTTTTTCCCGGTCATTGGTCTTTCTCCCCTTTTCTCAATTCGAATTTTCTTTTCATTCTTTCATTCCATGGGAATCTCAACTCATTTCAATTAATTCTAATCTAAGTTCAGAAATAAGTATTCAGCAAAAATCTTCTATTTAGGATTTCCTATGGATGAGCGGATAGTGATAAATGTGGGAGGACATCGGCATGAAACCTATGCTGCAACATTAAAGAAAATCCCTGCTACAAGATTATCTAGGTATTAATTTCATAACTAAATGAAATCTCTTTAAAAAATACGAATTACAGTAAATTTTCATCTTGCCAAAAGTTCAGATTAACCCCTTCACTTGCCAATTATGATGCCTTATTGAATGAATATTTTTTCGATCGACATCCGGGTGTTTTTGCTCAAGTAGTTTTTATATTTCTTTAAAAATTCTATTCTATTCAGATTCTAAACTATTATCGAACGGGGAAAATGCACTATCCGACCGACGTTTGCGGGCCATTATTTGAAGAAGAGTTACACTATTGGGGTTTAGATGCATCGGATACTGAGCCATGCTGTTGGATGCAGTTACTACACGCTAAGTGAGTTAGATAGTTTAAGCCTTAAAAGTTAGATAGTTTAAGCCTTAAAAGCTAGATAGTTTAATCCTTTAAAGCTAGATAGTTTAAGCCTTAAATACAAATAGTTTAAGCCTTACAAGCTAGATATAAATCACAGTGCTATATCGATTAAAAACAACCTTTTTTATCTAGTTTATCGCTATCGAAAAATTCAAAAAACAAAAGGAATTTCAATTTGATAGCTAGTTGTAATGAATTTAGAGACACCCAAGAAACGCTGGCCGTTCTCGATCGAATGGATGTTGATCGAGAAGATGATCCACAGTTGCGGGAAATGGATACTATGAAGAAATTTGGTTGGGAAGAGGATTTTTATCAAGTCAGTGTTCTTGATGAGCTTGTAAAAATTTGAGAAAGCTTTGTAGGATGGCTTTTAAACTTATTGTAAGTTCTATGTCACTTGAAGGGTATTGTAAAGCGACCAATATCCTCATCTCTTGGTCAAAAACTTGAGCTCTTGAAAGCTAGCTGAGTATTTGGTTTTAAACTTTGTAAAAGTTTAGTATCGTTGATTTTATTGACAAGAGTAAGATCAAAACTGTAAGACTTTTTAATCACTTTTACATCAAATTTATTTGATAGTGATGTTAATTTGTGAGAACTAGATTTAAGGGATCATAGATTTAATAACTCTTTTCAGGGTAAACGAAGCAAATGGATGACGATAAAGCCAAGGATGTGGGCTTTATTCGACGAGCCTTATTCATCTCAATATGCAAAGGTAGTTAAAAGCTTTTTTTCTTTCAAAGAAATCTTTCAATTTAGATTGTTGCGGGTATTTCGGTTGCTTTCATTGTTGTGAGCATTGTTTCATTTTGTCTTAAAACTCATCAAAGTTTTCGAATACCCGTTTTACATGGAAGAGCCTCGAATAATACGTTGAGAAGTTTTGGGATTGTGAGGCAAAGCACTGAGCCTCACAGTGCTTTTGGACAGGTTTCTTTTCTAAATGATGATAGTAAACAACGGTACTTGAATGACTATCTTTTTAAATTTAAACTACTCATTAGATCATAGTTTAGTAAGATTAAAATTACGATAGTTTTCTAGCTTTCTTAGTTTTTCTATACCTTTTAGAATCCAAAGAAACACAGTCTATTTGCAAGCTTTCTTTTCTATTCTATTTTTAAGATCGAATTCATTTGCAACATCTGGTTCACGATGGAGCTGGCAATTCGCTTCGTTTTTTGCCCAAGCAAAATCGGTTTCTTTCGTTCGCCGATAAATGCCATCGATTTGGTGAGTGGAAACTAGTGGATTGTTGAGGAAATTATAAAACCCATTAAACTATTAAAGCCTTTAAAACTTTAAAACCCAAGATTTCAGGTTGCTACCCTTTCCTTCTACATTGATGCAATGTTGATTCGTTTGGTTGAAGATGCTCCTAAAGATGTGGTCGAATTTTTGAGCATGATTCGAATTTTTCGACTCTTCAAACTCACCACAGCATCATCGAGGATTGCAAATTCTCATTCACACTTTCCGAGCATCTGCCAAAGAGTTAATCCTATTAGTGAGTTGATTCTTTGAGATTTTTGATCAAAGATTTAGGTTTTTTTCTTGATTTTGGGTATTGTTATCTTTGCGGCTTTGGTTTATTATGCCGAGAAAACGGAGGCAAATCCGGACAATCAATTCTTGTCAATACCGCTTGGACTTTGGTGGGCAATCTGTACAATGACAACGGTAAGTTCAAGTATTCACAGAATCTGTGTCAGATTTCAAAAGTACTTTCATTTTCTAGTATTTTTTGCTTGATAATAGGAACACACTTAGAAACAACTGGTAAAAACTCAATTTGGTTAGCTTGTGATATCTGTAATAGAGACTAAATGACCCAGAAAGAGTATTTCTGAGTAGTGATTTTAATGTTTTAACGATTTAAAACGAATTTAAAACAATTCCAGGTCGGATATGGCGATATGACCCCACACACGGCTTTTGGTCGACTCGTCGGCTCTCTATGTGCAGTGATGGGCGTTTTAACGATTGCATTACCGGTTCCTGTAAGTAATTTAATGATAACTTGAATATATTGAATAAATTTGAATATAAACCCTTCTAGGTGATTGTTTCCAACTTTGCCATGTTCTATTCACATACACAGGCTCGGGAAAAGCTGCCGAAGAAACGAAGAAGAGTTCTGCCGGCTGAGCAGGTTTGTAAGCAGTTTGAAGATCAATAGAAATGAATCAGCAATGAGAACATCGATACGCTAAAATAAGATTTCAGATTCGATTACAAGTCCGAAGACACGCACAAGTCTTGGACATGCAACCGATGTGCAATCCGAGACAGCGGAGGAATGCTTTGCTAGCTGATGGTCAGTTTTTAGATTACAAAATTGGTATCAAATTTTTTGAATCTTAGAATCTGAGAAGCAACAAGACGAAGAGGAGAAATTACTCCCACCAAAGATCGAAGAACCGCTTACGCATGGGTGTTGTCACTCCAACGGGACAACACCGAAAAGTTGTGAGTTTAAAAGTTTGCTTTAAAGGTTTAAACTAAAAGAGAACTAAGAAAGGTATTACAAGAAAGATATTGTAAGAAAGATATACCGTAAATACTGTAATAGTACCCCACCCCCATAGTGACGGTGCGGAGTGTTGCGTAGTCTAGCTTTGAACGAGTTTTTCTCGACACTGGTTTAAGCTACAATGCTCGTTTAAATATCAAGAAATAGCCCTGAATTTCAGCTATTTTTTGATACCTAAGCGCGCATTTTTTGAAAGTACGTGTGCTTTGAAAAAAATGAAATACTAAAAAACCTTTTGCGACTACGCGACTTTACGAGGGTGGTGGGGTACTATTACAGTATTTACGGTAAGTATATCTAAGATCTAAGATTAATACATATCAAGTTATAAAGGCAAATAACTTGATAAACGTTAAACCAAACGAAACAAGCGTCTAATTCACCAGCCATAACTCTTGAATATTTGAAATTTGAGAAGCTGCATTTGTTAATTCATACGCGTTCAACTCAAATATTTCTAGTGAGTTTTTAGCTAGAAGAAGTCCATCAAAGGTGAAAGTGAACATCACCGAGACGATGAGTGTCCAAGCAACCACTTGAATCTCCACAAGAATATTAACATTTCCGATTTCATCAGCTCAATACCCTTTTCCCAATGATTTATCTGTGATTTCTTTGAAGATTTTATTGAAATTCTCTGTACATACTTTTCATTATATTGTACAAAAGTATTGAGAATTAAGATTTATAAAAGTTTATTTAAAGAAAGTACAAGTACAAAGAAAGAAAGTACAAGTAGTTTATTTAAAGAAAGTACAAGAAAGTGTAATGAGAATCTTTGGTGAGTTGAGGATTGAAAATTGCTTTAAAAAAAACAAAAACTGATTAAAATCGATAGAAAAATTTCTTGGATAAATATTTGGGTAATGTTGGTGAGTCAAAGAAGTCGGCTCTTTCATCAGCTTGTGGCTTGATTTTGGTCATTGATTGTTGAGTTTCTTTCTTTTCTTCTTTTAGATAAAGTGAGAGAGCTTGATCGAATTCTTTTTCAGAAAAACAGGGCTCAATCTGAAATTAAATGATCTATCAATGAAAGGCAAGATTTTTGTGGATTGCTAAAAGCTCTGTCGATTGCTTAAACTCTAGCTTTATAGTTAGCTAAATACCTGAAAGGGATAGCCTCTTTTTGTAATCTCTTTTAGCTAATCACTTCACCAACTTCAAGTTCAGCTTTGCACTCAATTCCATCACAAATTTTGCTTCTTTTCCTCATTCCCGTTTGTAAATCACATTCACTCCACGGCGACCAAGAGTCTCTTTTTGTTATATCAAATAAATTTTGATTCTAAAAAAAAAGATTTCGATTTATATAAAAGATTAAAATAAAATAATTCATTAAAATTCACTTTATCTTCCAAAAGATTGTTGAATGGGATTGAAGAAGGATTGGGTTTTGTGTTTAGCTCAACGAGTGACTTCTTTTTGTCGAATTCTGATGGTAAAACGTAAGCATTCAACAATTGCACCTAAATTTTTTATTATATAAGAATTTGAAAATTTAGAACTTGATTCTTATTGATGCCCCCCTCAACCTCTTGCACATCCATTGGACTCAAGCTTTTCTAGAATTCTATTCATAACTTAAACCGTTTTGGGGCAAGCTTCAGAGCTTGTTTTAAAGCTTTCAATTCTAACATGCAAATTCCTGATCATTTCCGAGTCATGAAGTCGCAACGAGGCTCGTCCCTCGTGCAGAAAAATTGGTGTTTTAAAGGAGCATTTCGGAACTTCAACATAATCAACCTAAACTTTGGCATAATTTCAAAACAATAAGTTACCAAATAACTAACTAAAATAATTTTTAAATGCATTGTACAAGGTTTTTGAATTCTTTGAACTATTATAATCTATTTTACTAACCAAGATCAAAGCTAAAAGATGCATGTACAAATATTTCAAAAAAACAAACCTTTAGCAACAATTCGATAGCAAAAAACTGTGGCCGTGTCGTTTTCGTATGAAAATTGAGAATGCAATTTGATGCTGGGAAATCGCTGTAGTGAATGATTGAGCGACAGGTGAAACCGCGTTCTCTCTGAACATTTTTTGGTAAATAACAAGGCTAATTTTTTACATATGCAGTTAAACAATGAAGGATGCATTCTTGTTGGCTTGCGGCAGTGAGAATATCCGATGCATGACCGACAAGAATATGTTGAGGAATCCGTTGTGAAGCTTCGTCGCAATTTGGAGAAAGAACGACAGCTAGAAAGGTTTTTCTCTTTAAAAAAACTTGATTTTCTTACGTGAAATGCAAATCTTTTCCATGTAAAGCATTTGATTGTTTGGAATATAATTAAGATATCCATTTGGATTAAGAGCATCTGGATAGAAAGAGCAACGTTTCGTTGTCAAATCGAAGTGAGCTGATCGGCAAAGAAGAGGAAGGCGAGTGCCGTCTAGGTACTGGAAAAAGTTTGAATTATGTTCAATTACCTCTTCTTGAATTGATCTGACAAGAAATCAAAATTTACAGTTGTTTTAAAAGCAATAGTAAAGTGGAAGACTTGTGCACTTAACAAATCGACTCAAGAAATGCCTTGTTAGATCGTCTAGTTGATTGATATCAACCACTTTGACTAATTCAAGTACTAGTCGAGAATCGCAATTTCTGCTCTTCTAGCTTGGACTTGGTTCAAATGATAACCCTCAGCTTTTCAGCTTTCAGGACAATGTCGGGGGCCGCGCGAACGCAACCCCTCACGCAAAAATTTCGCTGTTGGCAAGACCCTTCTCGGGACCGCCACACAGGTCAGCCTTCCCCAAAGTGCAATGGAAAAGCCTCACCGTGATGGTCATGCCTTCATGATCGCACGAACCACACCAGCCAAGTAAGTTTAAGCGGATGCTCTTAGCGCCTTTTTGCCCCGGCGCCCTTTGCCAGATTGAATGCGTTTACGCGAGCGCATAAAGAACACATGATAAAGGACTAGAGACAAGATTTCTTACCGAACTTGTTCTACAAACGTGAATACAAGCTTCCGGTGAGTCAACCACAAAGCCCAGAGTAGATTGAGCATCAATCTGAATGGTAAAAGTGGAATAAATGTTTAGTTTCCCAAAAAAAACAACCAAAAGACTAGAAATATTAGATCCTTGTAAATCTATTTTTAAAAGAAGTTTACCTGAACTCCATTTATAATCTGTACATGTGGCACTTCATCATTTGGACAATCCGGAATTAATGGCAAAACTTCAATCGTTCCCGCGAATGGCACATGAGAATCAGTAGAAATCAATGTTAAATCAGGTTTTTGGTCTTCTAATTTTGCGATTTCTTCCTCTTTCAGATCTTTGTATTTCTCTCGAGTGTTTACAGGATTGGATTGCTAAAAAAACAAAGGAATAATCATAGACTTTTTAGCTTGTTAAACTTTTCCTTACAATTTTATTTTTCTCTGTTTGATCTCTCGATTTGGCTTGAAGTGTTGGAGTGAGAGGAATGCCGAAAGCTCGTAGACAAGTGATGTTCACCGAGTAATGAGTGACACCAATTGATGGAACTACCATTGGATAACATTTCGATTCTTTTCCTCTAAAATTTTCAAATCTAAAAGTTCTAGATCTTCTCTCTGAAACATTCTAGAATTTGAAAAAACTTTCTAATCTATTTCCATTTTAAACTCACAATTCTCTTTTTTTCATTTTAATGTGTTGTCCAGTGAAAGTCGGTACAGAGCGGACGAGTCTACGTCGATCTAAAAATTGATTTGCTTGGATTAGTCAAATTTATTACATTTCGTAATATCTTTTGCTGAAATGGGCATATCAAGGGGTGAGGGTTCATCGAAGAGATCACATTGATTACGATATGCATCATATTGAGCACTTCGACATTGAGGCGTCAATTGGCCGCACAGTTCACCGCACTAGATTTGTGCATTGCTTATTCACTTATAAAGATGAGACATCAGCAAATGGTGGACTTGTTTATCAAGTGATAAGCTCAGTCAATGAATAACGTATGTGGATGGCTACTGTGTGAATTGCAGTTACTTTTCCTTAGCTTTAGATTATTAGGAGCATCTTTTAGAAAACTACTAAGCTAAAGCTGATCGTAATAGAATTTCAGTAAGTCAAATAGGCTGAGACTGACAAGAAGAGCTAGATTATACTTCCAAAATGAACTAGCAGCTCACTCTATCTCTCATTCTTCTTTCAATAAAGTTACCAAAAGATTGATTGAATAAAATCTAGAGTCAAGACTACAGTAGTCAGAAATTGTTAAATTTTAGAAAACATTTAGAGAACTACTCTCAACTTTACCTCTCCTTCCGTGATTCCCGTTCTTCTTTCGATCGGCTTCACGCATTCGAGTTGAATATTTCGATGTGCAACGAAACAATCTATATCTTTTCTAAATCTTACAACCAATAACATTTCTTACCTTTAAAGATATCTTTACAAGAACAAAAGCTGCTTAGAGTTACAAAAATAAGAAGCAATATTTGTCTCATTCAAAAACAAGTAATAGTATTGTGTAAAGAGTTTTTAGGCAAAAGTTTTGTGGTCACTTTTCGAGGTTTGGATACAGGTATCTATGGGGAATTGTGGGTTAAGCCTGCGGGGATTTTTCGAGTGAATGAAATGACCGCATCGAAAGCTCTGTAGAGAGATTTTGGCTTACTCGATCACATTTTTGAAAAGAGGATAGCAATAGGAGAGCCTTGTAAAGCTCTTGCCTCCGATACTTGCAAATCCCTGAAGGAAATTTGATTTGGTTACATAACGGGATTGTAAATCAACTTTTCCATTTGGTAATGGTAGAAAATATTTAGTTGAAACACAAGTTTTCAACAAGAAAAGAAGCTAACACTTTATTTTATCTTCTTAAATTCAATAAAGTTAAACAAATCAATTGATTGATTGATCTTTTAAAGTTCTCTCTCAATTCTCAAGCTTTATTCGTTTCATAATTTACAACCAAAAAGCTTATTAATGAAATATAAAAAGATAAATCTATCTAACAACAAATCCCATCCTTTCTTCGTTTATCAAATCGTGCCTGAACTCTTTAGGAACAATCAATCAAGTTGCTGAAAGAAGTCGACCTTGAAAAAGAGATCTATTTTCAATCTAGCCCATATTTGTCAAATGCACTAGTGAAATCGATTTTCAGCAAAGAAAATGATTCCACTTTTTTCTAGTGAAGAAATGAGAGAACGGAAAGAACTCCTCTCCCTTATCTGCCCTCCACCCTCACACCACAAGAAAGAAATCGAGAAGCAAGTTCCTTTCCGCAGAAAATAAACGAAAACGAATCGGATTTTAATCCGTCTTTTGCTTTTTTCTTGGCTCGTCAAGTCGAAAACGGAAATCGGGTCCATGATTGCGTTTTTCTCCCACAGAGACAAACGATTTTCGCACTTTGAGCCGTGAGAGTTTTTGAAAAAGAAGAAATTAAGGTTTTTTTTTGATCGAAGATCAAATGAAATTTGAAGTTTTTTAAGAAAAACTTGTTATTTTTCTTTGAAATTTGATTTAAGGCTCAAAAAAGATTAGGAGGTTTTGAAGTTGTGGTATAGAGTCGAATTGGGGTTACGTCAGTCAGTCATGTCAGTCAGGTTATGTCAGTCAATGTGCGTAGGAGTACAAAGTACACATAGAGTAACAGATAAGTCTTGAACAGTAGTGGGAAGCTATCACGAAAATTAGTGGGAAGCTACCCCCAATTTTAGCACTCGATCAAAATGTTGCACAAGTTCAAAGATTTTTTCGTAAACCCAAATGTCCAAACGAGTGAATGGGCCTTTTTGCACGAATGATTTCTATTGTGGGTGCTAGTGTGGCAGACTGTAGTCAGGGGAGTCTTTGAAATAAATAAATGAATGAATGTGGAGGAGGAGAGCGTAAAAGACCGTCTTTCAAAGAGAAGAAAGGCAAATGTTTACTTGACTTTGACCAATTCTTTCCTTGGTCAAAGGAAAATTTTGTAGAAAAGGATGGAATTGTGAAATGAGCGATCAAAAGAATGGCTAAATTCTTGGTTGCAAACAATTACAAAGTCTAAAAGCTTGGTTCTTCAAGTTTGGAAGCAAGTTTGGTAGATAGTTATAAAGGATTTTGTCAAAAGTCTGAAAACATCTGGATTCTGAAGAAAAACAAGGTCCAGATCCGGACCAATCCTATCGTTTTGAAGTCTTGTGAAGTATAAACTACCAGTTTCTCTCCCTGAAACTGTTTTATCTTTACCTTTAGCCTCATATCTACATAAATGCTGTGTGCTTAAAAAATGCATTGCCCCAGAAAGTGTCCATTTATCAGAACACTGTATGGAACACTGTACTACACAAAATATGGGATCCATGCAAAATCAAGTACTTTAAACACCAACAAATCGCATGTGTTATCAAGAACTTTTTACACCGAATTTACCTGTTAATCTGCTCTTTGGTTTCTCATAAATGAAACTCTTCCTTTATGGTGACAAATTTTTTTTAGATCTATTGCTAGAGTTTCTCAAAAACCCAACACCTTGTCCACTTGCCGAGTGAAGAGACCAATAAGGGAATGCAAACACTCCCACACTTTTCATCAAAGTTCAAAAGTGCGCGGAATTTGTTCAAATGTGTCAAATCGTTCAAATCGAATGTGAGAAAATGCGTTTGATTCGCTAATTAATAATCCATTTTTCTATTTTCCTAAACAGGATCGAAAAGCTTGATCTTTTAAACATTAACCAAGGCTACAAGCCATTCAGTCATCATGCTTCATCTTAAAAAAGACAGTTTTTTTCAATGCTAACGTCCAAATGAAATGAGAATTTGAGGATTTTTATGTAAATTTCACTATAGGGATTATTTAGGTAACGGATATTGTAGAGAATACCCAAATATTGTACCCTTACAGTACCAGTAAGCACTTTGACATATTGATATCTTGTATTAACCTCAACAATAGGCTCACACTTTGCAATTATAGTCGGAAAGCCCAAAGTGATCCCCAGAAATAACAAGAATTGCTCTTTCCAAAAAAGGGAAGAAAAGTTTTGATCGAAAAATTAGAATTGCCTACTTGTGGATGGAAATCTAATTGGCTGGGTCTTCCCTTTCCCTTTCCTCTTTTCCTTGCTCTCTCCTTTCCCTTTTCCCTTTTCCTTTGCTCTCTCCTTTCACTCATTACCCTCACAAATACTCTCTTTTATCCTCGTTTTTCAAGAATTCACCTAATTTCCGCCAGTCATCTCTCTCTCTCTTTTCTTCTTTCTCAACAAAAACGCTTAACAATTTCCCCCCTAGAGCGATGAGAATTTCCGCTGATTAGCCGAGAAAATGAATGAGGTGTTGAGGGGGAAAACAATGTGAAAATGTTGATGAGCTTTTTTACGACAAAAATTTCATATTTTAAATCTTATAATTCTTTCATTTTTTTTAACAAAAAGCACAAGATTTCTTTTAAAATTGGTTTTTAAAGATTTCAGCTCATTTTGTTTGTTTGTTTATTTGTTTGTTATTTGTTTTGTTAAGCTTTTAGTCAAATACTGTTCTAGTATTGTAAAATTCTTTGTTTAAAGCTTAAAGCTTAGTTCAAATCAAAGCTTTATGTTAGTTCTGTTTTTCAAGATGTTTTTGAAATCGGTTTAGGGTAACTTGACGATTTTGCTTTGTCTTGGTTCCAATTTGTTTCATTTCAACACTTGTGATGACTACAATTCCACACTACAATCTTTCCCGGGCTCATTTCATAGCTGATCTCCCTCCAAACATTCAAAAGAGAGTCTGTTTGTGTTGGCCGTCTCTCACGTTTACCGCGTTTCGCTCAGACAGCCTTGTTCTCTCACCTCTCCTCATCCATTGATCTCTCACTCACCCGTCAGCACCCCTGTTCCCTCTTGCACTCTCATCCATCGGTCCACCACTCATTTCCTATGGGAGACGTTACAACAAGAGACTGAGAGAGTCTTTATCTTTTCCCTTCTCCGTCTCTGCGTTCAACCGGCCGCCGCCCGCTCGTCCCCCATCTACCCCAAAATCGCCCCAGCGCCCCGTCAGCCCCCCTCGGTCTCGTATCTCTTCAAAAGCTCTTTCTCTCATTAATCTTTACGCTATTTCCCCAAGTGTCATCACCCCTAAGCCTCTACATTCTCCAGCCTCAAACCTTCACCCTCACTTCCCCTCCATCTCCAGTATTTTCTCGAACTCAACCATCTCCTTTTCCTTCCATATTTTCTTGAAAGTTAGCACCCCTGTGTCTCTCCTCTCTCCCCATATCAACCAGTCAATAGACGATGTCTTTCTGTGTCTCCATCGCCCATTGGAGTCTCTCCTCTGAATGTCAGCCCCCCTGCACCCTCCCGATCTCTTCCCCTCCCCCCTTCCGAATCAGCCTTTCCCCCTTGCCCCTTTCCACTCACACATTTCTATCTTCTTTTTCACCCATACCACACCCGGCTCTCCTTCGTTTACCCCGTCACCGGCGCCCACAAAGATTGTCATTATTTTTTTTCTTTTTTCGATTTAAATCGATAAACAAAGCCAGCTTTTACTTGAAATTCTTGATCTTTACAATCCAGATTTCCTCGATAGCGCTGATTTTATCGACATTCGATATTGGGGAAAAGGGTGACGAGGCTGTGTGCAAAGAGAGGTGTTTCCCCGAGACGGAATACCCTAGTCGCTAGAAGAACGGGGTGTATCTTTCTGCTTCATCTCTCTCTCTCTCTCTTTTCTCTCTTTTATTTCTTTTGTCATGTGTTCATGTTTACTGAAATCTCGATCTTAACCTTTTCTTAAAAATCACATCGAAACGCTCCTTTGATCATCGCACGTCACCATATCTCACCTCTCATTTCACCCCGAGATCTCCGCACAGAAATTTTTCTATTTTTTCACACTAGTCTCTCTTGCAGATCTGACTATTTTTATGAAATTGCGGGAAATTTCTTCCTAGATGGAATCTCTATAACCCGCTTTTGGAAATCCCTGGGAATCTCTATGTAACACTGTCGATGATTTATCGAATTGTTTACCAATGATAGGTGATTTTAATGATTGATTTTCTTCTTTAAAAGTTGAAAATCAAAAAAAGCTAGTTTAGCACAAATCAAATATGATTGCAGGGGAGATTCCATAGTATTTCAAGTGACATTAATTGATTAACCCATTTTGATTAGACGTTCAAAATCTATTGAGCAACTAGGCAACGAATCTGATTAAAACTACAATCATTTTTTTTGGTTAACTTTAAAGCCGTCTCCAATAGAACCACATTGGCTAAGTTCCAATGTGATCACAGATTGTCTCTCTCTCTCTCTTTTCCCTTTTCTAGACGTTTCTCCCTCAGTTGTCCACGAAAACTCAGAGTATTTGAAGGAAAAATTGGAGAGAGGGGAAGGGGGATGACCCCAAGAGGGAAAGAGAGGGAAAGAGGGGGGAAGAGAGGGGAAAAGAGGGAAACAAAGAGACAGTGGCCATGTTGAAAAGGGAAAAGACAGGGAAAGACTCGAAGAGAGATATCGATTCAACCTCTTTGCCCATTCTTTTCCTTTTTTGCTCAGATGGGAAACACCTTTTCCCAGCTACATTTCACCTGTTTTCCACTATTTTTTCAAATTCCCGTTCCTATTAAGTTCTTGAATTCATAGATAATAAAAATCTAGCAGTAACATCTTTGAAAATCTAATACTCATGATTTTCTAGCCGATAACAAACTCAAAATTTGCTTCTAAGATTTGGATTTTTGATTAGAATCCTCTCTTAAACTAAGAACATTGATCTTTTTCTTAATTTTCTTTAGAATTTCCTCTTTTTTCAAATCTTCCTCGGAAAAGTACTTGTCAAGAAGAAAAAAAGAGGCGAGTCACTAATGAAATCAGGCCAACCACGAATCGACGACATTTTTCTCCTCTTTCTCATCTCCGTTTTTCTTTTTCTCACTTTATTTCTGCACTCATTTTGAAATCAATCTTAATCTTTTTTCTCCTTAAAGACTTTATTTAATTTCAATTTGCTTAAGCAACTAAAACCATTGAGACTTAATAAATCATGTCAACATTTTTTGGATTTAGACTAAAATAGACAAAGTCTATAGACCCAGTTTCTTTCATTTCGCCTTGCAAGATTTAGGAAAAGTCACAAAAAAACACAATAGACGATGCAAAATGAAATTGAATCGTGCAAAGTTTAGGGAAAAAGGTGGAAAGGGAATAGATGGGAAAGGAGGGGATACTTGACCTCGGTTTCGGTGCATGAAAACATTCAGGAAGCATTGAGAGGGAAACATTGCTGGGATCAGAGTAGACATCGAGGTTGGGAGGCATTTCAAAGTCTCATTTGATTTGGGAGTTTGGTGAAAGCATTGGAAAAGTGAAGACTCTTCTAGCTAAGCTTTTTTATATCTTGAAGTTGAGATTTGACATTGTTTTCTCTAATAATAATTAGATAATAATCTAGATTTCGCATTTCCTTTCTCCATTTCTAAAACTCGAATGTTAAAATGCAAACCTTTAATTATTTACATTTTCATTTGAGTTTTTAATTCTATTCTCGGGACTTTATAGCTCAAAAAAGCTTCTCAATTTATTTCCTTTTTATCTTAATAAATTTCTATTTAATCTAACGATTAACAACTACCGTAAAACTTCTAATAGATGAACACCACAAAGATATGCGGCAAAAACGAGAGTTTTCTTTCATATAACGAGTATTTACTCAAGAGGATCAAAATCGCAGCGATCGATTCCGGCGATTCATAGTTTTTGCGCAGCCGTTTTCAATTATTTTATAACCGGGAGGGGGTATTAGAGATTTTACCCTAACTGTACTTATTAGTCAAAGGCTAATTGCAAAATAGAAACAAGAAAATAACTTTTTGAAAAGCTAAATGTAAACTTACGTGGGTTTAAAAGTACTAAAAAAAGCCTAAAAGCTTGATGTGATCTTCAGAAATTTCTTCTTTATAGAAAATCACAAAACCCAGAACCAAAGTTTGTGCCATCGAATGTTTACCAAGTTCGAGATTTGTGAGACGATGAGATGACTGGCTGTGTTGTGCTTGTTTCTTTCTTTTATCCATCCATTTCCCATTCAACCGGGCTTTCAGCCAATTGATTGCCTCTTTTCAGCTTTTTCCTTTCATTTTCCAAACTAGCTGAATCTAGACGGGATTTCTTTGAGATTTGATGATTTTTTTTTTCGTTTCCGATTGGATACAATGTAAATTTTCTTTTGATTCTTTGATAAAAACATAAAATTTACTTGTATTTACCTTTTAAATCCATTTTTCGATTATACGATTGATTAACACATCGTTTTTTTTTCCTTTTACACTCAATTTCTTAAAAATCTCAAGAATTTCATCGAATTTTTCTAAATGTTTTCACTAATTTTCAATAACAATTCCCTCACTGATTTCAGAAATGATTCATGCAATTTCAATTCTCTTTTCTGTTTTGTTTTTTTTCATAAACGAGACCTGAATACCAATGAACCCAAAGATCTTTTTCCTCTTTATAAATTCAAAGAAAATTTCTTCTTTTTTGTCTGAATGAAGAGAAAAAAGGGAAACCCGATTTTGGAGGTGTTGAAGAAGGGCGGGGGGAGGGTTCGATCATAATTCCATAGCAACAGAGGGTGTAGGAGTGGTGAAAGTCGAGGGAAATCGGGAGAGAAAGGCCCATCTATTGGCCCCGATAAAAATGAGCAACAAAAAAAAGGGTGGTGAGCCTCTTGATTTCTTTTCCGCAATAAAAAATTTGTCTAGTGAGATTTTGAAGAGATAAAAAACTTGAAGGCTTTGAAAATTGAGGAAAGAAAACTGTTGATTAAGATTTAGAATCAGATAGAAGGATTTTTGAATTATCGGTGTAGTGAAAGTGCAGGAATGAGAGTTTAGAGTTTAGGGAATTCTTTAAAAGCATAGAAAACTGATGATCTGCTTATTCCTTTGAATACTTCTTACCTAATCTGAATGTTTATCACTTCTTAGTTGACTACTTTCACTATAAGATATTCAGAAATTCGTAAATCATCAAAAGAATTCGTTGACTAGCTTATGATCTTTTCTGGTATTGTCTATCATTCTTCTTTCAGAGTTCTTATAGTCAAAAGGATTTGAAAATCAACTAGTAAACAAGTCGAAAAGTAGTCGACACTTGAATACAAATCATCCCAAACATATCCTAGATTATTTTCTGTTCTATGCCTAAGATCTATGCTCTTTAGAATTACATTTATCCAAATAAATTCCTATTTTGGTTATGTTAACTCGATTTTTGGCCAAGTTGCAAAGCCTTTTCTCATCGGAGGAAAAGAATTAGTGAATTGAGAAATCTTTATGAAATCCTCAAGGATTTTCCCCTCAAAAATGAATGCTCTGAACTTGTAGCTTAAAATTGTAATACTTCTTCATCAAAATCCACTGATCCCTTCTCAGAAATCATCAAAAATCGAGAAATTTTTCTTTTCTATTTGATCCCTTTCGAATTACATAAAATTTTTTTGATTTTATCGATTATCTTATCAATCTTTTGATATTTCAGGAAACGGAATTTCTGATTGATACGATTGGAGTACGGATAGGGGGCCCTAAATGGCCTTTGTGTCGGGTGGGGGACAATCCTCATCCAATCAGCCACAACAACAAATCCCATCAACCAATCAATCACAGCACTCATTTCAAGCTTTCCCCTCGCAAGCCGCCATTCTACAACAGCAATTGCAGGTGGGCTTTCTTGAAAAGAAATCAAGCCAATTGTAAGCGCAGTTTAAAGGGTTATAAGTTAAAGATATGACTAGGATTCTACAAGCAGGTAAGGCTAGGGTTAGGTCAAATGCTAGGTAGATCCTGTCTAGCCTGCAGACCTGGAGTCAAGCCTGAACCTAGCTCATGGCTTGTTCTAGCTTACAAGCTCTAATGTTGGAACATCAGGTATGCCAGGTAAAGAGTATTTTTAGTTAGTCTAATTGCTACAGAAGCCTAACCTAGTTTGTAGCACATAGCTTACTTAAATATTTAAACTTACTATAGTAAGACTTAAAATTACATTATCCCAAAGCTCAATGTAAACTTCTTATTGAATTTTCTTTGAATTTTCATATCTTTTCAACCAAGTTTCGATTTTTTTTTTGTTTTTTAAAGAATTAATCTTTCCAGAAAGTTTTCTTTTGTAAAATTTGCTCTCCCTTTCCACCCCGCTGATTACTCAGATTTTTACAAACAACTAGAGAAATTGTAGTCTTTCCTGACATCAGGCAATCGTTTTCTATCAAATTGCACTAATAGAACTACTCAGATTTGTTTTTTGATACGGACCAATACGGGTTTTCTTTGGTCCAAATTCGGGGCTTCCAGGTGTTTTCTAGGGTTTCTTGCAAAAGAGAAAGGGGTTATTTCTGCAGAAAAATGCAATTTTGAGAATAGATTGTTGAATATATGGGTTTAGGAAGGAAAATGGGTCATAAACTATAAAAATTGACACTTTCTGTATTTAGAAATACCAAGTAGTTCTTGTCTGGAGTTAAAAATCCCCCAATTCTTCATATAAAATCTTTTTTCAAATGTTCAAAACTAGCTTGAGCTATCTAGATCAAGAATTTTAAAAAATACCTACTCTTTGAAGTTCTAAATCTTCAAGTTGTGATCCTTTTTTCGTTATCCTTAATCAAGTTAATCTTTCGCAAATTATAACCCTTCCACATGACTTCATTTCTTCAACTTTTCCTCTTTCTAATGGATGAATTCAGTCTAATGAATGGACTTATCTCGTGACTCAATTACTGCAAAAATGACGAGCAAAATGTTTTCTCATTGGCAACATGAAAGGAATTGGGTTGGGGGCAATTGATCGTACGGGGAAAGGGAATAAGCACAAAAGATTGAGAGAGCAAGTAATAGAGGAAAGGACGGGGAGGGCAAAAAGGGAAAAAAAGCACTCTGGACTTTGAAGGGGAATTGGGGTAGAAGAAAAAAGAAAAGGTTTTCTTTTTTTTGGAAAAGTGGAAGAACATGTGACCGGGCGTGAAAGAGAGGACCTGAAATGGGACTCGTTCTCTGCTCCCTTTCCTTTTTCTCACCTTATCCAGGATTTTTCTTGACCTTCTCTTATCTTTTCAGTCTATTTGGGTTCTCTGTCAAGCTGTCGTTGAGTTTATCTTTTGAATTCTCTTGAACTCCCGCTCTCTTCAACTCTTTCATTTCTTTCTTCCATTCTTTTTCCTTTCCAATCCATCAAAAATCAACTTCTCTAATAATAAAGCTTTCTCTTTGACTTCTCTTTCTTCCACTATTTCTACTCCATCTTTTTCTCTTTCACTATTCATTCTTTGTCAATATTCAACTCTTTTCTTTCTTTTCCCAAGATTGGTTTGATTTTTTGCTCTCTACCAATCTTTTTCTCCTTCCAGTTTCATTCTTGGTTTCTCTATCAAACTCTTTCCTTGCTCTATTTCCCTTTTTCTCAGCTTCATTTTCCTTTTCTTCTTTCTCCTGAATCCCCTTTCCCAGATCAATACCCCCTTTCCCTCCAGACTCAAAGATGACGTTTCATCACCCACAACCAGCAAAAAGTCAAAGCGATAGAGTTTTCCCTTTTTCTCTATCAGCAGCTGTTCTCCTCAATGAAGAACAGCGAAAGAAATTTCGAGATAAACACAAAGAGAATGATGGAGAGACTCGATTAGAGACATGTGCATAGGGCATGTCTCTTTCTTTTTTTTCTCCCAACATCAAAGCCACGGTGTTTGCACATCTCTAGTGAGAGTTCGAAATAATCGATCTCTCCCGGTCAGCTTTCTCTTTTTGAGCTCCATTTCGGCAAAAAAACTTCCAATTTCGGAGCATAACTTTTCGATTTTTGACGTAAAAATGAAAATGAAAACACTGAATTTATGCGAAGTGGTATTTCTTTTCAAAATTTGGTTAATTAGACCTTTCAAAAGCAATTTGATTAAGCTTTTCATTTGAAATCACAAATTTTCCAAGAAAATCCCTACTTCCTTGAGCTACTTTTTAATTGAATTCTCAAAAAATTGAAAACAGATTCCCATCAACTTTAGAAAAAAACACTCTTAATCTATCCAATTTTTGTAGAATCGTGACTTTTCCCCAATAAAGTTGTTTTCGATGTGAAATCCCTGAAGATTTCTTCCTTTCCCCCTCCTCATTTCTCACAATCCATCTATTTTGGTAAAGAAAAATTAAAGCAGGATTTGAGGGAATACGGGATAACAAGAATCAGAGCATTGTGTTTTAGGAATCACTCGTACAACAGCAACAACAGCAACAAGGAGCCGCTGCTCAGCAGAATCCAATGGTGCAACAGTTGCTGGCTCAAGTGCTGCTCGCACAGCAGCAAAATGCTCAACACCAACCAGCGCCACCGCCACCACCGCAACAGCAATCGAATCAGCAATATTTGCTAGGATTGTTACAGGTAGAACTAGAGTAGTTCACTAATGAATTCTTCAAATTATACTTGTGATTGCTTAGTTTAAGTGCAGAACTTGTAACAAAAAAGAATTACGAGAAATCAATAGTCAATCAAATTCTTATGCAATAGTAATTTGGTGAGTCAGACTAGAGATTGCCTACTTTCGGAAAACTTGTGAAAAGGCCATTAGTCTCAATATAAGGCTTCTTTCACTGTCCTGTAACGCATGCTGGTGATGTAGTGGATAAGAGCCTTGTTTCCGAATCAAGCTATCCGAAACAAGCTATCAACTGCTTCCTCGGGTTCGATCCCTTTTTTTGTTTTGATCTTTTGATGTTTAATCACTCGAATTGGCTATATTTTAAGTATTATAATATTATTGATAACAAACAAATAAGGAAAAAAAGCTTATGAAGTCGTTTTAGAACCAATTGACTATGCAACTCCTTCAACAGCAACAGCAGCAAGTGCAACAGCAACAACAGCAACAGCAGCAACAACATCAACAACAGCAGCAACAGCAACAAGCGCTTGCTCAAGCCCAGGCCCAAGTTCAAGTCGCTCAGCCTCAGCCAACACAAATTGCTCAGCCTCAACCACAGAATGCAGTCAATCCACTACTTTACTATCAAGTGAGAGAAGTTTAAGAGAAGAATTTTGATAAGATATCTTGATAAGACTTTCGTGATTAGATCCTGAATCTCGAGCAAGCATAATGATGACTTTTTGACTTATTACAACTCAGATGGCTGCTCAGCAACTCCTCGGTGGCCAATCTCAACAAACTGCATCCGCTTCTCAACCAGTCACCCAAACAACTCAATCGATGCTTTTGCAGCAAAATCCGTCAACTTCAGAATTGCCACAATCTCATGATCACTTCCAGAGAGCTCAATCATCGGCAGCTACCGCTTTTCAGCCAGGTTGGTCAATTAAAGATCAATTAAAAGCAATCAAAACCCGAACAATTTCCCATTCATATCTTCACAAAACTTGTCTCCATTTTTAAAATTGTTTTCCCATCATTGACGATTCCATTTTGTTTTTATCGGAAATTCGGAAATCCCTTTTCTGCCATTATCTGACTCATCTTTTCAAGCGATTCGCAAAAAAAAATCAATTGCCTATGTTTTTTGCCCGGAAAGAATGCGCGAATGTTTATAAAGAGACAAATGGAATGTTTTTTCTGGGAAATAGCTATTTTTGCTTCGGAAAATTTCGGAAAATCAAAAACCAATAGGAAAAATGATAGCTAAAATTATAAAGAAAGTAGAATAGAATGGGTAGAATTTGGCTTTGCTTAGATCTATTTTTGATTGTTTGATTCATTCTTTCATTTATCTTTAAGCCTCAATCTACAGCTTCAATAACAGTCTTGAAATTTTAAAAGTTTTTATTTTCTTTCCCAAAGTCCCCAACAGCGGAACGTGATTTTTTGAATGTTTACACGAAAGAATAGAGTTGTCTAGTGGCCTCCTTTTTCTCTTTTCTGAGATTTTTGAGAACTGAGAACAGTTCAACGACTTCTCATTGTTGACGTAACCGAAAATCCACTCGTTTTAGTGTTTGTACTTTCTTAGAACAACATAGGAGTGAAGCTATAGAACATTTTGTAATGTTTTCTCTTTAAAAACTCAAAAAGTATGAAAGGGATTTGGTTTTGATTTAATTATAAGTAGTTATTTATAAGTTATTTGACTTCATTCCCTTTTCAAATACTTTCAAAAGTGTATTATTAAATTAATAGTTGGCTAAATTGTTGATCTAAATCATAGCTTAACTATTATGACTCGTCTGAGGATTCAGTCTAGTTTTAAAGCTCTAAAACAACTGCCTTGTTCCAGTAAAGTGAAAAATGATTTATAGTTGCTATTTAATGACTCTAAGAACAATTGTGAACAGCTCAAAACTAACTTTTAACAAGCCAATGCCAATGCTAACGCAGAGATCTGTTGCACCATTGGATTCTGCTGAGCAGCGGCTCCTTGTTGCTGTTGTTGCTGTTGTACGAGTGATTCCTAAAACACAATGCTCTGATTCTTGTTATCCCGTATTCCCTCTAATCCTGCTCTAATTTTCCTCACTAGACTCGGCCTGTTTGTAAGTCTGATCGACTTTTTTCACTCCTTTTCCATCCACTGTCTTCGTGTTTTCACTTCAATTTTCGCACGCATTCAATTCGCGTGTTTATCCCTAGTTCAAATATCTTCTCAAAGAGTGAAGCCTTCTAATTTGAGAGAACTTTGGAGTTACAAACACTGTAAACAATGAAAATACGGATTCAAATTTAATCTAAATTTTAAAAATCATCAAGTACAACTTGTATGGAACTTGATAAAGCTATCTAGCTATAATTTACTTCCAGAATTTGCTTTGTATCCTTGATCTTTCCCCATTTGAGCTCAAGCAGAAAGTCTTTGATTTTTGATTTCTTACTGGTGATTTCAGAATACCGAAAATAGATTAAAGATGTTAATTGGGGGGTAAAATTTGAAATTTTGCAAATTCTTTCGTAGAAATCACGATTAGAATTTGAAAGGAACAAAAGGAAAGGGATTGATGGAAATTGAAGGAGATATTGAAAGAGATCCGATGGAAAGCTGCAAAGGAAAAAGGAACGAGAGAAATTAAAAGAGAATCAGCAAAGAACATGTGGCTTCCACGTGTTCGTTGAGAAAATTTCAATAGAGAATCCAGGGGAAAAACCGGGGCAATTGGTTGAGGAATCGGGTGAGATTGGTTTTAAGAAAGATAGGAAAGTTTCTGACTAATCGGAATAAAGTTCAATTAATCTGCAAAGATAAATAAACAAATAGATAATTAAAATTTGACTTCTTTAACATGATCAAACTTCTGTAACGCAAAAAACTTGACTTTCAACAATAAATCTTTTGACACTACTTGTTCCTTTGATCAACAAGCTTTGAGATTTTCTGTTAATGTCAAGAAAGTTAGACCAAAGCAAATCGGTTAGAAAATTTACTTTATAATAGAAAAAAACATGGCAAGTGTGCTTCATGGACATGGACATTCTTCTAAAAGTTGTATAAAGCTATTAAACCTCAAGACTATTTCCATTGCTTTTAAATATATCAATTCAATAGCTTTACATTGAACTCTAGACAAAAAAACTATGAATTAGCTAAACCAAGATCTTTTAGTTCCTCAAACTTCATCAATGAATGGGCCGATCCCAGCGAGAATTGCAGAGAATTACGTCGATCAGCCAGTCTACTCAAATCATCGTTCACAGCTTAAAGAAGAGAAACCACAGATTTCTGAGCTCTCCGTTCAGGAGAGAATATCACGGTAAAGAATTGAAAAGTACAAAGAAAACCCTTTTCAGATTAATAAGCGACAATGAGGCGATCATTCAACAGCCACAAGTCATGATAAAGCGAAGACCATATCATCGATCGACTCTTGGCTCACAATCAAGTATTGAAACCGATCCACAGAGTGGAGTTGGTGAGTGTGTTTATTTGAATTTTCATGTAAGCTTTATCGTAAACATTGACTCATTTGTAGGCTCTAATCGGACTTCACCTGGTAGCAATGGTTTGGCGTTAGTTCGAGAGCACAAGATGCCAACAACGAGAAGTCAATCTCTTTATGAGCCGATTCACGGTATCAAAGCGTTTGGTGGTGGAGGATCGCTGACTTCTGGACAACCGATTACCCGAATTGATAAACCAGGTATCGATTTACAGAAACAGTCAAGTTTTCTACTTCTTAATCCAAAACTTTACTAAGTTTACTTGCTGTTTCTACAGTGTACATTTAGGCACATCATCTCATCAATGTACGTATTGTATGGTGCAATTTAACAATGCTCAAGCAGCTTCTCTTCACGAATTGACATGTAGTAAAAGATCCGATTTGCAAAGACCTCCTCCTGCTTCGACAGCTCCAAAACTTGAAGAAGTAAGCTTTTTCAAATCCTTAATACTCTTTGGATCGCAAAAGCATTGATGAATTTTAGATGAGAAACTCTGATTCACCGATTGTCATCGATAATCGCCAACATCCACTGAAGAGACGACTTTTAGGCGCTGTATCTGAATCGCCGAACAAAATCCCGAAAGCAGTAAGTGAACGAAAGAAGAAGAAGAAGATAAAATTGGTATTTAGGAAATGTCAAGCCCGGCTCCGCACGAGGAAATGCTCACAATGCCGATTGCTCCCGAGATTCGAAGACCTGTCCCTGGAATTTCTTCTGGACTATCGAGACGAGCCACTGTTGCCTCGTTATCTGTTGAAACTGTGGCCAATTCCACTATCCCTTTACAATCTCTGCAAAGCTATCAGGCTGCTGCTACAAGCAATCTTCAGACTTTGCAAGCTGCTCAAGCGCAAGCTCTACAAGTTCAACAACAACTCATCCAACAGCAACAACAGATCCAACAGGCGCAAGCTCAAGCACAGGCTCAAGCTCAAAAAGAAGCAGCTATCCAACAACTTGTGGCTCAAGCCAATCAGCAGAACAGTTTACAATTGTTGACACATCTACAGCAACAACAGCTACAAGGACAAACCAATGCTGTTCAAACGATTATTCAATCATTGATCAATAGTGGAAATCCATTAGGCCCGCATTTAGCTCTGCAATTGGCTCAACAAGCCGAAGCTGCTCGTCAACAACAACAACAAACCCAGCTGCAATTGTTGCAAAATCCATCACAACAAATGCTGCAACAGTTAGGACAACAATCTGCTCAATCAACTGCTCGGGTCAATCAACAGGCATTGTTGCAAGCATTTGCTGAAGCAAAGCTATCCGATCGACAAGAGGCCGGCAGCTCAACACAATCAGCTTTCACTCCCCGAAATCTCGAGGTGAAAACAGTGCCGCCACAAGTCCCAAGAGCTACTCAATTGGTTGGATCAATTGAAGTGATCAAGGCTCAGGTACAAAGAATTGATAAGATCTTAGCATTCTTAAAGAATTTTCAGTTGGAAGCTCCAAGTGTACCATTGATTGGAGATGTGAACAAGCCTTACACTCTTGTGTTGAGTGCAGCGGATGCAAGCAAAGTGGCAGAGAGTTCAGAGGCTAAGGTAAGGAACTAATCTAGTTAATTCTTTTTTAAATCTAAATTACAGAAAACAAATCATCAACGAGCCATTGCATCTGATACATATTGTTGTTTGAATACATTGTTGCCATCATCGCGCGAAGCGATTGCAAAAGAAAGTGCTTACTCGGATCAATGGAAAAATGTAAGCTCACAGTTTTAGTTCTTTCATATAAAAATCTTCTAGAAAACGAATTTCTCAAAGAAAATCGTAGCTTAGTTCTATTCTAGTTCTTCGAGGTTTAACGATTCCTCAAATTTCTCTTTCAGAGTCGAGCCACCGATATCGAGAAAGCGTTGAACAAGCTCTACTTGAGCACATGTCAAATGACACCTGGTCTAGGTATCAAGGAGTATTATCGATTCACTTCTGCTAATCGTGAAGGTGGTCAACTCCGAGTCACTCACTCATCTTTTTGGGAGATCTCTACAAAGGTATTTTGCTTGACAAATTAGTTAACCTGATTTTTGCTTGGCTTTTCCCGCTAGCTTTTTTTAGAATTAGTTCTTATCCTGGAAAGAATGTTTGAAAGAATGGCTACTAGAACTAATAATAGTTATACAATAACAGAAACTATTTAAGCAGACATTTCAAACTACTTTTAAAACTTTGTAGAAAGGATTTAACTGGATTTAACTAAAAAGTAATCTTTAAAATGTATCGCAATATTTTCTAAGAATAGAATAGTGGCCATTCTTTATTTTCTCCTTAAAAGTTTACCCTAACTTGTCAGAGGTGAGAAGAGGAAAGTGTCAGGGAAAGGGGTGTGTTGTAGTGGCCGAAGTTCGCCTTGGTCGAGTCGGATGAGCCGGATCCGCTGAACTTCGTACTGCCGTTGCCCATTCAACCGCAACTCTCGCTCATTCACCCTCACCAATCCCCCGCAACCGCTAAATGTATGGGTTTTAAAAAAACAGCACAGCATGGCCTCTCTTCTTGTCGTGATTTTTTTTAAGCCCGAGAACATCCCTTTCCCTTGACCTGACTGGGAATTCAATGTACTTTGGTGGTAGGTTCATTCCCACGGTCAATACTCTCGCATCTATTCATTACAAATCCACCGCTTTGCTCTGTCCGTGTTTTGTGTGGTGGTCATTCTCTCAAAGCCACACTTTGCAATACACTTTCTCTAGCTTTTTTTTGCATGAAATGATTTGAGGAATTGAATCGATAACTACTAAAAACTGTACTTTTAGCCTAACATTAGTATCATTTATTCTTTAGTTGCGTCTTCGACAGAGTCAATCGGTGGCTCTACTCGCCGCCATGAGCTTGCAAGGACCGACGAACGGACTCTACGAATACGGTGCCAAGAGGCCCAGTCTTGAACAAGTAAGGAGTGCGAAAATGAAGGAAATAACAAGAAAAAAAACAGCTTTTCATGTCTACTAACAGCCAACACAAAGATTTCGTTGTTTGAACTTTTGATCCAGTTCGATTGATCCATAAAATGATCCAGTTCGAGTTCAAGGGCTAAAACCAGTTATCCAGATAGACTCATCTAGGTTATCTTCTTGTTAAAACCAGTTTAAAACCAGTTCTAAACATTATTTGTTAATAGATTCACCAAATCTAAAGCTTAAAACTATTTATTAGTAAAACTTGTTCAATTTTTCAAAACAAACTTTGATCAGAAGGTTTGATTGAAGAGAAACTATCCGTCAAAGTTTTCAGATCAAAATTTGATCACTTACTATTAGTACTTGATAGATTTGATATCTAAATATTATACTGACAATGATAAATATTTAGCAATGTGCTTACAATCTCCATTTCCAGCAAGCGATGGCCTCAATCGTGCCGGAAATGGTTATCGGCTACAAGCCACAACTTCCCATCACCACACAAATCTCACCAATAGTTCAACAAGCAACACAAATCAAAATTGAAAACAAATTTCAACAAGAGAGACAAGAGAGACAAGAGAGAATTTCACCACAACAAGATGAAGTTGAAGTGATCCATATTGAAAAACCAATCACATCAGCGGCATCAAGGTAGATTTTGATGAGATTTTAGCGGAAATAGCTACCGTAAATACTGTAATAGTACTCCACCCCCCTCGTACAGTCGCGTAGTCGCAAAAGTTTTTTAGTATTTCATTTTTTTCAAAGCACCCGTACTTTCAAAAAATGCGTCTTTGGTATCAAAAAATAGCTGAAATTCAGGGCTATTTTTTGATACCAAAGATAATGACGGTGCGGAGTGTTGCGTAGTCTAGCTTTGAACGCGTTTTTCTCGACACTGGTTTAAGCTACAATGCTCGTTTAAATATCAAGAAATAGCCCTGAATTTCAGCTATTTTTTGATACCTAAGCGCGCATTGTAGCATAAACCAGTGTCGAGATAAACTCGTTCAAAGCTAGACTACGCAACACTCCACACCGTCATTATGGGGGTGGGGTACTATTACAGTATTTACGGTAGGTAATTAAAAGATCAATTTTAGTTATTCAATTCTTATTTTAGCTTCCCAGCTCCACTACCTTTGAAAAGTAAAGAGAATAAAGAAAATGCACCAATTGAGTCAAGCAAATCAACACGAGAGAGTCGAGTCTCAAGAAAGGATTCGGGGAAATTAGAGAAGAAGGAGACGGTGATTGGTTGGTTTTAATGTTTAATTCTTAAAATGTATTCTGGTAGTCTGATAGTCTGGCTAAAGCTTGAAATTGTCCTTTATGCAATCGAAAACTTATATTTAGCATTAAATTTTTCTCATTCAGGCGCTCATCGAACTGACGAGGTCTACGTTTACGTGAGAGGGAGAGGCCGAGGCAGGTATATTTGTGATCGTTGCGGGATTCGCTGCAAGAAGCCGAGTATGCTCAAAAAGCATATCAAGTTCGTATTGTTTTATATTATGAAAATCAACTTTCATTGTATCTTTTTTGATATTTGGCCTTTTAGATCTCACACCGACGTTCGACCATATCAATGTAAACAGTGCAATTTCTCGTTTAAGACCAAGGGAAATCTCACAAAACACATCGCCTCTAAGAGTCACCGAAAGAAAATTGGTGAAATACCAGGTAAGATCAATTTTCTAGTTTAATTTTTAACTAGTTCTTGTTCAAAAGAAAGTTTAAAAGCAATTTGTATGGAAACTTATCAGAATAAAACTATTAGATTTATCACTTATTGGATTTATCGAACTAAAACTATCAGAAAAATAAGAATAAAACCATTAAGGACGTGTCATTGAAAGCGATGAAGAGAGTGATCGTTTGGAGATTGCTGATGAGGATGAAGATATGGAGGATAAAATGGAATTTGAAGATATGGATCATAAAGAGTGAGAAAATGAGAGCTAAGCTTTAAGAAAGCAAATTTCTAGAAGCTCCGATGATTCTGATGAAGAGGATTACACAAATATGGCCGAATCAATGCCATATCGGAAATTTGGTTTCGGACAGGAAAACATTTTGGAGGAACGAGCCACGCATACACCGCCATCAAGATGGGTGTTGGTTGAAGAGAAAACGACCAGGAAATGGCCTGAGCCCGATGTTCAGTGAGTTCTTGAGATTACTAAAGGATTAAAGTAAAGTAAAGCACTAGTTATTGAAGCTACTTTCAGGCGAAATTGCTCATCAGCTCCTCCTGCTGCAGCCGCTTTTCAGACTCCGCCAATCCCTCCCATTACACTTAAAGAAGAAGGTTTGAGTTCTTATTTGATAAAATTTTTGATTTATATATGTTTAGCTTTGATTTTAACTACTCCAACTGTCACATCAGTACTCTTCCATCAAAATCCGACCACTCAATTGATTGGATCAAACACATCAAACTTTCTATCACCATTCCCCGCCACAATGAGCTCAGAAACTCCTGTTGGAACAGCTCTTCTTTCCGGAGATTCCTCACTCTATGGACAATTTCTTTCAAAAGAGGTAAACCGCTTACAAGTTTTTGAAATCCTTAACATATCTTAGGAACATCCTTGCACTCAATGTGGAAAGATTTTTCGTAAACAAGCTGAGTTAACCCTTCACCAGCATACTCACAATATTGAGCGGCAAACAGCGAAGAATCGAGTTTTTCAAGTAAGCATTGAAAATTGAGCTGAAAGATTAAACCTTTCAGTGTCCCGAATGTCGTCAACCCTTTCGCTCAAAGCCACTCTTGAGTCGACATATGGAGACAGCACACGGGATTCAGTTATCACTTGATGCTGAGCCTCTTGCTCTTGGAGATACCAGTGTTCATTCTGTTCTATCAAACACTCCACCAGCAAATCCAAGGTTTTTCAAATTTTTCATCATTTAATTATCTTAATTTCAGATCATTTCTCTGTTCTGATTGTGGAATTGGTTTTCGAAAGCATGGAATTCTCGCAAAACACTTGAGAAGTAAAACTCATGTGGTTAAATTGGAAGGACTTGGCCGTTTACCAGTAGACAGTTTGAATTTGATTATGAAGAAAGACAGTGGAGCTTGTCTCAATGATATCGATACAACGGACTGTGAGAGAGCTCGTGCAAGTTTAACTGGTAAATAGCATCAGTTTTAGTCATTTCATAAACAAATTTCAGCAATTGTTGAGGCAATTCGAGCCGAATTTGCCACCTCCGATCCTCCGACCAATCAGCCTTCAAGTTTGACACAAACGAATTTCGTTTTACCGCTCATTACAACTCCTTGCGATTCGCAACTCACTCAACCTGTAACTGCTATGACTTCTTCTCCTCAAGCGAATACTGTCACTTCAACTGCTACTTTTTCGTCAGCAACTCCGATTCCAGTCAGCCAAAATCTATTGAATACCGCTGCTGTGATTGCTGGATTGGCTTCTCCAAGAAGACCGAGTGTCTCTCATCACAATGGATCTCCAAGAAGAAAAAAGTAAGTTTATAAAAGGGGCTGGTGGTCTGAATCAATCTGTAATCTTTCAATTTTCAGAGAAGAATCCCCATCGATGAGACCTCGTGGTGACTCGTTCAGTACAATGTCCTCACTTGAGCCTCAACATCGACGAAGAGCCGAGACTTTTGGAGCAATTTCTATGAGAGATCTCTATTCGAGAACAATTTCTGCGAATGTCTGGGTGCCACCAAAAGCTGATTCATTGGAACGACCAAGAGTGCCGGATGCTTGGAGTAAAGCAAGCACTCCTGGAGATTGCTCAACTGAACCAGGTGAATGATTTGGAGGAGTAATAGTAGCTGGATGGACTATTTCTTTATAAAAGTCTATAAGCTTTAAGCTTGAATTTGAAAGTAAGCTATTGACAATTATCCAACAAAACCACTAGGTTAGATTAGTGATAACAAAGCTTTTCTCTAGGCTCATCTCGATCAGATGATATGGACTCAATGCGCTCTTCATCCTCAACACCTGTGCATCGAATCTCAAACGGTCATATTCCTTCTCCATTAATGGGTCCAGGAAAGTGTGCTCTTTGTGATATCACCTTTGAGACACATGTCGAGTTGCAGGTTTTATCAAATATCAAGTGATTATATTAATGAAAGTCTTAGGTTCATATGCATGCTGATCACATCTCGATGCGTGATGGAAAGGATTTTCGATGTCCGAAGAAACATTGTGATAAGGTGTACCCAAGTCGAGACAGTCTTCGCCAACACATTCAGACTCATTACCAACGGGGATTAGTGTTATTGGCTCCAGGTTTGTGCAGGTTTAGAAAAGTGTAAAGAATGTTTTTTTAGTGATTCCAATTGAGAATCCAGAAGCTCCTGGAAGGGCATCACCATTAACTGACACAGAAAGCAGCTGTCCTCCAAGTCCCGCCGATGGAATGAGAGACGAAAGATCGAACTCGATCTCAGCTACAACAGTGAGTGAATTATCTGCTTAAAGAAGCACAGATCAAGCTAAGCTTTGAAAATTCTTAGAAACTTGAAAACTTTCAGCTCCCGATTCCTCAAATCCCTCAACCAGCTCCTCCACCCGCACAACTCAACTCACTCCCATGTGTCGTTTGCGGGGATCGTTTCGTTGACTCAATGACTTTACAAGAACATTGGTTGAGTCATGTCGCTAAACGGCCACATATCTGCTCGGTTTGCGATGCTGGATTCACAACACTCGACGCACTCAACTCGCATAAAGTCTCGCACTTCAGCAATGGAAATACAAATGTTTGTATTTTTTAGCAATTTTGTTAAAAAGAAAGTAAATGGTTAAACCATAGTTTGCAAGCTTTGTTGAGAGTAATCTTAAGACTTAATTGCAAGTTAGGCTTTATTCGGTAATCCAAGATGATTGAATATCTTAGTATTTTCAGACTTATGTTTAGAGATCTGCAAATTATTCCAAAGCTTAAGATAAATATTAAAATGTTTAAAGTATAAAGTTTTTAACTCAAAAGATATAAGAGACGTGCAGAAGTAGCTGAAGAAAAGACGTTCTAGAAAGAAGAAAGGATCTTTCGTCAATTCCCTTTAATTAAACTAATACTTATTATCTTTATTGGCTTATTGCATTTGATTAAACTAATTCTAAAGATAAACTGGACTTAGGATTTCAATTTCGTTACAGTTACAATATTAAATTTTTCAGGGGATTGAAAAAATGGACACTACTCCATTGTGAGCACTTTTCTCTTCTTCAACTTTCTTTCCATCAAAAAAAACTTGTCAATAACTCTGAAATCTGTGATTTATTTGCAAATAACAATATTTTAATCTTACAAAATTTAAATTTAATTTAATTCTTTAAAGATTTTTTTGTTTTTGTTTCATTACTCGACCATCTACTCGAAATACGTGTTCTCTTCTTTGTTTTTTTAAATAAATAACTGATTAAGTAAGGTTTAAAGACTTTAATTAGCTGAATATTTGTTAGTTTTGTGTTTTTTTGCATTTTCCCCTCTCTTGAAATGCTCCCAAATGCGGGTTTTCTCCCCTCACACATAAAAATCACTCAAATACGAAAAACTCACAAAATTTTTGACTAAAAATTTATTTTTATATTGTTTTTTGTATTATTTTCTTCAGAATTTAGACCCTATTTTGTTTAATAAATTCCCTTTTTTTCCTTGTAGAACTGGTAGCTGTTAGACATCGATGCCGACAATTTTCCCCTCGTTTTTCGTTTGAAAATTTCCTCTGAGATTTATCTGTTTTTTTTTTCTTCTTTGTTTTTCTCATTGCACAGCTCAAAATAAATTATATATTTTAGTTTTATTAAAAGAATGACTCATTCATTCATTTAAACACTTACTATACGAAATACAAGAAGTTTATTTTCAAAATCAACCGTTTCTTTGAATTTTGTCGTGAATGTTTGCAAAAAAAAAAGATTTAATCAATCTGAAAAGAAAGCTTTACAACTATCACATTCTGGGTTTTCTATATAGCAAAATTTCACATATATTTGAAGTAAAGGGAGTAATTTGCAGAAGATAAACAAATCCTGCAATACTTGAAACTCTTTGAAAAAGCTTATAATGGGCTTTTGAATGAGAATGCGAACAGAAATTGTTGACCATTTTGATTTCTTCGAAGAAATACGAGAAATGAGAATGACTCTTTTCATCGTCAATCTGTTTCATTTGATATTCCGCAAAGTAAGGCACATAAAAATTGATCATTTCTTCAAGTTGTTGCTGAAAATTCTCATTTTCAAAGCGTTTATAAATTTGTATCGCCAAAGAAGCTTGACTTTTACTCTCCTGTTCACAAGCTAGAAAATCTTCTAAGTCATACCATTCCTCTTCAAAAAGAAATGGTTGAATATCTAAATGGGAATGAAGAGAAAATTTCGTTTCTTGTGCAAAAACATTCCAAAAATGATGTTTCTGACCGTGCCAGGCGATCATTTTACAAGATTTTAAATTTGATCGACTCAGAATTTCTCTCCAAATCGGTTCCTCTTCTTCTCTATAATCGTCACTTTTTGGAGAAGAGACGATTAAAATGCAAATTTCTTTAATGGAAATTTCGAGGCTTTCAAAAAGTGTCTGATGAAATCTTAAGCATCCTTCTACTTCTAGATTCGTAATTTTTACGACTTTATGTAAAAACTCGAGGAAATCGTTAGAAGATCGAAGCCAAGTCGCTAAACATAATGTTGCTAAACCATCATGTTGTCGGAAAATGAATTTCGGACAATTTTTAGCTATAGCCAATTTGTACATTAGAATCGTTGGAATTTTTAGACCAAATAGTGAATTTTTCGAAAACAAAGTGATGATAGGGCAGGATATTGATGGTTTCGTCTCGTCGTATCCAAAAGACCACTCAATTCGCTCAATTTGCTCAAATACTCCATTCCAAAGTACAAATGCTCTGAGTTTTCTGTTGACTTTTAGAAGTTTACAATGATTTTGTACATCGATCAGTTTTAAGGTTAATTCAATAAGTAGATCGGGTAAAAAGCTGAATGGGAATCGATCTGGCATTGAAATTGTTGTAAAGCCGGTAAAGTTTTGTTGTAAAGCCAAGATTTACAGGTGAATCAATAGGGAAACGAAAAATATCTTATCGCAAAGGTGACGCATAGATTTTCTTTTCACTAGCCGTTTTTTTCCATATTGGATGTTTAGAAGTGAGTGAAAAGGCTATTCTGTGAGCTTTAACTTTTAAAAAATGAGTTTATGCATTATTTGCTAAAAGTCTAACAGGCCAAGTCAGAAAAAAAAAGATGAAACTTGGCGTTTTAGCTTTTTTGAATAAGCCTGTGGGTATTATGTGTGTGTCAGCTCCGAGCCAAACTGATATTTGAGTTACTATTGTTATTATGGAATGATTTGTCTATTCTTATGCAAATGTGTTCTCCCCTGTGCTTATCCATTTTATTGCCGAGAAGGGGCGGTCCTTGGGATTGCCTAGGAGGACAAGGGAGACTCTCATTTGGAGTCCCCCCTTCCCCTTACAATCATTTGTAATCTATTCATCTTATTGTATTACTGTAAATAAAGATACATATCTTCCGGGTCTATGCAACTGCAGTACAGGTCGGTCATTTCACAGGGACTCCCCTCTAATACGTTGGAGGAGTTGAGTTGGGTTGTCGGGGTGTTAGAGATGGCGGGATATCAAAAAGGGATCCACTCTCTTTAACTTAACCCAAATTCTAGTCCACATCCGTTTATACCTAGGAATGTATATGTGCAAAAAAAAAAATCAATAACAACCACCCAAAAAGTTTGAAAACTTTTCAAAATTCATTTATTTTTGTGTTATTTATGCAATTCTTTTTACATTTTAGCTTTTATTAATTATTTGAACTTATTTTTGATTGAAAACAAACTAGCTAAACTGTTTTTCAGTCACCAATTTAAAGGATGGATCACAAAAACAAGAGGATTATAATTCGTTCGTTCGCCACGAAGAGCAAATCAATTAATCGGTATTCTGAACTTTTACTACCGTTGTTCTAAAAGCAATTTTTTCTAGCCCAGTTTAGGCAGACAAGACTAGGTATGACAGATCAGAAGCCACAGACAAGAGGCAGACAAGACAGATCAGAAGCCAGGTCAGCTATTAACTGGTCTGCTTTTGCTGCAGCTTGCACTCAAAAGTCAGAAGTCAGTCATGCACCTGACTTCTCATTTAACCTTGCCTGCTTCCATGAAATCTCAGATCCGATCCTAGTTTCTTTAACTTTAAGCTAATATGTTTGCAAAAGATAAAAGAACGATAAAAATTCGAAAGTTTAGAAGTAGTTTTGGCTAAGTTCAGCATTAGGTTCGCTCCACAAAGTCACAAAAGTATTTCTTCGCGACAACGATTTGCCCAGGCACTTTTTCCATCGATGGTATTTTGTCGGTTGACAGCTGAAAAGCTTCTTTGTGAAATTTTGTTCAAAAATTGTTTATCTTACCGTGAATCTTTGCAAAATGTTCGCAATAAAGAGATAGAGTTCCATTCTCGCCAATCCTTCCCCAATACATTGTCTCTTTCCAATTCCAAATGGGATGAATTCTTCGATTTTGCGTAGACTTCCATCGGAATTCAGAAAACGATCGGGATTGAATTTGTAAGGCTCAGGAAAGATCTAAAGTTTTCAGACTTATTTGCTTCGTTTACACATTTATTCTGATGCAAAAAGCCTATGCTTTAGCTGGAATCTTCCAATACGGTTCCAATACGGTTCTAATACGGGTTCCAATAAGGTTTCGATTTTGATCTAATACGGTTCCAATACGGTTCCAATACGGTTCCAATACGGTTCCAATACGGTTCCAATATGGAGATGGAAACAAAGCAGTAGCCAGACCAGAGTCAAGCTAAATCCTTGATGAAACTGGACCTAGATTTGCATAGTTGTTGCTCTAATTACCTTTTGTCAAATGTAATTCAAATCTATCACAGCTATTATTATGGTAAGCGCTGAACTGTTGGTGAAACTGGACTAATATTTGATGTTTCTAACTAGATTCTTGTAATTTAAATCATAAAAACTATATAATTTCAATCAACTATACTTTTTAAAGAAACCTTTTCATCGTAAAGAACACTAGAGACTTGTGGAAGGACAACGGTTCTAGCTGGGATCCTTTGCCCACAAATCGTCGCATCTTTTGTCGTTTGACGGATAAGATTTTGAACCAAAATGTTACCGAATCGTTGGATTTCCTGAAAGAAAGATTTTAGTTTTGAACAATCTGATTGACTTACACAAATCACCGCATTTAGATAGGGTAATGAGCTCTTGTCAGCCATTGTGATATTTCTATGCGGACCAATCACTCGATCAAGCTCTTTATGCACTTTTTCTTGAACTTCAGGGAAATTCAAGAAGTAACAAATTGCCCAAGTTAAAGTGTTCGATGTGGTTTCCATTCCTAGAAGAAAAAGTCTGTAAAGGTCTTGATGAAGTTAAGAATTTGAATGATACAAATGATTCAAATGTCTCACCAGCTCCCCACATATCATAGATCAAGTTTCGGAGTTGGAGATCACTGAAAAACTGATCTAAAGAAACTGAGCTTTTCAAGTAAACCAGTAAAATTCTTCAGTTGCTCCACCCTTTCTAGCTTCTCGTTCTTTAAGGTAAGCTTCAACAAAGTCGCTTGATGTCTAGAAAAATCAATATAGACATTAAGTTTATTAAAATCTATAAGCTATTCTCTTCAAAACTCACTTCACTCTCCAAATCAACAACTTTTCTTCTCTCCTCGATTTGCCTTTGAATGAATTCAACCATTTGCTCATTTCTTTTTAAAATTCGATAATATTCACCTAAATTTGATAATTGATTTGTTAAATTTGAAATCAAATTTATTACTCACTATTGAGAATTGGAATTTTCCTCATGAATGGCACTATCACACAGACCAAAAAACGGGCATTCGAGCCAGCTTTCAGCATTTCTCGAAGTGCTCCTTTAACGAGTTCAAACTCGTGTTGATGTTCCTAAATTTAAAAGAAAACGTTATTGTTTTGAAGATTATTTTGTAAAAAAATATTCTAAACAAATGACAAATTGCTTTCCTTAAACCCATTCGAAACCGCAGCGTTTTTTTCTTTTTTTTCGTCTGCGGACCAAGCCCTTTTTTGACATTTTTGACTCCGAAGCAGTTTATCCAGATGGTTGGAAAGGTTTAAGAGAGTCTCCTACACCATTTATTTTTGATGAAGAACGATTTGGATTTGACATGTGCAAAAACCAATTAATTGAATGAAAATAGCTCAATTAGCGCTGCAGTGAATAATCGCTGCAGCGGTCCGTTCCTGAGTTTTTGCTGCAACGATTATTCGCTGCAGAAGTTTCGAATGGGTTAAAGCCCTACAATTCTTACCTCATCAAATCTGTACCCAAAAAGAACACTATTGATCACTGATCCGATAGCGATATCAAACTCTTGCTAAAATATATTCTCTTCTACTTTACTAGAAACATTTCCAACTTGTACATAAACATTTCTTTTCAGTTTTCCCAGTTTCACAATCAAAAAGTCCACTTCAACCATGATCTAAAAGATTTTAAAGTTAAAGAAATCAAATTTCAAACTTAAACCCTTTCCTCCATAAGATTTCTACCCATTCCAAAATCTCTCATCGTATGAAGGGTAAATCTAAAAAAGTTTACAAGTTTTGAAAGCAGTTAGAAAGTCATTCTAACCTCCTTTGATCTCTCCATAAATCCCCGCTAGCCGCTGTCATTCCGTAGTTTCCCCCTTGGAAAGCTTTTCTCATGAAGAAGAATCCTCTTACTCACCCCGAAGAATCACATTAAACTCCTCCATGAAACTTCTATCCACATAATTGTCTCCATCTTTAATCACTGACTCTTTCATCGCCTCATACTCACAAATAGCCACCACCGGCATTTCACCTGAACTTATAAACAACTAGAATTAGAATTGATAAGCTTAAATTCAATCTTTATTTCAAAATTGATAACTTTACTAGCTAGTAGATAAACTTAACCATACTTACTAGTTAGTTGTCATAAGTTTACTGCTACATTGAGCTGTGAAAGCAACTACTCACTCATCCAATAGGTGAACACTGGTCCATGGCTTAGGCTTAGGCTTCGGCTTAGCCTGAGCCTAAGCCTGAGCCTGAGCCTAAGCCTAAGCCTAAGCAACTACTCACTCATCCAATAGGTGAACACTGGTCCATAGTCTTTTCTCCATTTTCGAAAAGTCTCATATCCGGGTGGATAAAGAAAAATTTGAAGCATATTACCGACTAATGGAAGCGGTATAGGACCTAAAATAATAGTTTAACGAAAAAAAAACTTTAGTAAATAAACCAGGTGGATATTTTCTTCGTTTCCAATAGAATTGTTGAAAGATTAATAGAAAAATTAGTGTAATAAAGATTAATAATAACATTTTTTAAAGTGGAAAGATCAATTGAAAGTGGATTTCTTATTCTTTTGCCTGTTTGACAATGTGTTTTGGGGGAATCAATGGGTAAATAGCGCTTTTTTTCTCTCTCTCTCTCTTTTACTTTTTCTATGGAAAAGGGATTTGAGTTGGAGAAATGATCGTTTTACTTTGAAAACTTTGAATAAAAATTTATTAGATATTCAAGCCTTAATTGATAGATGTCTATTGGCTTCTATTGGGCATGTTGACCGCTTTTGTTTTTATGTTTTTATGTTTTTATGTTTTTATTGCTTTTTTGACGTTCAAATGGACAAATCAGCTTTTGTAGCTAGAGAAAGCTATCAAGTTTTTCGATTCCCTTGCAATTAGTCCTACTTGCAACACTATGATCTGTATATGAATCAAGAAAAAAAAGCGCAACGCAGCACGCGCCTTCTCCCTTTCCTTGATTCCTTTTCCCCTGTCAAAATCCTGTGATCTCTTCAATTTCTCCTATCCTTTTTCCCTTCAAAAATCTCTTTTCTCTTCATTCCTTCTGTTTGCTCACTTATTGTACAGTTGTGTGTGCCAAAAGAGCTCATGTACTTTGTAGCCTCTCGTCCAGTATGTCGAAAATCTGAATCTCAAAATTTTCCCACCTCATTATTGACACTCAATTTTTTTTTTTTTTTTGAAAAAAATGACATTCCGATTTGAGAACGCCTTTTCGATTTTTGGATCAATTCAAAAACGAGCCTATCCATTGTTTTTTGACAGCCGCCAAAAGGCAATCTGTTTTTAGCTGATTGATTGTTTTGATTGATTGAAAAAAATGGATCTATTAACAATTTAACGCTATGAGTTTTGTAAAATTAAGGATTTTTTCATCTTTCCAATCCTTCTCTTTAGCTTTTTTGTTTTCTTGGCTCATAAAATGGAAGATGAGCCAAACGGGTGAAGTGCTCAGAGATTGCGAGCATTCAGCGGACGGCGTTTGCTCAAGGTAAATCGCTAAAATATTTCAAACTTTTATTTTGAAATGAAACGCAAAAAAGTTATTTCAAAAAATATCCCCTATTTTGCAGATGTGTTCTCCGTCGTTCATTCCAATTGGGTGCATGGAAATCCTCTTGTTCTTCGCCTTCTCCTCCACCCATTCTTTCATCTATTTCTTCCATTCATCCGATTGGATCACCGGAAGACGAGGAGAGAACACCAGTCGTTCAGCCAGCACTTCCCTTTCCTTATCCAACGAGTTCTGATGTAAGTTCAAAAACATTCGAGCAGATTCACATATTCTCAAGGAGTATTCTCAATTCTACACCCTAAAGCAAGTGATTGATAGCCTAACAAACAAAAGATTCTTGGTAACAGCTGGGAAAAACTTAACCTCTTGAATTGTCTCTAAACTTATCGATCTTGAAACTTCTTACAGTCTAAGTTGTGCTTTTTTGTTTGATTCTTACAAAAATTTGGTTGCTAAAAGGATTGCCTGTTGTTTACCAGTTCAAAATATGTAAATCAAGACTTTGGAGTCATTTCCCCAGAAGAAAAACATTGTTTACTGATGCACAATGCTTTTTTCCTGTAAGAGATCGATTGAGGAAGTGGAATTGAAGTCACTGAAAACTTCATACTCTCTTTGGCCCATTAATTTATAGAAAAAATATAGAAATACACCTTTTCTTCTGCACCAAATTGCTTCTTCAAGGAAAATGCTGAATTAACTGCACCAAAATAGGTGCGTTTGGAAAAAAACTTGTTGTTCTGCGTACAAAGATCACCAAGAAAAACAAGCTAAAATTCATAATTAGTGAAATATTTTTCAAAAGCACCTTTCTCTTTTCATTCTTCATCTTTTCTCTTTTCTCTTTCCAAAGTCATGTCTGTGTGTCTCTAAAATTTCATAGAATTTTCCATTTGTTCTCTTTTCTTCTTCTTCCCTTTTTCTTCCACTTTTCCATCAGTTTGCTCATGAGGGTTCAAGTTTCTTTATTCTTTCCTTTTTTTTTTCACCTACCCCTTTTTCAACCTCGCACGAAAATGGAATCTGATAATAAATTCTATTTTTCTTATCTATATCTTTTAGATATCATTTTCTATTCAAATTTCCCAATGTTGAAATCTTTGAACAAAATCTAAGCAATCAAAATAAGCAAAAGCGCAAAACAAAAGAAGCAATCTAAGCAATTTCTTAGTATTTCCTTGTAATTCAAGTGCCTGAACTACTGAAAATCCATAAATCTTCTTCTGGTTTCAAATTTTAGATAAAGTTTTACTTGTGAACGTACATAACTGTTAACAAGATGCTGCTAACTCTAGGCCAAGCGTGTACTTTGTACTCGGACAAAACCCACACTTGCTGGTATGCTTATTACGCCAATTTTCCCTTTAGAATCATAGAGGATTCATCAAAAATGACTATATCAGAAAATTCTTGGAAAGTACTATACTGAGGACGACTTTTATTGTCTCATTCTTTGACGTAGTCAAGTCATTTTTTAATATCAACTGAATTTGCTCAACACTGAGTCTCAGTTATCCATTTAAAGCTACAGTACTGGACAATGAAATATGATATTTGAAAAAAAGATCGTCACTTTCGCGCGTCTGTAACTCCCTTGTCTTTGAGTTTAAACTATTAGTGTTCTACATTTTCTGAAAGCTCTTTTCAACGGCTACACAATGGTAATATTAATATTTAGAAATACGGTAAAGACAAGGGAGTTACAGACGCGCAAAAGTGACGATCGTTTTTCAAATATCATATTTCATTGTCCAGTAGTGTAGTTTTGTTTTCCATCATAGAAAGGGTTACGGTATTATCCACGTTTTAGCGCGCAGAAAGTTGTCAAAGGTGACAATAGTCTCAGTTATCCATTTAAAGCTAAATGTTACGACAAAAATGTCAATATATTGAAGTTTTCTGCCTTAAAAGTTTGTCAATACATCAACGTTTTTGTTTTTCTTTTCAAAAATAACAAAAAACCCGGCATTTGAATTGAAATGAATCGATTCCAAAAGGGAAAAATTTGAAAATTTACAAAATTTCTAAATGAATTCATTTTCTATTGAAATTTAAATGTTTTTAAAGATTTAAAAATTCAATTTTCTTTCATAAATCCTCTGTGAATTCGATAAATGACTCGCGATTTTCCCAGTCGATAAGCGCTGCTCTCACTTTCGATTGTTTCCAACTATTCATTTGCAAATGCTTGTTCCGAATTTGAAAACTCAAATAAAAATTTGATTTTATCATTGTTTAAACAATTTTTTGATCAGAAAAACATTTTCTCTCAACTTTTATCAATTGCTCATTTCCCCGACAAGAAATGAGCCATTGTTCTATGAAAATTGATCACTTGCAATCAAAAGCTTTCAAGTTTTTTTTAAGGTTAAATTTGTATTAATTTTTTAAAATTCCATTTGTTTTGAATCTAAATGTTGATCATTTTTTTCAGCTAGAAGAGCCAATGTCAAAGATTTCACTTATTGGCTATGAGTCAATGAGTGTTGAATCAAGGAGATTGAGGTAAGGAAAATGAAGAATTTGTTAAGAGTTTCTTCAACAATATAATGAAAACCTTTTAGTTATTCGAAAAGCAACGATTTGAATGGGATTGGGATGATTGAGAGTACGAAGAAGGTTTCGACAATCGTTTCCCCGACAAATCATCCCGTCGATACAGTGGGTTTTTATGAAAAAAGGATGAACATCGCTAAAGTCGCATTTCGAACATAGCCTTGTTCTCTGAGTTTTTCATTTTAAAAAGGAAAAACAACTAAACATGCTGAACATGGGAAATGTAGTTGATTTTATAAAGTAAACAAATTGAACTACATCTTTTATAATATATATAATATAATATATATAATTATAATAATAGCTATAATATATATGTCGTAGCCGTTTACGAAATTCAGCCTTTAACGAATGAGGGTATTTCCGGGCATTCAATCAAAAAGTCACCCACATAAAAAATGTTCATAATACATATATTTTATAATAAATTTTGGAAATTAGCTCATTTGGTTCAGTAGAAAATTTTTTTTGAGCCCCCAAAGTTTAGGTTCAAAAATGCCCTAAAATGGCTATAAAAAATTTTCTACTCAGCCAAAAAACTTGCCTAATAGCTCATTTTGTAGCCAATTTAATGTAGTTTCCTAAAGTAAAGCCATCTAAAACAATTTTTCGTTGAAAGTAGGAGAAAGAGGGCGAGGAACAAATTCAGGGCAATTCTCAAATGTGAAAACAGCGACCGAGTTCAACTGAAGTCGTTCCTCGCCCTCTTTCTCCTAGCTTTGAAAAACAAATGTTCAATGTAGCTTTACTTTAAGAATCTACATCAAATTGGCTACAAAATGAGCTATTAGGCAAGTTTTTTGGCTGAATAGAAAATTTTTTATAGCCATTTTAGGGCATTTTTGAACTTAAACTTTGGGGGCTCAAAAAAAATTTTCTACTGAACCAAATGAGCTAATTTCCAAAATTTATTATAAAATATATGTATTATGAACATTTTTTATGTGGGTGACTTTTTGATTGAATGCCCGGAAATACCCTCATTCGTTAGCGGCTGAATTTCGTAAACGGCTACGACATATATAATTATAATAATAGCTGAAAAAGTGTTTTCAAAGTGACAAAAGTAATACTATAAAGGTTTTTAATTATAACCAAAAACAGTCTATTCTTGCAAAAAAAGTTCTGAATGATTGAAGGCTGGTTAAAAGAATAGGTTGTTGAGCTATTAGTTTTCAAATCCAGAACGTCATCGAGGTGATCCATATGGACAAACAAGATCCATGCATCCCCTCCTCTTCACCCTTTCACTCTCCCTTCCCTTCATCTAATCGATTTTCTGTTTTGATTGAATAAAAAAGACCATTCTAAACAAATCAATCAATTCCCAAACATTTTGAAATGATTACTAGAAATTTTTTATCTTATTGGATTCCTTGCATAAATCCAAACGAGGAAAAAGTTGTTGATGGTTCTAATGAGCTGGTGAGTCAAGGCTTAGTGATGGCTTAGTGCATATTTAAGACCAAAGCTTTCATGAAATCTAAAATTTGAATATATTTACTTAAAAATTGTAACTTTTTTTTTCCAGCTATCACCAGAAATTACTCCATCGGGATCGGCTTGGCTTCGCCGTTTGTTCGATTCTCCACTCTGCAACACATCATTTTGCCTTCACTACCTTAGTAAGCGACCCACTGATGTTTCGACGTTAAAATTCTTGGGTAAATTTAAACGTTCTTCTTAACTAATAAACTTAATTTAACGTTCTTAACTAAAGGTTAAAATTTAGGTGAAAAACTAAGCTCATTCCCGGTGAAAGAAGTCGACTTTTATATTCCGCAACTTATCAATCTTTACATCAACAATGGAGATGTGGCTGAGGCGATTAATGCGTATATTATGAAACGGTGAGCGTTAAAGTTCAAAAATTTAAATTGTTGTCTATTTCAAATAGCAGATCATCAAATCGGATCTACCGTAAATACTGTAATAGTACCCCACCCCCCTCGTACAGTCGCGTAGTCGCAAAAGTTTTTTAGTATTTCATTTTTTTCAAAGCGCCCCTACTTTCAAAAAATGCGTCTTTGGTATCAAAAAATAGCTGAAATTCAGGGCTATTTTTTGATACCTAAGCGCGCATTGTAGCATAAACCAGTGTCGAGAAAAACTCGTTCAAAGCTAGACTACACAACACTCCGCACCGTCATTATGGGGGTGGGGTACTATTACAGTATTTAAGGTAAGCATTAATTCGAGTGATAAAATTGCTAAAATAATCACTCAAAACTTTCGTTTCTTTATATCAAGCTAGCTAAAGAATGAAATATAAAAATCAATGTTCTTCAGAATATTCTTATCTATCAATTTTTTGTTAACAAACTGATTCTTGCTAAGTTTGGGCTCAAGAATAAAAAAACGACTTTCTGGCGCATTTGTGAAGCACTTTCAAATTGAAAACTTAAAAAACCAATAGAATTTTGGTTAATTCATAAAATTAACGGATATTGAAAACAAAAAGGCCTTTGTTTTCAATCTAAATTATCAAAGTCATAACATTTTTAATAAAAATAGATTAAGTGATTAATGAAATCCCCTCCTTCAATCTCATTCTTCCCACTCCCCCTCATCTACAAATCTTTCAATTGTGCTCCCATCGCAAATGAATCTCCATCCTAATCCAATGAAGGATTTCCTTTCCCTTCTCTGAAATCCGATTATCTCTGCCGAATCGACGAATTCTCACGATTCTATCCCTTTTTTTCCAAAGGTTTCTCAAAAATTCAAGGGAATTCTCAAATGGCTTCTGAATTCAAAGTGGTCGAAAAGACTCCAATTTAGCCGTTTCAGCTAATTTTAGCTGCACCCATCCATTCTTGGTCTCTTAAATTGAACAAAGAAAGAGCTCTTTGTCCTGACAATGAGTCTATAAATTGACTCGTTTACTTGGTTAAAATTGTTTTTGAGTTAAACATTCTTTACATGAGAAAATCTCTTGAAATTGATACGATTTAGAATTGATATGTTGATTAAAAACTTTGCCTAATGCAAAATAAACAACTAACGTCAATCGAGCTTTTCAATCTTGCAACATTGGCTTTCTTTTCCGAATGATCAAAAAAATTGGTCTCTTTGCATTCTTTGTTCAGTCGAACACTCAATTGCTTCTTGGATTTCCAGTAAATAATCTCCGCTAAGGAAAAACCTTTAGCCACCAAAGATTATTTGACTGAGTTCGTTATAACATTCAAATGGTATTATAGCTTAGTGCTAACTATGAATATTTTAAATTTTTTCTAGCTATAAGCATCTTGCTAACATTTTGTGATACTATTCGGCTTTCTCTCTTGTTAACCGTGGCTAGGAAGAGCTCTTAATGATCAACAAATTGCTTTCAGTTTATTTTTACTTGATAAGACTTATAAATATTTGTTTCTCACGAAAATATCTAAGAATAAGATGAATTGTGGATGTGTTTCCTCTCTCTCAAGACATTTCTCTCAATGACGTTTGATTGCCGAGACGCTTCTTTCTCTCTAAAAAGGAGATGCTGTCACGTAAGGGTTGGCCCTCATTTCTCCCAAAAAAATCACTATGTTCCCCTCAAGGAATGCTTTGAATAGAATCTATTTTTAAGCATGTGCCCAATTTTTTTCAAAATCATTCATCAATTCGATTTTTCTGAACTGATAAAATGTTAGCTAAAGTGCTTTAAAATAAGATGAATATTTGAAATTAGTATTTAATAAGCTTTTGGGTTAATACGTTAATACGATTCAGGGATGAAATTCCAAAATTTGATTCATCTTTCCTATTTAAACTCACTTTGGGCTTCCTCTAGGTTCGGAATTGATAAAAATACTGTTTTTAATTTTAAAATTCAATCTTTTCTTGCTTTTTCTGATTGATTCGAATCTGCCAACTTTTTTTTGATTTCATTACTCAAGTTTATTGGCTACAGATTAGTTACTCAACAGATTAACCTAATCTGTAGCCAATAAACTTGAGGATTTGAAAATGAGTTTTTTAAACTTGGAGATTAAAAAATGTTCTTTATTAAAATCAAATTTAATTTATTATTTAATTATTTATTTCCAGGTGTGAAGAAAGCGGTCAAGTGGCTCTTTTGTGTTGTTGGTTATTGGAAGCTTTTGGCGGTGAACAGCTTAAGTACGAAGAGAAGAGGCACGGAGAGAAATTGAGGTCGGTTATTTCATTTAATAATTTAAAAATATAGCGGTACATGTGGGGTTGGGCTGGGCACTATATTTGTTCCAAAACCTACTTTTTCTGGCGGGTTTTTTGCGTAGATTACGAATTTCATAGTGGGAGCTTGAGAAAATGCGTTTAGACCGACTTTTAGAGACTTAAAGTCGACGTCTCACTGTATTTCACTGTAATGTTCCTATAAGAAGGGCTCAAAAGGAGCTTAATGATCCTTTTCCTGTCCAAAAAAACCTTTTCTGAAATAATTTAGAGTCCTACGTGCAATTCTAACCAAATTCGAGTAGAAAGTTTGAAAAATTTTAGCGAAATTTTCATTTTTGCTTTTTAAGAGCTAATTTTGCTGTTTTCATGTTCTGGACACTCAATTAACCCAAAGAAAGTGTTTTTGGATGTTGAAAAAAATCCTCCGAGGCCTTGGATGAGCTTTCCTCAAATAAACCCCGCAGTGAAGTACACTGTAGAAGCGGCGACTTCGGATCCCCGAAAGTCCATCTAAAACGCATTTTTCCAAGCTCTCACTATGAAATTCGTGATCTACGCAAAAAAAAACCGCCAGAAAAAGTAGGTTTTGGAAAAACCTACTTTAGAAAAAACTTGAAAAAAAAGTACCTGTTTACATATTATTTTGATTTCATTTTATTTTGATTTATTTTAGGCAGTGGATTCTGAGTATTCTCCATCGAGCGAAAGATCCGAAGACGTTGAGCCATTCGAGGAGTTTGAGCACTTCATTATGTATGGTTTAGCTAAAGAACTTTTAAATCTTAAATTTTGATATGTTTAATTTAGTACTAGCACGAATATAGCTTGGCGAATATATTGATATAATAGTAATTTCCCCATGGTCGATAGGATTTTCCAATTTGTCTTCTCAAAGGTTCTTAATGAAACCGTTTATACGTTAACTACTTAAATACGCGAAATCTTTAATTATAGTCTTATGGTAATTATTTTATTAATCTATTCTATTCAGTAAGTCCCGACAGTTTGGTTTTATCGCTAAAACGAAGTGAGACAACGATGGGCCCATTTCGACAATCGATTTTGACAAGAGCTTTCGATGATGGCTGTGATTGCTTTGAGATCGATCCGACACGAGAATTCTGTATTTGTGAGGTAACAGATAATTATAGAAATATTTTATATATTCAATTTTCTAGAACCTGAGTATGCGCGGCGAAAAGGAGTTTATCAACTCGATGATTCGAATCGGGAACACGTTGAAAGATCTGACAACGAAAGAAGAAAAGGTACAAAGGAGAAGCGTAAAACTTTCCAAATTCAAATTTTAGTCACGAAGATTGATATCGGAGTTGGTGGTGATCAATAACAATCTCCCGGCTAGAGTTTGGCTTCCATTATATTGGGATCAGCATATCGTTCTTCGAATACCACCCACGAGTGGCTGTGTGCTGAATAGTAAAGATAAGGTGAGTTTCTGGAATAATTTCTTCAATAAAATAACCTTTTCTGTACTTCTTTGACCAAAATTTTACCCTTTGAACTTAAAAGTTCCCACGTTTAAGACTATCTAATGATGCTATTGTGTTTTGCATTGCATCTACAAGTATATCAATCCATTTTAGGCTCCATACTGTATCTATGTTGAAGTTCTTCTATGTGAATCGGTTCGAAAGATGAAAGTGCCTACGAGAATGAGTGACGCCGAAGCGGAACTTTATCAGAAACTTGCTCGAAATCACAGCACTGGCAATCTAGACTCAATGATTTCCACTCCACCAACTGTTAGACCACCAGTAAGTTAATGAAATAGACGTTAAATCAATTGTTTTCTAGATTGATGATAAAGTGATCTCTTGTGAGATGGCATCGGATACTTTGTCGCAAAAATCGATGGATATGGATAGTTGTAATTCGGAGGAGAGAATATCAGCGGCTGAGATTTCGAATCGTTTGAAAAGATTGATGAAAAAGCCAAAGAGACAGGTGAGAGGAAAATCATCACTAATAAAGTACTTAATCTAATGTATTTGCATATTTATTAGTGATAATTTTCATTAATCATTAATCAAGATTTTTAGATGCGACACACAGCAGAAGATCCGTCAGCATTCGCGATGTCAGAGCCATGGGAAGAGAAAAGAGAAAGGTTTGAGTTGAATTCAAGCTCTAATCTATCAAATCTTTGTAAATTTAAACTCAATTTACAGTCAAGAACATTCAGACTACGAATTGCAAGCCCATATGGTCGATTAACAGGTTGGGAATTGTTGCCAGTGATCGTTAAATCGGGTGATGATCTCCGACAAGAAATGCTCGCCTATCAGCTTTTACAGACATTAAAAGTTGGTTTTAAACTGCAGAGTTTCTGCCAGAGTACTGTATTCAAGTCATTTTTTAATATTCTAGGTGATTTGGGAAGAAGAAAAGGTGCCTGTTTGGATTCGACCCTACAAGATCTGTGTCTTGTCCCAGGATGCGGGGCTAATCGAACCGATTGTTGATGCTTGCTCGTTACATCAGGTATTAGAAATTTACAATTTCTACTAAAATAATGTAATTTGAATAAAATGAATTTAATTTTTTACTTTCAGATTAAGCGCAATCAACAAATGAGCAACACTGAAGAGGGAAAACTCCAGCCCCCATCGTTGAAACAACACTTTTTAGAGCATTTTGGCAAAGAGGATTCGGATAATTTTATCAAGTTAGTGTAAAAATTAGCTATTTTTAAAAAAAATATCCTAACAAATTCATTAAAAAAACTTTCAGAGCTCAGCAAAAATTCGTCGAAAGCTGTGCCGCCTATAGTTTGGCTTGCTATTTCTTGCAAGTAAAGGACCGGTGGGTTTTTGAATGGCTAGTGATCTATATATTAAGATATCTAAATTTTAGACATAACGGGAATATCTTGATTGATTCGGATGGTCATTTGATTCATATCGATTTCGGTTTTATTCTCAGTGCTTCACCGAAAAATCTTGGATTCGAATCGTCTCCATTTAAGGTACTTTTTAAAAACAGCTAAATATTTACCTATTTTGTAAATAGCTAAATATTTACCTATTTTTTTTTTAGTTAACATCCGAGTACACTGAAGTGATGGGCGGATTGTCGTCAAGCATGTACCATTACTATCGAGCTCTCATGTTACAAGGGCTCATTGCTGCAAGAAAACATCACGAACGAATCATGAATATTGCTGAGATTATGGCACAATGTAAGGATTTGTTTTGTTTTTGAAACAAAAATGATTATAACTTTTTCAAAGACACTTCGAGAATATTCATTTATAAATTGTAATTTAAAGACTCACCAAGTTTTGCACAAAAATAATGATAAGAAGTGGAGACTGATAGTAGGAATAATAGTAGAAATAATAGAAATAGTAGGAATAATAGTAGAAAATAATGGTTAGTTTTAAACATTAAAGTGATGTTGAAAAGTTAAAAATATCAAGCTTTTAGTAACCAATTTCAGCCGGATCCCCATTGCCGTGTTTCCGAGCCGGAGAGGCGACAATCGTCGCGATGAGACAACGATTTCATATGGGATCTACCGAGAAGCAATTGCAGGTAGGGATAAAGATTTTTGGCAAAAATGCTGCTTCTCTTCGACACTTCTTATAGTACGCTTCTACTAGAGAAAATTGGTTAAACTTGAATGGCTATAGATTCAAAACCGACTAATTAGAATACAAGGTTTCATTAAGTGTTAGAAAAAAGCTCTTGAACTTACGCTACTACCAAACCAATGATAAATTTCATCCATAAACTTTCGTAAGTTGAATGAATATCACCTTGACATCGTGAACACTTTAAACCCTAAACATCTCTGTTCAGGCCGAGGTCGACAAGATGATCGAGCAGAGTCGAGACGCTTTGACCACCCGTCTCTACGACAGTTTTCAATATTGGTCAAATAGTATCTTTTAGTATTTGCACAAATCTTTTTTCTTTTTGTTTATCGTTTATCTAAAGAGTGCTCCTCAAAACGGGTCTCATTTTTCAAAGACATGTGATAAAAATATTTGAACAAAACGGCATTCAATCTTCCCTTTTAAAATCCTTTAGAGATTTGCATTTTTTTTTTGTAGAAATTTTAGCGTTTCATATTTTTATTTCTTGTGTCTTCAAAATGTGATATTTCTCAAGAATCTATTGTATATCAAAAAAATCAATAAATCGGGTTTTTTTTGAAAGCATAACAGCCCTTTGAATCAGACAAGGAGAACTCTGTCTTTCTTTTTTACAGTTCAGTCTAGCGTCAATCAAAGAATTATCGCTTTATCCATCGATTCTTTGACAATTTCAAAGTGACCAGTGACAATTCGTGCAATTTGTCTCAATTCCTGGATGAAGATCGTTTTGTGGGCATCATTAGAAGTCGAGCATTTAACGAGTGTCCAATTTTTTCATTGATTAAGAAAAAGTTTTCTTATAAAGCATTTAGAGGCTTAAATGCACATGTGATAACGATTAATCGATTGGAATGGGATGATTTCAAGAAAACATTGAGATCACTTGTCAATCAAGGTTTTCCAAACCTGTGTCAGTGTCCGTTACTGGCCATTTCAGCTGGCAAAGTGTTAATCAAAAATTTCTCAAAGCGAGAAGAACGGCTAAAGTTTTTGCAGAGTTTTTAGCAAAATATTTTGTTAAAAATGGAGTGGAGAGGATTCACGAGAGGTACTTGTATTTAAGAATTAGCTTTTCCAAATCTTTTCCTATTCTCTAAAGCGTCAAATTATTTGAAGCGAATTCGCCAAAACAAGCTGCGGTCGATGCGAAAGATGGGCAAACAGCTGAAAATTAGCCCTCGAAGAATTGCCCATCTTTCGCATCGACCGCAGCTTGTTTTGGCGAATTCGAAAGCGAATTTCGTTGATGTTCGTAGGTGTTACGGCAGTTGGTGGTCGACCACTTCGAGGGCGATCCTTGTTGTTCTTGATCTCCTTGTAGCGTTTAATTGCTTTGTTGACGGTGCTTTTTTGATATTTCGTGATTTTTACAATCTCCGGGCTATTTTTTCCGCCTCGGTATAATCCGAGAATCACATCGCGTCGTTTTTTGGCGTTTCATTCTTACGAATTTTCTCCTAAAAAGAAATTTTTTGTAACAAATCACCTTAGCTATACTCGAAAAAAGGAAAAAAAGTATACGAGACTCAAAAAAAAGCGTGAGCTAAATTTTCTGCAATGTTTTCATAGCGGCTCCGAACTTTTGCCGCACCCTGTATGTCTCAAAAATATGTCCTTCAACTAACAAAAAAAAACAAATTTGTCGAAGCGATTTCAAAAATTCTTTTATTTTCGAATTTAACACCCTTTTCTGCGTCGAATAGCTATTCAAATGTAAAAATCGTATAGAAAACGATTTTTTTTTGCCTTATTTCGCGCGGATGTGCCCTTTAATGACAACAGGTGCTTTTCCCCAAAGATAGGTAATCTGACAGGTGTTACAGTTTATTTAAAGATTTTTTAAAATCCGATGAAAAAAGTACCTTCAGCTGCAAACAGCTTCATTAGTGTGTGTGTGTTTGTTTTTTCTAAAAAGTGGATAATTTGGAAAGCTGCCGTAGAAAGGATATAATCTGAAGGAAAGTTTACGATATTTCAAATTATCCACTTTTTAGTGAGCGATTACAAGGAGCACACATCTTTTCTATGACCTATTTTCCACAGATCTGACGAGGAAAGGGTTTCGGTGTCGATCGAGGAAAGCTCATTTCTCGAAAAGCATTTTGCGATCAAGACAAAGGTCAACTTTCCAGTTGTTTCGTATCTGATAACTTGGATTGTGGGTACAAAGAGCTCAATTTTCTCCGGTGAAATGTTCCTTTGACTCACAAGAACTATGTGATGAAGATGGGCCCATTAGGGAATCCAAACGGCTTTTATCAAACCTTTTCCTATTCTCTAAAGCGACAAATTATTTGCGCCATGTATCATTTGCGTTAAATTTGCGCTTTTCAACACACTTTCCTACCAACTCTGATCGTTTATTTTTATTTTTTATACTACTTTTTTTCGTCGACGATGCTCGCTATTTTGCCGCCTTCACCGGATTTGAAAATGGCATAAAATCGATAGAGAGAGTAAAAAGCCCAATCAGTGGCACACAAATGATTGTTTTTGAGCTGTATATGTGTATTTAAACTTGTTTTGTAATTGAAAGCAGTAAGAATTAAGATTGTGAAGCAGAAAACTGAAAAAAAAGTTGCTTAGAAGGTGGGAAAAAGTGATTTGCTACAGTGATTTTGATAAGCGTAAATTTGGCGCAAATCGTATACGACGCAAAAAGTTTTGGCGCAAATGAAACGTGGCGCAAATGAAATTGGTGCAAAAAAATGAGGCCTTTTTTGCTAGCACCTCGAGAGAGCTGTTTTCTGCTTTGTATTGTACAATTCTAAAATGGTTTCCATCTGTACTGTACTTGAGAAGTCAACAAAAGTGATTCATTTTAGCAAGGATCCGTGAGAGTTTTATCGACTAGAACTCTGCAAAAGTTGCGAGTTCAATCATTATCTAAATTATAACTTTATGTTCTTTATTTTTGAATACGATTTTACTCTCTTTAAACTTATTGAATGACATTGCATTTCCGCTTTTTGTTAATTCTTAATAAAGGCTGCTGTGATAACACATCAATGTTCAATAAAAAAAACACAATATTGTAAAAAAAAAACTTAGCGATTACTTGCACAAACAAGTTATTAATAGATCTCTCATCGATTCTTAAAGTTTGTATTCCAGTAATTATTCAATTTATTGACTAAAGAAAACAGGTGATTGACCCAAAAATAGAAATAGGTAATTGTGCAGGGAGCTTTGTCGAGGCATTTCCCATTCAGGTAAACACTTTTACAAAAAGGCAATGCTTTTTGATCAACACTTTCTGTTACTGTTTTTTACTCTTTAGCCGTAAAATAGAAGAGGTTTGTAATATTGTTAAAGCTAGGAATTAAGGTTTCATCCATTTCATCATTGTAAAAAGATCTACCATCAGAATATCTTGTTTACCTAGCAACACATGTTTCCATGGAACAGTTTTTACAATTGTTCTTGTATTTCTCTATGACAGTTATCGGACTTACTTCTTCAACCACGGTGGTCAAAACACTCGTCGTAAAATAGAAGATCGGCTTTCTGTCTTGTTCATTCTTGAAGATTACGGTTTTCCACTCGACGTTTAAACGTCTCAAATTCTTGCAAGAATCCGTGAAAGTCTCTATTGTATTGAATGTGAGTTTGAAGTCAGCAAAAGTCATTATCCTATCCTTATTAAAACGATAGCTTTCTGTTGAAAGCAAAAAATCTATTTTGAATCAAATAATACCTTAATCGTGATTAAACTAAAAACATGTCTTGTTTGTTCTAAGAACTGTATACAACATTGGATAAAGTTTTTTTATAAAGAAATTTTTGACGACTGAAAACCAAAAACTGTTTGGGAATTCGCCTCTTTGCAAAAAAGTTATTACACTTTGAAATTTACTAAACTGGATGTTACAAGACTTTTGTGCATGACTGTAACACTCATTCAAAAAGGCTCGGCTTTTAAGTTGATTTTCCATCATCTATTAAGGCATGAAATCAAATACAGTGGTCCACAAAAGTAATGCCCCATTGCCATTCAAAAGTATTTTTTGCAAAATTCCTCCTGAAAACATGTATTTAAAATATATATTTTTTTTCTTTTAAAATACTTTAGAAATTCTAGTTGTTAAATAACTGGATTTTTTTTTTGATTGAGATCCTTCCAATCAAAAGATCGAGATGGAAGAGTGCAATTACCCCTAAAATTAGCTCCACAAAAGTAATGCGACTCAAAGAAGTAATAAAAGCAAAAGAAGGCCCAACCAAGAATTGATTTAAAAAAATTGTGTTAATTCTCTTTACAAATGGGGCATTACTTTTGTGGAGCTAATTTTCAAGTAGCTTATTGTTTTTGTTTTGTACTTTAATTTGTATGTAATGTATACGGATAAATCTTATATTCTTGAAAAGTCGAGTCTTATAGGTAGATAAAAATACCCTACTCTTTTTCTGAAATGTCGATTTTGCAAGATTTCCTTACAAAACATACTGTTGGATGGCAATGGGGCATTACTTTTGTGGACCACTGTATATTAGAAAAGAAATCGTTTAGTTGAAAGAAACACTCGTCGGTGAATGTGTCAAAAAAAAGAACGTGTTTCTGGTAAACAAAAGGCTCATGGTCACATTGAGGAGACGGGAAGACAGAGGAATGACAGAGTGAAGAAAAGAGAGACTGTTGGACTGACTGACGAGAACTGAGCCTTGGGGAGGGTCTTAGGCTGGATTGGTGAAGGGGGGAGCTGGGGGGAAAGAGACAGGTCCCTAGGCCTAGACCTGAACCCCCTTCTGTTTGCCAGAAGAGTCCCACATTTCTTTTTCCTCTCTCTCTCTCTCTCTTCGTTTACTTTTATTCGCCTGTTCACTTTTTTTTTAATAGATCAATGATTTGAGTCAGTTTGTTCGCTATGATTTTTAATACTCAATTTTTGTGCTTAACTTGTATTTCGGATTGATTCTCTCGTGTCAACTCTCGCAAAATTTACATTCAAAATAACTAACTCTATGTTTATACTAACGTTTTCTTACAATTAAGCTTATAAATAGCAAAATCAGTACAAGATTTAGATAAACTTTATCTTTAGTTCAAATCTTCTGTACTTTCAATAAATTGATGTTCTTTATTTGTCTCTTGTTTAGTTCTTTTTTTTAGTTTAAGATCAAAGATTCAAAGATTTTTGAATCTCAAAAGCAAGTTACCAAGATCTTTTTTGATATAAACAAGCTCAATGAAACTCTCCAGGGAATTCCGTAATCTAACGTGGAGAAGAAGGGTAATCAGATTCGATTCAACGTTTTTCCCTCCTCCTCTTTTTCACCTTCATTTCTCCCTTTTCTTATTCAATCGGCCATATCCCAAGGGTAAGCAGGGAATTTCCCCAAAACTTACTCCTTTTCCCATTTTAGACATTTTATATAAAAATTTGACATTTGAATTGGCTTTTGAGACGTCCATTGGGACATTTTCTTGACGTTTTTATGATGGAGAAGCAATTCGACTTCTTTTTGAAGAGCTTTTCTAAACTTAGGACTTAAACTTTTTACATTATGTGCTTAATTTTTATGATTCTTATCAAAATAGAAACTGTCTTGAATTCGAATTTATTGACATTTTTGTGTTTCCCATTTCAAAATGGGGTCATTTGAGGGTCATTGAAACTAAAACGTTTCTCTTTTGATACTCTTGAGTACCTGTTAGAGTTTAGTAGTGCGTATCGATTGCGATTGAGTTTAGTAAGTGGCTAAATTACATCTTATTTTAGTGTCTTAACAAAAAGTATAATTGATTTTAGCTTCAACTTCTGTTCTTACAGGTTTGAAAAAACCTCTAACTTGTTTTTCTTTTTTTTACAGATTTTTCCCTGTTCCCTTTCAAAACAAATGATTACCTATGCTTTTTGAATCAATTAAATGCATATTGATTTAGAATGAATTGAGCCAATGATTCAATTTGAAAGGAATCAATCGAGCCAATGATTGAATTTGAGAGAAATCAATCGAGCCAATTTGAAAGGAATCAATCGAGCCAATTATTCAATTTGAGAGAAATCAATCGAGCCAATTATTCAATTTGAGAGGAATCAATCGAGCCAATTATTCAATTTGAGAGAAATCAATCGAGCCAATGATTGAGTTTGAGAGGAATCTGATTGATTCCTCTCAAATTCAATCATTGGCTCCATTTACTTTACAAACAAATAGATCTTTAATCGAAGCAATCCATAAATCATTTAAGAGTTTTATTAATCAAAAACTAGGGTTATAAATCTTTAGATTATTATAAGTTATCTGAATCTTATCTAATTTTTCCAAATTCACAGGGTCATTCCTTCTCTTTTTACTATTCTCTACCCGATTATTTCCTCATTTCAAAATTTTCTTATAACGCTTGGCTTTATCTAATAAACAAATGATAAATCATTTAAAGAATTCCTAAATTCAAATACTTATTGCTTTAATTGATCAATTGCAATGTACAGACTGATTTCCCTTTCCTCCTCCATTCAATTCTTTGCCCTACCCGCTTAATTGGATGCCTTCATCCCCATCCCCTCTCGATTGCAAATTTATTCGTCCTTCTCTTCCACATCCAAAATTCCATTCCTTAGAAGTCTTGGCTTTATTTTAAAAATTTTTCAATGTTTGAAAACTTTCAAACAAAGCCTCTTCCTCGTCGTCTTTGTGTTCGTTTTGCATTTCTAAACACTGAAAAAGTTTGGTTTTTTAAAAAGCTTGGCATTTGAAGGCATTCTATGCTTCTAAATATATTTGAAAATTTGAAAATTTCGAGAAATCTGAATACCCCAAGGAATCGGCTAATAAATGGCATTTCAACGCCTTGTTTTCTGAAAGATTTCGTAGATTTTGAAGCTATTGAACTAACAACAGAGGTGAGAAATGTTCACAAATAAATGATTCAGTTGAATATTTTTATTTCTCTTTTTCTTTTTTGGGTTTCCGACACCAATAGATAGGGAAGAGACGGGGACTTGTTTTGAGGGAAAAGAAATTGATCGCTTTCAGCTCCAAAAAAGAAATTCGATTTTAAATGTTTCAATTTTAAATGAAATTTTGATTAAATTTGATTTGATTTTTCAAGTTCTAAGCAAGTCGAGAGGAGATGGGGATGAAGGCATCCAATTAAGTGGGTAGGGCAAAGAATTGAATGGAGGAGGAAAGGGAAATCAGTCTGTACATTGCATTTGATCAATTAAAGCAATAAGTATTAGAATTTAGGAATGCCTTAAATTAGGAACGGAATCTTGATCTCTCTGCTTTTCTTTGTCAGTTTCTTTTACCGCTTGGTCTAACTTTTTAAATCAAATTTTCTAATTAATTTCACTTTCTAAATCTATTTGTTTAACTGCCAGATGAGCTTTTTCTATGCCCCACTCGTCTGTTGTGCAAAAATTGATTACTCTCCACTCTTCCAAGCACAAATTTTATTGACCGTCTTCCAATTTGCTTTCTCGATTTGATTATTCCGTTTCTATTTGTTTATCGGAACTGAAATTTAGAGGAATCTGTCTTCACTGTCTTCAATTGTCCTCTAGAGTTTGTCAATTAGAATTTTATCACCAAACCAGCTAACATTGTAAAGATATTATTAGAGATTAATTGGTAGTCCTTTAAAAAGTTCTGTTGTTGGCTTTTTGCTTTTTGAAATAATCCTTTAGAAAATAGGTCATTGTTTTTTGGTCTCCTTCCCACATCAAGTATTTCCCGTTTTCTAAACTGAATTCAAACAATAATCCAACAATATTGTAGCCAATCTATCGGCTGGTCGATCGGCTGAGGGAAAGCCGAGCAAAATCGGCTCTTCAATCGACAGAAAAGAGAAGGGGAAACCCTCTTTTCAATACATGAAAAGTCATTCCTATTCATTTCTCTTTTGCCTTCTCTATTCACTATGGTGTGAGTAGGCAAAGCTAATAGGAAATATCATTTTTGGCTTGTTCTTTAGCTGTACTTTTCTATTTAGAAACTCACTCAAAAATATTTTTCTCATCTTGTTTTCTCGAAATTCTCTTACAAAAATGCCTCATTTTGAAACTTTCAAAGAATCATTATATTTTGAAAACATTTCTTTCGATGTGAAACTAAACATTGAAAAATCAACTTTAATAAATTAAGAAATTATTTATTTTCCCTAAATTTCCAACAAACTTCATCATCACTGTTGACTCAGCTTGTTTGAAATGGAAAATTTGATTTAAAAAATATTTGATGACCCCAAAAATGTCTAAAAAATGATATTCTTGAAAAATTCTTGAAAAGTTCTTGAATTTCAAGTCCAGTTCTGTGTTGTCATTTTGTAATTCGCAAATTGATGATTCACATTTTCGTGCAGCTGACCTTTTAGTGCTTTAACTTTCAATTGATTTGTTTGATTCATTGTTGCTTCAATTTGATCTTCATGAAGTTTCAAAAGTTTTCAGAAAATGGTGACAACTCTTCCCGAATCTGTGTCAATGTCATTTTTCTCGTCGGGTTGCGAATCTCCATTAGCGACTCGTTTTCCAATTTCTGTCTCAAATCTCTATGAATTTACAGGTAAATTAAATAAAAAATGTAATGAGAAAAGCATCAAGATATTTGCTTTTGCTGGAAAATGGAGAGAAAAACTTGCACAACAGAAAACTCAACAGAAAAGTAAAGTAGATTGGATATTTCTGAAAGTAGTAATCGTTTGTATCTCATTAGACTTAGAGAAGGGGGTTGTGGCAGGTGGGAGAATGTTAGAGAGTTGAAGAGGTTCTAGAAGGAGGAGAGTTCCGAGGGGGTAGAGCTGTTGTTCTGAATGGGAGGGAAGGGGTGGCCGAGAGTCTTCCCATAGTAGGCGCTCATCGATCCACCCCTTGTCGAGTGACAGACCGGAGGATTGAGAGAAGAAAGAAAAGAAAAATGGAAGGAGAAATCGGAGAGTCTCTTCCTTTTCGTTCTTTCCCTTCTTTTTCCTCTCCTCTACCTAACACTCACCGGTCAACCCGCCTCGTTTCTGCCTCTTTCCCTTTTGCGCACCCCCGGCAACCATTTTTGGCAATCGACTTTTGAAAGAGCCTAGTTTTAGGCATTTAATTTGTTTTTTGATTCTTATTTGAAATTGTGATTGAGATCTTTATGAAGAATTATCCTAAAATTGATTTGCAAAGTTTGATTGAACTTTGGAAATTTTTGGGGAAAAGTTTGTTGCTGGCTACAGTTATAAAATCGTTACCCGATTGAATATGAACAAAATTTTGCTGGTATTTGATTTGGTATTCATTTCATTCAAGTCATTTTCACCATTAATTTCGGTACTTGTGCCGTTTTTCCAAGAGTTTTACCGAACAAGTGAATCAAGTTTGCGGTATTTGATCGATAGCTAAACTTTAGACTCAATCCTTTCGATCTTGACTTCGTTGAAATGAACTTAAATGAATATTTTCAAAGTACTTTTTTTTTTGCTTTCTAGTGGAAAAGATTCCCTTCCCGAATAAAATCTGTCTGATTATTCTTGGCATTCATTCCGCATTCAAAGCAGTCCTTTTCCCCTTCCTTTCCGGGGTCTCAGGTCATTTTCTATCAGATTTTCCTATCAGGTATCAAATATGACAAAAAAAATCTCTACATTACTTTCATTCAAACGTTTGCTGAAGGAATTTTTGAAAGTTTTTGATAGAGGGAAAAGTTGATGAAGGAGTATACGAGAATATGGGATTAAAACTATGATTTTACATATTTTTCTATATCCATAGTAGGTCAGCTCAAAACCAGTAGGAAAAATCGAGATGTGTAAGCATTTTTCACGCGAACACTTCCCGAAGGAATGCCTCGAAGATTGAAATTGAGCTGGGGAGAAGATGGGTGTTGGAATGAGAAATGGAGGAGTGAAAAGAAGGGGAAAGATGGATCGGCAATGGATGAGAGGGGAATGGGTTTGGAAATGAAACCACTTCCGATGCATCGTTGGAATTCAATCCATACTACCAGATAGGTTTGGGACTTGGCAATTTAGCGACTTTCTCTGATTAGTTTGGCTAGTTTATGAGGCTTCAAGTTTGGGCAATTTAGACAGAGATTCATTTCCAAGCTTTTCGACTTGTTAGGGTTTATAAAATCTTACATTTTGTACGATTGTACTAGTCGATTGTACAGCTTTTAACTACTTTATAAATTTGAGCCCTTTTGATTGAAAGTAGTCTATTGACTGCTCAACACTTTCCCCCTTTCTCCTTTTGTTTTCCAAACCGCCAACCAATTCACTTTCCCCAGCGAATGCTGAAAATCTAAGCCAATTTACGGAGTCACTCTAGAAATCTGCCTAGTTCTTTCTATAAATTGGAGAATTTTCTTTTATTGTAAACAATATGAAAATTTTCAGATGATGTCCTAATCGAAAGTTTTGATAAGGAGTGCACGATGAGCGAATCTCGACCCCTTCCACAACTTAATGGAATCAACAGAATGACGAGTGTCGAAGCATCAACGGCACGGCATTTCGATGATTGCTCGGTTTTTGAAAATGTGAGTTAATAAAAGTTGAAAACTAATTTGTTAAGCTTGAGCTTAAGGGTCGATTTTATAAAGCTTTATTATAAGAATATATTATATTAATACAATTTAGATGCAATACCTCGGGTGCTCGATGATCGAAAATCCCTCCGATGAGGCAGAGATGATGAAAATCGTGAGTCTATTGGATGAAAAAGCAGACACCGCCGTGCAAGTGTCACTCTCTGTGCCGAGAAGCGTCACTGGAACTGTGAGGTAAGCTCGTTTATACTTTCAAATAGTAAAACAATTTGATAACATTCTAAAGAAAGCTTTAAAAGCAGGAATTAAACCCAGTTAGACGAGACCTAGAACAATTTTTTTAAACTTGCCTATGCTAATGTTACAAAAACGGTAATCATTCTAGATTATGTGACCCAAGTGGCTCTGAACTTGGCTCATTCCCAGTGGCCCGGATCCGTTTCTGTGTCCGAGGACGGTTGGACAGTTCACAACGGAATTGCTTTGCTCTTTCATTCACTCATCACAATCCTGGATCTCCCGATGCATCACATCAATGTCACGTCTTTCGATCATCACAACCTGATACAGTAAGCTCAACGTTACACTTTGAAGTTTTAAGGCCAATTTTGTCATTCAACTTTTCAAGAACTTGCAAATTCCAGGCCGGTAGAGCTCTCTATTGTTTCTCGCAAGCTTTCACAAATAAAGAAACGGGTGATTCGACGCCTGGTGATGGCTCGACAACTGAATTCAAATTTGAGGCTTATTTGGAACTACGGGTAAGAGGAAATAAAGTTCTTTGAAAAGAAATAAATGCCAATTTCAGGAAGAGGACTTGATTGGCAAAGAGACGCAATTCGTTCTCTGTCCCCAACAGAGCAATACATTCAAATTGAGAAGAGATCGCACAAAGAAGTTGATTGTTCATTTGAGACAGGTGGAGGAACAATAAAATTAGTTGTTAAAAGATATCAACTAAATTTTTCATAGTGTCTAATTGTACAATTTAGATGAGCGGTCGTCCTCTTACAATCTCAAAATGTTTCGGGATGTTGCTGGCGGCTGGGCGAAACTTGAGACACTCAGATATGCAGGTAGAAAGTCGTAGATTAAAAAGATATTGAATAGATTTGATAAACTTCAATTGTATCCAATTAAACGAATGATTTGAATGAATGCTATCTTAATACAACAGAACAAAATTTATCTACTTAGGAACAACCTATTTCATTCTAAAGTAGTACACTTATTATCTGTCTGATATTGGGTAAAATTGGAAATATTGTTTTCCAGCTCTTGGATATGGAGAGTATGGCACCGTCTCCACACGATCCATCTGTCTATATGGTTACCGCCATTTGGGATCCAAAAATGCACAATTTTGAAGTCTTGAACACGGAGACACCAAGAGGTAAGAAAAAACGCTGAATTTATTTTCGATTCAAAACTACTAATGAGCCAAAAAAAAAGTTTAGGCATTAGCCTTTGTTGTCGCAGAAAGACTGGTACTTTCTTTTGCTTTCATTTTGATTACTTCTTAACTTTATGAAAGCTTTTAGATACTCGTGTCTTCATGACCGTTGCAGTGGATGTGATTGTGGCGGAAGTGAGCGAACCGGTGCGATTCTCACTTGAGTGCAAAGCCCGAGTACATCATCAATACGAGCGTTTTTGTCGAACCGCACGAATTCCCGTCTCCGAGACATACTATCTTAGTTTGCAAGTGAGTTGACGAAATTTACAGTACTTGTTGATTGAGTTTTAGCTATAAGTTATTCATAAGTTATAGCTAAAAACTAAACTATAACTATAAGTTATTCAGTCAAAAACGTACAGCTAAAACGTTGTTTAAACTAAACCCTTTCAAAATTGAAACTAACACAAAAACTTTCCCGAATTCTACTTTCCGAATTCTATTTTCCCATCTCATACAAATATTTTTTAATCATTTTTGAAAAGAAAAAAAAATGCTTAAAGCAACAGAGCCAATATTATGTCTCGTGTCTCAAACTGTCATATCATGAATCGGTTTTTGGAGGGGAGATGCTGGGGAAAAGGGAGAGATTGGAGAGATGGCAGAGAGAATCGACCACAACACACCGAATATATGCCCATTTTTGTTCATCTTTGCTGAATTTTGTTCAGTTTTATTCAAACTATGGGTTTCATGAAGATACTCTCGAGAAAGAAGGTAATTAGAAGCTTGTACAAAGTGTTAAAGTTGACTATGGGGAAACTGTACAAAACTCTTGATCTGGATAAGCCCTGGTGCAAATCTTTCCCTCCAAATTGCCCTTCAGACCTATTTTTCTTGCGTTTTCTGGTTCAAGTCACGGGTTCCCTTATCAAAAAGCCCTTTCTGTTTTTCACATCAAATTTTGGAATAGACGTTTTTTCAATTACTATAAACACATTTACAAATTCTATCTGTAAATTTCGTATTCATGCGAGACTTGATCATCTTTCCAATCGTAAGTCTAATCAAAGCTACTCCATTAGATTTTTCACTGTTCAGGAAAAAGCGTCCGTTCACATTTTTTCAAGAAAAAAGGTGGGCTTTTTGAGGTTCTTTCAAAAAAGCACAAATTGATGGGTTTTTGATGGGATTCAAAAAAATGGCATTGATTGGGGAAATGGTGAATCAGAAAACTATTTGAGCAAAAGCGGAATTCTAAGCGACACTTGGATTTCTCATGAAAAACTGCCGTAATCCAGCAATTTTTTTAATGTAAATTTTTGTTAAATGCAACTTGATTTAAACGATTTGTCGGATAAAGCGTATAAATCAAATCAAGTGCTTTTGTCAGTGGCTTTCAAAAAGTTCCTCTCAACGACTTGAAAACATTGCTCATCGCCGCAAAGCTCATAAATTATCCGAAGAAAATCTCCCTCAAGGGTTAGACTACTTCGAGAAAATGTGGAGTCAACGCAGACGAGAGTAAACCCAATAGAAATGGAAGTGAGGGAGAACAAACGAAAAGTCGTTCCCCTTCTCACCCCTTTCCCTTAACAGCAGTTCCACATCCATCTATTCACCCTTTTCTCACTGCGGCTCTCTCGGCCTTTCATCCCCGCTTTCCCCTATCTCTCTCCATCACGGCTGACCCTTTCCCCCTTTTTTCTTGCAAACTATAGCCCAAAAGAACCCTGTGCCTGAGCAGCGTGGCTCCCGATTAGACGCACACCCACACAAATTTATTTGTTTTCCATAAATAAATAGCACTAATCAGTTGCAGTTGCCCAAAATTGATTTAAAAAATTCTTTTTTTTTTGCAAAAAGGCTAAAAATGATTCACTCCTTTGTAACAATTTTACTTTTGCTCTTTCACGCTAATTGTTTATATTAAGAAATCGACGGAGAACACATCGAGCACGTTGGTCTTTGTGCAAATCGAATCTGAGACAGATCGAGCGAGGGCAAAGAGTAAACTCGGACGATCGCCATCGAAAATGCCTGCGCAATTGCTGCAACCGGCCGGTGACGATGAATCGGGTAAATTTTTCAAAATTGCATCTTATACCAAAGCCGTTTTGCTTCTAAAACTTTACTTTTAAGGGGTCTAAAGTTTTTGATTTTGCTTTCAAATGGCCAGCTTTTGAAACAGCTATAATTTATCTGTCTTTAGATAGCGATGAACCGTTGCTTTCCGGATCGGGCGATGTGAATCGAGTCGTTTCCGAGGATGTTTTGGCTGAATGGCAAGAATGCATCACTCAATGGAAAGCCGACGAGTCTGGGTTAGTATTTTTTAAGTTTTTACCCACGCAAAAGCTTTGTATTTTCTGAAAATCAATCGTGATGGAGCTTCTTGCAAAAAGATTAAAAAGATTGTTCGCAAAAATCATTAATCATTTTGTTCTTTTAGCGTCAGCAAGTAATTTACAAGAAAACCAAAAAATTTCTAAATTTTTAAAATTTAGAGATCGACCCGAGAAATTGACGGCCCTTCTCGCAAATGGAGTGCCCGATTTGGTGAGAGGAGAAGTCTGGCAGCTTTTTGCGAAAGTACACATGGATCCAGAGCTATTGAAGACCTATCATTTACTGCTTGTTAAGGTTGTGATAAAGTTGCGAAAAACTATTATACTTTTTTCTAGGAATGTTCAGCCGAACAAGTGATTATGAGAGATATTCACCGAACTTTTCCAGCTCATGAAAGATTTAAAGTTTGTTTTTAAAAGATCATGTTAATTTTTTATTTTTAGGCTTCTGGAGGCGAAGGTCAAGAGGCGTTATACAAAATCAGCAAGGCTTATGCACTTTACGATGAAGAGGTGTCATACTGTCAAGGGCTTTCATTTCTGGCCGCAAGTCTTCTTCTACATGTGCGTTTTAAAATCTAAATTAGAATAGAATGAATTTTTTTAAAATGATCATCGACTGGTTTCAGATGCCCGAGGAGCAAGCGTTTTGCACATTGGTGAAAATCATGTTCGACTATCAACTACGTGATTTATTCAAACTCGGTTTCGACTCTCTTCATTTACGATTTCATCAGCTCAATCGTTTGATAAAGGATTATGAACCGGAGGTTTGTGTTTGAGTTGGAAGCTTAATACATCAAATTGCTTGTAAAAACTTTATAACTTAATTGTAATTTAATTCCTATTTTAGTTGGCGGCACATTTGGAGGCTATCGGTGTTGAGACGCACATGTATGCAAGTCAATGGTTCCTTACCCTTTTCACAGCCAAGTTTCCTCTGCAGATGGTTTTCTTCATTGTCGATCTGTTCTTGGCCGAGGTAGGCATAATTTATTGTGCGAACAATAATATACGAGTTAGTAGGTTGTTGATTATAAGCACGTTTTTAAAATTTCTGTTTGATAACCAAACGTTTAGGGCATGAACACGATCTTCCACATTTCCTTGGCACTCCTGAAGGATGCCAAACAGGATCTACTTCAGCTGGATTTCGAGGGTGCACTGAAGTATTTCCGAGTCACTTTGCCTCGACGCTATCGCACTGAACAAAATGCTAAAAAGCTCATCCAGCAAGCTGTCAGTCTAAAGGTGGTGCTTTTGTGAATTTGCTTACCTAACCATTATATTTAGATCAGCCATAAACGCCTATCAAAGTATGAAAAGGAATACATAGCGATTAAAGAAGAAGAACTTGAACGAGAGGATCCAATTAAAAGGCTAATGGTAAAATTAATATGGAATTTTGATTCTAATTGGCACATTTTAGAGAGAAAACAAGAAGCACTGTGAAACAATTCTACGGCTTGAGCGAGAAAACGATGATTTGGCGCACGAACTGGTCACAAGCAAGATCGAGCTGAGAAAAAAGCTGGACTTGGTGGAAGATCAGGTTTGTATCCCTTTTATTTTGCACACTAGCATACTAAAAATAATTTTTAATTGCTGAGTTTACGCATTCTAATGAACTTTTTTAGTTGGAAACATCAAGTAACGCGGTGGAGAGGTTAACTCGTCAAAATGGCGATCTCGTTGAAGAAAACAAGCACATGCATGAGGAATACGAGCAGGTTAATTAATAGTTTAAACTCTCAGAAAATTAAAATTTAGATAAAAGAAATGTGTCGACGAGAAGTGGAACGACTAGAAGAAGAGGCAGCTAGGACGAAGAAACTCTTACAGGTCAGTTTTGCTTTCAAATTCTTGAAAATGTTTCAAATTCAGGAATACAAGGAGCTCTACACAAAACTCGATCGGCAACACGACAAACAAAAGCAAGAGTTTGCAGAGGAAAAGAAAGCAATAGTTGTAAGTTTTTCTTTAAAATGGTTGATTTAATATCTAATATTTTGCTTATAAATGCAAAGACAACCCTTTAGGCTCGGATATCTCAATGCGATGTGTGTTGGCCAAGTGTCGAGCAATGGGAGAAAAATCGAAGCCCTGTGCGGACACCAAACGGAGATGCAGCTGGTAAAAATAGTTATGAACTATTTTTGGAATCTCATATCCTAGGTGCTCTAGAGCTTTTGTCGAAATTGGAGGAGAGTGAAGCGCATGTGAGAGCCGTCGAACTAGAGTTGGCACAGACAAAGCTTGCCCTCGTTGAAGCCCAATGTCGGAATCAAGATCTCAGCCATCAGATGACTACATCTCTCCATTCTGAAGCCACTGACACTGGGAGGAAGTCAGTTTTCTTTTTCTGGATATGCAATCATGAGTAAAACTTTTAGATGGTTCAAAAAAACGATCACTTCATTGAAGGAAGTCGGCACTCAACTGAAAGGACATGAGCGGTCGAACAGCAATGTATCAAACAGTGATCGGCTATAATATTTATTGTTTTTGCATATTTCGTTTTGTGGAGTCTTTCCTTGTGCATATTCCCAACATTTAAACGGGTCGAATTTAGAAGAATCACGTGTAGAAATAAATTATTTCTAGAGCTTCCAACCAACAACAAATCAAAACTACATTTTGCCACGAGACCCGATGCTATACTTTGTGCTGTATGGTGTGCGATACTTCATATGGACAAGTTTAATCAGCTTCAACCATTCAAGTTTTGTCCCTAGAGCCCAGATATCTTGTTGCTAAATTCTACATTCGTACAATTTATCACGTTATAACCACCATAAATAACAATCACATGATCACAAATAAATTATCCTAGAACAACAAAAACCCATATTTCCGTGCAAAAAAAGTCAAACAGGTAATAGAAGGAAAGTAGAAAGGCACAAAATGTCCATATACAGCAAAAACCCTTGAGATTGCAAGATTGAATGAGAAAAATAGAGAAGGCCTACATGAGACAAATTCTGTCGTTTAGAGTTCGACGTGATCCATATCCACATCAGATAGATCGATGTCTTCGAGTTGAGGAAGCTCTCCATCTTTTCCGTCCCAGGCATCGCGTTTCTCGATCTTTGGCAATCCGTCTCCTTTCATCGATGTTGTCTGACCCTTTCCGTAGCTCAAATCACGCAAAAACTCGTGAATTCCGTCCTAAAAGAAAAAGTTACCGTACAAATTGTATTGACTTCACAAAAATACCTTGCTGAACGATCCTCTGAGTGTAGCAAGCTTTCCCTTTCGTGGGTTGACTGCAGTCATTGCTGGGTATCCAAAACCTCCAACTCCGAAAGCTTCTTCAAGCGCTGGCTGAGATCCAGCCTCAGTCCATACCCATCTAAACATAAAGATAGAGCTGAAGTCGCGTTAAAAACTACCCCCAAGCGTTCTTCTTGAACTTCTCGGCAAGTTGCTTCAATGTGTCGATGTAGTCGTTGCGGCACTTCGATTGGCAGTCGAGAATGTGAGGAAGGAAGGCGAAGATGCAGAGTTGTTTGTCCTTGCAAGCCTCATCGACAACAGATTGCGAATTGCCCTCCTTCAACTCTGGTGGTGGAAGATTCTCGGAGTGCTAAAAATCAAAAAGTTAATCTTTTGCGTAAATCCAATTGAAAAAATTATAATCAACCAATTATGTATTATCATAACTTTAAAAAGATCCAACCTTAGCAAGAGCCCAGTTGACGATGTCCGAAGTTGTGCGACCACCGTCATACTCGGCGGCATCACCAGCATCACTTCCAGGAGCGAAGTACTTAATTGTAGGGAAGCCACGGATTGAGAATTTACCGGCTGCGACGGTGTGAACGGTGGCATCGAGGGCTCCGAGTTTAACCTTAACCAATTATAAAATTAATCCGCTCGTGATAATTTTACCTTTCCCTTGAGTTCAGAAGCAGCGGCCTTCCAGTGGGGCTCGAGATTTTTGCAGTGGCCGCACCATGGAGCGAAGAATTCGACGAGCCACACATCCTTGGAGTTTAAGACGAGCTAAATTCAAAATATGAAGAAAAACTGATAAACAAAGTTCACCTTTTCAAAGTTGGCATCAGTCAACTCGACGACTTCGTTTCCTCCACCCGATCCGCCAGATCCACCACGAGAGCCAGAGCTCGATCCACTTGATCCTCCTTTTCCTCCGAGACGTTCACGAACGGCCTTCTGTGTTTCGGCAAGAGCGGCGTCGACGAACGCTTGAGCAGTACGTTGCCCTGAAAGTAAAATGCTTATAATTGCAAGTTTAAGCAAGTCCATAATTTATTTATAGTTTGACTCATTGTTGCTCTGATGTGAAGGTTTGCTTTCAAAAAGTTAGATTTCGGGATCATTCACTAAGACGTATCGACATGATATTTTCATGCTAAGGCCTTACATTAAAGTCAGTATAGTTTCAAAAACAATGACCGTTTTATCGTTTCCTGTTCTAAATCTTTGTTTCAATAATACAGCCTCTCAAGCAAAACCAAATGAGTGCGCGCTTATTTGCTCAAGACGCGACAGGTAGAGTGACCGGCCGTACCAAGCGGCACTTCCTTTCGACCAATGCAAACAGTACTCTACCTGTTTGTCATTGACTAGGTATTTTGATCTTAAGAACAAAATCGATTACCATTGAAATCCGTAGGCTTGTTCTTGTTGGCTCCGAAGATCTTGATTGTGGGGAATCCTTGAACGTTGTATGGGCCACCAACCGATTGATGAGCCGTCATATCAACAGCGCCAATCTAAAGTACAAATTGAATTTATCTTGCAAAGCAAAACTCCACCTTAACAATGCCCTTCAAGGCGGTAGCAGCTTTCTTGTATTCAGGCACCAAGTTCTTGCAGTGGCCGCACCTAAAGCAAAAATTAAGTTAGAAACAAAATAAATGACATACCATGGAGCATAAAACTCGACAATCCAAATCTCATCGCTGTTAATGACGAGGTTCTTGAAGTTGGCCTCCGTCAGCTCGACAACATCATCTTTCTTCGTGTAGAGGGCGCTCGCCGATCCGATTGCTAAAATTTAAAACAATTAAATGTCAAGAAAAGAAATGCTTTACCTAAAAGGAGCCACAGAAATCGCATCCTTATTGAGGTGTTGATCAACCTTTCAAATGACCGAGAGTTGGATGTCCAGCCGCGAGAATGCAGTTGACCGCCACGCCCCTAAAGCAACGAACAGTTCAGTGATTGGGTGGCGTAGTATTGGCAAAACGCCAGTAAAAGATAAAGTCTCAACATGAAATTAGGCGAGAAAAAGAAAAAAGCACAACCGAACGAACTTTAAGCTATGTAATTCAATTTTCTACGCACTTTATAAGTTTAGGATGTGAGTGAGGTGTGTTAGAATGGAAGAAAATGAAAAGATTTTGATTGAAGAAAGATATGTGGTACTAATAAAGTTGGGGATGGTACTTTTTTTTGCTTCTGGGGTAACTTTTTGCGTAGAATCCGAAAATCGTCATCCCAAAATCCGATTGTTGCGTTTTTGCTAAGAAAATGAAACTTTTTTTCGGGAAAATTTGCAAATTCATTTTCCTTGCTTCTGGGTTTTAATACAGCGTGACTTAAGTGGGTGGGGCTTGAAAGATCAAATTAAACCTGATTGAACCTGAGTTCTATAAAGCTGAAGAACAAGCACGGCATCAACACACGCAGCAACGATCTATGCAGATTACCTCGATGAGTTTCAATGGCGCCAGCAGTTCCGTGATGCCCCGTTTCACGACTTCTGATCACAAATATAACAGTTGTACCCTTGCGAATAAGGACGAAAACCTAAAACCCCAACCCAACGGCCTTCTTTAGGGCCACAAATCAGTTGCTTTAATAATGTACCAAAAAAAAATAATGCTCAGAATCAAAGAAAATGAATTTGCAAATTTTCCCGAAAAAAAGTTGCATTTTCTTAGCAAAAACGCAACAATCGGTTATGGGATGGCGATTTTCGGATTCTACGCAAAAAGTTACCCCAGAAATAAAAAAAGTGCCCCTCTCCCCCAGCTTGGTTATCACCCCCTTGTTAAATTTTTAATAGGGATTATTAAATATTTGGCGGTCTTTTGATTCATTTAATTAAGGCTTTAATTATCCTAATTAAATTTTAATAGAGGTGTTAAAAATAAACAACCCCTTTAAGGACGTTCAGCTTTTGCTTTTTGCATCCGTAAACTTTAAGTTTTAAGCCATTCGACCTTTTCCCGTTTTTCGGTTAAATGGTGCTTAAAATTTGAATATTTGTCCGTGGTTTGCATTTAAAGGTCGTTTAAATCTAGACCGAAGAATGCTCAATATTCATTTGCATCTTTTCGACTTTCTGGATCATGGAATCAACAAAGGAGGGGTGAGTTGCACTGTTTTTGTGCTTTTTGATATTTTTGATATAAAGTTGTTCCTATTTTTCTTGAAAACTTTGGACTCTTGAGAAAAATTATGAAATTCTGCACTCATTTCACTGCATTTTTGGTTTTATTTGCACTTTGCTTAACTCTAAAAGAAAATATATCATTTTTTGAGCATAAATTAATTTAGTTTGACATTATAAAAGCTTAATTTCAAGTAGCATTTTTAGCTTACTAATGTTTGTTTCTTTTCAGAAGTGATCTCCGTTTCATCGAGCCCCAAACGGTGGTCCACTACACAAGAGATGGTGTATTGAGTGCAAGAAATGCCGCCAATCAAGATGACAGCAACGACAACAAGGATAGCTCGAATCTTTCTACTGGGTACGCCAACTTTTCTGTGCAACACTGACTTTGTTTTTAGTGTTTCTGGCTACTCTCCTCGTCAACTTGGTGCCAATCTCTCATCAATTGCCTCTTCTCATCCTTCGTCAAATGGTCGCAGTTTGTCCAATGTTGAGCCACGTGCCGCCGTTTCTTCAGAAAACACCGCTAAAATTCAAAAATTGCATTCGGCTATTCACCATTTGTAAGTGCTTTTTGATTGGTTTTAAAATTGGAGTGGGATGATCGATTTTCTGCTCGAAATCTTGACTTTGTTTTGAAAAGTAGTTGTTGGATGGCAATTTGACGAATAATAACCAACCTAAACCTTTAGTACAGGATATTCCCTATTCTTCAATGATCTTTTTTCAGGGATCTCGCTCGAACGCCCCACCCGTGTAATCGTATACGTGCCATGGCTGGCAGTGATTTGGGAAATCAATCAATCAACGAGAGGGAAATCGAGAGTTTGGATGTGAACCAATTTCCTTTTTCTTCCACTTCGTCGTCTCCATCATACTCTCGACCAACTGCCTCATTGCCTGCACATTCTTCGGAAAAGGTTAAATTAAATGAATTTTTTGGTAGAGATAACTTGGAAGCTTGTTGATGAACTAAATGTAGTTTTCTTTTAGTCATCGTGTCCGCTCTAAAACGCCATCCGCATCTCGTGCACGTTCTTCGGGCATGGTATAATCTTTGAATTTTGCCGTACATTTCTCTTTTTGACCAATGACCAATATGTTTATTTAGAAATCTTCATCTCACCACTCGAAACCAATGTTATCTCGTAGTCGTTTGCCCAATCACGGACGACCATCTCGGCGTGAACGATCGACTCGTCAATCAAACGAATTGGGTAGGAGGATTCGACGCGGAAAAGAAGAGGCAAAAGTGCAGAAAGAAAAGGTTGGGATTTTTGAAGTGATTTGTTTAGAAAATTCCTTTGTTTAGGAGGAAGCGAACTTTGTGTTCAACGTGCGCAAGCGTGTTTTGGTGGATTGGTTGCAGAGTCTCTACGATCAACCTGATGATGCGATCATTGCAATTCGTGTGAAGAAGGATCAATTGGTGAGAGTTTAATTGAGAGATCAGCTAGCTTGTTAATCATAAGGTAACGTTGATAATTATTATATTTTTTAGCGTACCCTCAGTGAGCACGAAGCCTCAAAAGAGCGTCGTCGTCAAAGACGCCAGGGGGAATAACTTCTTCATTCAAGAGCATGAAAAGGATAATTAAGCAACACAATTCTGCCGCCACACTCATTTCTCGTTTCTTTATCCGGTCTCCCTCTCACTCATTTTCAATCGTACTTGGTCTTTGCCTCTTGCTTGTGATCGTGTGTAATCGATTTTTTGGGCTCATCAGTGGATCAATAAAAATTTGAAAGGACGGGGGTCAATTTTTTTCTCACAAATATAGTTGGGCTATTTTACTAGTCAATCATGCAACCACGTGGAGCTTTAGAGCAGTGCTAAACTGGCCTCTACTAGATTTCGGGAATTTTAACAGTGTTTTATGGGGCTATCAATACTTTTCTCCAGCACTGTATATTTTCGGTGACATCAATTCATCAACTCATTAATTTTTCGGGTTTTCATTGTGACACCAATTTACCGAACAATAGCATATTAGCTTGGGATTAGCACGGTCAAACAAGGTTCGGTCTTTTTTTGATGTTACCAACGCCCTTTCAAAGAATTCCAAGCTTTGGTTTTAGTTACATTTTCAGGCCGAATTTACGATAAAATCATGTTTTTAGCCCAAGTTGCGCTATTACCTACAACCGATTTGTATATTTTAGCATGCCAAAGTGCTTTCTAATTAAAAAAAGTTAAGAAATCTTTAAAAATGGAGGAAGAATTTAAAGAAAACCGCGCAGCCACGACATATAACGGCAATTGTGAAGTTACAATCTCCTCCTCATTAACGCGCTGTTTCGGGTCCCCATCTTGTTGATAAAGCCAGGCAACTCCCATATTTGCTTGTGCGTGAGGTAGGGAATTTCAAACGAAAAATAGAAAAAGAAGTCATAATTTTTTGGATTATTATGTGCTTCACTAAAACTATAGACTACGTGCCGCTTCCAGGTGACGGTTTATCTCAATATTGCTCCGGGTATTCTGGAAAACCCAAAGGCTATAGGTAGACCAGTCTAGGTCAAAGTTGGATTGAAATTTTTTGATCAAAGGAGCAGGTTTATCCACAGAAAATTCTTTCTTTTACCACTGAATTCAGACTTTTCTTTTAATCTCGTTAATCTCTTGAGAAAATTAACCCAGTAAATCCCATTAGACAAAGCTACCGTATTCTCCTTTTTGGGATGTGGTGGATTCCGGAAAATCCCCGAGATTATACAATGGGAGAGCTTGCTCTTCGCTGCTTCTCATTTTCTAAACTCAATTATGGGAAAGGCTTTTGACTAGAAAACATCTTTTTTCAGTAAAACAAAGATGGTCAAATAATCTGGAAGTTCAAAGTTTGGGTACGGTAATTTAAAAATACTAATACTTTTGGAAAATTGAGAATTGTTCCCAAATTAAGCAACTCCAAGCTTCTTCCATTCACAAAGTACCAAGTGATTTACTATTGACCCATCTTTCAGCCAACCCCTTTTCATTTTCTCCTCTTCGTCTCGTATTCGGGTTTCCCCTTGCATTTCTTGGTAGTCCCAGCTCCTCTTTTGGGACAATTGTTGTGATTTGTGTGAATGGTGGGAGCAAAATATTTATCTCTTTTCAAAATTCAGATATTCAGCCAATTTATTTAATAAACACCGGTGCTTTTGAATAGAGAAAAGGAAAATTTTGAGAAGACAAAAGGAGAATCGCAGATTTGAGGTCATATGTGCACATTTTGATATTTGTTGAGACGAGAAGGCGAAGGAATTTAAAAATGTAAACTAGCGAGAAAACGAAAAAAACCTAGCAAAGTCATTTGTGCATAGTGAGATCATTCGAGGCTTTGGTAGCAGGAAATTAATTTGAAAATTGATATATTGTAATCACTTTTGCGATAAGTTGAGAGCTTCCTCAAGATTCAGAGACACGGGGATTGGGATCGGAAAGTCGAATTGATTGGGGATTAATTGAGAGGCCAAAACTTGAGTGGGCAGAGCGAATTGTGAGAGAACATCATCGGTCAACCGCTCATCGTTTGTTGGGGTCATGTAGCCACGAGAAGCGAGATCGACTCGGTATGGAGATCGGGTGGTGGCTGAAAATGAATGTATTTAGTTAGGCAGTTAGAGAAGAGTTAACAAATTCACAACTTGGACCAGTTATTTATATTAATACTGTGGAATCCAACTCTGCGTTCCTCAGTGGATTTTTGAGATTACGGTAATTACAGCATTATTGTAACTACCGTAACTACTATGTTCAAAGCTTTAGACTCAAAGCATTCTCTTTTGCAAAAGGTAACTTTGAAGCCTGTTACTTGCTGCTTTCACAAGCCTTTTCCCCAGCCACAGCAAAGATTGATCACTTCCAGGTTTCCCCAACTTGCCCAACTCAATTTACACCCCAATTCAACCTCTTCTCAATTGAATTCTCCATTCCCAAATTGCGACAATCAACTCATCCCTTTCATTGACAAAAGTGTCACCTATTCCCCATCTCAGTCCACTCAAAAGGGTCAGATCCTCACTATGTTTTGTCTTTCTTACACGATCTCAATTCCCCCATCTCCGAACTGGCAGATGGCTGTGTAACTAATTGTGACTCGAAGGAGAACTGTCCCCTTTCCCCCCAGAAATAGCTGTCATAACACTCGCACATAAACCCAGACAATTGACTTGTCCAGAAAGATGTGCTCATATTTTCTCCCCTAGAAGATTGCTGTAGAGACTTTGGAGCAACCTCTCCAAATGTCCCAAGAGACCCAAACCGAAAGCAATTTTAATAGGGAAAAGTGGCTCCACTTTTGGACTCCCAAACCAATCAGTGGGGTTCGGAATGAAAGAATGACTGACTGGCTGAGAAGAGACTTACGGGTTTCAACGATTTCCGCAGCACCCGGATGATGGGTTTCTCTGTGACGGCGTCGGTCGACTTTTCGCTAAAAATGGAATTTGCATTGATCAAAGTTTATAGTATCAATTTGTTCACAAAGCTAACTCTTAATTTAGTGATTGGTAAGACATTGTTTTAAAGTAGTTCTATTTAAATGGCTTTCAAATGAAACCTGGAAAGTTCGACCACAAATATCACAGGCGAATGGCTTGAATCCTGTATGTTTTCGAGTGTGAGTGATGAGATTGCTCGATTGGGAGAAAGCCTTTCCACAAACTGTGCACTTATGCGGTTTCTCACCTGAAAACATTTCATTGGAAAGGATTTGATTCATCTAATTGTGAGTAGAAGAACAAAATTTCAATACTGCGAAAGTTTTCTGACTTTACTCATAATGAATCTTTATAATCCTTGAAGAAATCCAATGAAATCCAATGAATTTGTACTCAAACCCTAGGCTTTCCGAAATCCTGATTAAATTCCTTGAAAGAAATCCTTTGACATGTCCCTGATGAAGGGAAAGGGACAAGGTGGATGCCAATCTCGTTCTCCGGGATTCACTCTCCGATCTCCCATCACTCCCCCAACAACCAATCTTCCCCTTTTTGCTCCGGATTTAATTTGTTTTCGTATGTCAAATAATCGCGCAATTCGTTGAAGATTCAAGTAAAAAGAGAAATGGTAAATCAGCTCTCTTTTCTTTCTCACAGATTCGCGTGTCCTTTCAAATGATTTTTTAATGCACGTCCATGATTTGACACATGGCAACTTTCAAAGAAGTCATCATTTCTCAAAGGGTTTGGGAAATTAATCAAGAGATTCTTGAATTGGGGAGATTTCTTGGACATATTTCTGAGAGATTTCAGCAGTCAACCCTGAAATGTCAAAGGTGAAAGTGAAATTCTATTAAACTAACAAAATAAAATAGTATCATTGAATCAAAACTTGAGTTATTATAGTTCTGTTACAATTATTACAGTAACCAAAGTCCAAATCTCGTAGTCAGTGCGGTAGATTACAGTACTCTTCTAGTTAGTCAGTCAGTTCTTTTATTCCTGTATACTGTAGGTACTCAAGGTGTACAGTATCTTTCAATTTCTAGACTTCGGTATATTATTTCATGCGAACATTCAACTAACCGTGATTCAGGCACTTTGTACCGGTATTTGTTAGTTGATAAAATTTATGAGTCTTTGAAAATGGAGAATTTATTGGGGGGCTATAAATAGGCATAAATTGCAGTCAATGAAGGAGTTTGGGGAGTGGAAAGAAGCGCGTGTTTTGCTGATTTCCAATCATTTCCCCTGATTTTGCCTCCGTCGAGATCAATCATCTTTCCAAATCGTAAAGATAACTCCAGGCAAATGGGGAATTTGAGATTTCATTTGATTTGAGAATGAGAGAATCAAATTAATAGTGCAGATTTGGGGCACAATATAGCAGTGTTCTTTTTCTTACAAAAACCCTTTCTGATGCATTGAATTATTAATTTTTTAAAGCAATATCAAGTTTCTATAAGAAAATTAGAGAATTCATTGAACTAGAAAGATCTTTTTACGAGCAAAAAGTACAAGAAAAGGCTTATTTTCTGCTTTAAAGCTGACCTGTATGAATGTAAGTGTGCTTCTTCATATCACTCTTTTGATGAAACCTCTTCCCACAGTACTCACAAGGATAGGGTCTTGTATCTAAAGCTAAACTTATTCTAAGTGCTAAGTAGTTTATCAAGTTATCGTTCTTTCAAGTCTCACCTGAATGAATCAAAAGATGTGTGGATAGAGTGGAGGATCGTTTAAATGTTTTTCCGCACTGATTGCATTCGAAATTGCTTCTCGACAGAGTGCATCGAAGAGTGTTGCTGAAATCATTTATATCATTGTCATTTAAAAATTTGAAATCATAAGCTCATGAAATTTGATCTCAATCAGTTTTACCTCAAGAGCTTGAATGGAAGAAAATACTTTCGAGCACTTTAGGCATGGATGTAAAGTAGCTGACGTTGTGGAAGGAGAGGGAGCCTCTGGAGTTTCCTAAAGAGAATTCATTTAGTACTAAAATCGGTACAGCTCTAATCTGAAACGCAGAAACTTTAGGTACAACTCGTAGATTACCCTTATTTCTCTTTAAATTACCTCTCTCGGTGAATCGAAAGCATTGTGTTCGCTTGGAGGGGTGAGTTTGTGAAGATTCGCAAGTTTGAGGGCATTTTGTCGGATGAGCGCTGGCGAGAAGTGGGGAAGACCGGGAAAGAATGGGGGAAGTCCGGGTAGAAATCCCGGTCCGCTGAGATACGGTAGCCGAGGTGGAGAGAACACTAAACACTTTTTGATTACAATTGATTGATTAATGGTGATTGATTGATCAAGGGTGATTGATTGATTACAATGCATTCCTTGCAATTTAGACTGTTTTAACGGCATTCAGTTGTACAGTGGACCGGGAAAATTCTTCTGACTTTAGAGGAAACTGTCTTGAACTTTTTGATTGGTTAATTTGCTGACAAAAAGCTTTCAATAGCTTACAAGCTTTGGTTTATTCCGAAACTTTCGATTATCATTGCTGTAATGACGAAGAGCATGACTAGAGAAGAGGATTGCGAGATGAAAGCATTCCCGGACATTTCCCTCACCCCTTCATCCCCTTCTCATCTCCTCCGATTCACTCATTCAGAGACTTCACTCGATTGACAGATTTCCCTATCTCATGCCAACCCGCTTTTCATAAAGGATCTCTCTAGGAAAAGCTCGATTCCGACTCCCGGACTCATCCATCAAAAGCGCATTGAATGTGCGATGAGTTGTCTCCCTCATCAACCTCAATGCTGAGGGTGATGTTAAAGCTTTGAGGGGATAGGGATATGATTAAGGGCTGGAAAGTTGCAAAGAAGTTACAAGTTCTATACAAAATCCGAGCAGCTTCATAAATCAGAAAGGACAGCTCAGGCAATTGAATAGAAGTGTTTTGAAAGCTAACCACGAAGTCATAACAAACAATCAGATCCCAAAGTATCTATAGAGCTATGTTTTAAACTTTAAACAAGCAAAAAAACTCACTTTGTTGCATGAGGAGAAAGTTCTTCTGTGCCGCGACAGCTGCCATCATTTTCTGAAAGATATTGTCCGCTGGATCGGGCTCGCTCACTGGAGATGGAGCTTCTGAAATCTTAAATCAAAAAGATAAACTTATTAGGAATTACCAGATTTCGTTTCCCCAAGAATACTCGAGACGGAGAACATTGTCTGCAGTGGACTAGACTCTTTGAGACTCAAGCTCATCTGAAAATTGGGCCATGATTTGGTAGGAGAGTTGGTTTTGAGTTTCAAATCTGCCGAAAGCAAAGTGCGGATGGAATTTAATCTCGTTGTGATTGGAAGTGGAGAAAAAGGGAAACATTTTCGAAGTTCAAAAACGACTGGTTACGTAAGGGGGAAGAGTTTGAAGCTTTAGTCAATGTAGAAGGTGGTTATTGCCTAGAGGGGGAGGTTAAAGATTTGTTGGCTTCATACCTAATTGAATTTCAAAGGTAAACAATAAAACATTGCAAGTAATGCGTACAAGAAAGGTAGCTAAGTGCTACAGCAATTCAAAAGACTTTCAACGATCTACTAGTTAGTTTTTTTCTAATAATATCAAATTTAAAGAGTTCAAATAAGGGTTGAAACTTCTGTAAGCATGTTTGAGTGAACAGTGTTATAACATCTCAAAATCAAATCCTAATTATAAGAAAAGCAGAATGACGAGTAACATGGAAACTACCAGAAATCCCAGCAGCTTTGTCAAATAAAAGACTGAAACTCTGTGAAAAGTAGAATGTTAAGAAACGAATTTTCCAAACCCTAAATCGGATGTTAAGAACTAGAAATTAGACAATGATATCATAAAATATGAGCTAGTACCATGGCTCAAACCCTGACATGACTTCAGGTATGATTTCAAGAAAGGATCCGCTTGTAGGACCCTAGTGAAGGGGACATTGGGTGCGTTGATTGGTCATAAGGAGAGCCCGCCCCTTCTCGACTCGAGTAGGGGACGATGACGGGGACGATGAAGGAGAAAGGCTATAGAGGCCCTCATCCCCCCTAGAACTCAGAAAACATTGGCAATTCAGTGCCAATTTCCTTCTTCGAAACTTTGGTTTTGTTAGAGAACAAGATTGGAAATCCCTTGATGATTGCTTGTTTTCTGGAGAGCTCCAGTGCTGATTACAAAAGGTTTAAACGAAAAGATTCAACATTTTCGCTTCAATTCGAATTCTAAGCTTTAAGAAGTGTCTACAAAATGACAACTTCAGTACTACCAAGTAGTATAAAAGGTTGAATAACTTGAAAAAATACCCCATTCCTCATTGATGAGATTACAATGATGAGATTACAATGATGAGATCTGCTATGCTGAGATTTTCTCTGGAGGCTCAGGTTCAGTTGTGAAATCACTTCAAAAATCGCAAAATCAGACCCCTCGGCTCCTTTGTGATAACAGAAAGCGGAGATTCATTTTCTTTTCATCAAAGCCTTCTCATTTGAGAGTTGTAAATTTTGCGAGTTGTAAACCATATTTACAAGCTGCTTCCCGAGCAAACGGATCTGTGTAGTCAGACTTTGGACTTTATTTTGGAGAGAAATTAGCCAAAATAGAAGATGAAAGAATTTTCAGTAAAGATTTTGATGTTATCAAAGTTTGGGATTTTGTTGTAAAAGATTTGTTGCTTTTAGATAGCTCAGAATTGGGAAAACCTTCTTTGAAAGTGATTTTTGGTGTTGAGAATGGTAGGTTAAGTAAGAAATATAAATCTGGAATAGTCTAAATACTCTCAAATGAATTTAGAAATTAAAAATATAAGTGTCAAAGATGAAACTTGTTTATTTTCATGATTGAATCTTCAAACAATTGCCAAGCTTTTCTCATTTTACCATACCAATACACTACCCTATTTCCCCCCATTCATTACCATATCTAAATTGGCGTGAACAGAGTGACTCTCCTTTAAATCGAAATTCGAAGAAGCCACATGATTATGCGGTTTTGGTAATCATTGCAAAACGAGACTCAATGTGATGTGTCTCTTTCCCTTCACCCACATTTCAAGAACCGAGGTCATTGGAATGCATTGGATCCATCCCTGAAAGAAAGCTTTCCATCCATCTCATCCTTTTTAGGGTTTCTTTCTTATCCTCTATTCTTCGCTAATTTGTCATTATCCAAGGGATTACTCGCTTGAAAATACCACTGTTGAAATGAAAAGTCTGGGGGATTTTAGTGGATAAAAGCTTTAGAGATGAAGTCTTGTAGGGGAAAGTATAGCGGCTTTTGTAGCTACAGCTTTTGTAGCTACAGCTTTTGTAAGCTTTGACACTTCTTCAAAAGTTGAAAGCCCATTGACCATACCTATTATTACTTTCCCCTCTTCCACAAAATATTTCCCTTTGTATATCCCATGGGAGACTGGGAACTCAACTCTCCGCCACTTTCTCGGGATTCCATTTCAAGTGATTACCGAGTCAGGATTCAATTTCCCTGCTTCTTCTCTTTGCATGAGGATGAGCCTCACACCTTTCGAGGCAAATATGATTGTCAATTCTCGTCTCTCACTTCTTCCATTGCGTGGGAAAATGAAGCAAAGAAGTGTGAGGAGATCTGATGACATTGACAAAGCCAGATATGGAAAGGGAAATGCTTTTGATACGAGGAAATGGGTAGGGTAAAGCTTTGTAGGTTGTTGATAGTAGAAAGGTTCATAATAAGTCGATCGTTTATTTATTGTCATTTGGATGTCATCAAAGCTAGTTAACTATTTATCTGTTTAAATCTTATACAACTTAAGTACAATATTTTATGATAAGGCTGTTCTGAGGCCAATGTTGTCAAGTCAGACAATGCAAATTCTAATTATAAGACACAGGATCAGGTTTGGTTAAGGTGCTGGCTTGGCCTGTGCTAGTTCACAGGCCTGTTCTGACCGGTGACGCTCAATAAAAGGGTTATAAATTCGAGTATAATCTCCATTGTTGGTATCTCAAAATTTGTGGCTCAAATGCCATCAACTTTGCCATTAGGTGATATTTTCAATTGACCGACTGGCAGCAGTACAGCGAAATAATAACAAAATGTTTGCCATCTCCTCCTTGATATCATTTCAGGTGCACTCCAGTGATTGCCCCTTGAGGTGTGCAGCTGTGTCTCCATCCATCTATACCCAGGGAAATTCTATCCGTCAACCACTTCGGGCTATTATCACGGGCATTCTCTCTTCCCCTCCACACAAACATTGGCCGATTGAGCGAAAAGAGAATCAAGCCCCGTAATTACTATAATTGAGTTTTCGGAATCGAAACTGGGGTTGTGGAAATTCTCTGTGGAATCTCTTATGATAGGACAAAAATAGTTTTTCGTTTTTCGTGTTTCATTTCATTTGCGGGGACTTCATCATGCTCGGCGCGGGCTCATAAAATTTTACGCTCAATCTGCCAGTGGGGTTTTCTTCGAAGAAAGCATCGGATTCTTACCGTATCTTTCGTCGACATAAACTAGCTATAAACTTATAAGGATTTCGATATATTTCGATTAATAGGACGATTAATAGGACAAAATTCACAAATTCAAATTCGGGTTGTGGCTTGCGAATTTTGATCTACTTGATCTACTTATCAATAGATTAAGCTAGTGATTCTTACCTAGCTTAATCTTTACTAGCAATCAGAAGTCACGAATTGAATGGTAGTGAGTGGATTATATTGTCGATAAGATCTAAAACCTACAAGTTTATCGAGATTGTGACTTCCTTGCCTTTGCCTATCCTTCTAGTCAAATCTTTTCAAGTATCTTGTCTAACCCCATTGCTCTAACAATTGATTCAATAGGCGGTGAGTAGTCTGTAATCAGATCTTGTCCAACATTGAGTTATTCAAAGATCCGCACACTCAAAAGAGGTACCCAATGAGTGAATTGGGCGATTTTGCATCAGGTGGCGGTGTCTTTCCCTTTCCTTTTTTGGTGGATCCCGCTGTGTGTAGGGATTGTCAATGAATACGGTATTTGATCTTTCTCTCTTTCTCTTTCATTGCCCCTTCTTGACCGATGCAAATTGACTCCTTCTGGGAATTATCCTCAACCCCAATAATTATCTCTATGTAAGATGACTCAAATCAAATGTGTTCCACGGTCAATCGGATAGCTCAAAAAAGCGACACTGTCTAATTGTATTGCAGTTTGTTGAATAATCAGAATATTGAACCGGTTATTTGTTTGATTTGAAAGATTTGTTTGTAAGGTTTTCACTCAAATTGCAGTCTCCAGAGAATCAAAATTCCAGAGATTTTCGAAAACTTTGGGTTTGGGTGTGAATGGGATCCATAAGTCAAAAATGAGAATGTGTCCGAGATTATGGGTGAGAAAAGGATGCAAATCGCTGAGAACGAGTCCATTGGGAAATCTTGTATCTTGCTGGATGCTGAACGATCTTCAAGAGAATGAAATATTCTAATAAACACAATGGTACAGACGTTTACCGTTTTACCGTATTTAGACTTGTCTTTAAGTAAGTTTTACGTGCTTTTAATCAATATAAATTACTTTGATAGTATTGCATACATTACTATAGTACTTTACTTTTACTTTGATAGTACTTGTCTAACCCCATCGCTACTTTGATAGTATTGCAATTGAGCTATGGTTTTTTGAATTGAAATACTTAAATTTAGATTCTTGACATGCAATTCAGAGCATAGAGTCACTTTTCAGTTAAAGGAATGGCAAGAGCTCAAAGATCCTGTCAAGTCTTATAATATGTTAGAAAAAGTGAAAGGGAAAGAGCTTACTGTGAAAGAGAAAGAGTAAGTTTACACTTTACTAAGTTTACTATAGTTCTACTATAGTACAGTAAGTTTCCTATAGCTTTACTATATCTTTCTTATAGTACAGAGTCTACTATGGTTTTACAGCTCTTGCAATAGTAACAGAAACAAGAGTAACTATCTACATGATTTTGAATTCAATCCAACAAATCAATCTCTCAACTCTCGATTCAAATTCAACAGTTAACTGGTTTGGAGGGGAATTGTGTATGACAATGGGGGTGAAAGGAGTCACATTTGTCACTCCTCTTCCCCATTTCTTCATTGATTTGCATTTTTGGCTCCGATTATGCACAATTACACTCATTTTACTCTCTTTCTTTGTCTTTTCTCAATGATCCATCAATGAATCTTGACAAAAATGATTTCTCCATCAAACAAAGAGCATTAAAAAGCCTATGCGATTTTAGAAATTGTTTTTGAAACGTATTGTATTTATTAATTCGATAAAACCAAGGTATTTTGAGATCTTTGGCAGCAAAATGAGCACCTTAACACTAATCACAAAGAAGTTAGATAGAATATAAAGTACTGGACAATGAAATATGATATTTGAAAAAACGATCGTCACTTTCGCGCGTCTGTAACTCCCTTGTCTTTGAGTTTAAACTATTAGTGTTATACATTCTCTGAAAGCTCTTTTCAATGGCTACACAATGGCAATATTAATATTTAGAAATACGGTAAAGACAAGGGGGTTACAGACGCGCGCGAAAGTGACGATCGTTTTTTCAAATATCATATTTCATTGTCCAGTAGTGTATTATATGTTCATTAAAAATAAGAACTTAAAACTATTAAACTGAATAAACAAAGAGAAAATCCTTGTAAATACCCGTTATTTCGTCCTTTTCGACTTTGTTTCGAGCGTGGCCCGAGTCCTTTTTGATTTAACCATTCTTTGCATGTTTTTGGAATCTCTTTAAGACCAGATGAACTACTCATCATCTCGATTAAGGCACTGAAAGTCTATTTTAAGTTGATTGCCTTTATCATTGTTTTCTTTAATACTTACTGTGAAGTTATGTGAGTGAGACGAATGAGAAATTTCCCCGCGTTTATCCCACAATAATCGTAGTTCTGCGATACGAAGCACTTGTCATAATCGTGAGAAGTTCTTAAGTTTAACAAAAATGAAAAACAAAGTTTAGAGACAGCACAAGAGGTGACTCACCGACAAAGAGCCTCCATTCCATTTCCCATATTATGCCATCCTCCCTCCATTAGATTCAACACTTCAAGATGGAGTTGTTGAGATTGTTCCCCGCATTTCTCCCACATCTCTCTGCCTACTTCTGACCAACAAGGGAGAACGATATTTCGAAAATCTGTAAAGAAGATTAGAAAAGCTAGAGATGTCAAAAAAACTGATAGAATTGGGCTAAAGATTTGAGTCATTTCTGGTAATGATCATTCAATGCTATTGGGTTGGTCAATTGAAAACTCCCGGACTTTAAACTAAAATTTATTCAACATAAAACCATCAATTCATTCCAAATAATTTCCATTATTATTGACGACTTCTGCCCATTTTACAGGCAATTTGCGGATTCCTCTTTCGTAGTAGGATTTTGGTTTGTGAGTGAGACAAGTGTGAGACTCAAAAATGGATGTCCCAGTTTGAGCACTTTCTTCAAAAGAAACCCATTTTGGTGTCAATAGAAAAGTTGTAGAGAATCAAGAATTAGGCTTATAGCCAAATTTCCAAAAAGATACACTTAGTAGTTTCGCTTAAAATGCAAGTTTTGGGAAAATTCGTAAATTTGGCATTTCTTAAAAACCAGTTTTTGAATCGTTCTGAAAATTTGGATATAAGCTTGATTTTTGATTCTCTACAACTTTTTCATTGACACCAAAATGGGTTTCTTTTGAAGAAAGTGCTCAAAATGTCACACATGACAATAGCCGACAGTTTTCAATTCCCATAAACCCAATATCTTTCAACTCGTCTCCTTTTAAAACCTGATTCTGTTTTGAACTCTTCACAGATCAAATCCCAAGATTTTTGTCCATTAATGAGAATTTCTTTTGCTGGTCCATCATTACAAGCTTTCAGACAATGGAGATAGATCTCGTTTAATCTGAAAAAGCTTTCAATTTGCTTTAGAATTCTGCAATAACCTGCAAATATTCGCAATTCTCTTCTCAATGCTTCCTTTCATTGGATCAGCTAGAAGAACTGATTGCAATGGGGTCACCATATCAAGTGACCATTCAGCTGATGTGTCTGACATCTCTTCTTGCATCACGTTCATCTATAATTTACAGCTAGCCATTAGCAAATCAATCAATAACGCTTACATAATTATCCTTGCATCTCAAGAAACACGGTTGATTCGTCGCCGAGATTTGTTTGAAAAAGAAAAGAAAGAAAAATAATCGTAAAATCATTGAACTAAACTTTAATTCAATCAAAAAATATATAAAAATAAAGTGTTAGAATTCTTTTTGAATGGGTGAATGTTAAAAGGAGCGCGAGAAGAAGACGATGAGTTATCGTTTGTTCGTTCACAAAGAGACAAAGAGGATAAAGAAAGGAAAGTCAAAGAAATTGAATCTCATGGAGAAGTCCCTTGGGTGAAATTAGCATATGTCCTGTCAGAAAGAAGAGATTTTTGGGGGAAATATTGAGGCTTTTATGATATTTTATGGGTTTCATTTGTATTCTACAAACATAGTAGGACTTGATTACATCAACACTACAACTTGATTACATCTACTCGATAATGATTTCTTTAGTCTAAAGACAGAAAAATTGTAACTGTTTATCAAGTAGAGTTTCAGGTTATAAATTATAAATAACTTGAAACTCTATTTGATGAACAGTTCCAGTTTTTCTGTCTTTAGACTAGATAAATCATTATTGAGTAGATGTAATCAAGTTATTTATCATCAAAAATCAAAGCTAGGTTCTTGAGTTGACTTGTTAAAATTCCTAGTTAAAATTACTATTTAAAGTATCCCAGTAATGAGAGCTCTACTGTTAACTGAAGACTACACTATACAAATACAAATCCATAAGTATTTTAAAGCTACTTATTAGGGTGGTACAAATAAAACCAGCGCTCACATATCTTTCCAAAAATAAATAGATTTCAGGTCTCAACCAATAAGTGTTGTATACTATTCGAAAGCTGTGAATCTCCTCAACGTCTTCAATAATCAATCGAATTCAAAATCTTTTTGCATTAGTTTGTTGAGGAGTTTCACAGCTTTCTAATAGTATGCAACACTTCTTGGCTGAGGCTTGCAATCCTTTTTATTTTTGGAAAGATATTTGAGCGCTGCTTTTATTCGTATCACCCTAATACTTTTAGATAGTAATCCCACAAAGAATCACAAAAAAAAAGTGTGAAAGCTGGATCTTGAAATGGACTTTCAGGTGGTTTTCTAAACTTTTAACAAATAATTTTATCGAAAAACATTCAAAAAGACTAAGAACATTCGCAATTTTGCATAGAAGACTTGGGGGGAATTGTGTGTCAGCGTGTGTATTCAAATTGCGGTCTCTTTCACTAAAAAGAATTGCTTTTTTTTTTGCGACCAAGTCAAAATTCAATTGAGTTTTTTTTTTCAAAAAGAAAGAGAGACAGAAGGTATATGATCGGGGAAAACGTAGGGGAACGACGGGGAAAAGTAACGAGATTTCGCGATGAATGAAAGGTGTGAGGGTGGGTTTTGTTCAGGTAAAGTGTTCAGTTCAGGTCCTCATAAAGTGTACACTGAAAATATGTTAGAATACGTTTTGAAATAAAGATTTCATTGAAGACATCAGCTAAATATTGAACTAATCTGGGTGTTCAATAAGTGTTGCTTTCCTTTTCTGTCCAAAATGATTCAATAAGTTCACTGAAGCGTGAGCAATCAAAGAGAGATTGTCCAGTTCGATGCCGTTGTATTGAAATAAAGAACGCTAGGAAAATATAAGCTATAAGTGGGCTTGCGAGAAAGTTTATAGACTGATCTTTTCTGTAGTTTTAAGTTTAATTTGCTGTTCTGACATCTAACCAATAGAAAACCTAGTTTCAATAAGAAAATTAGAGACAACTGAATAAACTTAAATGATTATTTTCTAGTATTTATAATATTCTATTGAACTTTACTGTTAGCCACATTTTCTAGAAAGTTCTTTCTTCTTTAAAGGGGTACTTTGGAAAGTCAGTGTTAAGGAGAGTCAGTGTTAAGGAGAGTCAGTGTTAAGGAGAGTCAGTGTTAAGGAGAGTCAGTGTTAAGGAGAGTCAGTGTTAAGGAGAGTCAGTGTTAAGGAAAGTCAGTGTTAAATTTACGACCTGTTTTTCACGTCTTTTTAAGTCTGATTTTGAACTTTTTAAAAATTATTCTTTTAGAATGTAATGTTTTCTATTAAAAAACAAAAAAAATATTTAAGATAGCTGTAAGATTTGAGAAAATACATGCAAAAGAAAAGAACACAAGTGCTAAAATGCAATTGAACGGAACGTTTATATACTTTACGCCCAAATATTCACATTTTAGGGTGAGGTGGAAAGGAAAAATTGCGTTTTTCTTCATTTATTGATTGCAAACCTTGTTTTTCATATAGAAAATTGTAGAAAAGACTAAAACGCATCGAATAATGAGCGCAATTATTGAAAGACAGCTTTTTAGACAGGAGTACCGCTTTAAAGTTTCTTAAAAGTTCTTTGATGTTGCTACAACATGATAAAACTTTAAATAAAAAGGAAATGGAAAGAAATGGAAATGGAAAAATGGAAGAAATGGAAATGGAAAGAAAACTGAAGAATTATTTTAGAATAACTCATGTAAAGAAGTATCAATGATCAATGTTTTGCAATAAAGAAAAGCTAAAAAGTTCAACTCTTTTAGGATTTCAAGTTGGGCAATTCGTTTTCATGGTTTCTCTCACTGGATCCATCGAAAAATTTTCCAATTAGCTGGTGGTTGGGATGTGTCTTTACCCTCCCCAAAAAACCCTAATCGAATCTCTGTGTGTTTTTGGAAAACTTTTGTTGTGGGCTTTTTTTTGTGGCCTTAATGGAGATGTCAATCTGTGAAGAAGAGTTATTTTCGAATTTTAAACTCAAATTTTTTGAGCTAAATCTTTATTTTCAATTCAATATTTATTACAATCTTTATACAAAAGCTAGATCGATGTTTTTTTGCTAAATCCCGTACCATTTCGGACTTGAATCGATTACTTTTAAAATCCCGCTTTCTGGAGGTAAAAATAGAGATGGTCCGGTGAATAAAATTGGATAAGAGATCGGGTTTGGAGCGCCAACTTTATGAATCTAAAGAACTTGAATAGAAATTCAGTATTAATGGAAATTCTACCCATCGAAGCCATGTGGAAAGCTCTTGATGCAATTCTTTAGTTGACCAACATTTTTTCAGATCTTTATCCCAACATCTAAAGCTATTACAAAGCTTTAAAAGGATATTAAAAGCTTAAATTATGTAACGAATGAAAAGTTGAACTTGACTAACTTTTTCATGATTGATTTTAGAACTTCATTGCATCCATTTAACGGTGGACGTTGATTGAGCGAAGTGATGCTGATGATCATCTCCTCAGAAAACTCTTCAAAAGGTTTTCTGAACGAGTTTTGATAGTACAAAAACGCGGATAAAACTAGCCTTCTATGCATAAGTTGCCAGAGGATTATGGCAGCACTGTAAACGTCGTCTTTTGGTTCAGAGTGTCGATTGCCTCGCTGAAAGTTCAAGTTACCTCATTTCTAAAGCTTAAATCTGAAAGTATATATTAGAACTTAAATGCTATTTACTTTCTAGAGCCAAATAAAGCCAAATCTAGGCTTTCTAGAGCCAATCCAGAATATTGAACAGAATATTGAATCACTTAGATTGCCAAAGAGTTACTGTGGTTAAAAATTTAAACTTACGACAATAGCTTTTGTAAGATTTTTAAGACTAAGCTGTGTCTTACATCTTACAAAATTTGAGATTATGGCTCTAGAAAGCCAATAGCCAATAGCAATAGCTCTAGAAAGCCAATAGCATTTAAATTCTAACGGAAATGCTTGTAGGAAAGCTTGTTTTCTATGTAGAATTGCTAGAACAAGAATTTATGAAAAGCTAGCTTGTTCTTTTCTTTGAATTTCTTTTGTTACCCTCTTTCAATATAGTTTTTATTGTTTAGTTACTAAAAAGTAAACTTCATTTGAAATTTTAACTTAAATTTTTGTATTGTCATTTTAAAACCCGAAAGTTTAAGCATTTTTTTTAGCTAAAACTCAAGCTTGAAGCAATTCCATTAGAAATTAAATGCTATTGGCTTTCTAGAACAACAATGATTCAATAGTATTTAAAAAAACGAAGGCTAACTCTTTAATGCATACAGAGTTTCAATTTGATCACTCACATAAGGTGCCCGATATCGTTGTGTCGATAGAAATGTGCTTGGAGTGAAATCCGATTGTCTAGTGCTTCCCATATCGGCCAATTTCGCGCGCAAGAAGTTCTCAGCCATCAGAATACTTAAACTCTAATATAATTTTGTTAATCTTTAAACGAACTTTGCTGGCTTTAAATCATTGTGAACAAAGGCTTTGTGATGCATGAATTCTAGAGCATTAACGATTTGTTCCATCCACAAAATGATATGTCGTTGATCATAGATTAGATGAGTATTTTGAGTGCCATGCCATCGGCCCATAATCGCTAAATTAACTCAAAAAGTCGATTATTCACTTGTAAGACTTTTCACTGACGATTTTCATTGTATTTATGATTTTGTTTATAAAATAAATTGAAATCAACATACTCGAACAACATTTTGGGCCATGCCATCGGCTAATAATCGCTAAACTAACTTTAAAAGTCTATTATCGTCTATTATCGTCTATTATTCACTTGTAAAACTTTTCACTGACGATTTTCATTGTATTTATAAAAGCACCTCGTTCCATTGATCCCTCGGGATGAAACTCGAACACTAATCCTTTCATTTCTTCATTGTCATTTGATTTTAGAATTCCAAGTAACTAAATTACAATTAGAAATGCTTATGAAAAGAATTGTTTATAAAAAAAAGTTGAAATGAACATACTCGAACAACATTTTCATGTGAAACAGCTCGCAATCGTTCTGCTTCTTTCATCAACTGACTCTTCGCATTTTTATCTCCAATTTTCAACTCTTTCACAGCCATTCTTTCACTTAAAGACTAGACTTTTAAATGAATGGCTAAAGGTTCAGCTATATCAACTACACTCACTAATTGCTTGTTGTGTAGAGATAAACTTTCGCACAGCCACCCTCGCCGATTTGAAGTGTACTCTCAATAAAGTCGGATTCTCGAAATTCCCTCATTGAAGGCAAAACTGTTAATATCTAAAAAAAATCGCTATTTTCTCATAAAAATTCGAAAAGAAACCTTTTTCTCAACATTTGATGTACTCACAACATCATCGGTAAAATCGTAGATCATTTCAGAACAGAAAAACTGTTTTGCCGAAGTGGTATCAATTCCTTTTATCTAGCTATCAAAAAAATAGGCAAATAGAACAAAATTTAGGGTTTAGCTGTGATGTTTTTGAAGAAATAAGCTTATCAAACACTTCCTTCCGGTTTTTGGTCTTCCAAAATAAGGCTTAGGACACGTGCTGGGTTTGATAAGTACAAATCGATTCATCTCAACAAGAGACATTAAGATCTTTGCGAAATCTCATTAAAATGGGTAGAGTGTGTTCATTTATGTTTTTTTAAAAAGATATTCTTTTAAAACGCTACCGTAATCCCACCAGCTTTCATTCAATTCAGCGAATTTTGTATCATTCGATGAGAAATCACAGAGCTCAGTGAGTGATACAAAAATTTGAGTGATCATATTAGTTGTTTACGGTAGGTTTCTGTTAAGAAATTCTACAAATAGACAAACTAACTAGTTTTTTTTGTTTCATTAATGTTTATGCTTTTGTACAGGGTGGCGCACAATTACCCGCATTCAAATTCACATTTTAAACTCGAAAATAAAATCCCTAATCGGAATTCATTGTTTTCTAGTAAAAATACGCTAGATTTTGGAAATAATAAGTAAAAATGAATAAATGAAACTGGTTTTCTTTGATTTTGAACCATTGAAACTAGTTACAAAAACCAGAAAGTCGTGATTTCGCCGCAGGAAACGCATGTCACAACTTTGCAACGCTCTAGCAAAAGTTTAGAAACTTTTCTGATCAAATCCAGAAAACACATTGCAGGGGAAATATTCAATTTGATAATAAAAAAGAATTAAGTCGATTGATTGACTCTTCTCTAAGCTGGAGAATCTGAACTGAGTGTGGGTCATTGTGCGCAGAATGTCAGACTTGCATTTCGTAAGTTTTAAGTGCAAAACCCCAAGTGGGAACGAGTTTTTAAAGGAAACCGATTTTCTTGTAAATGGAATCCCGACAAGCGATAAACACGCAAAAAAACGATTAGCTTTTATTACGAAGAAGATGAAGAAGAAGATTCGGCAATTTTTTCAATTGCTGGCTATGAAATGACTCAATGACCAGGCATTGAGGAAATTCTTGAATCAAATTTGACTCTAATAAGTGTTATTGTGGTCCTATAGACGTGGAAATGTTAAAAATCTTTGTTTATTATTTTGATGTATGTCGATGTCGATGTCAAAAAAGTTGTAGACGAAGATAAGAAATTACTTGGGGCTTGGCTGATCTATCTAGTTCTGATATGACCTACCCTGGCTTCAGATGTTTTATGGTTTTAGGGATGTTTTAACCGAACTCTTGGACCTGTAAGCTAGGCGCTTACATCCTTATTAGGAAATCAAAACACAAAACTAGTCACAAATTGAGGCAAATTTATATCTTTACTTATTCTTGATTCAAAAATAGCTTATTTCACACGAATCGTCAAACTAAACTTCAAAAAAAGTTTTTCCTTCTTTAGTTTTTAAATAATCTTCTGGATTATACTTTTTTTTCTTCATTTTACAACCAATTCCTGAGCTATTCTTGTAATAAAATACAATTTTAAAGAAAACTTTTGACTATTTAAAACTATTTACATCACTTAATGTAAAGTTATGTACGATAAATTTATAAACAATAACAAAATGAACATTTTTACAACAATAATTAAGTCTCCGATATGAAAAAGTGATCACAATTCGAGTATAGATACATTTTTTTTCATTTTATAACCAACTCCTGAGCTATTCTTGTGATAAAATACAATTTTAAAATACAATTAATAAAATACAATACATCTTTGTGAATCTCAATATTCCTTGCTTGAAGAAGAAGTTCATAGAAATTGTTCTCAATTTTCTTTTCCCACCCAAGTCTTGATGTTATTGAGAGCGATCGAGGCTAATTCTTGAATCTCTCCAGTTGCATTCTCATCATCACTCAAATCTTCGAGAATCTGCACACCGCCTTCACACTCCAACAGTTGACAATACCTTTTAATGATAACTTTAATAGTTTATACATTGTTGGCTATTATACTTTGTTTTATTTCTAATAGTTAGCCGTTAATATCTTCTATCAACTTTTACGTACTTTGTGACGTCTTTGTGACGTCTTTGAAACAAGATAATCCCAGCAAAATGTAAGATTTAGTGCCCTAGGGTTACAGTATTTTTAGTGACTCACTTTTTTGGGTAAGTAGTTGTAAGATGAGCGATACCCCAAACAGCCCAATGACGACTCCCGAAAGCATTCGTTTCAGAAAGCAATCTGGAAGAAAAAAATCGTCATTGAAAAGGTAGAAATCCTTTTCTTAAAACTTAATACTTACTTAAGCAATGGTTGGAATGTGTCATAGTTTATGAATCGACGAGCCTCAAGCTTCCAGGCCCACGTTGCCTAAAAGTTGCTGAACTATTGAAATTCTTGATGATTACCTTGACAATGTTCTCCATGACTCGTTGTCGACAAATCAATACTTGATTCCATGGGAGTGCTTTATCAGCTGCGAGATGAGCGAGAACACCGGCACTATTGTAAGAAATCTCCATCGAAAGATCACCGACACTCAGCAGTTCACTGAAATCTCTTGTTCATTGATTGAAAATCTGGAGATGTCAATACTTGGGTTCATTTTAAAGCATTTTAATCGTTTAATAAAGTAATAGACTTGTAAACCATTTGTTATTCTTAAAGCCGATTGTTTGTAAGTCTTTTGAGACTAAACAAGTTTAATTGATCTAGAAAATAAATGAAAAGAGAAACCAGAAGATCGTGAGCAGCTCATCTTTCATCAATTGACAACGAAGCATCTCAACTTCAGCCAAATTTCCAATAACACCCATCATGTTGTAAACGATTTCTTGTTTTTCATAAAACTTTTGATAACAGTCCTCGAAAAGAGATAAGCCGGATTCACGCAAAAACTTCTCACAGTTCATTGGAGTGTTATCTGAAATAGAGATTTAGACACTGAGATTTCAGGAAAACTAAAAAACCTCTTCTTTCAAGCTTTTAATACCTGTAATAGTCCAAAGAAAACTCCAAGCGGTTTCCATCAAATAGTCACCGTCACCAGTTTCAATTTTTCCTCCAATGAGCAAAAGGACAAGCTGGAAAATTGGACTTGTTGTTTAGTGAGAAAGAAAAAACAAGCTTGAGCTAACACTTTCCCAACCTCAATAACTCCCAGTGATCCGATGAGCACTTTTTGATTCTCATTCGAATGAGAAGCCATTGTATTCAAGCGAAAAACCATAGTCTTCTGGATGGTTTTATCCGGGAGATGCTTTTGAAGAATGCTTGTGAACAAGAAAGCCAAGCGACTAAAGAAAATAGTTAATTTTTTTGCGTTTCTTTCTATTTCTTTTACATCTTAACTTTAAATAAACCCGTTTAACTAAACTAATAATGCAAAATATTAGATTGTCAACTAAATAATTGAACTTTTTCACTAACTTTTCACTAAAACTTGGTTTTACAAATGAAGTACGGTTTGCATCATTCAAAAAAAGTCCTTTTTTTTCAATCTTGGCAACTTTTATACCTCAAAAAAAGTTCAAAATCTCTCAAAAGCAATTTTGTTGAGAAAAGATATCTCTTTCAAATAAAAACTAGATCTCATTTAGTTCAGCAATCATTTTTAAAACCCCACTTTTTCCAAAAAGCTCGGTTATTTCAACCCGATAGAATCTCAAATTGTTAATAATTGTTTTGATATGATTCATTTCTTATTTTTCCACTAGGTCTAGTAGACAATACTATTTTTTAACACGTTCTGAGTGAAGCGACAAACTTATAGTCATCGACATCTTGTGGGATATCGAAATAGGCGAGTGAGTCACAGTAGAGTTTTGTCAGCTCACGATCATCAAGGTGGATTTCCATTCCTGAAGTTAAAAAACATACATTGATCAAAAGTAGGACTATTCGTTTAAGTTACTCCAGTTAAGAGGTCTAAGCTTGGTTCTAAACTCATAGCTAGCCCACGTAAGTTACAGTCATTGAACGACATCAAAAGTAGAACTATTCGGTTAAGTTACTCCAGTTAAGAGGTCTAAGCTTGGTTCTAAACTCATAGCCAGTTCATGTAAGTTACAGTCATTGAAATTAGTGTGTTATTTAGATATCGAATACTGTACTTGAAACACCAATTTTGCTTACCTTTGAGAAGAACACTCAAAATCTCATTTCTCATCTCTTTGCACGTTGCGATTCTTTGCAGAATGTGGCACAAGGTGTTTAAAGCAGCTAAAATCTTGCGTTTGATTTGAATAAGGTATTCAATTCAGTTATGCTTATAGGTTCAAAAACTACCTCCTTGAAGAACTTTGTCGTGAATGTGTTTCTTCATCATCGCGACAACGAGACGAAGAGATTCAAGATGTTCTTCCTAAATCAATTGTGAATTGAAAGCTGATTACAATCCGTTTAAACAGAATGATTTTTGATTTAGCAACTTTTAGGTTTAATCTTGAAGCTTTTGAGTAAAAAGACAAGAAACCTGCTTTAGCATGATGCCTCTTTCAGTCTCCATCCCAACCAAAACATCTGAAAAATGTGAAAGTTTTAAGGAATCTTTTAAGTAAAGTTATTTAATTGATAAGGTACAAATTAGAGATAAATTTTAGAGATAAATGTTTAGATATTATTGACTAACCAGCACAACAATCATATCCTTGACGGTTGAGATGGGAAAAGAGCTCGATCTTTTGACGAATTCGATCATATCTTAATTCAAATATAGCATATAAGGTTAATTATTTAACCTACAAATTATAGTTCATTTTATCTTCAGATTATCTTTTGTGATAGCTAACTCACTGGTCTTCTGAACGGTACAGCTCTTCGACCTCCACGCGGAATCCCAAGCGGCGAACGATTGAGAACACAAGCTTTCGAAGCTGAATGTAAAGAAAAGTGAAAAGATCGATCCAATGCTTGTATTAAAAATGATTTAAACCAAAAAAACTCTAAGTTTTTATGATTTTAAAACTCAATTTCAGATGACGAACCTGCTTGTAAATTCGTCGACAAACGATCTTCACTGATAGCTTGAATCTTCCGAATTTTGTTGGTTTCTAAAAAGTTTCGATCATTTCAAGCTTCTTTAGTTTAGATTCTTTAAACAAAATGAAACTAAACTTGCATTTCGTTTTAAAAACAGATAAACAAATAACTTTAAAAGATTTGATAAAGAAATAACTTTAAAAGAACCCTCACCCGTGCATAGGAGATTATATCATCATCCATTTCGTTAAATAAAAGATTTCGCTAAATGATTGAGTGGAAAAGAAATGAATGAAACGACAAAACAATCAGCTTTTCTGTTAAAAGAGTCAAATTCTCAGCAAATTTTGCTAATGGCAATTTTAGAAATTGTATAGGCAATTCGTATCGACAAAGTGATTTTAATTGTCCACAAAAAGCTATCCACAATTCAATATTTATTGTTAATTTTACGGTAAGCCATTTGAAATTAAATTTGCTCTCTTTTTTGATGGAACATGGAACAACGAGCGACGATACACTTGGTTGGGTGCAGTGCAAGACATGAACGGAGCTTGGACTTGGCTTGATGGGACAGCGTTCGACTATCAACGCTTCGACTCTCTAACACCGACAAGTAGCTTTTATCAAATATTTTGATCTTGCAAATAAAGAGAGGCTACAAGGTAAAAATTCCAGAAGGTTGTGTTGTTTTGGACACGTCGACACATTGGTGGAGGAAACACAGCTTGCGATGATCCGGGATCGGGTGGAGGAGCCTATTTCTGTGGGCATATGGTGACGACTAAACACACGACTCAACAGCCAGACACGACCAAATCACCGCCAAACCTGAACTGTTTACCAGGTAAACAATTCAAGACATTAAAATACCATAAATTTTTTAAAAGTTGATCAACAGCCACTATATAATTGCCAAAAAGATTGGGTCTACTCGGCAGAAACGGGATTTTCTTATAAAGTGAGTGAACTGGAAAGGGGGAAATTTTAGTTTTAATCAAATAGAATGAAATTTAATGCAGATTCTCTTTGATGGTTGGGTGCAGTGCAAGACATGAACGAAGCTTGGTCTTGGCTTGACCAAAGTGATTTTAATTGTCCACAAAAAGCTGTTCACAATTCAATATTTATTGTTAATTTTAAAAAAATACGACTTTTCAATCAGCTTATTACAATAAATAGTTGAAAAACAAAAAGAAAAGTTAAAAAGAAGTTTAATCGTATACTCGAATTGCACAAATCTTTGTCACAGCACCAGAAGCTCACTTTTTCCTCTTTTCCATTCGCGTTTTTAAATTTCTCAGTGTTATGGCCGTTTTTCTGAAAATTACTGAAAAATTAGCTGTAAAATGAATGCTTTACTATTCATTATTACCAAGAAAAAGCTTTTAAAGCAACCCTTGGAAAAAGAACAAAAATCTTGAGAACAAAGAGACTTTTCAACTGTAAAACCGACTTTGCATTGTGGTTTCCCATCACATCCACATCCCCACAACGTTAAGTGTTCATTGTTTTTCTGAAATTTCATTTGATCATCGAATAAAGATTTATAGAATAAAGATCTTGGTAATAATGAATAGTCAAGCATTCATTTTACAGCTATAGGGATTTTTAATCACTTTTTTTTCGATAGTATTAGGTTGATGCAAAAGTCTTTTTCATTTTTTTTCGTACTTCTTTTGAGAAATAACAAAGTCATCAATTAAAATATGGTTTGCTCTAAATGAAAAGTGTTTATTGTTCAATTTCCCATCTTTTTAAGTCAATTTGGGTTCACTTTCAAGCAAATTCGAGAGTGAAAACGGGTTTTTCATAAAAATCTATAAAAACCTCTATAAAGAAATTGGCTGAATAAATTTCTCTGAAAATCTGAAAAAATATTGAACTTTTTGTGCTCTATCTTTTATTTATTAACATCAAGATTGGTTTCCTTAGCTAAAGCGTCTAAAATGCATCATCGAGCCGTCGCCTTTTTTGACTACCCGACTCCAGGCTCTCAAAAAAAATCTAGACATAAGACATTTTAAACTCGTTTTAATGTCATTTTGCAGAAAAATAATTGGCCTTTCGAATGCAATAAACCGTTGTTCAATTGGTGCATTTGTTACTTTTTAACGTAAGTACGAAAAAAATGAAAAAGACTTTTGCATCAACCTAATATTTGTACATTTGTATTCTAAATGAAAGACATTATTCTTATTGTTGATTAGAGTTGTTCCTTCTCAGTCAACTCTTGAACAAAATAATAATCAAAATTCCACCTTTCCCGATCCTTTTATACAATAATTACAATTTGAGCAATCGATTGGGAATTCCTAAAAGTTCTTTCATATAAAAAAAAAAGCCATAACTTTTACTTTTCCCGAGTGGGAGTTCCCTTTTCCATTTAAAACTTCATAATAACATGTGATTCCAAATGAAATTGTGACAAATGTTAAAAGGAAAATGATTGAGTGAAGCATTTAGAATAATTGGGATTTGAAAAAAATCAAAATCTAGAGTTTTTTCTTGTGTTCATCCCTATATCAAAGAAATTTGATGCCCATAAACACTAAGAATTGCTTTTTTTGAACAAAGAAGAGAAGAGAAAAAGATAAAATTGAACATTTTGATCACGTTGATGATTTTGTTAGGGTTGAGAATACAATGGAAATGAAAGATTCGATGAATCATCACCCACGCTTCAAGTATTTATTTTGTGAGTGGGCTATCTTTTTGACAAGACTTGCTTTTGATCATTTCTATCTTTTTCTAGTGTTGCGTATCGATTGTATCTTTACAATCTTTGCAAGATCTAAAGAATTGCAAACCATTCTTGTATAATTCTTTCAAACATTGCGGATTGCGGTGTGAGCGAGAGCTGCGGACAACAATGCTATCCACAATATTGGAACAATGCTCGAGAATGCTAGAGATGACAATGCTAGAGACAACAATGAAAATGCTAAAGAATTGTAAACAATCCTTTTATTTTTTATTAGGGATTGATGAATTCTCTGATCCTTGCAAGCTTTTACTCTTAATGTTTTGCGAAAAACCGACTGAAATTCAGAAAACACTAAAATCATAATATAAACAATATTTGTGTTGATTTTATATCAATTCTATTCTATTCATTCTACGAATTTAACATGTTTGTTTCAAGTTTGGTCAATTTGGGCAAAATTCCAGGTCAATCTGGACAAAATCGTCTCAAGTTTGGTTATTTCTCAGGTCATTTCATTGTGAAAAGCAAAACCCAAAGCCCGTTCGCTATTCTCTAAATTCAGAACATCGAAAAACTTTTTGCTAAGCCAATCCATCCAGGTGTAGAATTTGTAGACTGTTTAGAAAGATTCGATGAAATGAGGGTTGAGAATACAAAGGAAATGAAAGATTCGATCAATCATCACCCACGCATCAAGTATTTATTTTGTGAGTGGGGGCTTTTTTTTGACAAGACTTGCTTTTGATCATTTCTATCTTTTTCTAGTGTTGGGGGTATTGATTGTATCTTTAAACTCTAAATTAAACAAATTTCAATCGAAAAAACATCGAAATACACTTCTTAATTTCCATCTCAGCAAAGCGTTCTTATTTTTGTGCAAAACGCTTGTAGGCTAGTAAATCTAGGAATTTGACGATTTGATACGTTTTATCCTTTCTATAATCCCCAAAAGCCTCACTTTTCTCGATTTGAAGCAAAGAAAATTACAAATGAAAAACTAATAAAAACTAAAGAAATTTGATTACAGTTTTTCTCTCAAATAATGCTCATTCTAAAGGGTAGTTATTTTAGAAAATTATTGTAATTAAACAGCCCGTTTTGGTAGTATTGATTGAGCCTTTGAAATCCTTATCGATTAATACTAAAATTGAGCTGGTTAAGTCAAAATTAGCTGTTCGATTTTCTGAAATAGATGCCTTTAGTAATGGACATTATTTGAGAGGACATACTCTAAATTTGATTCATTAGCAAGAGAGGAAGGTAAGCTTATGAGAGACTACTTCATTTAACAAGTCTTTTACTATGATTCGTGCCGAAAAACTCACCACAATCACCACGATCCATTCATTGACGTCGTTGTTGATATGGGAAGGCAGCTGGTTTCATTGATGACTGATCTCATTCCTGATCAGATTCCATGAGCCCAATGGAAAACGTCTATTGCTATTGCAATAGACGATTGCAATCCAATCTATTGCATTCTGTTCATAATAGAACTCTTATTTTCTCTTTTCTCTTTTCTTGTTTCTAATAGAACTCGTCTGCCGTTATCGTCTTATTTCTGTTTGGCATTTCTCCCAAAGAGTCAACGATAATTTACAGATGAAACCGGTTATTAGCTCAAAAATTTTGTTCAATAGAAAGAAAGAAAACAAAAGTTTTATATAAAAATACTTTTGGATCGTTTCCAACAACAAAATCTGTAAAAAGGGCGATTCTCTTGTTGAAAATGAGGTTTTTTTTCTCAAAAATTTCTCTCTCAACTCAAGAAACACCAAATCCGAGCGATTTTATGTAATTATTGTTTTTCTTTCCACTTTTAGTTATGCGATTTTGTACTAAAAAAGGGGAAAGAGTTCAGGAAAACATTTCAATTTTGAACACAATTTCTCATAACTTAGAAAACAGGCTTAGTTCAACAAGGAAATTTAATTGAAACGTTTATTTTTGAGTGCTAATATTTCGAATTCGATTTCTTTTTTTGACAAAAAGAGATCTGTCTGATGAGATTCCCTCTTCCTTCAGCGATTCTTTTGTCTTTCGGAGAAAAATCGCATTGATAATGCTAAAATATAGGGAATCAATGAAAATCGATGAAAATCGATGAAAATCAATGAAAATCGATGAAAATCGATGAAAATCAATGAAAATCGATGAAAATTACCTTGATCCAAGCATAAATATAATGATTTCAATAGTGATCGTGAATGTGCTAATCGTTGACATTAGATCTTCCCCAAAAAACAAGCCTAACACAGTGATCAACGAATTGGAGATGAGTTGATCGAAGTATGTGTAGAGAGAGTTGAGCAGCATCTGGATCAGCTGTCAGTCTGTCTCATTTTCAAAATTCTATTGGATAGAGCTCTCCTTCATAAACAAACTGTCGTAATTTGAAAAAAAAACATCGTTAAAAGATTCCTTTATGAATATTCTATGCAACTCTTATCATTAAAATGCTAAAGGTTTAGTTTCAGCCGTTTTCTTTGACTAGAGTATGTTCATTCTGTAATTTCATTCTAAAAAAACCCCCATTTCTCAACAAATTTCATTTATTCAGCTAAAGAAAGACAAGTAAATTGAAATTAATTTGTTGAGGAGCTTTTTAGAATAAGATTACTTTAAGAGAAACATACTCTATTCTTGATCAAGAAATAAAAGAAAACAAAATGCACCCACTTGCCACATCAACAATCGCTCCGCTCGACTCACTTTCCCGTTCTTCTTCAACTGAATTTCTTATTTTAGCAATTTGAAATCTATTTAATCACTGACTTTCTTCAATTTTCGTCTTGTTTCGAGATCGAGTGCAAATCCGATAATATAAGGTGTCCAATGAGCGGCTGTGAATAGTAAATCGTTCGAAAAATTCCATGAAAGCAAGAGATCGACAAAAAATTCAGTGCCAACTCGAAAAAGCACTGGAATGGCCACTTGAAATGATGGCCATTTCAACGTATAGCAAAAATAGAAACCATCAAATGAAACGGCAAGGAAACGACTGAATTTCATTTGAAATTTTATCATGTTTTTATATAAAACTTTATTGAAATCATCAATTGATAGTATTGACTGATATCTTGCAGATCGTATTTGTTTCCCATTTTGTACAAATACCATGCCCAATCGGAAAACCATGATGGAAAGCTGAAAGTTTATTGTAAAGAGTTTAGAGTTGTTTGAACAAAAGAAGGCCATTGGCTTAAGAAATTCCAGTTAGAGGAAAGAATCGGCAATAAAAGTCTTGTCGAGATGAGTGAATCTCGTCCAAAATATGTTAGAAAGTGCCATCCACCAGCGAGAAATTTGTCTTTATATGTGAGAAAAGCCAAAGTTCCACTTAGTTTCTCTCACTTGATCGGTGTTTTCTTCACAAAAAGTGCTCCACTCATTAAAAGAGTCGAAATAAACTTGAATATGTGCTCGAAAACGGCCAAGACTCTAGAAAATTCGTTGATCAATTCGATTAAACATTTGAATAAACCGAATCGGCAAGGTGAGGCGATCGTTTTTGCCTGCGTTAAAAGCCGCCACCGTGATTGCGATGTAGCTTGGGAAAGAAAGCTGAAAAATGAGACAAACATTTGGACAAACTATCACTAAAATTATCTAACCTTTAAGCTTTTTTGAAAACCTTTTTTCAATCACAATTTTATCGTTCAGTTATTAAACTAAAAAAGAAACTCATTGTGCTTTCCAAAGTTCTTAAATTTTCCCCCAAAGTTCATTAATGAATACCGCATTGAGTGTATAGCATTCGATGTCATAAATTTGCAAAGAGAGCTCCTCACTGATATCCAATGTGTCATTCATGGAAACAAGTGACCATTTTTGGAGTTGAGCTTGATTCACAAGAAGGAAAATAACTGAAGATGATTGTTTGTTTTAAGCAAGTTTCCTTACTCATTAGGGTGAAGAAGATTGAGATGAGACGAAAGATTTCCCATGAATATTTGTGCTTTTTGTGAAACGACATTTTGGTTGCGATTGTTGAAATAGGTGGTGGTAGAGATGAAGATGAGGAAAAACTGAATCCAACCCTATCCCCTTGCACCCATTTTCATCTAAACTCAATTAGAGACTCGAAAGCTGTAAACAAATAAGCGATGACTTTTAAAATAACCAAAAAAAACAATGAAAATAGAACGCAATGTTTGGTGACATTTTGAAAAAGATTTAAAGAAAGAAATTCAAAGAGAAAACCTCCTATTTTTAGTAGAGCTTTTAAAAACATGTGATTTCATTTGTTCGTTTAGAAAATGAAAATGGGAAATTTTGTTTTATGAGCAACAATTAGCTAGAGAAATGTTGGCTTGAGGGTACTTTGATGAATGTTTTTGTAAGTTTGTGTTTCGATGGTTTCTTCCTCATTTTAATCTGGTTCTCTGAGTTTTTCTTTGATTAATTTTCATCGTAAATTTTAGCTCAAGAATCGAACTCTAAACAATGTCTAATGACACAGTAAACCCTTTATTTAGTCTTTTCGTTATTTTCAAATCAACCACTGTGACAATTTGGATAGTTTTGATCTGCTTGATTAAAGCCGCCGAGGCTGTACCATTGATAATGCATTCGTAGCAAAAAAAATCATGCAATCAATCAAGAACTTCAACAAACACACCAGAGCATTGCCTGGGGAGAACAGCTTTTTCTCATTTGCTCCTTGTAGCCAAGGTCGACGTACAGTTGAAACTCTTTTTAAACTGTACATTCCTTTTCTTCCTTTTCCTTTTCACTGAAATAAGCAAGCTGAAAGCCAGCTGAAAGCTTTATTAAGTACACCGATCAAAGACTAGTTCTGATTTATCACTCAAGATAAGAAACATGATAGAAAAGGAAGACTGATCAGACACAAACGAAATTCAACAATGCGTTCAACCTTTCTTCTTATAGCTCTAATTTGTCTTTTTACTGTGAATGGCCAAAATTGTCCCTTCAGCTACAACTACCAAGGGGATTTCGATCTTTGTTTAAGTCGAGAGCGCTATTCGGGTGAGTTGAGTTAAAAGTGTGAAAACGAAACCATGTAGATGTTTGATCTAGTGCTCATAATCTTTTTCTTTCTTTGTATTACTCTGTTACACTCAGATGAATCTAGCTTAGATCATCACTTTCACTTTAAGAAGTTCTTTTAAGAAGAAGAAAACACGAAAGAATGATGGGGGAAGTATGTTCAAATACTAACAAAGGTTTAAAGCTAAGGTGTACAATTGATCTGATATCATTACTGTTCATGAGTATTCTGTAAAAATAAAGTAAATTCAAAATATAAAATGCTTGTTTAGAATCGTGGAACATGGCTGCATGGGATTGCTCAAACGATGGTGGTAATCTTCTCTCGATTCACAATGCTTTTCAGAATGGACTTCTTGGGGCAATGATTCACAGTAAGCCATTTGAAATTAAATTTTGCTCTCTTTTTCGATGGAACATGGAACAACGAGCGACGATACACTTGGTTGGGTGCAGTGCAAGACATGAACGGAGCTTGGACTTGGCTTGATGGGACAGCGTTCGACTATCAACGCTTCGACTCTCTAACACCGACAAGTAGCTTTTATCAAATATTTTGATCTTGCAAATAAAGAGAGGCTAAAAGGTAAAAATTCCAGATGGTTGTGTTGTTTTGGACACGTCGACACATTGGTGGAGAAACACTGCTTGCGATGATCCGGGATCGGGTGGAGGAGCCTATTTCTGTGGGCATATGGTGACCACTAAACACACGACTCAACAGCCAGACACGACCAAATCACCGCCAAACCTGAACTGTTTACCAGGTAAACAATTCAAGACATTAAAATACCATAAATTTTTTAAAAGTTGATCAACAGCCACTATATAATTGCCAAAAAGATTGGGTCTACTCGGCAGAAACGGGATTTTCTTATAAAGTGAGTGAACTGGAAAGGGGGAAATTTTAGTTTTAATCAAATAGAATGAAATTTAATGCAGATTCTCTTTGATCGTCGATTTCTCGAAGGTGAGGCTGAGTGTGTGCGCGAGGGTGGACATTTGGCATCGATACATAGCAATGTCGAGAACGATTTTGTTACAAGTCCTTTCAAATATCACATTTAAGATAAACGCCTTTTCAGATCTTTGCTGTCCGACACGCTGTAAATATTTTGCTCACGATGGTGGGCAATCATTGTATTTGGTTGGAGGATATAGTGTGAGCTTTTTCAATTTGAAAATGCTGTGAGCAGAGCTGTGAGCAGAGCTGTGAGCAGAGCTGTGAGCAGAGCTGTGAGCAGAGCTGTGAGCAGAGCTGTGAGCAGAGCTGTGAGCTTAATTACAAGCTCTCAACTTCAAACTGTAGTTCTGTTAAACCAGTCTCAAGTGCATTCACTTCTTTCCACTCTCTTTTTTCATCATTTCTGTTAAAGGATTCAAATGAAACGTGGTGGTGGACGGATGGGACAACTTTTGATTATCAACGCGGTGGCTGTGACTTTCATATCATTAGTGGATCAGAGCAGCTTCTTTATGTAAGAAAGTTTTAGTTTTTATTTAGTTTTATCCACTAAAATCTATCTTTATTGAATTTTTTTTATATAAAAAGAATAGCAAGTAGCCATTTTTCAGATTTCTCAGTTGGTTCTGTAAATAATATAAAAATTAGATACGAAACGGAGTCGGCTCGATTGATGAGTGCTCAACTTATTGTCCAGAAATGGGATTATGGTTGATGAGACATCGACAATCAGATCCAAGCACGCCGTATCTCGTTTGCAAGAGATGAGTAAATAAAGCTTTTGTGATCTCTCATCGATTTGAAGACAAAAAAAAGGACAACACATCATTATTCTCAAAGCTCTTTGAAAACTGATCATTGAGCACATTTGGAGTCACAAAGTATAGCTTTGAGATAAGAAATGAAATGACGAAAGGTGACAAAGATTGAAAAATTGTAAATCTTTTGATCTTTAATAACTTTTTCTTTAAAACTAGTGCCTTTAGTGTAAAGTTTGATGTTATTTTATTCATTAAGATTCATCTTTAAAGTCTTATAAGTCTGTATAGTTACTAAAAAGTAAACTTCATTTGAAATTTTAACTTAAATTTTAGTATTGTCATTTTAAAACCCGAAAGTTTAAGCATTTTTTTAGCTAAAACTCAAGCTTGAAGCAATTCCATTAGAAATTAAATGCTATTGGCTTTCTAGAGCCACGATCTCAACAACAATCATTCAATAGTATAGATTCAATCAACAATGATTCAATAGTTAAAGATTTATTAAAGGATCTAGTAATTTTTTGAGCTTCATTAATAGTGCAAATAGGGAAAGGATTACGATAGAAATAGAATGAATCTCTTACCGTAAATACTGTAATGGTACCCCACCCCCATAATGACGGTGTGGAGTGTTGTGTAGTCTAGCTTTGAACGAGTGTTTCTCGACACTGGTTTATACTACAATGCGCGTTTAGATATCAAAAAATAGCCCTGAATTTCAACTATTTTTTGATACGAAAGACGCATTTTTGAAAGTACGGGCGCTTTGAAAAAAATGAAATACTAAAAAACTTTTGCGACTACGCGATTGTACGAGGGGGATGGGGTACTATTACAGTATTTACGGTAGGTATTTTTAAGATATTCAATCTGTTTATAATGTAATCCTTTTTCTAGCACTATTAATCAAAAGAAGCTTACTGAATCAATAAACTATATTCTTCTTCTTTCACTCTGGCTGACACGTGTATTTCTTCAAGACTGGATCCGTCTTCTTCACGAATCCCGGACAACAAGTGGGCGCAGGGAATGGGCAAAGAGCATCAGTGCATTTCACATTTTGATTTGATACTCCACTGGAAAATCACTTAAAATCTCAATACTTCTATCATTTCTTACTCGCATTCACAACGAGCAGGCGTGCACTGTCGTGATTGACTCTTTGTTCCACACATTCCACAAGTACTTGAGCAAGATGTCACATCCGACCAAGAGCTCCAGGTGCCTGTGCAAACTGTGGTTGTCGCTTTTGTTGTGGCTTTGGTCGTCGTTTTTGTCGTTGTTTTTGTCGTTGTTTTTGTCGTCGTTTTTGTAGTCGTCGCTTTCGTTGTTGTGGTTTGTGGGGTACGAACTAGGACTAAAAAAAGCGATATTCTCATATGTATTTGTGTGCAAAGCCTTTGCGAACCTTCACAAGCAAAGATTCCCTTTGATGGAGACCACGTGCCGTCAGCCCCACACGTGTACACGTCACTGCTAGTGATTGTTACTCCTGGATTTCCATAATGATCTCCAGAAGGGCTCTAAAAGAATATTAAAAGAAAAACGATATGGAAGAATCGTTGATCAATCAAACACTCATTAACTAGTGAAGAAAATAGTAAAACCATTGTCAAATATAAGAAAATTTAGATCTCAAAAAGCTACCACAGCCGGTGACCCATCATCGAGACGAGTCGTGCTGTAAATCCACTCCTGACCAGTACATTTCACCGTCACTGTCTAAATAAGAAAAAGCTTTTGAACTTTTTGTTGTTTATCAGTTTGTAGGATTTCATAACTTTGAGAAAAAGAGTCGGATCAAACAGAGTTTCACTTTATTTACTCTTTAATTGAATTTTCTAAAGATCTCTGCAATATCGTAAAAATAGAGGAATTTAGCGATGTCCTTCTCCGCTCTAATCTGAATTTAATTGACTGATTTGACTAAATCAACATACAAAAACTCTTGAGGACCTAATTAAGAAGATTTCTTTGACTTGCAAAACAAATTTTATGTAGAGCGAGAATAAGAACAACTGTATTCTCAATTGAAAAAGATATCTAGCTGAAGCTGACCTTGCATCCTGCATCATTGGTGTCATACGTGAAAACGGGGGTGTCGTAGAAAATCGATGTGCCACACTCGGTGGCACTCGCGAGAATGCACGTGCCAGCCGCCGTGGCCGCCCCACAAGACGAGCAACTTGTGTGTGATGGGTGAACGAAGAGGAGAAAAGAGAGGAGAAACAATAACAACATCTTGTTAAGCAAAAACGAATTCGAATAGCTCAAAATGATTCCTCTTTTTGTGGGCACATTTATAGGAAGGGACGATCCCATAAGCTGACTTTCATTTCATTTCATTTCGTTCTTTGACCATCGTTGATCTGTGGCTCCAAAAAGTTTATTGCCTGAATATTTCAAAAAGCTTTTGTGTTCTAAAAAAAGAATATTAATTTTATTAGGTCAAAAGCGAGTACAAAAAGTGTTCGATCGGGTTTCGTGTCTGGTGCGTGGGCGCGTGGGCGCAAATTTGTTTCCATTTTTTCAAAACTTTTCAAACTTTCGTATTATTTCTCAATTTCTTTCTTTCTAACGAAAGAAATAGGGGAATATTTCTCAAATCTACGCGTTCATCGGTGCTGTTGGAGGAGATGAAGTGGCTCAGGCTCAGGCTGTTGGAGGAGATGAAGTTTCACAAATTTCATAAATCGTAAAGTTTCTATAAGTTTTGCACAACTCTGAGTTTTGAGATTTGTCTGTTTAACGGTAACGGTGATGATAAATTAGTAAAAGTTTAGATAGATATTCAAACATGTTACTGTTTCTAATTGTAAAGAATTTTATCGTTGGATGAATGACTTTCATGGTCGACTGATTAGGATCTTCGTGGTCAACTGATTAGGATCTCATGGTCGACTGATTAGGACCTAAATGGTCGACTGATTAGGGCCTACATGGTCGACTGATTAGGACCTTCGTGGTCGACTGATTAGGATCTCTTGGTCAACTGATTAGGACCTTCGTGGTCAACTGATTAGGACCTTCGTGGTCAACTGATTAGAACCTTCATGGTCGACTTGTCTCCTAGCCGGGAGGTCAAGAGTTCAATCCCAACATCTAGATTATTTCATTTTTTCATGTAGATGGGTTTTTTAACAATATTTGGGTTAGGGGTTTATGTTGAGTTTGATTTATAGGAATATTGTGTCCTTTGTGTGTCTATTCATGTGAAATAAATGTATTTTTAAACACTCAAAGAGAGAAATGATTCAAGAAGTAATTGGGAAACTAAATTTCCTCAATTTGGTCGATGAAATGAAGACAAATATCATATAGATTTTGCATTAAATTGTTCAAATTGTTTCAAACAAGCCATGTACAGCAATCATCAACTAGCGCCTTTAAATATATTTATTGTGTTTACTGTTGTAACTGGTTACATTTTATTGAAAGAAAAAGAAATAGTTTATTCTGTCGATTCTTCGACATTCTCTCCTTCACTGTGAACTCTCCGTGAGTGATATCGGCGAACGATTCGAATGATTGTCGAAACGCTGGAAGCTGCTACAAGCACCGCTCCACCCACATAGAAACACACGTCATAAGATCGAGTCACATCAAAAGCTAGTCCTAAAAGTTTTTTATTAAAGGTAATTTTATGGTTCCAGCAACTTAACATCACAAATTTTGAACTTTTGACTTATGAAGCTCCCGTTTAGCCCTTTAAACAATACAGCTTTGTAGCTACATGTAGCTTTGTAGCATACAGCTGTAGCTGTATAGTCTTGAATGATCAAGCAAGAAGATTCTTCATCAAGATTTCATAGTTAAAGTTCAAACCTGCAAACGGTGTCCCCAAAAGACATGCCACTCCTCTCGAGACAGCTAGAAGACCAAAGGAGCTTGTCAATCGCTCGATGCCTAACAGATCAGCCAACACGATTGACGATAAACAGATGTAAGCAGCTGGAAAAAAAACTTGTTTTTAAAGCTAAAGTTGATTCACTTACAAATGATGAATCCAAACAGGGCACCGTAAACTAATAGCATTGAATAGGTGTGACAGAATGGAGCGGCCAGGCAGAGGAGACCGCAAATGAACTGAGAAAAGGTGACGATGGTCAGAGAGGAAACGAACTGACGATCGGCCAGCCATCCGGAGAGGATTCGACCTGAATTGGGGAAATGGAATAGATTCGAATTCAGAGAAAAACTATCATTGTTTCAATATGTCTCAAAGTTTTTAGAATTAAACTTTTAAAAACTATAAATCCCAAATAAACAGCGAGTTTTTCTTTAGATGAAGACTAAGCAACGATTCTTTAGATGAAGACTAAGCAACGATTCTTTAGATGAAGACTAAGCAACGATTCTTTAGATGAAGACTAAGCAACGATTCTTTAGATGAAGACTAAGCAACGATTCTTTAGATGAAGACTAAGCAACGATTCTTTAAAGCCATAATTACTGCATAACATCAACCAATGCTTCAATTTCTATTGTTCATTTAAATCTATGTTTATATTTCCAAAAAAAAGAACACTAAAACAAACTCACCAACAGTGTTCGTCACTCCAATCAATGGCACAAAATAGATGGTATCCTTTTCAGGGATTCCTTTTGAGATCGCCAAATCTTTAAGGAAAACAAAAGGAGTGAAATAAGCGAGACTGGCAAGGAGATTCGAAAGGCACAAGAGAAGCATGATCGGGTTCTAAAACAAATTTGAAACTTTCATTGTAGAAAGTCCACCTTTAACAGCTCGAAATCGATGATGTCTCCGAGAAAAGATGGGCACAACTTGCATTTGCTGTAACTAACGTTTAGAGATCATTTTTCTAAGCACTAACCGTTTTTCTTCTTCATCAACCAAAGGAGTTTCTTCAATGATCGTTTTTGGGATCGTGGTGATCGAGGCTCGATAGGAGAGGCCACCACCTAGATGCTAGTCTTAGCCAGAGCTGTTCTTAGATCAAAATTTAGATTAAACCAAGTCTAAAGTCAAGAAAAGTTTGGCTTTTTGAAACAACTCTGGTTTTAGCTCTTAGAATAGAGTAAATCATTGGAAACAAATCTTTTTTAAGGTGCTTCAACAAATGTTCATTTTAGAAACTTTAAACAATAAGATGTTTGTAATGGAATGGAATGTAATGAATGTAATTGAATGGAATGGAATGTAATGAATGTCTTAATGTATTCAAAAGCAATGGGTACCCTCTTTCCTGTATCGATTGAGCCTTTTGATCGATCCCGAGTACATGATGTCCTGTCGATTCAATGGCTTTGCGATTTCCTCGGCTTCATGGGGCTAAATATGTTAAAAAGCAATTGAAACATTTGAAAATCATTTGAAAAAATCCAAAAATGATATTCATATCAGAATTTATTCCGAAAATCATAAAACTCACAGTCAAATTGATTCTCAACTCCCGAATACTCTTCGCCAAATCACCTTTTGGTTGAGTGAGCTCTTCATTGACCCTGGAATGAGAAATTACCTGTCAACGGTTGTTCAAAAATAACTAAACTATAAAAAACGTTTGCATTCAGTTTCTTTTTTACCCAGTGAGCGTCAGTTTGCGTTGTCTCACCGTGGTTCGGCGTGCTTTTTGACCGGCCTAAAATCGAGTCTAGCAAATTTTTGCCTAAGCAGTTTACCCAAGATTTCGCGAATCCCTTATCTCCTCCATCTTCACAATGAGACAACTCGTTTCTCACACGAGACAATGGATTGTTTGTTTTTTGTTTTCGATCAGCGATCGCTTTGGCCTAAAGTGTTTTCTCAATAAGAATCTAAATTGTTAGTTTTGACTGTTGTTTCTGTCGATAACTGATATCAGACTCCAATAAACATTACCTAATATTAGATACTGATTTGGAAGCTGACTATCGCTCTAGGCCTGATTCAAAATTAGGTAAAGTGCACTGTTAATGTTAATCTTAACTCAGATTATTCACTTGAACAGTTGTTTTTAGGAAGTTTTAGCAATTCATTGAAATGTTCTGCTAAACTCTCAACAAAATACACTTCAGCTTGATCACCATTTAATATTTTCTTACCCATGATTGTGCAAATGACATCTCCTCATTCTCATCACATTGAGACAGAGCACCGGCGCTCGACCGTCGTCCAGCATCGCTGGGCATCTTTTGGCGATTTGCCTAGAGCTTAACGTTGACTGATCTTAACGAAAATAGACAATTGAAAACTGATAACGGTTCCAATACGGCTCCACTACGGTTCCAATACGTTCCTTTTTGGTTCCAATACGGTTCCAATATGGTTCCAATATAGTTCCATTATGGCTCCAATATGGTTCCAATATGGTTCCAATATGGTTCCATTATGGTTCCAATATGGTTCCAATATGGTTCCAATATGGTTCCAAGATGGTTCCACTACGGTTCCGATACGGTTCCAATACGGCTCTTTTTAGATCCAATACGGTTCCAATACGGTTCCATTACCCATGATTTAGCAAACGACATCTCATCATCTTCATCGCATTGTGATAACTCATTTCTTATCCTTCCCATCGGCATGTCGTTACTCGATTTAGCCTGTGCATAAAGTTTTGATCATCATGCTGAATTCATCGATTTACCCATGATTCAGCGAAAACACTCTCATCATCTTCACAGTGTGACAATGCGTCTTTCATCTTTTCAATCGCTTTAGCTTCGTGCTCTTTCTCAGGCTCCTAAAAAAACTATTTAAATGGTATTGTAATCAAATATGTTTAGGAGAGTTCAAAGAATCAGAAAAGAGAAAAAAAAGCGATCAGAAAACATGTTGAAACACTTTTTATGATTACCTCTTTGACTTTCACTGAGTCTTTTTTGCTCAACGCAGGTGGAGTCAATTTTCTGTACAACAGTCCAGAGATAATGCACAAAGAGATCAAGCCAGCCAGCACAAAGTCAGCTCCTTTCCAGGCTAGGTCTGAAAGTTAATAAATGCGGTTTAGAGTGTTCTGATTTAGATGGAAAAATCTTGAGAAAAAAATACTGTGATCCTTCAAGAGAGGACTTTTCAAAATGAGAATTGATCAAATTCTAGCTATCCGTTTACTCTAGCTCACAAATAATGCTCGTTCTAAAAGGCGGCTGCATTTCAGAAAATTACCGTTATCGAACAGCCCGTTTTGGCTTAATCAGCTCAATTTTGATAGCCTCGTAAATCCCTATTGATTAAGACCAAAATTGAGTCAAAACTGGCTTTTCGATTACGGTAATTTTCTGAAATAAGTGCTTTTTTGTGCACACTCTACTCTTTTTTTTGCCAAACGGTAGAGTTAGACCCACTCTGTATAGCGAATCGAGCAACAAAGGGCATCAACATTGTCCCAACCCCGGACCCAGCTACGGCGATTCCTGTGGCTATGGCTCTAAATTCGATTGGGATTGTTGAAACCTAAGACTTTTATGTTATAAGCTCACAGGGCTAGAGTCTATGATCACCTTTTACTTTCGAAATATTGTCCAACAGAAACAATGGCTGGTAGATAGATCATTCCAAAGCCGATTCCTCCCAAGACTCCATAAATTGAGACAAAAACGATCAGATTTGGCGAAAATGTGGCCAAAATGAAGGCACATCCAGCGATGATTGATCCAATGATCACCGTTTTTCGAGCGCCCAGCTTATTGCACATTGCTCCAACGAATGGTCCTTTAATGCTTTTTGGTATTCTAGTCAATACTTTTCGTATTCTATTGTAAGAATATTCTATCATAACCAGTATTCTATCTTTCTATCGTGTATTCTATCGTGTGAATCAATCCGTTTATGTTCTTCAAAAACTCATGGGAACAAGTCACAAGTTTAGTCACAACTTAGTCAATTTGGCAAGTCAAGTTAGTCACAAGTTAGTCGAACAGTCAATTTGGGGAAATAGCCAAATAGTTCTGGTTGAATTTTTCTCTTATGCACATAGTTAACTAACCAACGAGCAAGTAGACACCGATAAGAAGTGAGCCGATCAGAGCTGTCAGAGCATTGGATCCCTGAAAGTTATTGCATTTGGAATTGATAAAAGTTTGATGTTTCGCTTTTTATTCAAATAAACTCAAATGTTCACTTTAAATTCCGCTTGATAACTCGGCTTGAACTCGGTGAAGCAAGTACAAATGCCGTCAATGATGAGATTCGAGCAAAAAGCCGCTAACACGATCACCCAACCATAGCCACCGTCTGGAGGGACTGGGAGGAGCTGCTTGGCTACATCGACAGCTGAAATGAGGATGTTGAAATAATGGTTTCCAAACAACTATATTGTTATAACTAAAATACATTTAAATCTTAAAAATATGACATTTTTGGTTAACTGTTGTTGTTTTGAATCGAAAATAAGGTGTCGTAACCGATTATGAATTTCAGCCGATTATAAATGAGTGAAACTAGGCGTGGAACTAGTTTAAGTAAAATAAAGTGATTGTCAAGTTTAAAGATATGTTTCTAAAACTTGAAAAAGAATAGCTTCTTTCTTTAGAATTCTTTCTAGAATTGTATATGTCATAGCCCATCATGAATTTCAGCCGATTATGAATGAGTGGGTCTAGGAGCGTCCAATCATCAAGTGTTTGGTATCATTCAACGCAGAATTATCAATAATTATGTTAAATTTTTTTAATTAGAAAGATTGGATAAAAAGAAAAAAATTTATGGAGCTTCAAACTTTTCTCTCAAGCAAATAGTTTTTTCGATCTAATTTTTTTTCTTTTTATCCAATCTTTCTAATTTAAAAAATTTAACATAATTATCGATAATTCTGCGTTGAATGATACCAAACACTTAATGGTTGGACGCCCCTAGCCCCACTCATTCATAATCTGCTACGGGGGTCCCGCCAATTTTGAATGAAACGTTGTATCGCCCGGAATTTTTGAACCTAAACTCACAAATTTGATACCAATCGACACAGAATTTAATTCGCTACAAAATGATATAAGATTGTCCTTATACATTAAAGGGGTTGGCCTACTAGAAAGGTTTGCCAAAAAATTTCATTCATAATCGGCTACGAAAAAAGGCTTTTGATTTGGAACAGAGCAGAGAATAACAAAAAAAAGTCCTCAAATTTCATATCTATACTAAAAAAAAACTAAAATTTAAGGAAAATTCTTTTTTTGGAAACCCTCTGCTAGTTTCTTGACTGGTTTTTAAATAGGTTTAAACTTAAAATACTTTTGAAATAAATTCAAATAAAAAAAACGAAACTACTAACGATTTGTCGTCAAATCCAACGAGATTTTCCCCATCTTTTGAGTTGTCAGAAGATTATTTTCGCAACAACTGAAAATATTCGAAATTAAAAAAAAGAGCTCAATAATAGTGAATGATGAAAACAAAGTCAACGAAATCCGTTTCAAATTGATCAGTCGATTTGCAAAAGGATATCCCTTAAAGGGAAATAAATCTTTTTTTTCCAACAATCAACGAAGAGAAAGAGGAAATGATCTGTCAAAAAAGATTTGTCTCTCTCTCTTTTTCATTGTCTTGACTGCTCTTTTCTTTTAATGATCTCGATCTTTCAATACAGATATAAGATGCGTAACAAGAGGATCAAACGGAAGAGGGGAAGCGGCCGATCCCCGGAAAGTGGAACGATCGATTCTCAGGCACCGACTCCTGCGAAAACCCGATGGATCAACCCGGAAATTCGCTCGACGTTACTGTGGTCAAATGACTGGTGGCGATGGCTGCGAAAAGTGGGGCGAAATTGGAGTAAAAAAACCCCAAATCCCATACAAAATATCGGAAACAAACAAATGGAACGGCCCCGTTTTCGTTCTTCAGGACGGTGCAAGCTCCCACAATTCAGAAATTCAGATCCAATTTCCATTAGGTTTCTTTTCAAACCCAATAATCGGATCCCTACTCATCCAAAAACTGTTTGTTTTCTTCTTCCATTAAGAAGTGTCTCTAAAAGCTTAACACTAACTAGCCAGTATGTTTCCTTTCCGTTTCCAACGAAGATCAACGATGGCATATCAACAGGTGTCTTTAAAGCCCATCCGTCCCATATCCATTATTGATCACTCCTGTTCCATATAAAACAGTTTATCAATAAATAAATTTCTTTTTTTTGTAAACTTACTCTGTTTCACAGCATAACCACAAACATTTACATTTGGACTTTGGAATGAGCAGGGACAGTTGGCCTGGGGATTTTCGGGCTAGACGTCAATAGGTGCCCAACGGAAATTGACGTCTTGAGCCCTTCAAAATCAACCTCTTTCAAAAATTTCATGACTATGACATTTTCACCCAAATATAGCTGGATCATTTTACTGATTAAGCAATAAGCACCGAAGATTCAGAGACTAGAAACCATTGAATTGGATATCAATCAGATCTTTCTTGTTCATTTAATGCTAGTTTACCATAAACTGAAACTCTGTCATTTTCACTGAAATATAGCTGGATCATTTTACTGATTAATTTTGAAAATTTGACTATTTCGAGAGTTGGAATGGCTGAATTGGATATCAATCAGATCTTTCTTGTACATTTAATGCTAATTTACCATAAACTAAACCCCGGAATTTTCAGTGAAATATAGCTGGATCATTTTCTTGATCAATTTCGAATATTTAATGATTCCGAGACTTGGAATGGCTGAATTGGATATCAATCAGATCTTTCTTGTTCATTTAATGCTATTTTACCATAAACTGAAACTCTGTCATTTTTCGTCAAATATAGCTGGATCATTTTACTGATTAAGCAATAAGCACCGAAGATTCAGAGACTAGAAACCATTGAATTGGATATCAATCAGATTTTTCTTGTTCATTTAATGCTATTTTACCATAAATTGAGACTCTGTCATTCTCACTGAAATATAGCTGGATCATTTTACTGATCAATTTTGAATATTTAATGATTCCGAGACTTGGAATGACTGAACTGGATATCAATCAGATCTTTTCTTTGTTCATTTAATGCTAGTTTACCATAAACTGAGACTCTCATTTTTCGTCAAATATAGCTGGATCGTTTTACTGATCAATTTCGAATATTTAATGATTCCGAGACTTGGAATGGCTGAACTGGATATCAATCAGATCTTTCTTGTTCATCTAATGCTAGTTTACTATAAACTGAAACTCTGTCATTTTTCGTCGAATATAGCTGGATCATTTTACTGAATAATTTTGAAAATTTGACAATTTCCAGAGTTGGAATGGCTGAATTGGATATCAATCAGATTTTCTTGTTCATTTAATGCTATTTTACCATAAATTGAGACTCTGTCATTTTTCGTCAAATATAGCTGGATCATTTTACTGAATAATTTTGAAAATTTGACAATTTCCAGAGTTAGAATGGCTGAATTGGATGTCAATCAGATCTTTCTTGTTCATTTAATGCTATTTTACCATAAATTGAGACTCTGTAATTTTCACTGAAATATAGCTGGATCGTTTTACTGATTAAGCAAGAAGCACCGAAGATTCAGAGACTAGAAACAACTGAATTGGATATCAATCAGATCTTTCTTGATCATTTAATGCTAGTTTACCGAAGGTATTATTCCTGTGTACTTTTGTTTGTATCTTGTTTTAGCGCTGGCCGAAAAGCCCAAATCTACAGTATGCTACACTTCGCTTATTCGACGAGTTGAATTTGTTTATCGAGATCATGGAAATTGCGTTGGCCAAAGGACTCCCTTATGGACAACATTACAAACAAAAACCCTTCCGCAAATGTTTTGAAAATAGACGATAATTAGCGGTTTTGAATCGACCAAATCCCGTTTTGAATCATTTGGTTCACATTTTTACAGTTGTTGTGATACATAGGTTAAAGTTTTTGTTTACTAATATTTTATTATCGTTTTTTTTGTTAAGCGCTTGGAGAAATGCTTTTTTAAAGTCGAAAAAAGCTAATTTGCACGACCATAGATTTGAAAGTTAACAATTTATCAAAATAATCTAATTTTTGTCAATCAAGTACAAAATCAGCTAATTCTTGTAAGTAGTTCAAGTCTTTTTGAAAAAAAAGTTCATTTGGCACAAATGATCCGCGGCGCAAGGGATTTTGGCGCAAAAAACACGGAGCCTTTGCTAGCAGTTCTAAAATTTGAATGTTTGTCCTTAGTTTGCATACGTTTTCCCGTGATTTGCATTTAAAGGTCATTTAAATCTAGACCGAAGGATGCTCAATATGCATCTGCATCTTCTCGTCTTTCTGCAACGTCCGGATGGAATCGACCACGAAGGGGTGAGTGTTTGTGCTTTTTGATATTGTTATCCTTAAAAGCTGTTCTTGTTTCTTGAGAAAAAATTATTAAATTTTCACTTATTCCACTGCATTTTTTGGTTTTTTTGGCACTTTGCTTAACTCTAAAAGAAAATATATCAATTTTTAAGCATAAATTAATTTAGTTTCACATTGTAAAAGCTTAAGTACAAGTAGAATTTTAAGCTTGCTAATGTTTTTTCTTTTCAGGAGTGATCTCCTGTTTCTTCCAATTAATTCATCTATTCTTAAACTTTTACTTTTTTCTTGTAGAAGTTCCTCCTCCAGCGCTCAAAGTGCCATTCGCTTTCCTGAAGAGACTGAGGCGTCGGATCAATCAATGCGTGGGCGCGGCGGACCGAGGCTCCAAACGGCAACGAAAACCACTAATGCTTTACTTCGAACAAGTGAGTTTTGAGTAGATTATAAGAAATTTTAATTGGATTATGTTTAAGTTTTGTCTTTTAGAGCGCAATGTTGCAAGAAAAAGGGTGACCTCGCTGCCGACATCCACGAGTCCTGCCACTTTGACATCTCCATCATACTCTCGATCAACTGTCTCATCCCGTGCACGTTCTTCGGAAAAGGTTAAATTAAATGAATTGTTTGATATAGATAACTAATAAGCCATATGTATTGTTTTCTTTTAGAAGTCATCGTCTCATCGCTCTAAAACGCCATTCGCATCTCGTGCACGCTCTTCGGGCATGGTATAATCTTTGAACTTTGCCGTATATTGCTCTTCTTGGCCAATTTAGAAATCCTCATCTCATCGATTCAAAGTGCCTGCCTCATCTCAGCACCCTAAAACGCCATTCGCATCTCGTGCACGTTCTTCGGACAAGGTATAATCTTTTAACTTCTCGTCCATTTCTCTTTTGGATCAATGACCAATATGTTTATTTAGAAATCTTCATCTCACCACTCGAAACCAATGTTATCTCGTAGTCGTTTGCCTTATCACGAGCGACCATCTCGGCGTCAACGATCGACTCGTCAATCAATTGAATTGACTAGCAGGATTCAACGCGGAAAAGAAGAGGCAAAAGCGCAGAAAGAAAAGGTTGGGATTTTTGAAGTGATTTGTTTAGAAAATTCCTTTGTTTAGGAGGAAGCGATCTTTGTGTTCAACGTGCGCAAGCGTGTTTTGGTGGATTGGTTGCAGAGTCTCTACGATCAACCTGATGATGCGATCATTGCAATTCGTGTGAATAAAGATCAGTTGGTGAGAGTTTAATTCAGAGATCAACTAGCTTGTTAATCATAAGATAAAGTGGATAATTATTATATTTTTCAGCGTACCCTCAGTGAGCACGAAGCCTCAAAAGAGCGTCGTCGTCAGAGGCGCCAGGGGGAATAACTTCTTCATTCAAGCGCATGGCAAGGATAATTAATCAACACAATTATACTGCCACATTAATTCCTCATTTTTTTATTCGGTGTCCCTCTCACTCATTTTCAATCGTACTTGGTCTTTGCCTCTTGCTTGTGACCGTGTCTAATCTATTTTTGGGCTCATCAGTGGATCAATAAAAATTTGAAAGGACGGGGGTCAATTTTTCTTCACAAATATATCAGCTTGGCAAATATGAAAGGTTATTTTTTACAAAAAATATTGCCCTGTCGTTACGAAGAACATTCGCTGTCTAGGATTTTTCTCAATAATATGTCAAAATGTGCTCATGTTTTTTTGCAAAAACTTTTTTGTTTTGAACAATATTTGTATTGTTTCAGCTTGGCAAAGATGGATAACCAAAAATTTAAAATCAGGACCGCCATTTTCTTTGAATTCAAGTTAAACAAGAAAGCTACGGAATGCCATCAGAACATTTGTACTATTTTTGGAGAAGCTGCTCTTACTTACAAACAATTTTGTGTTTGGTACGATCACTTCAAAACGGGAAATGAGTCATTGGAGGATGCACCACATGGAAAGCCGCCGATTACTTTGGACGATCAGCGGTTACTGAACGAGGTCGACTTGGATCCATCGCAAAAGTGTAGAAAATTAGCAGAAAAGTTTGGATGCACTCATGTTCCCATTTGCACGTTCTTGGGAAATCATATCGAAGCGGGAAATGGCTCCCCCACGACCTCACTGATGCCCACAAAGTCACACGAGTCAGCTTGAGACACATTTTGCGAGCAGCCGCAGAATACAATTTTCTTTATCGAATCGCTCCACGGTGAACATGTAGAGACAGGTGACACCCTCGTTGATTTCTTTTTTGAAATAACATCTGTGATTGTAGGGTCTGTTCAGATCAGACAGAAAACCATTGGGACAACTCCTTTCCAAATCCTGATGTGTCTTGATGAATCCACATCCAAAATCTTTGTATTTACGGAAAAAGAAATCTTGAAGTAATCCAGCTTCCAGCGAGCTCTCGTCGCAAAATTTCGGATCGGATTCCGGGAAATCTTTAGTCAAACTTTCGAGATGTCTTTCAATTTGTAAGTGATACTTTCGAAATATCTCTTCTGGATCCCAAGCATCTTTGAATTGATACAACGAATGGACAACGAGTGCCGGTTTTTCATGTCCGCTTTCGATTGCAAAGATAATGTAATTTTTAAGAAAATGGTCGAAATCCGGACTATAATGGTCGTTGATGAGAATGAGTTCAGCATTTGATTCCATTATAGCAATGCAAGCTGCCGGTCCAAACCAGTTTACTGAAGAAATCACTCGACAATCGGAAATTCCGAATCTCTCAAAGAGCTCCTCCATATAATTTTCTGTCTCTTTTTCAGGATCTGTTTCAATGAAAGTGCAAAAGTTGAGCACACAGATATTGGAAACTTTGAAGTGATACTTTTTCAAAAAATGTTTTGCCATTTCCAAGCTAATTCCCAGGTTTAGATAAAGATTTTCCACATTTTTAACCCCAGTGAGGAACGTGTTCCCCTTCAAAAGTTCCTCGAATTTCCAAAATGTGATCTCTGGAGTGACCTCGTCAACCAATTTTAGTTTCAAATTTCGACAATAGCGAATATTTCGGAAAAGCAAAAACGGGGATTTCGTGAAAATCGGTTTCATTTCAGCTACCCAAAGAGTTTCATCGAAAATTGTGAACGGAGTTTTGTAGATTCTTTCGATTGCCCCGAAGCTCACTCGAGAAATAATTGTAAGTTGGATAACTGGAAAATTGCAAATGATAGAATCCCGACGAAGTTCCCAGTCGTTGAAAATGAACCCGATTTCGTGGACTTTAGTAAATGGCCCGTTAGACGACACAAAGTGTCGCAACCCTTTGTTGATTTTCAAAAATTTCAGCGTTTGGACGATGTCTAGACATTGCCAGATTTGATTTTTCAGTTTTGAAGAAAGATTTGAATATGGGAAGCGAGTTCTTTTCATTTTCAATCAATAAATGAAGGAGAAACGTCAAAGTGCCTAACGCTTATCTTTTGAAAATGAAAAGGAAAGACTTTTGTCAAGAATTTGAGAAATGGATACGTATACATGTTTTGAGACAAATCATGATCACACAGCATCAAGAATACAATAAGTTCCAGTCGGCTATCTTGTAAAACTACCGTAATCAGACTCCCAGTTTCCTTCAGCTCAAATTTTGGGGAAGCACTTAGCTAATGATCACGAAATTGGGTTAATCGAGCAAACTGAACTGACTACGGTAGTTTTATATGTGTCGTAGCCGATTATGAATGAGTGGGTCTAGGAGCTTCCAACTATCAAGTATTTAGTATCATTCAACGCAGAATCATTAATAATTATGTTAAATTTTTTAAATTAGAAAGAGTGGATAAAAAGAAAAAAATTATGGGGCTTCAAAATTTTCTCTTGAACAAAACAGTTTTTTTGCTCTAATTTTTTTCCTTTTATCAAATCTTGCTAATTTAAAAAATGTAACATAATTATCAAAGATTCTGCGTTGAATGATACTAAATACTTGATGGTTGGACGCTCCTAGACCCACTCATTCATAATCGACTATGGGGGTTCCGCCAATTTTGAAAGAAACGTTGTAGCGTCCGGAATTTTTAACCTAAACTCATAAATTTGGTACCAATCGACGCAGAATTTAATTCGCTACAGGATGATATAATATTGTCCTCATACATTAAAGGGTTGCTCCACCAGAAAGATTTGCCAAAAAATTTCATTCATAATCAGCTACGACATATATATCTTTTAGCCGAGAGGGGTACACTTTAACACTGATTGTCAATTTTTTTGTTTTTGTGAGTAAAGAAAATCGCAACAACTCTAAGAACTTTATTGAAATTACTCAAACCAAATGTGGATTCGGAACATATTTGGCCAAAAGTTGTAAGACACAGGTATCCTTGTTGAATTGCTCGATAGTGAACATATAAAGGCAAGTAATTTCGTCAGATATTACTTTCTTGAAAAAGATCTTGTGCTTATATGGTTTGTTCAAATCAGCAAAATATCCTTTTGGATACTTTTCTTCTAAAGTATAGATTGTTTTGATGAAACCGCAATTGAAATCTTTGTACTTTGGAAAGAAGCAATTTTCCAGAGCAAAGGCAGCTGGAGAAGTGTTCTCATCACAGAACATTGTCTCACTTTCCGGAGCTCCTAACTGCAAAATTTTAAATTGGTCAAGTATTTTGTTGTAATATTCCAATAAAACATCCTCTGAACATTTCCCAAACAAATGGTAAATCGAATGAATTAAAAGAGCCGGTTTCTTGAAAGAACTTGGAATTCCATAAAGAATATGCCATGCAAAAAGGTCATCAAATCTTTCAATTGAATAAGCATTGATTAGAATCAATTCTGGTTTCCATTCTGTCAGGAAATCGGTGAAGATCGGATTCGCACCAAACCAGTTCATTGATGAAACAACTGGGGAATTGAAGATGCCAAATCTCTCAAAAAGCTCTCTCCAGGCTGATTTTGTCACTGAATCATTAGCTCCAATTGTAGATGAAAAGTTCAGAATCGAGATGTTCGCAACTTTAAGACGAATATTAGAGAAAAGAGTCATTATGGTCTCCAAAGAGACACACAAATCTAGATAAAGATTTGATATGTGATGAAGATTCGAGAAGAATTTGGCTTTACCAAAAACTTCTTTGAAAGTTGAGATGGAAATGTCAGAGCTGATCTCTTGATTTAAACTCACTGTAAAAGTTCTTGCTGAGGTGATATTTTTGAAGAGATCGAAGGGATTTCTGGCAATAATTGGACAGAGATCCACCATCAATCGACCATTGAAAAGGTTGAATTGCGTTTTTCGGCCATTTTTACCAATGATTAGATACAAATACGGGACCTGGCAATCGATTTCAGCAAATTTTGACTTCAAGATGTCATAAAGGAAAACGATTTCGTCGACTTTTGTGAAGGATCCATTGATCAGAACGTATTTTCTCAGCTCGTGATTGCTTTCCAATAGATTTAGTGTATCATCTGTATTCAAATGTTTGATAATACAAGTTTTTAGCTTTTGTGGGAATAAAGCAAATGGTAAAGAACGAAACATTTTTGAATTGAAAACAAAATTTAGTGATGTGGCGAATAAATTGAGAGCGCTTATCATTTTCGTAAGGAAAACTCGCATTTTTGAGCCGAAAACAATTCACAAATCAATTCTTTTTCAAGAATGCCTCGGTTATTTTCATTTCCATTATTAAATCATGATTTAAAACACTTGTCAGTCTTCATTTGGACTTCACTTGTCACTTGTCAGCAAAATCATATTTTTCCTTGGTTGTAATGAAAAATCTTCACGGAACTCAATTCAAACTATTCGTTGGTTGATGATTGCCCAATAGCTGGATATAGCTATATTCTTGAGAAAATGCACGAGTTTATGGTAATTTTATGGTAATTTAGCATTAAATGAGCAAGAAAGATCTAATTGATATCCAATTCAGCCATTCCAAGTCTCGGAATCATTAAATATTCGCAATTGATCAGTAAAATGATCTAGCTATATTTCAGTGAAAATGACAGAGTCTCAGTTTATGGTAAACGAGCATTAAATGAACAAGAAAAATCTGATTGATATCCAATTCAGCCATTTCAACCCTCGAAATAGTCAAATTTTCAAAATTAATCAGTAAAATGATCCAGCTATATTTGGTTGAAAATGACAGAGTCTCAGTTTATGGTAAACTAGCATTAAATGAGCAAGAAAGATCTGATTGATATCCAATTCAGCCATTCCAAGTCTCAGAATCATTAAATATTCGAAATTGATCAGTAAAATGATCCAGCTATATTTGAGTGAAAATGACAGAGTCTCAGTTTATGGTAAACTAGCATTAAATGAACAAGAAAAATCTGATTGATATCCAATTCAGCCATTCCAACTCTCGAAATAGTCAAATTTTTGAAAATTAATCAGTAAAATGATCCAGCTATATTTGACGAAAAATGAGAGTCTCAGTTTATGGTAAACTAGCATTAAATGAACAAGAAAGATCGGATTGATATCTCTTTAATTTCTTGTTGAGAGTCAGAGTTTTGAGGATTTAATGATGAAAATTGAGAGAACAAATTAATGTGAGTCGTTAGAAGTTAAGATAGAACTTTTCACTAATGCAACTTTTCTCAAATAAGGCGTTGTCTAAAACGAGTAAATTTTTGGATTATCTTAATAATGCCTCTAGTTTTATTCAATATACGGAATTATAACAACGGAAGTATTCAAATTGTTGACCGTTACAGTTGATGAAATTGATGAAAACAAATACGACGAGTTTCGCTATATTCATAGAGCAACTCTTTCTATTTGAGGGACATTGGTGATTCTGAGAACAGCACTTTTGGTTGTTGAAGGGACGACAGAGGCTCTGTTTGTCTTCGGTGCTTCTTGCTTCATCAGTAAAATGATTCAGCTATATTTCAGTGAAAATGACAGAGTTTCAGTTTATGGTAAACTAGCATTAAATGAACAAGAAAGATCTGATTGATATCCAGTTCAGGCATTCCAAGTCTCGGAATCATTAAATATTCGAAATTGATCAGTAAAATGATCCAGCTATATTTCAGTGAAAATGACAGAATCTCTTTTTATGGTAAACTAGCATTAAATGAACAAGAAAGATTTGATTGATATCCAATTCAACCATTCCAACTCTCGAAAACATCAAATTTGCAAAATTAATCAGTAAAGTGAAATGATTCTTGAGAAAATGGCGGAGTTTCAGTTTACGGTAATCAGCATTAAATGAACAAAAAAAGATCTGATTGATATCCAATTTAGCTGTTTCTAGTTTCTGAATCTTGGCAGCTTCAAAATGAATCGGTAAAATGATCCAGCTATATTTCAGTGAAAATGACAAAGTCTCAATTTATGGTAAACTAGCATTAAATGAACAAGAAAGATTTGATTGATATCCAATTCAATTGTTTCTAGTCTCTGAATCTTCGGTGCTTCTTGCCTAAATAGTAAAATGATCCAGCTATATTTGAGTGAAAACGACAGAGTCTCCCTTTATGGTAAACTCGCATTAAATGAGCCAGAAAGATTTGATTGATATCCATTTCAACCATTCCAACTCTCGAAAACATCAAATTTTCAAAATTAATCAGTAAAATGATTCAGCTATATTTGGGTGAAAATGGCGGAGTTTCAGTTTATGGTAAACTAGCATTAAATGAACAAGAAAGATTTGATTGATATCCAATTCAGCCATTCCAACTCTCGAAATAGTCAAATTTTCAAAATTGATCAGTAAAATGATCCAGCTATATTCTTGAGAAAATGGCGGAGTTCCAGTTTATGGGAAACTAGAATTAAATGAACAAAAAAAAGATCTGATTGATATCTCTTTAATTTCTTGATGAGAGTCAGAGTTTTTATTCAATCTACGGAATTATAACAACGAAAGTATTCAAATTGTTGACCGTTACAGTTGATGAAATTGATGAAAACAAATACGACGAGTTTCGCTATATTCATAGAACAACTCTTTCTATTTGAGGGACATTGGTGATTCTGAGAACAGCACTTTTGGTTGTTGAAGGGACGACAGAGCTCTGTTTGTGGGTGATTTTTTTTGGCTTGTTTACAGGTTGGTAATCAGGGCTGGACGGATTATATTGCCCAATCGCCCAGCTCTATCGACTAATGAATAGGTTGGAGTAACACTACTTTCAGTGGGGTAGTACTGGACGGATTTTTGGTCATGAGATCCAGCATTCACCTTTTGCGGGCACCAAAAACAACTCCCATATCAGAAGCTTGCTTGGAAAAGTTTAAGCGCGCAATTCGTGATGAATTTGGAAGAAACGATGATCCACAACTGCGAGTAAATTAGCAGTAAATTAAATAATCCATTTTAAGCATTTTACTTTTAGAAATGCAATATGCAAGCGAGTTTTCACAATCTTGTAAACTTGTAAAGAAAATTTTGAGGCGGACACTTACTCGGAAGATGTGGCTGATTAGGAGGCATTGCAATTAGTTTATTTGGGTATGATTCGAGAGATTGATGAGGAGAATTTGCAGGTAATGAAATGCGAATGGTTTACATGAATGCATTTGCTAAAAGGCACATATTTTAGGAAACTATCGTGATCTACTGCTGGTTTACATTTGATTTTTTTATCATTCGTCATAAGGCATCATAAGGCTCACAATTGTCAGTCAATGATGGCAAAACTCGGCCGATTATGGTAGTTTCTCTAAAATAGGTGCCTTTTAGAAAACGAATCTAAGCTGGTCTGATAATTTTATTTGTTTAATCTGGTAGTAAAACCCTATCCAGATTTAAACATCACCCATCAGAAGCTCTTCTATTATACGATGGCTGCTCTAAAGTGAAAAATGTTTTCATTTCAAAAATCATCTTTCTTTTTAGCTGTGAGCCAATATCAACTCTGTTCAAAAGTCAGAAAATGAGTTTATTTGAACCATTTTAAAACGTGTTGAAAGTTACCATAATATTTCCTCTAGTTTCGATCATTCGGAGAGCTGGATTGTCGGAAACCTTTCAACAAGCTTTTCAATGTAATCCAATGTCTCAACTCAATCAATACAATCATCAAAACAAGGCCAATCAACACAATCATTATGATGAGGCGACAAGATATAAAAAGTCAACTACAGCATGAATAAACATTCCCAAGCCGACTTTGACTCCTTAATGAGCTCTTACAAGGTCTTGGATCACTTACCGTAGCTCTCAGCCTAAACAAGCAACCAATTTAAATATCCGATTACCTTATACTTTAGGCCATAAATACTTATCTAACTTTATTCCTTCAAAATGCGACCAAAGAATTTTCTGTTCTCTTTGCCGAATGAGGTGCGAAATTTGGTGCTCGGCAAAGTCAAATCACTCAATATTCAGCTAAATTTTCTTCGAATAAACAAAAATTTTCGAGATTATTCATTAAGAAATGGACCTTTACCGAAATTGGTTGAAGGATTAGAAATCGAGTATTCGGTTAATCGAGCCGATTCGGAGGAGGGGTTTGTTTTGGTGACCTTTTCCGACGCTCAAGTCAGTTTTATCGTGGAAAACGATTGTTTGAGACTCGAAAACTCTTATTTTAACCAAATTTACACTGATTCCCCGTGGCAATTTTTTGAGCGAATTAGGTTTTGTAAAAAACTAAAAGTAGAGATTGGAGATGGTTCTTTTAATAGCTTTAAACAAATGAAACACTTATGTGCACTGACAGGAGTTCTCGCTGGAATTGAAAGCGTTGAAAATTTGCATATCAATGCGCCGACTAGATTTCTCCAGCATTTCATACAATATTTTGAGATGAATGTGCATCAAAATTTCATCCTAATGGTCAAAGATTATAAAGATTTCGATGATGAACGACCGAATTTGAAAATTTTATGGAATTCTTTTCATTTTGACGATTTGCAAATCTATTGCGCACTTTTTCAGCCAATTAAAGAAATCTGGGAAAACTTGGGAATGTCAAATATTGAAATGATCCTAAATCATGTTAATTCGTGGCCGAAATTCTCATCAACTTGTAAGCTTTTGCTGGAAAATGGAGTGCCAACAAAATTCCCTAATTCTTCAGCTGTTGTTTATTTCGAATATTTTGATCCAAATAATCAATACAATTATTTTGAGTCTTTAGAATATATGATTGCTTCTGTTATTGGAGTTGAACGAATTGATTCGAATTCTGAAGATGCTTATGCTATCACCCAATTCTTTCGAACAGATTTTCATCAATTATATGACTCAGCCTACATTCAGGATTCTCATTATTCACGAGTTGTTTTAAAAAATGAGGACTATTTCAAAAGACAAGAGTATTTTAAGAAAGAAATCGATGATCGAAAATATTGCGTTTTTATGGCGATTTACGATAGAAAACCCGGTAAAACACCGGAAACTGAGTACGACTATGAAACGAGTGGTCCGTATGGAAATAATCATATCTGGCTCTTTGTGAAAACTTTTTCGAAAGCTTAAGAAAGATGACTGTTTGTTATGCTTTTCATTTAATGCTTAAATTATCTTTCGCTTGACTCAATTTTTCTTCAGGGTTGATAAAAAAAGCCAAACGCCAAGGCGAGCCAAGCCAATGGCTTTCAATCAGCTCACAATCTTACCGTTGGATTTGACTTAAAATCTTGACTTTAGCTAGGCTTTTCCTGGAATTGAGCAATAAAAAAATAGTTGGCTGGAAGTTTTACACTTTTGTCAACCCTGATCTTCATTCTTTAAACCAAAATTTTCATAAGGAGATCCGTGACAAAATTTTCCGTCATTTTTATTACTTTCTTGGTTAATTCTCGTGTGACGGTTATTATTGCGATTAATTTTTTATGTGATGTGCTGGCTGTTTGATTTTACGATATATAATAACTTTTAACCCAAGGACTGGATTCATACATTTACCATCAAATCACTGAACCTCATATAGGTAGATACTTCAACAATTACACCAAAAACAACAAAAACACGACAACCGGATCAGGCAATTTCAACACAAGCAAACTCTCAAAATGACTCAAATGATGACCAAAATTCTGATGATGTCACAAAGATCGATTTTGACGACGCAAAAATGCTCTCGAAATTTACAAGCGCCCATCTAAAAAGAGATAATCAGTTTAGTCTGACTAATCGGACGCCCTGTCAAAAAGCAAAAAAGGAAATGTGATAAGAAAATGACTGAATCTGGTCAAGAATTTGAATCAATTGAAAAGTTTTTGGTAAACTCGAAATTTTTCTAAACATGCTCAAGCAGTTGCTCGTCGCTTTCGCACTTTTCAGCGTTGCTTTGACTATTAATTGTTATTATGATTGGTCATCTGGAAAGGGAGAGTCACACACTGGAAATGTAAGTTTCACCGAAAAGACTTCAATGATGCAAATTTTCATTTCATTGCTATCATTCTGTCAAATAAAAACTTCAGAAGATGAACCGCCCTTGTCCCGGCTGCGACTACTGCCTCAAGTTTAAAACCAAGGTTTGTCACAACCTGTAAACTCAAATAATATTTTGCTTTTCCAGGAGAAAAGTAACACTGCTGTTTATTGGGATTGTGGATGTTCACAATATAATGGAATCTCTGGTGCTGATTGTCTGGTTAGTGAAAGAATTTTGGACTCTCAAAGAAGACACTTCAAAACTTTGAATGCTAAAAAGAAAGTTCAAATAAACTACATAATCCGGAAGGAATCAAGTGTCAAGAAGTTGCTCAAGTCAGCTTGCATTCTTCTCTTAGTTCTGTAGGAAAAAGTAGCCAAGTTTAAGGCAAAAAAAATCTTCCCAGAAATTTGGGCATAGTGAGGCCGAGAGAACGGAGGACGGATCGCTGACCGCTGGAATCTGGGGGTTTTCGGGATCGGGAAATCGATTAGAGCTATTCCTTTTATTGAGTGTTCTCTTTGAAACAATATTAGAAGTTAGCAATACTATTATCTCTGATATTAAGTAAAGTTATAAATCTTCAAAGTGCTACTCATTAAAACCGGCCAGAACCTAAGTCCGGGGTTTTCCCTGACCTTACCATGACCTCAGGCTTGACCCGACCTAGTCCTAGCCAGTCAGAGATCAGGCCAAGATCTTGCCCCAATCCTGACTCAGTCCTAACAAAAAACTGCTACCTACAGTGCCGCTCAAAGGTAATGCCCCCCTGGTCCCGTTTTTCCAAGGAATCGCTGATCAATAAAGTGTATGCTTTCAATTTGTAGTTATCCTAATAGTGTTTATTATGCACGACGATGCGTACAAATTTTTAATTTTATCGCAAAAGTCTCATGGTGGTGACCCATATGGTGGTGGTGGCCCATATGGTGGTGGTGACCACCATAGTCACCACTCAGAAATTTCTCGTATTGAGAGCTATGAAATGGTGAAAATCATAGAAAAACCGGCAAAATTTCCCGATCTCAAAAAAAAATCATTTTTGCACCATACCTACCACCATGAGCCACCGGAAATATTTTTAAAATTTGACCCGAAGTGGATTTTTTTTGGATACCCTGTATAGTTCGGTTTTCCTAGACTAGCTATATTATTTCATTTTTAGCGGTCTGGGTCCCAGAAGGAAACGGTCTACATTGACGGTGACAAAGTGACGGCAAGCGCTTTTTGCTGTACTGGAGATTTCTGCAACTCGGCAACGCACAACGGATTCACGATCGCATTTTTGACAGCACTATCTGTTGTGTATTTTGTAAATCGTTCTTGAACTGGTGGTAAAGCCATATTCTCCGATTTTGAGTTTCATCATTGTTTCATTGTATGCATTGAGCTTCAATAAAGGCTTTGTTTAACTATTCAATTGTCAAGGCTTAATATTATAAATTCCCTTTTTAAATCAATTTGAGAGCACAACAAAAATCTAATCTGACTTCAAAATTTCCTGACAGAAAACAGAAAAACCAAGAAAAGGTGAGTGATAAGCAAGCTGAGCGAACTCTCTTTCATGGCTGAATCGATTAACGAAAGGAAAACACTACCGTAAAGTTTATTGAGTGAATTTGTTTCATAATTTCGAAATCACTATGAATAAAAGTATACTCATCCTCTTTTTCATTATCCCCATTGCCCTTTGCATTCAATGTTATGTTGATTCGCGATCGGATAATGGAGAAGCGCATACAAATATTGTGAGTTAACTCGTTTGTGTGTCAAAAAATCAAAATTTACGGTCAATCAAGTCAGGCCGGCCAACTTTTTGAACATGTTATATAGAATACCTAACAAGGGAAGTCCTTCAGGTCGGCATCTGGGATTGAGCTGAGATCAAATGGATCTTATAGAATCTTATAGATCTTATAGAATCGACCATGCTGATCACGAATATCTATATAACTTCTGCCCTGGTTCGCCCAAACGCAAGATATTTGACACGGAAGTTCTAGCACTTATCTTATAAAGTCCCTCACGCATTGGAAGATAGTACGGCTGTGATCTAGTGGATAAACCTCTTGTGTCAGGCGAGACCTCTGGTTTTTTTTGCCTCTGGTTCGAATCCTTTTGCTGCAAAGCTTTTTGCTTTTTTTGTTTTTTTCTGTTGTTTTTTTTGCTAGGAGTCTAATAATATATGCGTTTTTTAGATGGAGATAAATGTGCATGAAGTTGTTGGCCATCTCATGTATCGATTTCAATTAGAGGAAGAACTGCGGCTGATGAATCGAAGCGAGGTAAAACTGTTATCAAAGTTGTGTAATCTTTTGTCTGAAACTAATGAGAAAATCGAAATAGTCACTGATGTAGAATGTAATTTTGAGGACAATGAACAGGATTTTTCTAATATTGATGACTTTTTCTTGCCTTCATTAGCTCTTTTACCTGAACATATCCAATTCGGTGAGATTGCGAAAAGTCGAGATGATATTCAAGCTTTGATTGATTTCAAAAATAATGGGAACAGGAAGTTTACTACAATTTAACAGAATCTCCGAAGGGTACGAAACAGGCATCACACGAACTTTTAAAAATTAATATTTATATCAGTTTTATGTTTATTCTTTGAATAAATTTGTTTTTTTCTTCTTCAAATCGAAATGTTTGTGTCTTATTTATTTCCCGATGGTAATTTTGTTTTACCATTAGTAACTTTAAAAAAATGGCAAAAAAGCAAAAAGCTTTGCAGCAAAAGGATTCGGACCAGAAGCAAAAAATCAAGGGTCTCGCCTTACACAAGACGTTTATCCACTAGATCACAGCCTCACTTTCTTCCAAGGACTTTATAAGGTAAGTGCTAAATATCTTACGTTTGGGCGAACGAGGGCAACGTTATATAGATATTCGTGATCAGCATGGTCGATTCTATAAGATCCATTTGGTCTCAGCTCAATTCCAGATGCCGACCTGAAGGACTTCCCTTGTAAGTGTTGTTCCACTCACATAAAGTTGATCGTTATTCGATCTTAGCATGAGTTTGGCTTGGTCGGAAAGTCAGTTCCAGGAGCAGTTCAATCCGATGTTGATATTTTGAGCCAGCTGGATCAGAGATAAAAATTAACGCTTAATATTAAGATTTTCAGTTTAGTTAGTTGATTAATCTTTTTCAATGCTATAAATCTCATCAAATATTCTTTTAGAGTAACTCGATTAACTGTGATGGATGCGATTTTTGTTTAAAAACTATTGTTAAGGTAAAATTGAGTAGCCAAACCTTTTTATAACCTATTTAGGACAAAAATGTTCACAATGTAAATTGGGGTTGCGGGTGTGAAAATAGAAATCTCATGGGTTACGCGTGTACGGTGGGTTTTTGTGGAAATAAAAAAGGAAATACTAAATCCATTTTTAACGCATTTAAACATATTTGTAAACTATTGCGTGTTTAGGAACCGGGAAAGGAGAACGATCAATCACATAACGCTAATGGGGAGTCAATGCGAATGATTGCCTATTGTTGTGAGAAAGATCTCTGTAATTCAAGCATTTACCTTTTCACGGCACCAACTTTACTATTTTACATCATAACTTTGTTTTCATATTAATTTCAATAAAATTCAGTGAATTGCAAGAGGCTACAAGTCTACAAGTCAAGAGCTAAATTATGTGAACTCTAGAATTGCTCTGATTAAACTTTAAAATATTTGTAAACTATTGCGTGTTTAGGAACCGGGAAAGGAGAACGATCAATCACATAAATTCTAATCAATTGTATGAATCATTTTCCAAAATATCTAAAGATTCATACACCGATTTTTATCATTATTTTCTCTAATACCTTGTTTCATTTAAAATTCTCTTTTAAAACTTTACAAATCCGCAGTGATATGAGACTTACACTCACGATTCGTGCATTTTTGGCTTTTCCACGTCTCCTGATAGGGTCTTTGTTCATATTTTCATTAAACATTATTCAACAAAATCGTTTTGAAAGCGTTCAAAAGTCCATTTCTAAAATGCTTTGCCGAATGATGCTTTTCTCGTTGTGTTTTGCAATTGCCTACGCGGCGCTGACGTGCTACGACGATATGGTCTTTAAGAAGGGACAACAAAAGCACAGTGGGGATGTAGGTGTTGGGAAATCGATCTTAATCTCAATTGAATCAGGCGGTTAAGGATACTCATCGGAGTACTTGATGTCCTAGATCAGGCTAGAGTCAGGGTTGCTTCAAAATAAAATCATAGTTGATTTTAAAAACCTAGAAACAACAGTGGTTAGAAGCTGAACAAGCTTGACTGGCTGATCCGAATGACATTTTTTTCAGGAAAAACCAGTTGCATGTTCGGAGGATTGTCGATTTTGCCTTAAATGGTCGGGCGAGGTATTGTGATCAAGCTAAATCCACGTTTACAAAGTTTTAGTATGACAATAATGCAACAGTGGCTTGGAATTGTGGATGTGGACAGTGGATGGTCAATTGTGATGTGAGTCTAGACTTGAAAAATTAGATCAGCTTAGCAATATAATCGTTGTAGTAAAGCTAACAATAAGATTCAAGTTATGACTTTTCAAACAATAAATGCTCAAAATTAAGAGCAAAATCAAAAGCTTTAATCTTTAGTTTAACACCACAATTGTTTAGAAAAAAGGCAAAGGAACGAAGAAAGTGCAAGACGGTAAAAAGGAGAGGAAGATCAAGTATTGGTGTTGTGAAGGAGATCGCTGTAATTCGGCTCGCCACGATTTCACTCTTGGACTTGCCTCATTAGCTCTTGTTTTCTATTGGACAAATGCTTGATTGAGTCAAGATTTGCATTGTTTTTCATGTATTGCCGTTTATCTAATAAATTTGATTCTTGCAAGAAAAAGTAACGCCATTTCCAAAGTACACCAAAAAAAGCATTTTGGTCGATTTTTACCTGATCAATCAATACTTTTTTCTTGTTCTTTCCACACAATTTTTTTTTGTTGTAAGCCACTATCTACAGGTTTTAAAGGCTTTTTGATTCTTAATGCTAGAGACAGAAAATAACGGCCCTTGTAGTTTTCGAGTGATTGTGGATTGAATTCAACAAAAGATTGTCTATTTTCTAATGCTCCGCCAAATTCTCATCTTCTCTTTATTGATCGTTGTTGGAGTGCATTCGATTCAATGTTTTAAAGATAAATTGGAAGGGAAAGGGAAGAAACACACAACGGATGTGAGAGTGTTCGAGATTTGGTGGTATTAGTCGGTTATATTTCACAAATCAGTACATTTTGTGGGAATCTAACTGATAAAACCAATATATATTACTGTTAAATGAAGTCTACCCATATCTCTTAGTTAGTTTATACTTAACTGTTTTTTTCAGAAAAGCAATAAAACTTGCAGTTGCAGCTTTTGCTTCAAGGGAACCGGCAAGGTACGTCTGAAATGAAGATGTTCGCAGAAAATCACTTTTCAGGTTGATGACAAGGATTATACAGTTTGGGGATGTGGATGTGATAATGGATTCATCGATTGCAAGGTGAGTTTTGTTAGCGATTTGCTATTTTTTAATAACCCAACGAGATTCGATAAAATTTTGCTCTTTTAGACAAACTAGTCCTGAGGAAAAAGGGTCATCAGGAAAGTACCCGGCTTTCAATTCTTCAATTCTAACATTTTCAATCGCCCAATTCAGCCTAATATTTTAGAAAATAGGCAAAGACCACGTGCAAATGAAAAGAGATGAGAACGATAAAGAAAACGATGTGAATTTTTGGTGTTGTGCTTTGGATTGGTGCAATTCTGCTCAAGGCCATCGACTATTTGATATTTTTGTGCCCTTTTTCATCATGTACTTACTAAGCTTTTGAAATGTTATTCTTTTGTTCAACTCAATAAAGTCTTATAATTGTGTAAAACACAAGTCTAATTTGTAAAATTTGACTCCAAAATCCTCCAATTTCCAATGTTATCAAGCCTTTTTCTAAACAGATTAAGAATTTTTGCACTTAAAAAGCACAAAAAACTAGCATTAAATGAGCAAGAAAGATCTAATTGATATCCAATTCAGTTGTTTCTAGTCTCTGAATCTTCGGTGCTTCTTGCTTAATCAGTAAAATGATCCAGCTATATTTGGGTGAAAATGACAGAGTTTCAGTTTATGGTAAACTAGCATTAAATGAACAAGAAATATCTGATTGATATCCAATTCAGTTGTTTCTAGTCTCTGAATCTTTGCAGCCTCTTGCTTGATCCGTAAAATCATCCAGCTATATTCGAGAGAAAATGAGAGAGTCTCAGTTTATGGTAAACGAGCATTAAATGAGCCAGAAAGATCTGATTGCTATCCAATTCAGTTGTTTCTAGTCTCGAAATCAGCAAATTTTCAAAATTGACCAGTAAAATGATCCAGCTATATTTGGGTGAAAATGACAGAGTCTCAGTTTATGGTAAATTAGCATTAAATGTACAAGAAAGATCTGATTGATATCTCTTCATTGATTGATTCATTTTCTGATTCTTTTTCATTGTAAGCACTACATTGGCTGTTAAATGTTACAAAGATTGGCAAACGGGGAATGAACTCGATCATTCGAGAAAGGTTAAATTTAGCAATAAACTCAATAATCAAAATTTAAATTAGCTCAAATCGGTAATCAATAAATGTTCCAATACTTTTTATCTAGGTTAGAGCAAATTTCGTTTTGGTTTTCATCGTTTTTGACTGTTTTAACCTTTAGGCATGGTTCGAAAAGAAATGCACCGTCCGAGAGAAACAGATCCTCTTACTCTTCACCTAAACATTGTCTCAATCTTTTCAGGAAACATCGATCAATTGTGAATGCGAATTCTGTCTGAAAACCCTACAAATGATAGCTATCAAAAAGCTATTTTCATTACTAAAGCAGTCTTAGTGGGGCAAGGACCCTCCCTCAAGGAGACTGTGGATGCTTGGATAGCGATGGGGAACCGCTGTGCACGGTCAATTTTTGCGATGAAAGAAAATTGTAAACGGTTGATTTTAGAAAACGGACCAGCGGACAGATTCATGGATACTTGATCAAAGTGGTTCCAAAACCGAAAATTGGTGTTGCAAAGGGGTTCTTTGCAATCTAAGTCATGTTAGATCGTTGAGATTAGTTCTGATCTCTAGTATTTTCATGGTCTGTATGAGAATTGTTTATAAACCTTTTTGAATGCAAGATAGTTGAATGACAGAAAGTGAGAAAATCGATAAAACTTGCCAACTTTTCTGACTATCGATGCAGACGCTCTAGAGTGCACTCTAGCCGTAATCTATTCTAGCTTTTCAGACCTTAAGTCAAATCTTTGAAGTTTTAAATTATCTGTCTCACAATTAGTCAAGTAATACTAGTTTTGCGACTACTATGCGGATTATCTGGGCTACGGTAACTGTACGGTAACCGGGACGCTTTAGATCTGTCTTTCAATTAGTTAAGTAAGCCAGCGAACCAGCGTTCGGGAAAGTTTACAAGCTCAATATTCAATGATTTACATTTACGTTTTCGAAAGTTTATTTGTCGCAAAGTTCTTGGGATTTGACTCATCTCAATAACATCAACAACAATGCTGATATTTTACTCGCTAAACTTGATCGATAACTTGAACCAATACCTTGAAACTCCGTGACATACCTTTGAAAAGACTCTTCGAAACTGGCGATAGGTGTTTTAAGCAGGATTATCATTTTCTGTTCTCGAAAGAAACAACGAAAAGACATGATTATGAAAGAGTGAAACGGTGAGAATAAAATGTTTGTGTGAACTTTGTCACTTTTGAAAGTTTTTAAAAGATGTTTCAACTTATCGCTCTCCTCGGTCTCCTTACGATCGTTGGAGCGCTAGAGAAACACGTGATGTCCACCAATTTCCTCCAATGTTACAAGGATTCCAATGCTAATCATCTCGATAATTATTACCATTATCACGACAAAGCGCATACCGGATATGTAAGTTTTAGATTTTTAATTAAAAGATTGAATTAGTATTTAAAAATGACCAGCACAAAGCAACAATGCAACTGTAAAAAGACGTAGAATCTTATTTTCTTAACTAATCCATTTTTTGATCAACTAACTTAAACTTAACTTAACTAATCAACTAACTAAAACGTGTCAACTTTGGGAAGCTACTGTAATTTTGCTTCTATTGTTAGCTTTCGGCATCTTTTATGGACCTCACAGAATCAGAGCAAGAGTAGATTGGATTGGATTGATTGATTATTAGAAACAGAGATCGGTTGTTTAAAGTTTGACACGTTTTAGGAAAAGCATTGGTCGCTAGGACATGTGCCGGGTAAAAGATATGATTGACTACAATGCAAGGAGTGATCTCCTTGCACGGTGGGGTACTGTAGGAGGGGCAATAGAAAATTTGTGATAATAACAACTTTCTGTCTAATGGAAAACTTTAGGAAAGAGTCGACGATTGTCCCAATTGCGATTTCTGCCAGAAAGTTACGACAAAGGTAAAGGTTTCATTTACGATTCATCTTTATCGATTGTAGCTTAATGATGTATGGAGCACGTCATGGGGTTGTGGATGTGGGTCGAGGAATCCGCTTTACAATTGCAGGGTTGGAGTTCATGACAACTCTATTCTTCATCTATTCACATAAAAGTATTTCAGTCCGAGGGCAGAACCCACAGTCATGACAATCGTTACGAAACTGATTACAGTGAAGACATCTGGTGTTGCAGCGGTGATTTGTGCAATTCGAGCTCAACCACAGCCTTGCTTCTCTCATCGATTCTCACTCTTGTCGTAGCATGGCAATAGCTTGTGCAATATCAAACCAGTTTAATTCTTTGCTTTGATTCTTGTATTAGGTTGGAAAGAAAGTTCTCTGAAAAAGTTTAACTTGAATTTCTTAAAAACGAAGTTGCACCATTATCTACACCCGATTTGTATATTTTCGATGCCAAAGTGCTTTCTGATTAAAAAAGATAATAAATCTTTAAAAATGGAATTTAAAGGAAACCGCGCAATAACGGCATACAACGAGGACAAAAACACTGTTAAAATTCCCCAAAACGAAATTCCCGAAATTTAGCAGAGCCCAGTTTAGCACTGCTCTAAATCTCCACGTGGTTGCATGATTGACTAGCAAAATAGCCCAACTATATTTGTGAGAAAAAAATTGACCCCCGTCCTTTCAAATTTTTATTAACCCACTGATGAGCCCAAAAAATAGTTCACACACGATCACAAGCAAGAGGCAAAGACCAAGTACGATTGAAAATGAGTGAGAGGGAGACTGAGTAAAAAAACGAGGAATTAATGTAGCAGTATATTGTTTTTGTCGTGTTTTTGTTGTTTTTGGTGTAATCGTTGAAGTATCTACCTATATGAGGTTCAGTTATTGGATGGTAAATGTATGAATCCAGCCCTTGGGTTAAAAGTTATTATATATCGTAAAATCAAATAGCCAGCACATCACATAAAAAATTAATCGCAATAATAACCGTCACACGAGAATTAACCAAGAAAGTAATAAAAATGACGAAAAATTTTGGTTGGAAGAATGAAGATCAGCTTTGACAAGCCAAACTATTTTTTTCTTGCTCAATTTCAGTCAAAGGCAATTGGCTTGACTAACCTTTGCTTCTGGCTTTTTTTATCAACCCTGAAGAAAAATTGAGTCAAGCGAAAGATAATTTAAGCATTAAATGAAAAGCATAACAAACAGTCATCTTTCTTAAGCTTTCGAAAAAGTTTTCACAAAGAGCCAGATATGATTATTTCCATACGGACCACTCGTTTCATAGTCGTACTCAGTTTCCGGAGTTTTACCGGGTTTTCTATCGTAAATCGCCAAAAAAACGCAATATTTTCGATCATCGATTTCTTTCTTAAAATACTCTTGCCTTTTGAAATAGTTCTCCTTTTTTAAAACAACTCGTGAATAATGAGAATCCAGAATGTAGGCTGAGTCATATAATTGATGAAAATCCGTTCGAAAGAATTGGGTGATAGCATAAGCATCTTCAGAATTCGAATCAATTCGTTCAACTCCAATAACAGAAGCAATCATATATTCTAAAGACTCAAAATAATTGTATTGATTATTTGGATCAAAATATTCGAAATAAACAACAGCTGAAGAATCAGGGAATTTTGTTGGCACTCCATTTTCCAGCAAAAGCTTACAAGTTGATGAGAATTTCGGCCAAGAATTAACATGATTTAGGATCATTTCAATATTTGACATTCCCAAGTTTTCCCAGATTTCTTTAATTGGCTGAAAAAGTGCACAATAGATTTGCAAATCGTCAAAATGAAAAGAATTCCATAAAATTTTCAAATTCGGTTGTTCATTATCATCGAAATCTTTATAATCTTTGATCATTAGGATGAAATTTTGATGCACATTCATCCCAAAATATTGTATGAAATGCCGGAGAAATCTCGTCGGCGCATTGATATGCAAATTTTCAACGCTTTGAATTGCAGCGAGGACTCCTGTTAGGGCACATAAGTGTTTCATTTGTTTAAAGCTATTAAAAGAGCCGTCTCCAATCTCTACTTTTAGTTTTTTACAAAACCTAATTCGCTCAAAAAATTGCCACGGAGAATGAGTGTAAATTTCGTTAACAAACGAATTTTCGAGTCTCAAACAATCGTTTTCCACGAAAAAACCGACTTCAGCGTCGGAAAAGGTCACCAAAACAAACCCCTCCTCCGAATCGGCTCGATTAACCGAATACTCGATTTCTAATCCTTCAACTAATTTCGGTAAAGGTCCATTTCTTAATGAATAATCTCGAAAATTTTTGTTTATTCGTAGAAAATTTAGCTGAATATTGAGTGATTTGACTTTGCCGAGCACCAAATTTCGCACCTCATTCGGCAAAGAGAACAGAAAATTCTTGGGTCGCATTTTGAAGGAATAAAGTTAGATAAGTATTTATGGCCTAAAGTATAAGGTAATCGGATATTTAAATTGGTTGCTTGTTTAGGCTGAGAGCTACGGTAAGTGATCCAAGACCTTGTAAGAGCTCATTAAGGAGTCAAAGTCGGTTTGGGAATGTTTATTCATGATTACATGAACCCTATGCAGTTGAGACATTGGATTACATTGAAAAGCTTGTTGAAAGGTTTCCGACAATCCAGCTCTCCGAATGATCGAAACTAGAGGAAATATTATGGTAACTTTCAACACGCTTTAAAATGGTTCAAATAAACTCATTTTCTGAATTTTGAACAGAGTTGATATTGGCTCACAGCTAAAAAGAAAGATGATTTTTGAACCGAAAACATTTTTCACTTTAGAGCAGCCATCGCATAGTAGAAGAGCTGCTGGTGGGTGATGTTTAAATCTGGATAGGGTTTTACTACCAGATTAAACAAATAAAATTATCAGACTAGCTTAGATTCGTTTTCTAAAAGGCACCTATTTTAGAAAAACTACCATAATCGGCAGAGTTTTGCCATCATTGACTGACAATTGTGAGCCTTATGATGCCTTATGACGAATGATAAAAAAATCAAATGTAAACCAGCAGTAGATCACGATAGTTTCCTAAACTAGGTGCCTTTTAGCAAGTGCATTCATGTAAACCATTCGCATTTCATTACCTCACTGAAATATAGTTGGACCCCCATCAATCTCTCGAATCATACCCAAATAAACTAATTGCAATGCCTCCTAATCAGCCAGCCACATCTTCCGAGTAAAAGTCCGCCTCAAAATTTTCTTTAAACGTTTACAAGATTGTGAAAACTCGCTTGCATATTGCATTTCTAAAAGTAAATTGCTTAAAATGGATTATTTAATTTACTGCTGATTTACCCGCAGTTGTGGATCATCGTTTCTTCCAAATTCATCACGAATTGCGCGCTTAACCTTTTCCAAGCAAGCCCCTGATATGGGAGTTGTTTTTGGTGCCCGTAAAAAGTGAATGCTGGATCTCATGACCAAAACTCCGTCCAGTACTACTCCACTGAAAGTAGTGTTACTCCAATCTATTCATTAGTCGATAGAGCTGGGCTATTGGGCAATATAAGCCGTCCAGCCCGTTCAAAAATTTACACGTTTTGCACGTTTTAGACAACGCCTTATTTGAGAAAAGTTGCATTGGTGAAAATTTCTATCTTTAATTCTAACGGCTCACATTAATTTGCTCTCTGAATTTTCATCATCGAATCCTCAAAACTCTGACTCTCATCAAGAAATTAAAGAGATATCAATCAGATCTTTCTTGTTCATTTAATGCTAGTTTACCATAAATTGAGACTCTGTCATTTTCACTGAAATATAGCTGGATCATTTGACTGATCAATTTCGAATATTTAATGATTCCGAGACTTGGAATGCCTGAACTGGATATCAATCAGATCTTTCTTGTTCATTTAATGCAAGTTTACCATAAATTGAGACTCCGACATTTTTCGCCAAATATAGCTGGATCGTTTTACTGAATAATTTTGAAAATTTGACAATTTCCAGAGCTGGAATGGCTGAATTGGATATCAATCAGATCTTTCTTGTTCATTGAATGCTAGTTTGCCATAAACTGAAACTCTGTCATTTTCACTAAAATAGAGCTGGATCGTTTTACTGATTAAGCAAGAAGCACCGAAGCTTCAGAGACTAGAAACAACTGAATTGGATATCAATTAGATCTTTCTTGCTCATTGAATGCCAAATTACCATAAAATTACCATAAACTCTGTCATTTTCTCAAGAATATAGCTGATCCAGCTATATTCTTGAGCTATCATTTTTTTGAACATTTGATGTTGTCACCATGAAAGTTACCAATGAGGTGATTTTCAGCTACGATCGGGCAATCATCAACCAACGAATAGTTTGAATTGAGTTCCGCGAAGATTTTTCATTACAACCATGGAAAAATATTATTTTGCAATCAAAATGTTTTTATTTCAAAGCATCACATAGAAAAACAGAAGCGCCGACTCTTGCAAAGGACCCATTGAGCAGAATGAGTTTTCTCAACTCTTCATTGATTCTCATTTTCCGTATCCAAATGAAGACTGACAAGTGTTTTAAATCATGATTTAATAATGGAAATGAAAATAATCGAGGCATTCTTGAAAAAGAATTGGTTTGTGAATTGTTTTCGGCCCAAAAATGCGAGTTTTCCTTACGAAAATGATAAGCGCTCTCAATTTATTCGCCACATCACTAAATTTTGTTTTCAATTCAAAAATGTTTCGTTCTTTACCATTTGCTTTATTCCCACAAAAGCTAAAAACTTGTATTATCAAACATTTGAATACAGATGATACACTAAATCTATTGGAAAGCAATCACGAGCTGAGAAAATACGTTCTGATCAATGGATCCTTCACAAAAGTCGACGAAATCGTTTTCCTTTATGACATCTTGAAGTCAAAATTTGCTGAAATCGATTGCCAAGTTCCGTATTTGTATCTAATCATTGGTAAAAATGGCCGAAAAACGCAATTCAACCTTTTCAATGGTCGATTGATGGTGGATCTCTGTCCAATTATTGCCAGAAATCCCTTCGATCTCTTCAAAAATATCATCTCAGCAAGAACTTTTACAGTGAGTTTAAATCAAGAGATCAGCTCTGACATTTCCATCTCAACTTTCAGAGAAGTTTTTGGTAAAGCCAAATTCTTCTCGAATCTTCATCACATATCAAATCTTTATCTAGATTTGTGTGTCTCTTTGGAGGCCATAATGACTCTTTTCTCTAACATTCGTCTTAAAGTTGCGAACATCTCGATTCTGAACTTTTCATCTACAATTGGAGCTAATGATTCAGTGACAAAATC